CCCAACCCCAACCCCAACCCCAACCCCAACCCCAACCCCAACCCCAACCCCAACCCCAACCCCAACCCCAACCCCAACCCCAACCCCAACCCCAACCCCAACCCCAACCCCAACCCCAACCCCAATAGTTTCAAAGATATTTTTTAACTATTAAACAAACAAGTAAATCTATTTGGTAAATAATCATACATTTTTTGGTTGTTTTTTTACCAACCATTAAATGCTAACAAGATAAATTAAAAGCAATAAATTATATTTTTTATCATTTATATTTATTAGAGTTTTAAATCTTTAAATGAATTTATTTGTTTTAATACTTTTGAAAATTTATTACTTTGTTTGAATTAACTAATTCATTCATTCATTCAAAAAACTATTAAATATTTTATTACATAAAATTAGTTTAAAATTATTTTCATTATTTCAATGAATAATTAAATAAATATATTATTTACTTATTTATTATTTATAAATCATAAATCTACTTTTAACAATGCTATTTTTGCAGCTCAGTTAATTAATTTAATTTGATACTTTAAATAATTTAATTTTATTTACTTATTAACATTAATACAATATACTTTTAATATTTCCTTTTTTAAAATTATTTTTAAATTTTATTTATAATATTGAATTAACAAAGAAACTATTTGCCTATTGATAATGTATAGATTACATATTTATGTCTAAAAATTGATTTTTAGCAATTCAACTAATTAATTAAATTAAGTATTTTTTAAAATTTAAAGCTGTTTATTTATTTACATTCATTAGCCTTTTAATTAAAAGTTTGTTTAAAGAAAGTATCTTTTGGTTTTTTATGAATTTATTATAGTTTAATTATTTATTATTTTTTACTTATTTATTTGTAAATAATCTTTACTTTAATCTAACTATTCAAATAATTAATTAATTATTTTAAGAATTTTTTATCCTTCTTTAAATATTTTAGTCTAAAAACAAACAAAAGTTTTTCATTTTAAATGAATAAATACAATGATTATTACTAATTAATTTTTTCAAATAAATTATTAGAAAGATTTCATTCAAATTCTATTTATTTTTTAATTCATAAAGCTTTAAATAGAAAAAAAAGAAATTCAAGATCAATTGAAAATAATTTAAACTTAGTAAATTAATAGGTATTTCTGATTATATATAGGTTGCTTGCTTATATACTTAGTTAATTAATTCAAAATATTTATTTGGGAGATTTAATTTTTCTTTTTTAAATAGCAACGTAATTTGAATTATTATTTAATATATATAAAAAAATTTATCAATTCAAAAAAAAAAATTTTAGAAAATGATTCTTGATTAAGAAAATCTTGTTAGATTATTCGGAAAAAGAAACGAAAAGATCAAAATGACTGGTCTTTCTATTAAACAATATATAACTAACAGTGTTATTAAAACAGAAGTTATACAGAAATTTGAATTTGAAGAATCGATCATTGTTATTTTCAAGGATAATCCTTATAGAAAGAAATTCAAAATTCACCTTGGAGAAAAATTTATAAAATCAAGGCTCGAAGAAAGAGCTATCTTTGCAAAATAGGAGAATGTGGTTATTAGCAAAGACAAGTTTTTCATGAAATACTAAGATTATAAAATGATTGAGTTGGAAAAAATTCCAGAACCCAAGGGAGAAAATCAAGAGATAACTGTTAGCTTTACTGAAATCGGGAGTGTTATGCCTAAGTTTAGTTGCATGTATTTTAATATGATTAAGATCTTTTCAAATGAGATAATTGAAGATTTGCAGAGTTATAATTTGAACATTTATTTAAACATGTCATCTCAAATTGATTTTATAAAAGTTTATAGCAAAGCTGATACAAAAATAACTTTTTACAACCACAAAAAGAGCGCTTCAATTGTACAGATAAATCTTAAGACTATGGAAGAGTGTCTATTATATTACAGGCATCAAAATATTAATATCCCTTAAATTTCATTTGGGAAAGAAAAGGATAGGCAAACTATTATCATGATTGACTACCTTCCTCCATTCAATCCTGAAAAAGACTATAGGCAGTGCATTAAAAATAACCCTGAAGTAAATAGCTTAGAAAATTAAAAAGACAGTGATCATTCAATGGAAAGTGTTGAATTTTGCATTGTCATGGATACAAGCTCTAGGAATGGTCAAAGGAAATACGACTGCAATCAAATGCAATTTCTGTTAACTTAGACTCTATAAAAGATTTAAAACACGATTCTACAGAAAAACAATAACAACAATAGCAGCGAAAGTAACAATGAAGTTTAAAATAATAAAAATAAGACAAAATAAGTTAATTATATTAATTTTTCATTTTTGGATGAATGTGGGTGGAATCAACAGTACTTCAAAATGAAAGAAAATACTATAGAAGAACTTTCAATAATAAAAAACGAAATAATGCCAAAAATAGAATGGAAGAACGAAGAATCTGATTTCATTTCGTTTCTTGACAACTTTACTATTGTTTAAAATTCTATGAATATACCTAAAGTCTTATTTTTAATTACTTAATGCTAATGGATAAGCTTTGACGAGAGTGTAGAGCACCTCAGTCAGTTGAGAAAATAAATTAATTAAAACCAACCCTAGATATAAATTGGATAAAACAATCTTTCTGATTCAAAAACAGCTACTGATGATTAAATATAAAAAAAGTAAGCAAATAACCCAATGAACAATATTTTAGATGTATTTATTTTATACCATGGTGAAGATAGCTATGCATAAGAATAACTTAAAAAAGCTGTTTCCAGTCAAAGGTTCTTTACAAAAAATAATATTGACACTCCAGAGTTTCCTTAACAAGATTTGTTCTACCTAAAGAAACACTCTGATTTTTACCTTGAAGCGAATCGTGAAAATATCGAATTTTCAACTATACCGCTGTAAGTAAAATAGTCTGAGTAAAAAAGCAAAATACAAGTCAAATATAATTAAATATTTTAGCAATTTATCTTCCTCGAGCTTGGAACATCCGCTTTAAAAGGCAACCTAAATTATTTTGATGGTAGGACTAGATAAATTTGCTAAATTCCTATAGAGTTCTCCAAAAATAAAAAAAAAGATAAAGCAGATTCTTTCCTTGAAAGTGATGATATTGCCATGATTGGCTTAATCAAATTATTCTAATCAGATGAATTAATCGAGTAAAGAGAGCTAATGAAAAATATGTCCATACGAAATCATATTCACTCCCCAATTACATAAGAAGTCTTCTGCATTTATGATTCATCTAATGAAAATTATTCTAGTGACGCAAGTGTTAAAGAAATCTCCTTCAATCCTTCGTAGTTACAAACCCTAAATTAAAATAATCACTCTATCTCTTCAAGAATGCCATCAGTTATAAAGTACGAAGCACCTAAAGCAGATTTGTTTAAGCCACTAACTACTCAGACAAATAGCTAAAGCTACACTTTAAACTAAATTGAGTTAAAGTCAAAGCAAATTATATCTGAACTGATTCACAAAAAATTAGAAAGAGAAAAAAAACTAAACGAAAAGAATAAAAAATATCTTGACTTTAATCTATCAGCCGAATAGTAATTAATCAATTCATATAAATTATTTTATCTAACATAATTAATTTTTTAATATAAATAATAAATTATATTTGTTTTAATTTCTTTCCAAATTTAATTAATTAATTAATTTATTCTTTTTTATTAATTAATTAAATTTATTGATAATAAATAAATTTAAATTTAAAAATAATCTTATTGAGATTCATTTTATTAAATTTAATTTATTAATAGGTATAAAACGTTAGCTATGAAGAAAGTGAAGACTATTGTTGATACTTAAGAACTATCAGGATGCTGGAAATACAATGAGAGTTTATTGTTCCTATTAAAATACTCCAAAGAAGATTTCTTTACCCTAAAGAGAAGAATTTCTCATAGATCTGAGCCTCACATTGACTCATTAATAATGACCTCTATCATTTTAATTGAACTTAAAATGAGATTTTCAGAGTACTTCAAATACTGGGAATCTTGTTAAATTAAATCCACAAATTGGATTGACGAAAACTTTCCTAATCAAATATATATCAAAGCTTTCAGAATTGCAAGAGAATTACATGACTCAAAAGCAAACAAAAAAAGTTGATAGTTGCTTGGTTTTTTGTTAAATAAATGATATGATGTTTTTCTATTTTTTTATTTATTTATCTATATATCTAAATAAATAACTAAATATCTTATTACTATTCACTCATGAATAGTTTCTGTTTGTTTATTATTTTAGTTAAAATAATAAATTAATTTCTTACAAAAAATAAATGATAAAATATTTAAAATAATAAATAAGTAATTAATTATATGGGATACATATTTAAATAGTTATATATAATTTAATTTATTGTTTGTATTTTACCTTTATTTAGTAATCAAATACTTAATTTATTAAAATATTTACAAATTTTTTTACAAATCAATTTTTTAATTTAAAAATTATTGTAAAATTTTGCTAAAATAAATAATTTTATATTAAGTAAAAAATAATAATTTGAGCCAATAAGCAACTTAAATATTATTTAAATAAATAAATATTTTATTAAAATTTTAACTTTTGCTATGATTGTTAATTAATTTCTTATTGTTTTAATTTTTTCCTACACTTATTATTTCTAGCTCGCTATTTATATTTTTTTCACATTTAAAAATTGAAAAGAAATTTGTGGAAATAATGTGAGCTTAAGGTTTATTCAGGTTATGATTTAGCATAATAGCTGCTTATTAAATATAATTGAAAAACTAATTTAAATTTTATATTCATTGTTCAATAATATAAACTATTTAGTTTGCTTTTTGCTTTAGTTTTTAGTTTAATATTTATTAAAGGAGAAGATAAAAGCATAAATGAAAATTTTACACTTTTTTGATAGAATATGTTGAAAAAAAACGTTTTTAATCACAAATTTACACACACAAAAATAAATTTTAATAGAATAAGATTCAATAAATATGTCCTTAGGAATTATTTGATTATCTGTAGTTGATATGCAAATCAACAAATAGCTTTTCATAATATTCTTGTGAGGGATTGTCGATTTCTAACTCATGATTATAGAAAGTAACTTCGTAAATAAGTTATTGCTTTGTTGGTTGAATAATGAAGCGTACATTTTTATTAATAGATAAATTATCATAATCAATTAATTTGCTGTTTTTGCTGTTGAAATCAAAGGCATGGAAACTAAATTTTAAGTTTTTAGAAGAGTGGCCCTACATTTCAATTATAAAGAATAAAATATTATCAATGAAAATGTGTTGAATAATTTAGAAGTCAAGAGACATTTCCTTTAAACTGGGAGTTACTATTTGCTGTCTTTCAAATATATCAAAATTTATTCTTTTATTTGCTGAGTTGAGCATATTAAATTGCATGTCCTTTATCACTTATATTTCTCCAGACTTTAAAATTACTAAAATGCAGTTTGCCATTTCCTAATTCTAAGACTCATCAAGAAAATCTGCAAATAATATCTAGTCTTAGAATTTAAACTATTATTTTTCCCACAAAACACATTCGTAAACATTTAAAGTTTTTGTCTCTCTGCAAACAGTTAAAAAGTTCAATCCACTACGACTGAAAGACATGTGTGATATGCTCTTTTAATTAGTATTTCTCTCAAAAATTTTGTGACAAAATAGATCTAAAATGTAAATTTTTTGAGAGATAGCATTTGAAAAAATAAAGTATTTCCCATCGCGACTGAATCTACCTATTTCTGCATTGTAACCGTTGTATTATTTAATAATATCGAGTTGATAGCAACTCTTTTCAGCATTTAATACCTATCTAATCAAACGCAATGAATTCCTATTAGAAGCAACTAAAATTTCTGAGAATTTGTAAGAAGGTGCAATGAATTAATAATTGCTATCGTTTTCTAATATAAAAAGATTCTTTTGGTCATATTAATTTCCTTTTTTTTGATAATTTTCATGTAAGATGATTCTGGATTTATGAATGACAGCTACTTTTCCTTGCTTATTAAACTCAAAACATTGTAAATCTCTATCTCTGCTGTCAAGAACTCTTTCCACCTGAGAAACGCTAAGCAAAGACCATTCTCTCATTAAATATAAAACGCGAGAGTATATCATCTGCCAGTTCAGAGATTTGCAATCCTTTTTGGCAACATTGCAAACCAAATATTGATAAGGATCGCTAAGTACTTTTAAAGAATCCTTCCATTCTAAGGGCTTGAGCATATTCATGTGAAAATAAGGATCTTTTTCATTGGGATTAAGAACTTCTTAAATTTAATTTTCAGGGAAAAATATTTAATAATTAGGCTTCTAATTTTGATTCTACTATAGCTCATTTTCTATTAACATTTCTTCATTCTCGAAATCATCTAATTCCATGTCTACCTCTCCGTTCATTTCTACTTTAATTATTTCCTTATTAATTAATTAATTAATTGCTAAACAAATCAATAAATTTTGCGTCTCTATAACTTATTTTTTTCTTAATTCAAATTAAGATATTTTTAAATTAATTCAATTTTTACCAAATTAAAAATATCCTTATTACTTTCTTTATTTTCAATCAAAAAAAAAAAACACTACACTCTACTACACTACCAAAACAAACAATTTATTTTATTAGTATGCTTAGTAAATGGTAGCAATAAATATATATATCAATAAATCAGCCACTTAGAAAGTTTACTAAACGTATCTAATTCTATTAAATTTTAGTGTAAAATAATTAAATAAATAAATAATTAATCTAATTAAGTTTAAATATAATTTTTATTGGTGTAAAAAACTCATAAACATTTTTATAAATAATATATATTTTTAAACTAAATAAAAATGGACTGTAAAAAAATTTAATGACACACATTAAACAAAGAAAAAACTAATTCTATTATTTTATTTTGTAAATCATAGCAATAAAGAAAATCAACCACTAAAAAAAATTTGAAATGTAAATCTATCTATCTATCTAATTATATGAAATTGAAATGTCAAATAAATTGTTTTATGAATGCAAAAATTAGAATAATAACCTAATAAAAAATTATTATTCTAAGAATTGAATTAATTAATTAAACTCTAAAATGAATTAACTAGTAAATTTGAATGACTGATGAAGTAAGAAAGAAAGTAAGTAAGTAAGAAAATATATTAATTTTAAATGGATAAATCAATATTTAAAAGATTATTAAGTAAAAAATATTGAAAAGAAATAAATATTTAAAAAAATGAAGTATAAGTATATATTAAAAATTGTCTGTCTAAGGCATTATTATACAATATGCATTTATTTCTGTTAATTAAAATAATTTTTTATTAATTAAATTAAAGGACTATTATAGTTTAAATTAATTCATATCTAAAATTTCTGAAAAAAACAAAGAAATCTAAGCAATTTCTAAATCGATATTTGAGATTAAAATAAAATTTAATAAAATAAAAGAATATAGATAAATTTAATTTATGAAAAAATAATTAATTACATTTTTAAGTTATACAAAGAATGAATATAGCTAAAACTTGGTTATTTAAAAAAATAAATACTAATTAATAAGATTTATAAGCAATACTTTAAGAAATGAGACATTTTAACAAAAATATTTTTAAGGCTAAAACTTTTTTTATTTTGATTATTCATCCTGCTATAATTTTAAAAAGATTTTTTAACTTATTTATAACAAAAATGATATTATTTAATTAAATTCAATCTTAATACAAAATAAAAAATATTGAATTAAATAAATAAATAATCATCCCTCAATTTAAACAATGCATTAATTAAGACTATATATACATGCATGCATAATATTTCTTATTAATTCTTTAAGAACAGTATAAATAAAAGTTAAATTTACTGAGATCATATTTATAAAAAACTAATTAATTTTATTTATTTATTTAATTAATTAATTAAATAAATAATTCAACAATTTTATTTTTTTTTGGATTTTTTAAGATTTTTTAGTTTTTGTCTAACATATTTAAAGTGTCTATTCAAAGCGGATTTTAAATTTCCGTTTGGGTAGTAGTATTTATAATCTTATTATTTATCCAAATACCATTAAAAGTTTTCTTCAGCAGGTTCTAGAATTTTGTTTTATTTAAAATTTATTATTTTGCCTGTTAATGAAACTTTGAAGTCATGCTGCTGTACATTTTCATTTTTAATTTATGTTTCAACTTTTTTAATTTTCCTTATTTCATTTTTTTTTTCTGATAAAAATAAGGAACAATTATCTTCCTCACCATAAATTAGTTAAGAATTTGAAATAACCACATTCTTAGGTGTTAATTAAAATTAGATATTAGGAATTCGTTGACATTCTCCAATAGCTTTATCACTCTATTTATTTATTAATAAAATTCGTTTAATATTTTTCATTTATTTTTTTCAAATTAATTTAGTTATTTGGCAAATTAATTTTAATAATCAAAGTTTGCATTTTGGAAATGCATTTAAAAAAAATATTTTTCAAGAGTTATATAGTATACTGTAGGATCTCACTCCTATATTAAGATTGATCCCACTCACCCATACATATATACCTCTTTATAATCAAAAAAATTTTGGGTCTTAATTAATATAAGGGCCTTAAATAAATGGGAGAACTTATGGTATATATTTAGTTAGTTAGTTAAATTAATATTTCATTTTTAATTTAATGAAACAAACAAATCCATTTTTTATATTTTTTATGCATTACACTAAAAGAGCAATTTAATGGGCTCTAATTTTGTTTTAATGTGTCTGCAAAGTATTTTTATCGTCCATTCATATGCATAATTTAAGGTGAGCTATTCAATTCATCCATTTTTGTTGTTTCTCTCTTAGAAAATTTACTGCTCTTTAGTCTTTTCTTATTAGCATCTTTTTAATCCCTTTTGTTTTTTTGTTCTTCATCACAATTTTAGTCAGAAATTATGCTTTTAATCATATTTTAATCTTCTTCTTCTTAGGCTTCTTTGAGGGAGACTTAGTTGTGCTCATTTTAGATTATATTCAAAGAAGATTCTTAGGAAAAATTGTATGAACATTCATTTTCAATTTCTTGATGATAATCTTACTCTTTCTCAAACTAGTTTTCTTGTATGAAAGCCCTAAGAGAATCACGTATATTAATGTTGTTAGATTTTGAATTAATAGTTAAAAATCTTCTGTTAACTTTCTTTCTGTCTTAATCTTTGCTCTTAGTAAAAATTTACTTTAAAGAGCAGTGCTATTTATTAAAGAAAACAAAGGGACATTAAGTTTCCTAGTGAGTCTTCTAATTGCAGTACAGACAAGAATAGTTTATATCCTAAAAATTTGCATCATTGATCAATCGATCTTTAATTTGACAGAATATTTAAAAGTCTTTATCAAACTTTGAAAGAGAGTTAATGAAACTTTCCCTTTTTATTTTGATGATTTTTGTAAAATCCAAAGATTTAATATTGTAATCCCTATTTAAACCTGTAAAAAAGTGATAAGCACCAACTATACCATTTTTCTTCACACTAAATAGTTTAGTCTACTTTTCTTCTTAAAACTAGTCTCTTGACTTTGTAATCTCCACTAAAATACATTAAAAAAGTTGTTAAATACTATCAAAATGATTTTAAAAAATAACTTAAAAGTAAATTAATTAATTAACAAATTAACTTGCATTTTTTGGTATGAATTTAATAGATAAAAAAAGAAATCACAAATAAATAAAATTTTTAATTAAATTTAAGAGTAATTTGTTTGTTTTGGAATTAATTAAATGGGATATTTATTTTACATTTTCCTTAAACTATAAAAATTAGTGAGTTATCTTAAGAAATATCGTTGTACTGAAGGTGAACCATCTAGTTGGGAAAGTAAAAAGCTTCTTCGAAAGAGAGATGGAGCTCAGCAAGTGCTTCTTATGAGAAATTATTCTTTATTATCGGAATATGAGATAATATTTATTGATTATATTCTTCTTGGAGCTATTCATTCAATTCTTTGGATATTTTGGTCAAAACCTATTCAGTATCTTCTTCAAATTTTTTTAAATTATTTTCATAATAGTATTCAATATCGTTATTCACTTTTTTTTGCAGATTACTTTATAATTAAATTATTAATTTTTTATTATTAATTGATTGAATTTATTTTACTTTGATATCTTTTTTTGTCTCATGTATTCATTTATTATATTTAGATCTTTCCTTTTGTTCAAATCTTTTGTATCCAATTCTTCTAAAATAATTCCGATGACATTCAATATATATGCGAAAATGATATAAATTAACATCATTATAAACGAAACATAAAATTATTATAATGCTGTTTCTGCTTCATTTGAACCTGTTGTCATCAAAGTTAATGCCCAAAATATTGCCTTTTAATAAAGCTTCCACCAAGCCTAATCATCACTGGATTCTCCATACCATGTTGATGGCTCTCCTAAATATTCTAGCTCTATTGTCCCAATTATGTAATAGAAGCAAGCTATTATATGTCCGATAAGAAAGAGCTTCACAATAAGATTTGCTAGCTGGATTATGTAATAATTTTAGAAAGTCATGACAAAGTACTTTTATATATAATCAATGTCTTCAAAAATGTTTTTAAATTTGATTAAGACGAGCAGCTTTAAAAAAACTTAGCTTTCTTCCTATCTGATTGGAATTATTGCAGTAATTAAAAAAAGAGGGACAGCATCAAACAGAAACCTCTTTTTTATGTATCTAGTAAAAATCAATTTTCTATTATTTGTAACACTTAATTTGTTTATGTAAATGCTTGTGTTGAGCTTTATTAGAATTTCTAGAAACCAAACAAAAGCAGTAATATGATTATAAAAAGAGCATATGTCTTGAGGAACTTTGAAAATTCCAAACAGAGTGTAAAGAATAAAAAACATTGTATTGTAAAAGCAGAAGAAAAAAGAGATAAAGAAATGAATAATTCCGTCTGGATTAATTAGAGGCACATATGAAAATATCTTCATTAAAGATTATATTACTTACAGATACTCGTTTATTTTGTATAGCAAATAAACAAACTTATTGCTTTTGTCTTCGTAAATATCACTTTTATCTTTTATGTGCTTTCTAATGCTTTTCTTCTCAAAGTAGAATTTTCTGCCATTATCAGTAAACAGTTAATTGAAATACAGGATCTGCTTTTTTATCTTTTGCAAAAGCTTCAGATTTATTTAAAATGAAATTTATGACTAATTAACGCGATATGATCCGTTATTAATCTAATGCTTGCTCTACAAAAAAATGGAGTTTTTATTACCTTCCTATTAAACCCTATTGCATACATTTAGTGTTTGCAATGAAACCATTTGATCACTTCTTTTTTTGAATGAAGAGCTATTATCCTACTATTTTATTTTTAGTTCATTGAAGTTTTCATTAGCATTTTAGATATAGATAGAATTTTGAGATATGATTCTCACTTTACTAGTCAATGGAATATGTCTTTAGCTGTTGTTGTAATTAGCTTAAGCACAATTGTCTAAAATTTATAATTCAGTACCATTTTAAATATAATTAGAAGCATCGCACTGAATTTAACTCGCATGAATTTCAGATTCATTTTTATCATTGACTAGCTTGAGTTTTACATTTTGATCTCCGTTCGAATTACTTGTATCATTAGAAGATTTATTCAAAATCATGCTTTTTAAAACAATAGGTTTTCCTTTTAATTGTTTATGATTAATTAATAACTTACTTCTTCTCTCAAATTAAACTAATTTTTTTTATTAAAAAAAGTTTTTTTTTTTTTGAATTATTTATTAAAGTAAGTTCATATAAAGTTAAATATAATTCTTATCAGCTAGCTGGACAATTTATTTAATTAACTTCTGAAATTGTAAGCAGTAAAATCTAAAAATACTGAAAAAAATTTAGAAGATTAAATTAAAATTCTTTCAATATTAAAAAGGAAGTAAAAAAGATAGATATGATTTATACATGCAAACTAAAAAATCAATCAATATAATGAAAAACCTAATTTAATTAATTAATTAACTATTTTCCATCAAAAGGATATTAAAATTTTTTTTATTTAATATTTATGCTTGTTTAGTTAGCCTTAATAAATATTATTTGTATATTATATTTATAGTTTTATTTGAGGTTTAGCTATAAAGCCAAAAAAAAAATTAATTTTTTAAAGGTGATAAATTTTTTTGGATTTCTATTGCAACTTTACATTTCTTAAAATTTATTACTTCTAAAATAATTATTACAAAAACTTTTTATATACTTACTTCCTTACTTAAAAAAAAATCATTAAAAACTTAATGGAAATTTTTTAATATTTCTTTAAATAAATAACTAAAAAAAAGCAAAGTAAATTTTGAGTAAACTTAATTGAATTAACATTTAACAAAATTTAATTCTATTTTTTATTATTATTAATTAACTAAATAAAATGAAAAATAAAAAGAGATAATATTTTTCACTTTTGTATTTTTATTTGTTTTTCGAGAAATGTTGAATGCTAAATGTCAAAGAAAAACGTTGAATTCAAATTCTGAATTTATTTTTGTAATTTAAATAAATTCATTTTTTTTTTGACTTTTTGAGGAGTTTTTTTAGTTTTTATTTGACATATTTGAAATGTTTATTTAAAGCTTATTTTAAGTTCCCGTTTGGATAGTAGTATTTGTAATCTTATTATTTATCCAAATACCATTAAAAGTTTTCTTCAGCTGGTTCTAAAATTTTGTTAGACTTAAAATTTATTAATTTTCCAGTTAATTAAAATTTTAATTCATTTCCATTTTCATTTTTAACTTGTGTTTCATTTTTTTTACTTCTTCTCATATCATTCTTCTTTTCAGTTTCAAACAAAGACCCATTATCATCTTCATCATAAATAAACTAAGAATTCTAAATAACCACTTTCTTAGGTGTAACCTAGATATTAGGAATTCTCTAAGATTCTCCATTTGTTTTTTCACTCTATATTTATAGGTAAAAAACAAATATTGATAAAAATTAAATTTAAATTTCCTAAATTATAAGTAGCAATTAATATGATTATTATTAATATTTTTAAAAATAAGTCAAAAGTGCTTTTAAATTAGTATTTAAAATGATTTTAGTATTTCTTAATGCTTTTTAATATTGAATAAACCAATATTAAAATTGTTAAAGATTATTTTAACAGAAAAAAATAAATATTTTAATTAATATTTTATCATAAATTACACAGTTTAAGGCATTTAATGCATTTTAACTTTATTTCTATGTTTCAGCAAAATATTTTTATCGTCCATTCATACTCATAATTTAAGGTGAGCTATTCAGTTGATCCATTTTTGTTGTTTCTCGCTTGAAGAATATACTGCTTTTTAGTTTTTTTTTATTCATTTCTTTCTAACTCCTTTTGTTTTTTTATTCTTCTTCGTTTATTTAGTCAAATGTAATACTCTAAATTTTATTTATATCTTCTCCTTCCTGCATTTCATTTGCATAAATTTAATTGTTCTCATTTTATGCTAAATTTAAAGAAGATTCTAAGGAAAAATTGTATGTACACAAGTTTTCAATATCCTATTAATCTTCTTATTCTTACTCAAATGAGCAATCTTAAATGAAAGCTATAAGAGAATCACGTATATGAGCATTGTTAGATCTTGAGTTCATAGTTAAAAATCTTCTATTCACTTTCTTTCTCTCTTAATTTTTACTCTTAGTAAAAATTTACTTTAACGAACAGTGTTATTTATTAAAGAAAACAAATGGACATTGAGTTTCCAAGTGTGTCTTTTAATTACAGAACAAACAAGTATAGTTTATATCCTAAAAATTAGCATCATTAATCAAGTGATCTTTAATTTGACAGAATATTTAAAAGTCTTTTTCAAACTTTGAAAGAGAGTTAATGAAACTTTCCCTTTTTATTTTGATGATTTTTGTAAAATCCAAAGATTTAATATTATAATCCCTATTTAAACCTGTAAAAAAGTGATAAGCTCCAACAACACCATTTTTCTTAGAACTAAAAATTTTAGTCTACTTTTCTTCTTAAAACTAGTCTCTTGATTTTGTAATCTCCACTAAATAATTATTTTTTAAAACATTTGAAAATTACAAAAATTACAAAAAAATATTTGAAAGTCACTTATTTATTGAATAATAAATTTTCTCTTTGTTCATTTTTTGATAAGAAAGTTTAAATTATTCAAAATCTCCTAAAATGAATTAAAAATTTTAAATTTTAATTAGATTTAACTGCAATTATTTATTTTGAAATTAAAATGTTTAATTTACGTTTTCCTTAGACTATAAAAATGAGAGAGTTATCTTAAGAAACATCATTTTGCTGAAGGTGGACCATCTAGTTAGGGAAATAAAAAGTTTCTTCAAAAGAATGATGGATCCCAGCAAGTGCTTCTTATGAGAAATTATTCTTTAGTATTGGAATATGAGAGAGGATTTACTTATTGTATTCTTCTTATAACTAATCATTCAATTATTTTGATATTTTGCTCAAAACTTATCCAGTATCTTCTTCAAATTTTTTTTAATTATTTTCATAATAATATTCAATATCATTATTCACTTTTTTTTGTAGATTGCTTTATATTTTTTAATTATAAATTTTTTTATTATTGATTGATTGAATTAATTTTACTTTGATATTTTTTTCTATCTCATGAATTCATTTATGATGTTAAGGTCTTTTCTTTTGTTCAAATCTTTTGTATCTAATTCTTCTAAAATAACTCCTATGACATTCAATAAATATGCAAAAATTAAAAATATTGACAACATTATAAATGAGATGTAAAAATGCTGCAGCGGTGTATCTGCTTCGCTGGAGCCTGTTGTCATTAAGGTTAGTGCCCAATACAATGCTTTTAAATAAAGCTTCCACCAAATCTAATCAGCTCTAGAATCACCATACCAAGTTTTTTCCTCTCCTAAGTACTCAAGCTCTATGGTTCCAATTATGTAATAAAAACATGCTATTATATGGCCAATGAGAAAAAGCTTAACAACAAGGTTAACTAATTGGATAATGTAATACCTTTAGAAAGTCATAACAAAATATTTTTATATCTAATCAAAATCTACAAATATATTTTTATATTTAAGTAAGACGAAAATCTTCAAAAACACATATTTCTCCTCTTATTAATTCTGAATAATAGCAGTAATAAGTAAAAGAGGTATTACATCAAATAGAAACCTCTTTTTGATGTAATTTACTAATATCAATTTTCTATTACTTGTAATATTTAATCTATTGACGTAAATACTTGTGTTAAGTTTAATTATAATTTCTAACATCCAAATGATAGCTGTAATTACCTCATAAACAGAGCATATATTTTGAGGAGCTTAAAAAACTCCAAAAAGAGTGTAAATGATAAAGAACATCGTATTGTAAAAACAGAAGAAGAATGATACGAAGAAATGAAAGATCCCATCTGGGTTAATTAGAGGCACAAACGAAAATATCTTCGTTAACGATTATATTACTAATAAATACTCCCTTATTTTATAAAAAAGGTGAACAAACTTATTGCTTTTGTCTTCATAAATATCACTTTTATCTTTTATATGCTTTCTAATGCTTTTCAGCTCAAAAAATGCTCTCCTACCACTGTTTGTAAAGAGTTGATGAAAGTAAAAAATCTGCTTTTTTATTCTTTGTAATAGCTTTAAATCTAAATTCAAAGCTCCTGACGTTGAATTAGCATGATATGACCCTTTGTTATGTAGCTGTTTGTTCTACTAAAAATTTGAATTTTTTTTAGTTTCCTAATATGCCCTGTTGTTTAAATGAATTGAATGCATCGAAGATGACACTTTAGCGTTTCTTCTTTTTAAAGAAGAGCTGTTGTTATCCTAATTTTTTACTTTAAGGTCGCTAAAATTTTCATTTAGATTTTGAAGATTTAGAGAGTTTTGAGAAATCATTCTGATTTTGCTTGTCATTTGAATGTGTCGCTAGCTGTTTTAATAGATTTATCCACAATTTTCTAAAATTTGCAACTCAGTTCCATTTTAAACATAATTAGAAGCATCGCACTAAATCTAACTAGCATGTATTATACTCTAATTTTTTTCATTGGCTTGTTTGGTTTTTATATTTTGGTCTAAAATTGAATTAGTCGTTTCTGAAGAATATTTATTCAAATTCATGATTCTGAAAATTAAAGTTTTTTTTCTTGAAATTGTTTATAATTAATTAATCAATTACTTACTACTTTTTCTAAACTAAACTAAACTGATTTGTTTATTTTTAAAAAAATTTTGTTTAACTAGTTCTAAATGCTCTTTCATGATAAATTACTTTTTCCAATGCCTTTATTACTTTATTAATATACATATATATATTCATATAATTGTAAATAAGCTTATCTCATAATAATTTAAGGTTGATTATTGAATGTAATCATTTTAGATGTTAAAATAAAAGCTGTATTATCTTTTTAACTAACTTTTGTAATTATGAGCAGTAAAATCTAAAATACTGAATATTTTTATAAGATAAGGAAAGAATATTTGAATAAAATATAACATTTGTTTTTTCGCTAACCAATTTTTTTAATTAAAATTTGTAAAAATCATCAGAGAAATTTAAATAAATTGAATTTATTATCTGTTAAAAATGTTTTTTTTTAAATCATTAACATAATTTATAAATGAAAGTTGAATTTTTTACCTTATCTTTTTATTTTTTTTTCTAAAAAGTAATAATGAAGAGAAGTACTTAAACTAATTTTTAAAACCTTTTCTTTTCTAATAAGTTTAGTTTTATTACTTTTTAAAATTTAGAACTAATTTAATGTATTAAATAAGAATTTTATGAACATGTTAATAAATAAATATATGGATTTTTATTTGAATTTATAATTTTCTTCGCAATTTAAATTAATCCATCCATTAATCAATAATTTAATTTCAAAAGCAAAATTGATCGGAAATAAAAACTTTTAATAAATTAATAAACAAAGAAAAAATTTATTTATTTAATTTCAAGAAAGTTATTTGATTTGTTGTTATTAATGCTATATTTACATAATATTTTTTCAAATTAAAAATAAAAAATATCAAGATTACTTTTTTATACATAAAATTAGAAAAAATTATCTATGTTTTTATATTATATAAGATAAATATTATCATAAAAGTTTAAAAATCAATCGAAAAACCTTACATTTAATAGCCAATTTAATTAGAAAATTAAAACACTGCAAATTTCAATTTGATTTCAAACACTTCAACCTAAGAGTAAATAAATAATTAGATGTGATATGATACGACAAATAACTATTCTTTTATTTTTTAAAAAAATTAAAACTAACTAAATTAAGATAAAACATTTTTTTTAATTCTAAACAACTTAAAAAATCTAACTAAAATTTTAAGTTTGTCATTATTATAAATTACATTTATAAATATATAAATTATGTCTAATATCTTTAAAATTAGTATAATTCTATCAAAAAATTAAAAATTTTTAGAAGTCTAATCAAATTTTACGATTTTATATATATATAGTTTTGGAATTTTTGTAATTTAAACTGAATAATTTTAATTCTTAGATATTGCTAACTTAATTGAATTTTTAATAAAATTTAATTCTATTTTTAATATTAAATATCCTTACACAGTAAATAAAATTTTTTTGTATTAATAACTAAATAAAATGAAAAAGAAAATAGATAATAGTTTCTATAGCATGTTTATTTGTTTGTTTGTTTGTTTGCTGAGAAATATTTATTGATTAATGTAAAATAAAAAAGTTGAATACAAATTCTAAATTTATTTTTGTAAATTAGATAAATTCATTTTTTTTTTTTGAGTAGTTTTTTTAATTTTTATTTGACATATTTAAAGTGCTTATTCAAAGCTTATTTTAAGTTTCCGTTTGGGTAATAGTATTTGTAATCTTATTGTTTATCTAAATACCATTAAAAGTTTTCTTCAGCTGGTTCTAAAATTTTATTTTACTTTAAATTTAATACTTTTCCTGCTAATTAAATTTTTAATTCATTTATGTTTTCATTTTTAACTTGCTTTTCATTACTTTTAAATCTCCTCATATCATTCTTCTTTTCAGTTTCAAAAAAAGACCCATTATCATATTCTTCATAAATATCCTAAGAATTCTACATAACCACTTTATTAGGTATAATTTAGATATTAGGTAATCTCTAAGATTCTCCACTTGCTTTTTCATTCTATATTTGTAAGTAAAAACAAAAAAATATTGATAAAAACGAAATTTAACTTTTAAAAATTATAATTAAATTAATTCTAATTATTATTAGTTTTTTTTTAAAATAGATCAAAAATAGATGCTGTTTAATTAGTATTTAAGCATTTCGTATGATTGATACCATTTAAAAACCAATTTTGTAATTTATAAAAATGAATTAAAAATAAATATTTATTATGCTTTTAAATTTTATGATAAATTAATTACACAGTTAGAGGCATTTAATGCATTTTAACTTTATTTCTATGTTTCAGCAAAATATTATTATAGCTCATTTACACGCATAATTTAAGGTGAGCGATTCAATTCATTCATTTTGGTTGTTTCTCGCTTGAAGAATATACTGCTTTTTAGTTTTTTTTTAATAATTTCTTTCTAACTCCTTTTGTTTTTTTATTCTTCTTCATTTATTAAGTCCATGGCTATGCTCTAAATTTTATTTAAATCTTCTCCTTCCTGCATTTCATTTATATGAATTTAATTTTTCTCATTTTAAGCTAAATTTAAAGAAGATTCTAAAGAAAAATTGCATGAACATTAATTTTCAATTTCCTATTAATCTTCTTTTTCTTACACAAATGAGCAATCTTAAATGAAAGCTATAAGAGAATCACGTATATGAGCATTGTTAGATCTTGAGTTCATAGTTAAAAATCTTCTATTCACTTTCTTTCTTTCTTAATTTTTACTCTTAGTAAAAATTTGCCTTAATGAGCAGTGTTACTTATTATAGAAAATGAATGGACATTAAGTTTCCAAGTGTGTCTTTTAATTACAGTATAAACAAGCATAGTTTATATCCTAAAAATTAGCATCATTAATCAAGTGATCTTTAATTTGACAGAATATTTAAAAGTCTTTTTCAAACTTTGAAAGAGAGTTAATGAAACTTTCCCTTTTTATTTTGATGATTTTTGTAAAATCCAAAGATTTAATATTGTAATCCCTATTTAAACCTGTAAAAAAATGATAAGCACCAACAACACCATTTTTCTTCAAACTAAAAATTTTAGTCTACTTTTCTTCTTAAAACTAGTCTCTTGATTTTGTAATCTCCACTTTTTTAAATATTTGAAAATCAAAAAAAATGACAAATAAATATTTTAAATTAATTTATTTATTTAATAATAAATTTTCTCTTGTTCACTTTTTGCTTAAAAAGTTAAAACTTATTCTAAAGCTCCAAATATAAATTTAAATTAGATTTTTTTTGAAATTAAAATGTTAAATTTACGTTTTCCTTAGACTATAAAAATAAGAGAGTTATCTGAAGAAATATCGCTTCGTTGAATATGAACCATCTAGTTAGGGAAATAAAAAGCTTCTTCAAAAGAGTGATGGATACCTGTAAGTGCTTCTTAAGAGAAATTATTGTTTAGTATAGGAATATGAGAAAGAATTTATTTCTTGTATTCTTCTTATAACTAATCATTCAATTACTTTGATAATTTGCTCAAAACTTATCCGGTATCTTCTTCAAATTTTTTTAAATTATTTTCATAATAATATTCAATATCATTATTCACTTTTTTTTGTAGATTGCTTTATAATTTTTTAATTATAAATTTTTTATTATTGATTGATTGAATTAATTTTACTTTGATATTTTTTTCTGTCTCATGAATTCATTTATGATGTTAAGGTCTTTTCTTTTGTTCAAATCTTTTGTATCTAATTCTTCTAAAATAACTCCTATGACATTCAATAAATATGCAAAAATTAAAAAGATTGACAACATTATAAATGAGATGTAAAATTGCTGCAGCGGTGTATCTGCTTCGCTGGAGCCTGTTGTCATTAAGGTTAGTGCCCAATACAGTGCTTTTAAATAAAGTTTCCACCAAATCTAATCAGCTCTAGAATCACCATACCAAGTTTTTTCCTCTCCTAAATACTCAAGCTCTATGGTTCCAATTATGTAATAAAAGCATGCTATTATATGGCCAATGAGAAAAAGCTTAACAACAAGGTTAACTAATTGGATAATGTAATACTTTTAGAAAGTCATGACAAAATATTTTTATATCTAATCGAAATCTACAAATATATTTTTATATTTTAGTATGACAAAAATCTTCAAAAACACATATTTCTATTCTTAATAAATAGGAATAATAACAGTAATTAGCAAAAGAGGTATTACATCAAATAGAAACCTCTTTTTGATGTAATTTATTAATACCAATTTTCTATTAGTAGTAATACTTAATCTATTGACGTAAATACTTGTGTTAAGTTTTATTATAATTTCTAAAATCCAAATGATAGTTGTAATAAATTCATAAACAAAGCATATATTTTGAGGAGCTTAAAAAACTTCAAATAAAGTGAAAGTTATAAAAAACATAGTATTGTAAAAACAGAAGAAAAATGATACGAAGAAATGAAAGATCCCATCAGGGTTAATTAGAGGCAAAAAGGAAAATATCTTCATTAAAGATTATATTCCTTATAAATACTCCCTTATTTTATAAAAAAGGTGAACAAGCTTATTGCTTTTGTCTTCATAAATATCACTTTTATCTTTTATGTGCTTTCTTATACTTTTTTGCTCAAAAAACACTCTCCTACCACTGTTTGTAAAGAGTTGATGAAAGTAAAAAATCTACTTTTTTATCCTTTGCAACATTTTTAAATCTATATTCAAAGCTGCTTACTATAAATTAGCATGATATGACCCTTTGTTATGCAGCTGTTTGCTCTACTAAAAATTTAAATTTTTCTTAGTTTCCTAATATGCCCTGTTATTTAGATCAATTGTTTGTATCGAAGGGGAAACTTAACAATTTTTTTTTTTTGAGTTTTCATCCTTATTTTTGACTTTAAAGTCACTAACATTTAGATCAGCATTTTGAAGGCTTAGGGAGTTTTGAGAATTCATTCTGATTTTGCTTGTCATTGGAATGAGTTGCTAGCTGTTTTAATAGCTTTAACCAAAATTTTCTAAAATTTGCAACTCAGTTCCATTTTAAACATAATTAGAAGCATCACACTGAATCTAACTAGCATGTATTATACTCTCATTTTTTTCATAAGCTTGGTTGATTTTTATATTTTGATCTCTCATAGAATTAATATTTTCTTAAGAATATTTATTCAAAATCATGATTTTGAAAATAAAGTTTTTTTCTTGAAATTGTTTATAATTAATTAATCGATTATTTATTGATTTTCTAAATTAAAGTAATTTACTAATATAAAAAATAACTATGCTCAAATAGTTCGAACTGCTATTTGATTTATTACCTAAATTAATATTTCGCATACTTTAACTTACAAATTAATGCTTTCATATTTTGCATATAGTTGTAAGCAAGCTTATCTTATGATTCAAAGAAGAATGGATAGATAATAAGTGTCATATTTTTAAGTTTTTATTAAAAGCTACCCAATCTTATTTACTAAGTAACTTCCTTCAGTAATAAAAAAAATAATGAATAAAATATTTAATGATAATTTGATTAATTTGTTACAATAAACTTTTTTTTTTCCTTTAAGAAGACCAATTATCTAATTATCTGTAAAATTAAGAATACAAATTTTAATAAAGTGAAATCATAATTTCATAAGTATTTTTTTAAAAATTGTAATCAATAGTTGTTTGAATTTTACCTCATCATTTTTATTTTTTTTTCTAAAAAGTAATAATGAAGCGACATGCTTTTCTATTAGAGATTTACTTGCTGTAGCAAAATTAAAAATAAATGTTCACTAAATATTTATTGTTTGTTAAATTTTCATTTATTTTAAAGTCATAAAAGATTTTAAAAATAAATCACATCATTCATTCACTTACTTAATTGCTCATTTTAATAATTTTTTGTATTCTTTCTTTATAATAAAATTAATTACTTTTTAAAGCTTAGAACTAATTTAACAAAATTTAATAAGAATTTTCTTCTCAATTTAAATGAATTCATATATAAATCAATCTATAAATAAATAAATAAATAAATAAATAAATAAATAAATAAATAAATAAATAAATAAATAAATAAATAAAGGTGTTTGTTTCAAGTGCAAACAAACAAAATTGATCAGAAATAAAAAAACAAACAAAATAAATTAATTAATTTCATGCAATTAATTTGATATGTTTTTACGAATGCTATTTTTACATAATTTCAAGATTAATTTAATAAAAATTAAATTAGACACAATTAGTTATGTTTTTTATAAGATTTATGCTATCATAAAATTTTAATCATAGCAATCATTACATTTAATAATCAACTAATAGAAAAGAAATATTAAAAATTAAAAAGTTGAAATTTAAATTTGAATTGAATGCTAGCCAAATCTGAGTGTGAATAAATAATTAGATTAATAACTTTTCTTTTATTTTTTTAAATTTAGACTAAATTTAAGTAAAAAATATTGTTTTAAATTCTAAGTAATTTTGTAAAATCAAAAAGTTTACTTTATGAAATAAATTATAATTAATTAATTAATTATTAACAAAGAGAGAGCCATATTATTTCTAATATTTTAAAAATAATTTTGTTTTGTCATAAAAAATGGTCTAATTTAAATAAAAATTTCAAATGATTTTGTGAAAATTATCTTGCTTTAATATTTTTATAGTTATTACTATAATTAATTTAATTTGATAATAAAGAAAATAAATAAGCCTATATTATGAAACAAATTTAAATATTATTTTATTTAATAAATTGAAACTAGTAAAGAGCAGGAACAACTTATTTTAGAGTTTTATTAAATATTATTTAGATTGAAAAACATTTTTCTGCTATTAAGCACTAACAAATATATATTATTAATTTTTTAATTAAATAATTTATTACTATAAATTTTTTGCATTTGAAATATTTTGAAAAAAATCAATCAGTTTGAAATCAATCAAAAATAATATTAAGTAAGTAAGTAGTTGATCAATTCATTAATTAATTAATTATTTAATTTAAAAATCATAAAAATTTACAGAATTTCATTTAATATTCTTGTAGAATAATGAGAAGTAACTCACTTAACTCTTCTAGCAGCAATTACCAAACTAACAAGCTTAAAGAGAAATACTCTCACTTTTTTGATAATGAAGATATAGAAGGTGATTAAAAGATTCTCTCTCCTTAAGACTTACAAAGTAGTAACCGCAGTTAAAATAGGAGTAAGAGAATGGCTAGTTTTGATGCATAAGCATTCGATTAAAAGAAATAAGAGACATAATAATAACAATTGATTTAAGAATAGCTTAATTCTTCTTATTAATACTAAAATTAGCATACTAATAATAATGTTTTGAGATTCCATCCAAAGACTGAAAATTACAATCATTTAAACTAGCAAAAGATTATAAAACAGAATTAAGATGAATTAAATTTCTTAAAAGAGCAGTTTTTGAATAAAGTAGAAGAGATTCAAAGCAACTTGAAATCAATTGATCCTTATAAGATTTCTTTGAATTCAATCCATTCTAATACAAATAATTTCAATCAAACTTATATAAAGAGGTAAGAGGAATTGAATGCTAATATCCTTCAAATAAATTAGCTATTTGATAAATAGAACTTTTTAGATTCTGCTGGAGGTTCATAAGAAATCAAAAAGAATTTGTAACAATATAATAATGATTCAGATTAAAATATTATTAAAAACTCACATTAAAATAGAAAACCTCCTTTTGCTCATCCAGCAGGAGAATCTAGCATTGTTAAGACAAAAATAAACTAAAATGATTTTTTCGATGAATCACATTAAAATAATACAACTCAAAAATAAGAAATGTTGTAAATATAAGAATCAACTAATGCCAAAAATAAAGATCTAAAAGACAAATCGCTTCTTGAAATTCTTAAAAAGAAAGAAAACTTATATGAAAAAGCTAAACGCGACTACAACTTAATTAAATAAGGAATAAATTTCAACTACTAAAAAGATATTTGTAATGGAGGATCCAAAGACCCTTATAAAAATTATAGCAGAGACAGTCTAGACAGACAAAAAATATATTTTTATGATAGCTTCATGCCTTCAAATATGAGAATGATGAAATCTCCCTATTAATTGCTAAAATATAAAATTAACAGTAGAGCTAAATTTGATATTTAGAATTGCATCTAAGAGCTTTCCTCTATAAATTCCTCCTTAAGATCTACAAATTATAAATGAATTGAATTTAATTCACAAATAATCCTCTAAGATTGAATTAAAAATATAATTAAGTATGTAATAAATATTTGCAAATAATTATCCAAATCATAGCTTATTTACATTAAATGTCAAAATAAAATAAATAATAAATTCAACAAAAAAATATTTTCTATCATCAAATATTATTTATTATTTTGTTATATATTATTTAATATTAAGGAAGATATCTAGCTAAACCTGATATCAGTTTGGTATAACAATAACTAAAAGCAGAAACATGACAATTTACATATCATATATTAAAATATATATTAATACAATAATTAAATAATTACTAAAAAAATTTAAATCAATAAATACTTTGAACTATTAAAAAATATCAATTATTAACATAATTTTTATGAAAGAGTTTTATTTGTCTGTCTTCTTATAATATGTAAAAATTGTAGTTATTAATAAAATGAATATTTATTTTCATAACAGTAAAATATATATTAATTCATATGAAATATTTTATTTATTTTCAAAACTAACTTACTTTTATTATTATAATATATCAGTTACTTCTTTAGTTAGCATCAAATAAAAATAATATTTGTTTTCATTCTAAAACATTATATCTCTTTAAATTGATTAATTTTATAACTTTAGAAAATAAAATGCAATGCAATACCTCCAAATTTTTAAAAACAAAAAATATTTTATGAAAAAGTAATTTGAAAATTAATAAGGAAAAGAAAATAAAATTTATTAATTTTCTATTTTGTTAATTAATTATTGAATTGCAATAAATAATTTATATAAATATTTACTTAATTTTAACAATCATAAAACTTGATTAATATTTTAACTAAAAAATGGGATTTTTTCTATTTATCATAAAGATTTCATACGACTTTAGAATCATTATCTATAACTTAACTAACAACAGTATTTTATAAATCATGATGGTTTATTGGTAGAGTTTAGCCTACTGTTATTTAGGATTGTTACATCGTATTGGTTTAATTTTTAACTAATGTAGTAAATAGCCTATTACGGATTTCTGAAGCCCTTACATCTTCTAGCTTCATATTAAATATATTTTACAAATTTCTATAAAGTCTTTTTAATGCTGTAGTGTCCACATCTTTAAATTCATCCATGACTGCCTACATAACCTAATTAATTAATTATATTAAAAAATATATCTATTTCTTTTACTATTTAACCAGAAAAATTACTTCCTATATCTCTTCTACAGTATTACCCATGTATACCCATTCTTTTAGCTTCTTAACCATTAATTCCTATTTAAAAATAAATAATTTATATATATAATTAAAAAATTGGCATTTCATAATTTATAAATGCTTTTTAATAAAAATTATTTTAATTTATTTTATTAATTTTTAAAAACATAAATTATTTATTTATTAGTTTTTGAAGTTGAAAATAGATAGAAAGTAGTTACTCTATATACAGCTCTATCATATTTTCTTTAAAGGTATTAGAAAAGACTAACTATACCCTTTTCATAGTAGAATTTAAGATTTCCTTTCAAAGGACAACCAGTCAAATCAATTTAGTATATTTTTTTAAGTAATGCAAATTCTCGAGGGAGATATTTGACATAAGTGTTTGCAAGATTTAGAATCTATAAGTTTTTGCATTCTTTAATTTCGATAGGAATATATTAAAGAGGGTTGTTGTTTAAGTGAAGTTGCTCAAGTCTAGTGAAATTTTTAATTACAACAGGTAGTTCTTCTATATCATTAAAGCCTAAATCAAGGATTTTGAGGTTTGTCATATCTAAAACCTATTTATTATTGATTAAAATATTTGTTTGTGAATTAAAATCAGATATGCTGATTGATCATTCATTCATAATCAAATTAATTTACCTACTATGGAATTTTACTGAATTGATAATTTGGCAAATATAAAACTTAAAGCTTTTTGGCCTTAGCAAGTTGAATTTCAAGAGCTTTTTTCTAAGATAGGTCTTTATCTTCATCTAAAATACGCTTCATGGTGGAATTGCTTAAACTAAAAACTTTTAAAGTAAATTAATATTTTCTAATTAATGAGCTAAAATGATCAAATAATAATAATAATAATTAATTAATTAATAAAATCAAAAAAATTTTAGTCCACAAACCAAAAATCAGTATTTTTAATGAATAAGTTTCAACATCATAAACTAAAAAATATAAAGAGTTCCTAATTAATTTAAAATTTCTTACCTTTAATGACTATAAATCTATGAATTTATCAATAATATTATATATGAATATTATAAAAAACTTATACAGCTTCATTCAAATTTAATTAATCATCAAAATTCTATTTTTTAATGTCATTAATTAAAAAATAAATGTGGAATACTTTATCTAAACTTAAATTGAGCATTATATTTATATAAAATAAATTTAAGAATTAATTTTTAAAAATGATTGATTTGTTAACTAAAGCAAACTATGAATTTATATAATAATTAATAATTTATCTTTATGTTTGCTTGTTTGTATTTTGTTTTGTTTTGCTTTGTTTTGTTTTTTTGCTTTTAATTTAATTATTTGTTGCAATAGTTTGAAATAGCCATAAAACAAATAATACAATAAAAAATTAACTCCTTATTGTTTAATAACTCTAAGAATAATACAATAAATAAATCAATCATTAAATTTAGATAATTTAGTAGAGATGTCTGAAAAGGAATAGGATAGAGAAGATTAGGAGCTTTTAAATTAGTTCCAAGAAGATGAGGAAGAACTATAGCAAGAAGAGGAAGGCGAAGAAGAAGGTGTAGCCACCAACGATGCTTCCGACAGTAAAGAGAAAAATGGTACTTAATAGATTCTTAAAAATATTTCAAATAAATCATTTCACATCAACTTAATAAATTAAATTATCTCATTAATTTATGATTACGAGATTTATTATTGAACAAAGTCTTGAATAGCATGAATTTAGAGCAAAAACAAAATCATTATTAAATAAGAGTTTCAATGAAGATTAAGAATGATGAAATATTTGAAATAAAGATGGACAATTAATTGAGATTTACTAATTATTTTAATAATAAAAATAACAGATGAAATAATTCAACAAAAAGAAGAAGATAAAAGATCGATATTTGTTTAAAATGTAGAGTATAATACAACCAAGGAAGAATTAATGGATATCTTTAAGGACTGCGGAGAAATCGAAAAAATCACTATACCACAAACCAGATAAGGCTAAGGAAAGGGGTAACAATCAAACAAACAAATAAACAACAACAACAACAAAATTAAACTATAAAGTTTTTTGAAATGAAGAAATAAGATAAGAAAATAAAGAACTTATAGCTATTTCATTGATTTTAAAATTTATGATATCTTTTGTAATTTAGGTTTGCATATATCCAATTTGTAGATAAAAGTTCTGTTGAGCTAGCAAAAGCTTTAAGTGATTCTATTCATAGAGGTAGAGCAATCAAGGTAAATATATAATAAGATTTTATCTTTTACACAACAATTTCATTCATTCACTCACTCACTTATTAGCTCTGTTCTGCATATTTTTCTAAAATAAATTCACATGTTTGAATTTTAAAAAAAGGTTTTACCAAAGAGGACAAATCAACATGGCTTTAAAAAGAAAAGCTTTAAGCCAAACGGATTTAGTAAATCATTCCCTTACAGTAATTATAATTTGGTTTATAATTAAGTCTCTAAATAGAATTTTTTTAAATAGTGAAAAATAGCATAATGAAGGGATTCATGTTTGGAGGAGCTGGTTATTACAAAAAAAAATTCAATCCTCATTGAAAACTAAAATATTTTTGCAAATTAGCTATTATATTATTAATATAAAAAATATTATTATTTGTAATATAAAAATGGAGTAATTAAACTAAGGATTCATCACTCACTTCATCTATTCAAATTGAATAAAATTCTAAAACTAAATAAATAAATAAACAAACAAATAAATAAATAAATACCATGCTAAATAAATAAATAATATAAATATATAAATGATCAAATTAATTAGAAAGACCTCGATTTATTTTATAATTTATTTTAACATTGTTGTCAAACAAGCTATTTTATTTTAAAATATGTATTAATTAATTAATTCAGTTCATTTTAATGTATATACATGCTTAGCACAATCTACCAATACTATTTTTAGTAAGTTAAAGAGAAATATAAAATATTTCATCATATTTAAATTTAAATTAACAGATTAATAAATAAATAAATAAATAAATAAATAAACAAACAAAACAAATAAGATAATAATTGCTTGCTATTTTAATTAATTTCTACTTCTAATTTTATAAATTTATTTCTCCCATTAAAATATAGCAAACTTACACTTAAATTTTTTATAATTTCAATATATCAAAAATAAATTTGATTGTGTCTCGGACAATTTCATAATATAGTTAGTTAGTTAATTAGTTTTTATAATTTTATTTAATAAGAATCATTAATGATATTTTAATTAAATTACTTTTTCATTTTAAATTATATATAATTCTATAATAAAGAAATTTTTTATTTATTAATTTAAAAATCTGAAATTAAAATAGTTTCATAGAAAATTAAATATCTTGTATACTTTTCTCTATTTTAGCAAGAAATTATAAATAGATTTTATCAAATTTTTATTTTTTGAAATAGTTAGACAAAAAATAAATTTTAAATCTCAAAAAAATATATTTTGTAGTTTTTAAAATGATAAAATTAATTTATATATAGTATAAAAATATAAATTTTTTACTAACTACTTGCGAATATTTTTAGCAAGAAGTAGATTTAAAGAATAAATTAGTTATTTATTTATTTAGTTAGTTAATTATAAATAGGAAGTTCAATTTAATTATTTATTTAAATAATATAATTTTATTTCAAATTTTACTTACAATTTTTGTTAAAATTTGAGTAATTATTAAATTAATTATGAGAAGGGAATTTAACATTTAGGTTATTAAGCAATTTTTAATAATTTTGTGTTTTATTAAAATTTTTGTTGATTTTATTATTTCTATTAAACTAGTGTGAGAATCTAGATAAAAACTATTTTTTAGGAATTCTCTTTTATCAATTTTAAACTATTTCGTGGAAGTTTTACTATTTGCTCAATTATTCGTTTATGCTATTTTCGCTACTTTTAGAGAATTGCATGTTTATATTTTCAACTCCAAATATATAATTGTTACTTGAAATAATATTGCTAACATTCTCTTTGTTTGAGTCACAGTCTACTTATTCATATTGGATGAAAGTGGTTATACAATCTTCTTGCTTTTCTTCATTTGATTAGCAAGTTTTCAAAGCAGTACTATGAGTTGAAGAATTTAATTCATCGATTGTTTCAAGCTTAGGAGCTTTCAAGAAATTATCATTTAAATTTTCACTTTTTATGCCAGAATTTTTCATTCCTTAATTACTATTTGTGCTAACATTAGAAATAAAGCTAACTCCATTATAACTAGAAGATATTTAAGTAGAATTTTATGAATTAGATAAAGAATTCATCTGCAATGTTGGCTCTTATATCTTCTTTTAAGATTTTTCTGCAGCATCATTTTCTTCTATAAGCTTTTAATATTTTTTAAAGATATGCTCAGTTGTTAGTTTTAAAGAATAAATCATTTTTATTAATGAATCAGGATCTATTTTGTTAGTACAATTTCTTATTAAAAACAAAGAATCATCAAAATCCTTATCAATTAAATCTTTTTCTATGCATCCAAATATAGAAATGCCTACTTTATAAAATATCACTTCTCCATGAGCCAACATAAGATCCCAAATTTTCCTATATAAATTTTATATTAAATTAATTTAAAATCAAATTAATTATTTCATGTTAGTTATAATTTTGATCTGTTTTTGAATTCTTGAGAGAACTAAAATATTTTTTATCTTGCATGAAAATTAATCAATTTTAATTTGTTAAAATTTAATAAAATAATTTTTTTATCAAATTAAAATTAATTTTCATTTTTTTATTTTCTTTTAAATTTTGAATAGAATATTTTGCTTTTAAAAATAAATGTTAATTTAAAATCTTACGCAATAGTTGAGAAAGAGAAAGCCCTGCAATAGAGAGTATAGAACCATTCAATTAGGAATATATCAGATTATATGTGTAATTTTTAAAGATGCTTTAGACAGTTAGGGTATTTTTGACTTAAGAAGTACTCGAATGTTTTTACATATATTTTTATTTTATCTATTTTAAATTTATAAAGATTAGAAATAAACTCGCTTCCAGCTATCAGATTGCTAAAATATTTAAATGTGAGGTAAGAGTCTCCTAAATATAAAAAGATGATAGCTGCAGGATATGCCATACCTTAAACATATCCAATATCCGGTCTAAAATGCTATTTAATAAAAATGGTTGTTTTTTATAAATCTTTATTCAAAAATGTTGAATGATAAAATTTTCTATTACAATTTTTAAAAATTTTGTCTGAAATTTTGTCAAAACACTTTTTTTGAATTATTATCTAACAAAAAAATTAAATTATTACATTAAATTGTTCTAGAATTGCTTGTAATGTTTCGTTAATTTATGAGCCCTTGTCAAATAACGAAAAATTAGGATAAGTTCTGTGCATATCTTCTCCTTTAAAAATAAACTCAATTAGACAAATCAATTATTAACAAACAATAAATGTTAAATACTTATTAAATTTGCTGTTTTTTAGCATACTTAGTGAGCATTCATCTGATTCTCTAAATTTTTATAGAGTTTTTTATTAATTCTAAGCTTGTTTCCAATCAGCTAATTATTATATTACAAATAAATATAATTAATGAATTAATTATTTGTTTTTTTTTTAAATTTCATGAATATTAAAATTATAATTATCTATTATCTATTTCAATCGCAAAACTTCAATCAATTTTATTTGGGTGATTAAATTATTCTCTTATTCTTTGAGTGTTTTTTTTTTGGCAAATTTGAAATAAACATCAAAAATATTAAACTAATTTCGATTAAATAATTATAATAATTACATAGGGCCAGACACGCTTTCTTAGGCTTTATGGACAAGGATTTTTGCGAAGCAAGTTAATCATTTTTTGCTAGACCATTTCTGATTTAATTGAGGAATAAAGGAAATGAGTATCAATAATTGGAATCACGTCACTATTATATGTTTTAAGTAGAGATAAATTAATTGAACTCTCTTCGAGTGCTTTGAAAATCTGCTCCTTCTCTTTTTCATTTAGCAGTATTACTTATGGTTGATGCTATGTGATCAAAATCTTATTAATCTTGCTAACGCCTAGCATAAATTCTTGTTACTTTTCATAAGAAATTGATTTTTAAGGAGTGCTAGAGATTGCTTGTTAAATAATTGGAATTTCTAAACTTGTTTGATGGCTTTTAATAGGAGATGGAATAAAATCTATTTCAATAGAGCCATTTTTTTCGATAACTGGGAAAGAATCATATTCAGGATTAATCAAAACTCTTAAATTGCACTATTCTGGACTGAAAAAGTCAATGCTGTCATTTTTATCTAAGTATTTATTTATAAATTATTATATTAATGTGTCTGTTAAATATTTTGAAATTCTGAAGAATTAATTTCAGAAAAGTCAGAGAGTAATTGAAAAAAAATTTGTAGTATTTGTTTGCTTGTTTATTTATTTATTTATAAATTTATTAATTTAGTTACTCAACTCAGGAGGGGCGTTAAGATTTTTCAGAAATTCTTTGTTTTTTTATATTGCACTATTCTTGAATGAAATATCTATATCTCTTAACATTGACTTTTCATTCAAAATTATTTGAGAAGTTGAAAAGTCGATGCCATCGCTAATAATTAAGCTTTGGCTAGGCGAATTTGAAGTTTTATCGCTCTCACTGCTAAGCTCTTATATTTATCTTTTAAGTTGTATCATGTCTCTCTTTGTTTCCTAAATTTAAAAAATATACAAATGTTTTATTTGATTCATTTCTATAGCAATCTAAATTTGTAAATTTATTTCTATGGTCATTTATCATAATTTTTCAAACGATTGCTGCATCTCTCCTTGTTAAAAAGGAGACAATAAATCTATAAACCAGTTTAGCATTAATAAATAAAATGCTTTAAACTAATTTTTAAAAATCTTTTTACTTCGAAATCGCTGCTTTGTTGGGCTAACTATAGCTTAGCATCAATAAGCTACCTCTCTAAATCATTAATTTAGTTTTGATACTCCTTTTCTAGATCAGAATTCTTTTACTCTAATTCCTAAATTTATAAAAATTCTTATTAGTTTGCTAATAAATCCCTAAACTATGAGTTATTTTTTCAAGTCTTGCATGCAAGAAAAATTGCTTTTTTTTCTGCTAAAAATTAGCTCATAATCTGAAGTTTAAGTAAGTAATATTATATAAAATATTACCTAAGTTAACAGCATTAATTCTTTTGTTTTCTCTTACAACTCTCTAATTTAAATGTCTTTTTCACCAATCTGTTGAGCACATATTTTGTTTATCTCCTGAATATAATAAAGTAAAATTTTTTAGCTTAGATGTTGAACAAGCAAGCATTTTTTTTGAATTATTCTTCAAATATGTTTAAAGGATTTTAGTATTACTAAAAATGCGCAAAATTTAGAAATCAGATAAAAATTTCAAAAAGAAGAGTTTTACTTCAATTTTTTGACTACATTCTATTTTAGTCTCCTCCAATTTCTTGTTAAGACCATCTTGCTCAAGGTTCAAAGAGATGATAATTCTGGATTGCTCCATAATCATCATTTCACTGGACCTGACTGCTTCCTTTAATTGCTTGATTTAGTGGTCTGTATTCATTAATATTAATATCAAAATTTTAATTTAATGCAAAATATTTATACTTTAGTTAAAAAAATATTGTTTATAGAGTTTATAATTTCCCACTAGTGCACTAATTAATACTCATCATTTATTAAATGAATGAATGAATTAAATATGCAAATTGATTTTTAGTTATTACAAATTAAAGTCAAATAAATTAACCAATAAAAAGCTAAATGAAAACAACAAACATTGAAAACTCTAAATTTCAAACAAATTTATATGCAATTATTTAGTTAGTAATAACAGGAATATGTAAGTGTGTACAGTTTTCTAAAATCAAATCAAATCAAAATTTCATAAAGAGTTAATTAACAAATTTTTGATATCACTTAACTAGTTAGCTGATTGATTGATTGATTGTTTTTAATTTGAAATAAATTTTTTCTTCACCAAATTAAGTCAATATCTTTCAGGACTACAAAAATTAGTTTACTGTCTATCGCTTGTAAAAAATCATTGCCCCCTATAATAATTTAAACAAAGTATTAGGATTTTTTTTTAATAATCTTCTAAAAATAAACAAAAAAATTCTATTGAATTATTTATTTATTTATTTATTAGTCCTACTCTTTTACTGGTTTTCTTTTTCGTTCTAATCTCATTTAAATTATTTAGCTCCTCTCTTACTATGTTGTGGTTGGTGCCTTGATCTATTATTAAATTTATACATGCAAACTAATTAAATTTTCAGTCAAATTAAATTTTATTTGTGCCTGTGTGAAGTTATTTTCAAAAGATTAAGCTTTTTTAATAAAGTATTTACAATAAAGCTGCTACCTATTATTTAGTTTTTAAAAATAAATAAATGAAACTATTTAGTCTTTCTTTTTTATTTTTCCACACCTAAAAACCATTTTAATATTTTTTTAAGGATGAAATTGTTGCTAATTAGAAATACTTAGCAAAATGATCTAGTTGTTTAGGAATCTATCTATAGTTTTATTAAATTAATTCTATTCTCAAAAATAATTACTACCAGTAAATATGTATTGTTTCATATTTCAAGAGCTTAAAGTCTAACATGACATTTATGATTATTTATGTAAATTTAGATTCTTTTTTGGTATTAAATTATGAATTTTATTTAGTTTTATTTACTATTTTAAAATTTTAAATTAGACTTCTTTTGCAGAATTAGAAACAAACCATTCATATGATTAATTATCAAGGTTACTTAAATCAATATAACTAACTATCTTCTTTTTTTAATATTAAATAGAAAATAATAATTTATTTTTTACATACTCATTATATTGTATAAAACTCTTATCTTTTTCAAATCTATTATTTGTTTTTTTAACCACAAACTTTTGTTAAGCATGTCTAACTAAATTCATTCTTTTAATTATAAAGTTTCTAACTAAATATTACAAATATTTTATTCTCGATTTATAAAACACTAACACAATTTTTTTAAATCATAATAATAATTATTAATAAAGATATTAAAATAATATATATATGTTTATTGCAGTTTTATTTTATCATTCTTATTTTTGTTTGTTTGTTTGTTTTGTGATTTTTAAATTAATTTTTTTAATTTTAGATAAATTTATTATATTTTATTTAAATATTAAGTAGATTATTTTAAGCTTGAGTAAAATATATTAATTAAAATTATTATTTGAGTTTTATTATCATTCTTGATCATTAGTATTTTTTGTATTTTACTTTTTTAAAAGCATATGATATCTCTAAAAAAGCTTATATTAAAGCATTTATTTACAAAACACTTAATTTAATTTTATATAGGGTAAGTAGTTAGTTATTCTTTTATTTAAACAATTATTTATTAAATTGAAAAATTCGTTTTGAAGATTTATATTTAATATAAGTAAATCCTTCATCAGTATTTTATAATTAGTCTGGTATTAATATCAAATTGAACTCATTTATCTTTCAATTTATTAATTTATTATGTGGAAGAATAATAAAACATATTAAATTAGAGTAAAAATGAAAAATATTTATTCAAATTTAATTTTCATCAGCTTGTATTAAAAAAAATACATTATCTTTCTTATGTTATCTATTACTTTCTATCTATTTATTAATATCTAATTTGATGATAAAAGTATTCATTTAAAAATTTATACAAAAATAAATTTCCTTTTTTATGAATATGTTTTTATGAAAAAAGAGTAAATAGTTAAAGAAATTATGAAAAAATAAATAGAATAAAAATCAAAATTTGTATTAAAAGTTAGGAAATAAATTAATAATTAACTAACTAACTAACAAACTAAATTTTAAGATATTTTTATTATATTTAAAAATTATTTTCAATTTTAATCTCAATTTAAATCCCATAATAACATAATGACAGTCAACCTCAGTTCATATACATAAAGTTAGTTTCTATTAATAAAATGGTGCGAATTAATTTGATTTTAGTAAAAAAAAGCTCCGAGACCGGGAATTGAACCCGGGTCTCCTGCGTGACAGGCAGGAATACTAACCACTATACTATCTCGGATTACTTGATATCTTTGTTTAATAAATAGCAAGTTTTGTTTAAAAATTAAGTAAATAAAATAATCAAGTTAATTATTGATAAAAGAAATTTATTTTATTTATAATTTGAACTTTATTTTTTAAACAAATTAATTGATTGATTAATATCAATTCACTCTAACATTTTTAAACTTTTGAAAATTAAACAAAAATAAAAAGCTCCGAGACCGGGAATTGAACCCGGGTCTCCTGCGTGACAGGCAGGAATACTAACCACTATACTATCTCGGATTACTTGATAGTTTTGTTAAATAAATTTTAACTTTTGTTTAAGAATTAATTTTTATTTTGAATTTAAAATGAAATTTAAAAGTTAATTATTCTTACAAATTAAAAGTGAATAAATAATTGGCTATAAAAATTTTTTAATTTTTTTAAATTAAAAATATTTTTTATTATGAATAATAAATAAATAAACAAGTTCCTTTCTTTATTGAAGAACAACTGTCCAAATTATCTTGAATGAATGAGTAAAAATTATTTGATCAAGCTTTACATTATTTTTTTAGTAAAAGAAAATAAAAAAGCTCCGAGACCGGGAATTGAACCCGGGTCTCCTGCGTGACAGGCAGGAATACTAACCACTATACTATCTCGGATTATTTGATATTTTAATTAATTACTATTAGATTATTAATAGAAAATATATTTTTTCTTAAATTTAACTCGTTTTACATATTAATTATATTATCTTTTTTAAAATTAATTAAAAAATAAAATATAATTTTAACAAAATATATTTAAATCATATTTCAAAAAAAAAAGAATTAAAAATTATACATAGCAAATAAATGTTAAAGTTAAAATTTTAAAACAGTCATTTATTTATTTATTTTATACCACTCAATATTGAGGGAAAAAACAAAATAAAATTAAAAATGAATATTTAAAAAATAAATGATCTTTTATCAAACTTATACTTAAAAACATCAAAATTTAACCAAATATATATATACTGTAAATGTTCATTAATTAAGGCATTGCCTAAGTATATTTTTGCCCAAAAAAAAGTGCCACTAATTTTTAATGAAAAACTTTTTTTGATAAAAATTATTTAAATGAAAAACAATTTACAAATAATAAATTCCATCAGTCAATCTTACTTAGGAAATTAACCTCTAATTAATTTTGAAAATTAAGAAAACCACTTTAGTTAGTTAGCTTAGGTATATCTTATTTAAATTAAAAAATACCTAAGCTATAAGTTAATTTATATTATTTAAACACTAATTTCTTTTTTTATATATTCTATTTCCAGTTATTTGTGTAAAATATTAATTAGCTTTAATAAAATTGAAGGTTATCAGATAAAAAAAATTTTTTTTATTTAGTAATTTTCATTTCACATAATTATCACATACATACATACTTAAAGTAATTAAATAAAAACTCCTATTTAATTAATTAAATATTAGTATTTGTTAAGTTAGTAAAAAAATGTATCATTTTTTTTTCTTTAATATTTAAGAAGGTTCAGTGTTTTTTAGAAACCTTTAAAGAATACCAAATAATTATCTAAAAGAATTTATCAAATACTGAATGAAATAATCATTAGAAAAAAACTAAATATTAGGCCATTCCCTGATAAGTATAATTATATTATTTTATAGCATCTATCTTATTACTAAATCTGATCAGAAAAAAAATATTAAAATTAAAATCTTTTTTAATTTACTTATTTAATTTGTTATTAAGAGCTGATCAGAAAATTTAATTTTTTAGAAACCTTTAACGGATAACAAATAATAATTCGAAAAAAACTAAATATTAGGCCATTCTCTGATTATTATAATTAGATGATTTTATCACATCTATCTTATTACTAAATCTGATCAGAAAAAAAATATTAAAATTAAAATCTTTTTTGATTTACTTATTTAAATTGTTTAAAATTAAGAGCTGTTCAGATAATTTTGAGATTATTTATTAAATTATGAAGGAAAATTTACTTTTAAATGATAGAATTAATAACTTCTTAAAAATAAAATAAAAAAAATTTAATTAATAAAATTAATTTCATTAGTCTTTCTTTTTAGACATACCAAAAAGCAGGAAATAATAATGAAGGTATTAACATTTCTGATAACTCTTTTGTCAAATATAGTCTTGCTAATATCTGAATATTAACTAATTATAATTATGTAGATTGATTAAATATAATCTTTTTTCGGCGTAATAATCTTTTTATTTACAATTGTGTTTTTAGTTGTGTTATCAATATTTGCTATTATAAATATTGACACTTAAGGCTTACGAATTTATATCTTTTTAGATTTCTTGAATATTTCGTTTCTCTACGGTTGTCTTTTAGATTTAAATGATTCAATAAAAAAATTTTTTAGATATAAGATCTGCATCTACATTTATTACATGTGCTATTAGTTACTATTCTTTTTCTGGTTTGAAGATTTACTTTATAATGCTAAACATATTGTATCTTTGAGAAAAGTATTTACAATTAACTTCATACTTTTATCTGCTCTAATATGCTGTCTACTGTTTATTATAAATTATAAACCATGTCAAAATTAAAACTTGAAGAATTTCTTTTAAATCTTTTTAACCTACATGCCTTATTATCTAAGCTTAGCTACTTTTACTCAGTATGTAGATTTTTTTGGGGTCAATTTAGCATTCTATAACTTAATTATTGGAATTTTTATTTCTTTTATAGCTATTGCCAAGCACTACTAAAACTATAACACGCCAATCCTGTTTTTAAGTGGTTTCTTTTTAATATATCTAAAATAACCTCAATAATTGAAATAATATTATTAAGTTATTTCATATATAACATAGATAATTAGATTATTAATTATCTTAGTATATTGCAGGAAAGATTTGTTTAAATTTTCTGAAAGTTTTAATTATTAGCAAATTCTGCTATATTTTACACTTATCTTGGGTGTTTTACAATGTATATTGCAACTTAAAGATATTTTAGTATATTTATTTCCTAAAAAAGTTAAAATAAATACTTATGACGACCTTTTGGTTGCAAATATCTCACTTTAGAAAACATTTTGCTGGTAAAAAGTAATCTATATTGATTTCTAAATGACTAAATCATAAAGTTCTGATTAATTGTATTCCCCACTACTGAAAAATTAGGAATAAAATAATTCTGAATAATTAAATTCGACATTACTGAAAAATTAAGAATAAAATAATGTATTAAAATTTATAGATTTGGTATATTAAATAAATAAGTCATAAAAAAGAATAGAACTTTTAAATTTTAATCCAGTTTTATTCTTAAAGTATGCAGAAGAAATATTGGTTAATTGTATGGATGTTTTTGATGAATTGTAAAATCTAATTATAAAGTCATTAAGTAAGGAACAGCTCATAGAGATATTTTAATTGAGAAATGAAAGATTTTTATTGTCAGACTAAATCAATAGATAAATACTTAATGTAATAAAATAAAGCAAAAATATAATTAATTTTTAACAATAAATAGCTTTAACAGAAGTGTAATCTATTGAATAATCATTAATTTTATTTCATAAATCAATTTAACATTTAATGTAATATTAGCCTGCTTATATTCTTTATGATTTATACTAAGAATTATGAATATTTTATTTAATTGTAAAAATGATTAGCTATTATATAATACATTTATTTTTTATCTGTGTTCTCAAAAATTAATATAAATTAAAAATTTTTCACTCATTCATTATATACTATCTATCTATCTATCTATCTATCTATCTATCTATCTATCTATCTATCTATCTATCTTCTTATAGCTTTTAAAAAATAAAAATTTTTAAACAAAATAAATCTATTTAAAAAAAATAAATTATAATATTTTAAATTCATTAATAGAATTTAGATTATAAAAGAGTGTTTGTTTGTTTTATAAAAAACTCCTCATTTAATTAATCAAATTTATTATAAATTCCTCCACTTATATATTTATCTAATTGATAATAGAAATCTTGAGGCTTTGATAAGAAACATAAATATATATTCATATACAAAATACTTTATACTTTATATATAATTGATTTCATTTTGAACCGACCATTGAAAATAATAGAAATATAAAATAATAGATTTTATTAGAAAAATGGAATAATTAGAATATAGAATATTAAAAACAATTAGAATATAGAATATTAAAAACAATTAGAATATAGAATATTAAAAACAATTAGAATTTAGAATATTAAAAATAATTAGAATATTATACCAGAAAAAATATGATTCTTAAGTCACTGGTTATTTAATATGCTTGTTTAAAACTATGAGTTGATCAGCGAAATTTGAGATATAAATTTAATAAATTACAAAGGAATACATACATACTTGATTAATTTTAAACGATTGAACTAAAAATTATATAAAAATCAAATAAAAGATATTTAATTAATTAAAAGAGCAGGAAGAAAATAATGAAATTATTAATATTTTTGATAACTCTTTTATCAAATATAGTCTTGATAACATCTGAATATTTAATAATTGTTTAGATGGACCTCTTTTAAGAATTAAGCCTTTATAGCTCCTACTTTACAGTTGCATTTACAATTGTGTTGTACTTATAGATTCTTAGATTTACTAACACTAAAAGCCTAAAAATGTATGCCTTTTTAGATTTCTTGAATATTTCTTTTCTCTATAGTTGTTTTTTAGATTTAAATGATTCAATTAAATAACTGTTTAGATACAAGATCTACATCTACATGTATCACATGTGTTATTAGTTAATATTCTTTTTCTGGTTTGGAGAATTACTTTATAATCCTAATCAAATAGTATCTTTGCGATAAGTATTTACAATTAATTTCATGCTTCTAACTGTTCTGGTATGCTCACTACTATTTATTACAAATTATAATTCACCTCAAGATTAAAACTTGTATATTTTCTTTTAAATCTCTTTAACCTTTTTGCCATATTATCTAAGCTTAGTTACTTTTACTCAGTATGAAGATTTTTTTGGGGTCAATTTAACATTCTATAACTTAATTATTGGAATTTTCATTTCTTTTAAAGTTATTGCTGGACACAAGTAATTAAAAAAAAAGCTAATCATGTTTTTCAGTGGTTTTTTTTTAATAAATCTTCAAAAACCACAAAAATTGAAAATATAATTTTTTTTAATTTCATACATAACCTAAATGATTAGATTATTAATTATCTTAGTATATTGCAGTAAAGATTTGTTTACATTTTCAGAAAGTTAAACTTATTAACAATTACTACTATATTTGACACTTACCTTGAGTCTTTTACAATGTATTTCGCAACTTAAAGAATTTTTATGGTTATTACTTCTAATCTAAATAAAAAATTAGTTAGATAAAATTTTTGATAAAACAAATAAATTTATAGAACTTTTTTCTGGTTGAAAGTAATCTTAATCTATATCTAAATGACTTAATCACAAAGTTCTGATGAATTGTATCCAACCCCTATTACTGATAAATTAGTTAGGAATAATAAACTAATTCTAAATAAATCTATCTTCTCATTACTGATAAATTAAGAATAAAATAATTCTAAATAATTACTTACCCTATTACAGATAAATTAAGAATAAGATAATGTATTAAAATTTATAGATTTTGTATATTAAATAAATAAATAAATAAATAAATCATAAAAAAGAATAGAGTTTTTAAATTTTAGCCTAGTTTTATTCTTAAAGTATGCAGAAGAAATATTGGTTAACTGTATGGATGCTTTTCCTAAATGTTTAAGTTTAATTATAGAGTCACTAAGTAAGGATTATCTTTAAGAACTATTGAAATTGAGAAAAGAGAAATTTTTATTATTATATAAAATCAATAGATAAATATATAATGTAATAATATATTTAAATTTTCAGAATAAATAGCTTTAATAAAAATTTAATCTATTAAATAATGATTCATTTTATTTAAAAAATCAAGTTAGCATTTAATGTAGTATGTATTAGCTTAAATATATTCTTTGCGAATTCTACTCAGAATTATGATTATTTTATTTAATCGTTTATTAGTTTTGTCAAAAATTAAAATTAAAAAATTTATTCATTCTATCCTTTCAATCCTCATTAATTAAGGACTATTAAGACTGACACAAATTTTCTTAATTAATAATTTAATCATTAATAGATAAATAAAATTTTATAAAAATCTTTCAAAGGAAATACAATAAATAAATATAAGAGTACTTTTAAAATCAATTTATAAATGAAAAGAAATATTGAATGATTTTTAATGAGTGATGGATGCAAAGATAAATTTTTATCTTACCATACTTTTTATTAACTATTTTTAATTTTATTTAATTTATTATAAATTAAATGATTTTTTTAATTTTTATTTATTTACTATTTTTTAAGAAAATCTCATAAAAAAAAATTGCAAAACCATATTTGATTATTTAGAAAGTTTTTGAGTTCTAATGGCAATCAATAATGCATAAATTTTAGTGAAATTTTATATTGTTATCAGGCAGAGATAAACTATATTAAATAATAATTAGACATAAAAATATCTAAATAGATATTCTAATCATAATTTACTTCTTGAAACATTAAAATAGTTAGTTTTTTAGTAATAATTAATTTCTAGAATAATTATTCAACAAATATTGAAAAAAGAAAGAAAGTGATTTATATAAACTTCTAAAGTAATACATAAATAAAAAAATTAGATTTGAATTTATTTTAATTGATTATTAATTGATGTAAAAATAAAAAATTATCACAATTTTATTTTCAAAACATTCAAATTTTCATTAAAAATATGTCTTTAAACTGTTAAATTTTTAAAGTTGAAATACATAAAATGATTGAAAATATTTAAAATAGGATTATATCATAGCCTTAGAATTATATTTGTAATTAATATTACAATAAAATAAATATTAAGTTAGCCCCAAAAATAAATTTTACTATCTTTAAAATTAATTAATTTATTAAGTAATTTTTTTTAATTTGATTTTAATTCTATCATTTTAAGTAATAAGCAAAAGTAGGTAAATTACTTGTATAACTATCATTATCATGCTATCTAATACTTTAAAAGGTAAATATTTTCTTATGACTGTCCTTATTTATCTCTTTAATGCAAGTTTGATTTTTGAAGATATTTTTTAGTATTAAATTAATTTAAAGAGAGAAAAACAAAATAAAATGCAAAAAAACTTTGATTTTAAGATAAAAAAAACTATTAAATATTTATTTATGCAATTTCATCTTTCACGAAATAAAAATAGATGAAAAAGAAATTATTATAAATTTTTCAAATATACCTCACTCAAAATTATTATCATAGATAGATCATTAATTACTCGAAAAAAATATCTAAATAAATTCAAAGGGAAATTGATAAATAATGTATGATTCTAATTAAAATAAAATTGATATAGGAAGATTTAAACTAATCCATAAAAACAAACTAATTAAGATAAAATATTTGTATGAAATTAGATTAACTGAAGATTAATTATTGACAAATGAAAAAAATAAGTAACACAAGTAATTAATTGAATTAAAACAAATAATTATAAACTAAATAAAATAAGCTTCTTTATCGATCGTACCACTCTAGCTCATTTTTAAAAAAATATAAAATTCTCAATTATAAAACTAAATTATTAGTTCATTAATAAAAATTAATATATGGTATATTTCAAATTGATTACATATAGCTAAACAAAGGTATAAGACTTTAAATTATAATTTATTTAATGAGAAACTAAATAAATGTAATTGATGTTCTGTTTAAAAGTAAACTGTAAAAGATGTTTGAATATAGGAACATTGATTGATCGATGGATTTATTAATTGATGATTTATGTCTTAATAAATTTAATATGTTCAGTTTTTGGGTGGTTTTTTTATTTCTAAAAATAATACTATTACACTAACTAATTAATTAATTTTAATAATCAGATAAAAGAAACAAAATTTTAATGTTACAGATACTAAAGTAATAAATTAAAAACTTACACAAATGAATAGTAACATCAATTATTAACATATAATCAATAACATATATAACATTATTAACTATTTTTAGTGTTACTAATTTAAATTTATATTTTTAAACTAAAGATCGATCAAAAATTAATAAGTTAGTCTAAATATTTTTTATCTATGATGCAGTTTTTCAAAAATAGAACTTTCTAATATACTTTTTACTTATCAATTACTTTTGATTTGTTTAACCATTAAGTGCTTTGGTTCTCCAAAAAATCAAGCAGTAAAAATTTATAAATTTTATGAGATATTAAGTACTTTACAACAGAATAGTTAAATGAATTATGTTTCATATATCTCATAAGTTGTTTTTTATAATTTTATAGTTGAATACTTGATAAATTCAGCACGGATTTGCATTCTTTCATTTCTTTAAAGTGCTTCAAAAAAGCATTTATTATATTTTTAAGACTATTTTAAGTATCATTAAAATTTTTTTCTTCTTTTTTGTAATTTTATGTTTTAGAAATATCATTTAACATTTTTTGAGAATTTTAATCATTTTTACCTACTTTCATTGAAAAAGATGAAATTTCATTATTTTTTTCAAATATTTTTTCGATTTAACTATCATCTAAGGATTTATAATTCTAATTATTATTTTAGTTTAATATATTTTTTTCATTTTTAATATTAATTTCTTCATGCTTAGATTAAACATTTCTTATTTACTCGCCATACAGATGATCACAATGATTTATTTGCTCCTAATTATTTATAAATATTTCTTATGAATCATAAAGAGAAATGTCTTTATTATTTTAATATTCTTAGCTACACATTAGATTCTAACTTAATGATAAATCTTAAATTTAGTTTTTTTTATTTAAAGGCTATTTGATATTTTCATTATTTTATTAAGAGATGTCAAAATTCAAAAAGTACTCTGGCTCATATATAATTCTAGTGCTATTCACGATCTATTAATTTAATAGTTAGATTTCATTTTTAAAATTTTGGAAATTTTAGTCAATTGTCATTTTAGGCTAATGATATTAATCGTTATCAAATTAATTATGGAAACTTTTTGGAGGATTCATTTAAGAAATCTACTCTTCCATTTAAAACTCTTTGTAATAGATCATTTGTTTTATATTTTTTTATTGCTGATTTTAGTTAAAGATTTGATTAACAAAATGAGCTTGTTTTCCCTTTTCTTAATTGTATTTTTATAATTTTTCTGCTTAAAATATATATAATATTTCAAAAATCATCAGATTTCAAAATCTTAATATTTAAAAAATTATATATATATATTATATAAAACAAACCAAAAAAAGTTATAAATTTAAGAAATTATCTTTTTATTTATAAAGTAATTTAATATCTATCTATCAACTATTCAATACCAAAACAATATAATATTAATACTAAATAATAATTAAGATTTGAACTAAAAATCTATTTAAATTTACACCCAAAAGCAATTAAAAAAATAATTTTATAAAATCGTGATTCAATGAAGATTCATAACTTGAAAGAATTAATATTTATTTAATCTATTACAAAAAATTATTTTGTTAGGTTTAGTTTTTAAATCAGCATATATTTTTTTCATCAGTGAAATCAATAGTAAGCTGTTAACAATATAAATATAATTTGAAAAACCTATTAAAAAAATTTATGTTATTGAAATATTTTACTAAAATACACATTTAAAGTGAAATATTATGTGCGACTTAAAAATAAATGAAGAATTATTAAATAATTCCTTCATTCTCCATCATAAATTCAATCATTAATTGTAAATTTTAATAAAAATAATAAATTGAATTAAATTAATTAAAAGAAAAATTTAGAATTTTAAATTTATTCTTTCATAAATTATATGATATAAATATTTTATTAATTAATTCAATCTTATTATGATTTTTTAAGCAATTATATTCATTTTTTGTAGATTTTTGATCAATTTTACAAACAAAATACGATTTTTTTACATTCTTTCTAATCGTTAATGAAATACATTTAATATTAATTTTACTGTTAAAAATAAACTAGATAAGCTAACTATTTATAAAAATGACTCTATCTATATATTTCCTATTTACATAAAAATAGGTATTTTTGTTCATAAATTTTATCTTAAAATATTTTTTAGATTATTTAGTTTGTTTAAAATAGATATTATTTCAGTATTAAGTTAATAAATTTAATTTATAAAAATAATTTCGCCTTTTCTTTTTAGTAATGTTTATGACTGTAAGTAGAAAAACACACTTTTTTGGAAGTGAAAAAGGTAAGTAAAATATTAATAATAATTAGACTAATAAAAGTAATGTAATAATTAAAATCTAAGTGCAAAATTAATTAATTTACATATTTTGAAAATTAATGAAGTGACGACAAAAAGTGCGTGTGTGTTACTTTGATTAAACAATTTTAGTGTCAAAAAATAATAAATTTATATAAAACACATAACTTTTCTTAAATAAAAGTGAATGATTCTTCATGTATAAATTGATATTTTTTTTTTTTTTTAATTAATCAAACAATTATTTAATTTTTAATTATTTTGTTTATAATAAAATTATCAATAATTGGTTAACTCTTCTAAATTCTTTGGATCAATGATGCAATTTTTTAAGAATAAAATTTTTTCTTTCACATCTTGTTTATCTATCACTTTTGATTTACTTAGCCACTCATAGCTATCATTCGACAAAAAATCCAAAAATAGCTATTTCAAAATTTTATGGGTAATTAAATATTTTACTACAGAGTAGTTAAAAGAGTGCTATTTCATATATCTCACAAGTTGCTTTTTTAGATTTTAGATCTACTATCTTGATAATTATATCTCTATTTTACAATCCTTCAATTATTTAAAATGCTTGAAAAAAGCACAAACAATATTTTTAAGGCTATTTTAGGTTTATTTACTTTTGCTCTCTGAAATTTGATATATGCAAGATGATTTATTTTCTTTAGCTGCTTCGAGTTAAAATCTATTATTTTTGCTGTCTAAGTTTTAAATAGCTGAACTGTAATCTGCTTCAGTCTACTCAAAGATTGATTCTAAAACATTTTATTTGTAGTTTTTAATTTTTTGTTCACATTCAAAACCATTTTAAATTGGTTAAAATAAAGTATTTTTAGCATTTTCACATTCATATTCATTTAAATCACTCTCATTTTTTGAGGAGATATGCATATTTTAATCATTCTAAAATTCTTTTAAATCTTTCTAACAATCAAATTGATGATTTGAGTCTTTATAATCCATATTATTTGGGTAAAAATCTAACTGATTGATATGATAATAGCTACTTAAATAAGAGTATTAATTCGTTTGATTGTTTGAATTGTCTTCATTTAAATTTTATATATTTAAAAAGTATTCAGGTTCATATATGATTTAACTATGATAATCATTAGCATAGCATTTATAATATTGATTGATAGATTATTCTTTGTTTACTAAGTATTTTTATTGATCAATTTCACTATCCAAAATATTAGCTTGATCACAGCAAGTGATACATGGCTATGGAATGTCGTGTGGTAGTCTAAATTAATTATTATTATGTGTTATCATACGATTAATTTAGGGAAAATCCTAATTCATTAACTATATTTGCTATAAAAAAATTTTAGTTATTAATACCTTTTTGCTTTGTTTTTTAAAGTTTTTAAGAAATTAGATAATATCAATAAAAAAATGAAGATCAATATTTAAAATTAACTTATTTAATATTAAGCATTTTTCTCACTACATACATACATTACTATAATAAATTTAAGACTCAACAATCGTTTATTATTAATTCAAAATAAATGTTAAAAAGTACCCTTCAATAAATTGAATACTCAAATAAAAATTTATTTATGTAAGTATATTCTATGAAATTCCATAACAACAAAAAGAAAGAAAAGAGTTAAATTTTCTTCAATTAATTATTTTTAGATAAATGATTGATTGATTGTCTTTCCATCTCTAATTTATTTTTTTATCATTTCTTTATTCGTTATTTGACTATTTGTGAGAGAAAAAAAAGAAATTAGTTAATATTAAAAAACAATTTCTTATTTTTAATGAATACATTTTAAAGTAACAAAATTAAATAATCAAATATATTCTTTGCGTTTTATTACTATATTATTAAAATAAAATTTTTAAGAAGAAATGAAATAAAAAATAACTTAATTTTTTCATAAACCATCTTATTTCTTAAATAAAACAATTTAAATAAAATTAAATATTTTCTTATAGAGAAATGCAAAAATAAAATTAAGATATGAACAATCAATTAAAAGTTACATCCTAAGCCAACTAATAAAATAAGTTTGTAAAATATTTAATTAAGCATTCATAACTTGAAATAATTATATTTTATTAATCCTACAATAGTTTTTTTTGTAATATTTTGTTTATTTTTCAACATATATTTTTGAAATCGTGAGTAAGTAAGTTGCCAACAATATAAATAAATATAAATTGAAAAATCTATCCAAAAAATTCACAATGAAATTCTTTACTAAAAATGCGTATTTTACGCAATTTATTTTGTGCGATTTTTAAAAATAAATGAAGGATTATTAAATAATATTTCTCTCAAAGTCTTTAAATTATAAATTTAATAATTCATTCTAAATTTTAATAAAATAATAACTTGTTTTAAATATTCATAGAAGAAAATTATATATTTAAATTAATTTTCTCAAATTATGATTTTAATATTATATAAATAAATACAATATTATTATTATTTGATAAACAAACAATACCATTCTTTGTAGATTTTTTATAAATTTTACAAAATAAATATGAATATTTTGTTATCCTCAAAATCTTACTCAAAAATATTTAATATAGATAAATTTTATTTTTAAAATTAATCTATCTGCATACATAAATGAGTCAATTAATTTTGTAATTCATGACTTTTTATATGTCTTATTTACATAAAAAATAATTTAGTTTGTTAAAATAAAAATTATTTCAGTATTATACATTTAATTTACAATTAAACCGTTACAATTTATTTTATTTATTAATATATTTTTGGTTGTATTTATGACTTTATGAAAGCCCACTTTTTTGGTAGCGATAAAGGTAAGTAAAATAAATATTGAATAATAATTCAATTAATAAAATTAATGTCATAAATATTTAAAAAAGTATTTAATAAATATACTTTGAAAGTTAATAGAGTTATGTTAATTGCTTTTGAAAAGGATGTTTCCTTAAAAAGGAAAAAAAAATGTGTGACAAATGCTCTAATTAATAACTTTTAATGTCAAAGAATAGATAAACAAACAAACAAACAATAAGTTTATAAAAAACACATTAATTTATTTAAATAAAAGTGATTAATTCTTGATACATAAATAAAAATTCTTTTATATTAATCAATTAACTATTTAACTTTTATTTTTTATTTTTTTAATTAACGAAAAATTTCAATTATCAATAATTGATTAACTCTTCTAAATGCTTTTGATCAATGATGCAGTTTTTTAAGAATAAAATTTTTTCTTAAACATTTTGTTTATCCATCACTTTTGATTTACTTAACCACTCATAGCTATCATTCAACAAAAAATCCATCAGCAACAATTTATAAATTTTATGGGTAATTAAATATTTTACTACAGAATAGTTAAACGAGTGTTATTTCATATATTTTACAAGCTGTTTCTTTAAATTTGAGAACTAATATCTTGATAATTCCATCCCCATTTTAAAATCCTTCAATTGCTTAAAGTGCTTCAAAAAAGCATATACAATGTTTTTAAGGCTATTTTAGGTTTATTTACTTCTGTTTTCTTAATTTTGATATACGCAAGCTGATTAATTTTCTTCAGCTGTCTCTAATTAAAACCTATTATTATTGCTGTCTGATTTTTAAATAGTAGAACTGTAATCTGCTTCAGTCTGTTCAAAACTTAATTCTAAACCATTATATTTGTAATATTAAATTCTTTTTTCACCTTCAAAACCATTTTAAAATGTCTACTAAATGGGTTTAGCATGTTTACTTTCATCATCTTATTAATTACTTTGGTTTTTTGCACATAAATGCATATTTTTATTATTCAAAAATTCTTTTTAGTCATTAAAACAATTTTGTTATTGGCTCGATTCATCTTAATTCATATTATTTGAGTTAAAATCTAAGGGATTGCTACGATTATAGTCTATTAAATTTGAGTGTTAATTGATTTGATTGCTTGAATTGTCTTCATTTGGGATTTAAGTATTTAAAAAGTACTCAGGTTCATATATGATTTAACTATGGTAATCATAAGAATTGCATTTATAATATTGATTGATGGATTATTCTTCGTTTGCTATGTGTTTTTTTTACTCAATTTAACTATCTAAAGTATGAATTTGATCACAGCAAGCGATAAATGGCTAAGAAATGCTGTGTAATAGTCTAAATTAATTGTTATTATATACTATCATATGATTAATTTAGAAAAAATTCTATTTTAAATACTATATTTACTTGAAAAAACTTTAGTTTTATATACCTTTTTGCTTTTTTTTATAACAAATTCAGTAATTAGATAATATAATTTAGATTGGTTTTCAATAAAAAAATCAATATTTAAAATATACTTATTTAAAACTAAACATATAAAACATTACATCCATTAATGTAATTTTTTTAACATCAACAATCATCCATCATTAATTAAATAAAATATGTAAAAAAATATTCTCTCTTCAATGAATAGATCGATCAATTATCAAATATATATTTATGCACTCATTTTTTATTAAATACTATAGCAACAAAAAGAAAGAAAAGAGTTAAATTTTCTTTAATTACTCCTTTCTCAATAAAAGATCATCTACTAATCTCTGATTTATTAGATTATCATTTTTTATATGTTATTTGATTCTTAATGAAAATATAAATGAAAGCAACCAACACAAAATACAATTTCTTATTTGAGTATATTTATTTTAATGCAACAAAATAAAATAATCAAATTTACTTTATGCCATTTATTATTTTATAATTAATTTAAAATTGCCAAGAAATGAAATAAAAATATAAAAAATTATTTTATTTTTTCATAAAAAGTTTATCCTAGAGTTTAAAATAAAATTAAAACATTTTCTTATTTACATAATATTAAAAATTATTTTAAATTTAACATAATATATTTATATTCTGGTTAGTTAAGGACTAATTCAATTTAAATTTTCAATCAAATTTTAGGATTAATAAACATCTTTATCGTACTATTTTCCAGAAAAGACAATAAAAAATTTTCCTTGAAAAGTATCGAGATAATTTAAAAATAAACGCAAACTACGGTATATATCTCTATCTTAAAAAAATAATAAAATTTTTAATTTTAATTATTTAACTTTTCATTTACCATCACTACAACTAACTATACTATTTCTTTAGCAATTTATTTTCAAACAAAATATGATTTTCTAAATTCAAATTTAGTATTCTCTTTTTGGACATTTCAAACAGGATTATTACTTTTTTTAATATATAATTTAAAATGTTAAATTTTGTTACGCCTTAATTATTAAATCTTATATTTCATGATTGTAAAATTGTTTGAATTCATTTATAACAAGTAATAAAGAAACAATTTCAATATTAGACTATACTTTACACAATTTTTTAATGTGTCACATAAATTTAAATGAATAAAATTAATCTAAATAAAATTTTTTAATATATTTAAGAATTAATGATTTCTATCTTCTTTGTACATATTATTAATGATCTAAATCATTTTCATTATATTCTTTATTTTATTCATATTATTGAGGCAAATAATTTATTTCTTATGGTTTCTTAAAATAAATAGAATATACAAAGAAATCTTTAATTTAAATGAAATACTTCAAATTAATAATTTTTATTTTTCTATGATAGTTAAGTTTATATCAAACTTTTAACAAATTTTATTGAATTTATCTAAAATTATTAATAATATACAATTTAAATATAAAATATATCAGCTAAAAAATAATTAATCTATTTACACATATACTTTTTGTATAAAGCGAGCATTATATTTCAAACTTTTAATCAAATATTTTACTCAATTTAAAAATACTAAATCTTATTTTTTTAAAATATTTAAGGTAGGCTCTTCTACCATGTCCTAATATGGGAGTAGAGTTAAAAATCCAATTTAAGACAGATAAGGCAGTTAATTAGAGATAAAGAGGCAGATTAAATTACAAAAAAATATTTATATAATTTATTATTAAAAATAAACAATTTAGATATTGATTTATTTGCCATTTTTTTTACATACATTGTGAGCTCTATTAAATGAGTTACTCTTTTTTTAACTTAATCGAAATAGTGAACAATAACAAATAATTTTGTATTTTAAAATATATATATAAATAAATAATGTTATAATGTGAAATGTTTGATTAAAATTTTATACTTTTTTATCGAGCTATGATAAAATAAATTTAAATAATGTTATCAAATTTATTCATTTTAAGCAATTTATAAAAATTGAAAGTAAATAAAAACTATTTCGTTTAATAAATAGTTATATGTTATTATTTATTTAAATATTTTTTTATTCTAATGTCAGTAATAATTTAAATATGTATTAATTCAATAAATTTAACTTAATATAAAAATAAATGATTTTAAATGATTTTGTATTTTTAGAATACATAAATGTGTACTAAAATAGATCAAAAAAAATATTCAATACATATTCAAAAAAATAAATTGATAGAAAATAAAATAGATCTATTGATGTATGTATGTATGTATGTATGTATGCATGTAAATCGAAAATAATTTATATCACAAATATAGTTCTGAAGTTTGATTGATCAAATTGCTAGATTACAAAATGGATAGTTATAAAATTTTAGATAGATTTGCAAAAAAATTAACAGCAAATTAAATCAATCAAAATTCAGATAATTAATACAAATAATTAATCTGTTAACAAATTCAAAACTAATTAAATAGAATCTATATTGATTTATTTGTTTTTAAAAAAATCTATTTAAAGCGACTTAAAATGTCAAACTACAATAGTTAGGAAGGTGATAGATTTAGGAAGACAGTTTTTTGTTCAAATAATCCGAATAAAGAGCTCAATCCTCCGAGACATATTACAAAGCGTCCGATGGATAAAATACTCCAGCAATTAAATTAAAATGATATTTCTTTATCTAAGTCTAGCATATAAAAACCAACTATTATGAACGTTAATCAGTAAACTTATTGCTACAACAAGGAAATTAAGTAGCCTGTTAATGTAGAAATTAACTCCAAGAAGATAGTTGGAAAGAAGCTTTACGAAGATAAATTAAAAGAAAATATTGGTAAAAATATCATAGTAAGTCCTCCTATAAATACAGAATAATTAAATGTGCGTAAAGCATCAGGACAATATTATTAGGGTAAAAACACTTAAAGTTAAAATGTTCAATAACATTATCCAAATGCTCCAAGATAGCTTGAATGCAAAAAGAAGTAGTTTGAAAGCAAAAAGCTAAACAAAGAGACCATTACAACTGAATTAACAGATTAAATTAATCATCATGATAAATATAGATCTCAATCAATATCACAAAGAAGATAGATTCCTTAAAAGACAACTATTTAAGATTGTTTTAACGATTTCCCTAACTAAAATAAGGTGTAAAGTCAAAGAAACTCATCCTAACAACCCCAATACAACTCAACTACAACAACAAGAGGCTAACGTTCTACTACCACTCATGATTCTTTTAGTGCTGGTGTTTAATATAACAAACCTTTTGTACCTTCAAATTAATAAAATCTAGTAAGAAAGACAAATGCATACTACAAATATGGAACATCAACAACTACTCATTCTTCGTTCTACCTTTGAAGACAGACTTGTTTGCAATAAAAATAATAAATAAACTTAAAATATAAATTAATTATATAAAAAATTAACCAATTAATTAAAATCAATGCATTTTCTATTCTATTTTTCTCTTAAAATGTATTTCTATTTTATATTTGAAATCACTCAGAAAAAAACTATAAATGGCTTACCTTTATTTTTTTATTAATATATTGTTTTTTATACAAATTAGGTAAAAATTATTTTTAAATTTAAAAAAAAAGATGAAATAGTTTTGTTTGTTTGTTTGTTTGTCTGTCTGTCTACTTTTTTAAACTAAAAACACATAATTAAATTAAATTTTTAAATTAGAGTAAAATAAGTGATATATGCACATGTAGTTGTTTGTTTGTATTTACTGAGCTAGAAAAAATATTAATTAAAAGATTATTTTTATTGTCTGTTTATTTACAGTTTATAGTAATGATTTTTATCAAAAAAATAAAATAACCATTTATATTTATTATTAGTTAAAACCATTAAAAATATTTAAATTAAATTATTATTTTGTGTGTATTGTAAATGAAATTATGCAAATTGTAAGCAATTTTAATAAAATTAATGACTTTTGGAAATTTAAATGCCACTTTATTTATTTAACTATTCATTAAAATGACTTATGAATTATGCATGTAAGTAAATTAACAATTTTAATTCCAAATTTAATTACAAAATTTATTAAATTTTTAATGTAACAAATATTTTATGTGTATTTAAAAACTCATTTTTTATTTTGATTTGCAGCTTAAAATAATTAAAAATAGTTGGAGGATATAAAAAAACCTTAAATTGGTCTAAATATTTTCTACGTATAAGCTAGTATTTATATGCACTATTTACAAATTTGATAATTATTAATTAAATCAAGTATATTTAATTTCATTTTATCATATTTTTGATTAATTTTTTAATACCTTAGAATTTTCTTTGTGGTAAAAAATTATACCAGTAAGAGTATCTTATATTTTTTTGAGAATAAAACAAAATCACATTTATTTAATGTAAAAAGGATATTAAAATCAATGATTAGCTGTTTGCTATGAAAGAAAACTTCTAAAATAAAATAATATGAAGCATATGTAATTTTAACCTCAAAGGACATTATCGCCATTATCAATTTAGTTATGAAAATATATCATGTTTAGAAACTTATTTAGTACAGCTAATTAATTAATCAAGTTTCTATATTAGGTTAACCAATTCGTTTTTGAAATTTCAGACACAAAAATAAATTGAGTATTTGAAAAATATTACAAGATAACTAATTGTTTATTTTGACAGTATTTATTTTTGTAATTATTCATATAAAAATAGTTGATTATTTATGAAAAAAAAAAATCAATATTTTTATGAGTAATGTCCTGCTTATAAATTATTATCTTATAATATGCCAAATTGGATTGATGAAAAAGCAGTAATAAAAAATAGATTGATTAGTGTAAAAGAATCAATTGTTTAATTTAGTTAACTATTTTTCTTAGCTTTTGACATTAACAAGCAAAATCGAGTTTAATAGTCAATTATTTAATTTATTAATAATAAGTTAAGAAAAGTATATAAATTAGTTTAATAATACATACATAGATCATTAGTAGAATTTGTTTGTGTGATTAGTATAATTAAAAAATCAAATATTGCTTTAATATTTTAAATCTTAATACATTGAAATATTGTCAGGGGATGCTTAAATTTATGAAAGTTGCGATGACGCAAAGTGATCAAGATTATCAAAAAGAGGAAAGCTACTCTTAGACTTTAGTTAGTCCAAAATAAGACTATTATCCACACAAATCAGCTAGAAATTATAATCCTAATATACTACTAAGCAATAACAGTAACCAGATTGATTCTTTTAATGAAGAAGATCCAAGAAGATACCTTTCTATTAATAGTCCTAAAAGCTCTGTCAGATTTGGAGATGAGCAGAGAAGAATTCTTCTTGATGGGAAGAATAATTTAGATAAATTGGCTGATAAATATTGCGATGAAGAGTAAGAAGAAGAGGAATATGATTCTGTATAACTTGATAATAATTAAGAAAATGTAGTTAGCAAGAAACTATAATCTTATCTAAGAAACTCACCAAACAACAATGATAGTTCTAATACAGGAGAAGAAATTAAAAATTCTTGGGGTACACAATTTGAAAAAGATTAAAAGCAAAACAGAAATTTAGATGTATTAACTCTAAATAGCCAGAAGCTTTCTGTTTAAGGAAGAGACAAAAGAAGGAAATGCTCACTGTTTATAGAAAACTTAGGTGCAGAATTTTTGAAATTTGAAGAGAAAACTCTTCGATCAAATGATTAAATTTCTCAATATGAGGCAAATGCAATCAGCATTTCTCCTACTAAACCGCAATCTTTATATGCAAAACACTTATTATAGCTCGTAGGATAGAATTCCTTCAGCAGTAGGTATCAAAGTATTAACTTACACAATGAAAATGTTAGCGGTGCTCTTAATCCCTTAAATGATACACCAATGAATGAAGAAATATTTAAAAAAGATTCATCCAAAAGCGATGAAAACAATCTTAAAGGCTTTAAAGGCGTTTGGAAAAAGAAATCTCTTATCATCATTTACCTAGCAAGAAAATTTGTTGTTGACTTAAAAAAGTATTCAAATATATGGAGACTAAAAAATTTAACAGCCAACTAGTTTCGAGCTATAAATGATATTAGTAGTGATGAAAACGAATTCTTGATGAACTCTGAAAAAGGACATGAAGGCTTTTTCAGTAAACTGATGCTTAAAATTAAAAATAACAAGACTTTAACAAAATTTATTATGCATAACTTTGTTGTAATTCGGCCTGACAGTCCATTTAAGCTATTATGGGATTGCTTCATTTTAATTCTACTATTCATTAATATTTTTTATATTCCAATAAAAATTTGCTTTACAGGAGTTCACTAAATGAAATTAAATGAAATGTATTAGGTGCTTTTATACGATTTACCCGGATATGTAATATTTTATTTATTTATTTATTATTTTCTTAAGTTAATTTAAAATATCTTTTTATATAAAAAGTCATTCATATTAGATTCAATTATAAGAGCAAATACTGCGTTTTACCAAAAGGGATAACTTATTACTCAAAAATCAAAGATTTTAATGAATTATTATAAAGAAAGTTTTTTTTTAGATTTATTTATTATAATTCCATATTTGATTTCTATTAAGGCTAATATTCCATTTTTGGATATTACTTTCTTGCTCAGGCTTACAAGATTGACAAGTATTTTTAATAACTTTGAATAAATGTTAAACCTTTCCTAAAAGCGAAGTGCGATCTTTATTCTTATTAGATTATTTTTTACAATGTTCCTAGTGGCTCATTTTTGTGGTTGTGCTTTTTTTTATGCTGGAACTTATAATTTGTTGCCATACAACGAAAAATCAAATCTTGATTTAGATCAAATTTCTTGGGTTTAAAAGGCTGATATTTTAGATAAATCTTTCTAAGAAAAATACACTGCATGTCTTTATTGGGCGACAATCACTATGATTACTGTAGGTAAATATAGCTAATTATATTTGAGAACCGCCAATTACTTTTAAATCATAAAACCAAGATATAATTTTATTTAAAAGCTATTTATTTTCATATATAAAATTCTACAAATAAATCTATCTAGATAAAATATTTATAGTTTCTTTGTAAATAAGGGAATTAAAAAAGCTTTATAAATATTATAGGTTATGGAGATATTGTGCCGACAAGAACCACAGAAAGATAATTAGCATTAATAATTACGTTATTTAGTTGTGCAGTTTATGCTTATTCTATTAATGTTATTGGTAAAATACTTTGAATTTTCTGATATTTTAACTAACGCTAACGAATCAATTAATTAAATAAATAAATTAAGGTCTTATATTGTAAGAAATAACAAAAGAGAAACAGATTTTAAAAAATAAACTGAGTGTATTAAGCTCTTATATGAAAAAGAGAGGCTTAAGCAGTGCACTTTAAGAAAAGGTGAAGACTTATTTTAATTATATGCATGAAGAAGACCTTAAGTTTAATGAAGGAGGAGAAATCTTCTTTAAGGAGGTAAAAGGACAATTAAAAACAGAAGTTCTATCTGAAATTTACTATAAAACTCTTTGTTAGTCCAACCTCTTCAGGATGAGTTTTTCATAAAATTTTTTAAAGAGTCTGTCATTTGTTATGGAAGAGTAAAAGTATGTCTGTGACGAAGTCATTTTAGACATAGGACAAGAATGCAACAGTCTTTACTTCATTTCTAGAGGGTAATTCAATTAAAATAACTCTGAATACAAAAAAAAAATTGAAAAATTTCACATTTCTAAATTAAATTCTGATAAAAGTGGCATTTTTTCTTATTCAAATAAAAAAACACTTCAATTTAATAATTTAATGAAAAATCATTGGAGAATTATTATGAAAAATAAACCTAAAATTATTATGAAAAGTTAATAAATAATTATTGTGATTATTTAACTTAAAATTATTATGAAAAATTAACCAAGAATTATTATTTAATAATAAATAATATGAGTAATTTGTTTAGAATTTAATAATAATATTTTATTTAATTAATTAATTAGTGAGGTTTAAAGTTTAATTGATGGTGGAATAGTTATTGGAAATCACTATAAAGGAGATATTTTTGATGAGATTTCATTTTTTAGGGATGGAATGAGCCAAATTAAATATAAAAGCAATGGGATAACAACAATTGTTTTGTTAAAAAAAGAGAGCTTTATAAGTGTTTTGAAAAAATACCCTAGAGATTATGAAAAATATTGTGTGATGAGAGACAAAATAAAATTTTACAATAATTTAAGAAATTTTGAACATAAGTGTAAACTGTGCTAGTCATTTAAACATACTATCAGAGATTGCTTATTTGTAAATCCTTAATTTAATAATCCAAAGATCTTATATGAGCATAATAGAAATGTCAATTAAGAGAGAAATCCAGAGGTTAAAAGATCATCTCCAATACTTTCATTCAGTGAATTCAAAGAAAATCAAAGAGAAGTTAGAGATACTGTGATTAAATATTTAATAGATTAGAATCCATTTGAAGAAAGTCCACAAGACCTACTCAATATAATTTAGTAAATTGTTGATTATGACAACATAGAAACCCAGCAATATAAAGGGACTTACTAAACTTCTCTCAACTAATGTGAAATTCCATCCCCAGATTGTGGATCAATATACAAAAAAGTTAATTTTTCAACTTCACAAGATTTAACTGAAGTGTAAACAAATTAATTAATTAAGCTATTACAAAATTTAAATTAAAAATTTTTTTATTATAAATTAAAATAAAGATCAGACGAGAGTCCTTTTAATAATAAAAAAGGAAAATCATTTGGATAAAATATTATTTAAAAGAAATTAAGTGGAATAATTAATGATTAACAAATGATTTCTAGCTCTTATTAAAATAATCACCAATATTAATAAAATAGTTTAAAAAACCAAGATGGTCAAAGAATTTACTATTAAAATCAATAGAAAATCAAGTAATTAGATGAAATCGAAGAAAATTAACAATTAGATTAAATAAATAACGTATAAACATAACAATCAAATTATTAAGACAGATACCTCAGCATACCTTCTGACATGGTCAGTATTAATAGTCACATGTATACTAATACAAAAAAAATTACCTCATAATAAACAATGAATAGTTAGAGAGCACAGCTACATCGATCGTCTTCTAAGAGCTACGCTATCAATAATGACAATCCTCCTAGCAATAGTTAATAAATGTCTAAATTCGAACCTTAAACCTTTAGCTCAAAGAATATAATACCTAACGAAAATAGCTTCACTATTGATAATAGTGTAAGGGTTGCAAAAAATGTAAAGTAAGCAGATTAATTATTTTAAATCTAAAACTAAAAGAACTTTATGGTATTAAAAGATTTTGATAAAGGGTTTTAATTTTAGATTTACTTTCCTGAAAAAAATTTTGATAATGTCATTTAAGATGCGATGAAAGCTCGTAGAAAAACAGTTTAAAATATAAATAAGGTGATTGATATAAGAAAGTAAGAAGATAAATTAAAGCTGATAAGAAGTAATTTAAATCTAACAAAAGAAAGATCCAAATACAAATAATCTACCAAAATGAATAAGTCTAATCAATAGATTTATTTGTCTTCCATTTCTATTAATTAAATGAATAATCACGAACTTGATAGTTTAGATAAATAATGAAGAAAATTAATAATTTTATTTATAGCACTTTTGTATTTATTAAATATAAAATTATTTTGTAAAAAATATCAATTAGTTTTAATGTTTGTTTTAATTCATTTTTAATTTTTATTAGTTTAATAATAACCATTTATGATTTTTAAAAAAATTGTTGAGGTTTATATAGAAAGCTTTTTTCAAAAATTTAACCAAAAATACCGAAATAAAAATCTATAAATTTATTTAAATGATCATTGAAAATCAAAATTGTACCCTAATTTATTAATTTATTTATCATTGTTTTTCATTCATATTTATATACCAATTTAATATTTTAAGAAAATTTAAATGTTTTTAAATAATTTTTATTATCTATTTTTAGTGCATATTATATCGGTATTTGATTCTTCATTAAGCTTAAAAATTCTTTATACAAATTAAACTCTAAACTTTTATTAATTAATCTGAATACAATTTTTTTTTTGGAAGTAGAAATTAGTCTTTATGTTTTAATTAGCACAACACTAACTAACACAGATTAAAATTTTAAACTTTGATAATATTTGTTTTTGATCAAAGTTAATTTGAATAAATAAATATTCAGTATTTTTCAGATGGTTGAAAAATAATCTATAGCAGAAAGAAATAATAGAAAAATAAATTCTATTTATTAATTTGTTTTAATTCATTTTTTGATAGCTTTTGGTATTGAACAAACAAACAAACAAAAAAAGAAATTAAAAGATATCTATCTATCTATCTTATTAATTAAAATAAATTAATAGTTCAGATATATAATAAATTAGAAATTAAAAAATATTAGAGGATTAATTTTATTAAAAGTAAATTAGTAAGCATCAATAAATCAATCAATATATCAATTAGCTAATTAAACAAGAACTACTAAGAAAGAAAATAGGAAAATAAATAAATAAATAGAAATGGACAAGAAAGATAACTATACAGTAGATTAGTTTTTACAAAACTTCACTGTAATGAAAAGCAAAAAAAAATTAACATTTAATTAACTTTAATTTTCTTTTTGAAATTAGCTTGAACTCATTACCTTAGATACCAAGCAGAATGATAAAGTTTATTACACACTGGAAATGGAATTAAAAGATAGAAGGGTCAAGTGGAGAATCGAAAAGAGATTTTCTGACTTTGAAGCTCTTCACTTAGATTTAAGCAAGACAACAATTGAATTGCCTTATCTTCCTCCTAAGAGTTTGTTTAAGCTCTAGCAGCAAGATCTCCAAAAGAGGAAGAGCGATCTCTAAAAGTATTTGAAATCATTAGTTGTCAGACCAGATATATTGCAAAATGAAATATTCCAAGAATTCTTAGAAGTATCTTTTGTTTGAATGCAAAATATAAATAAATAAATAAAAAATTATGAATTTCATCATAAAGCTTAATAAATACGGAACAGTTCCTAAACAAGTTAATTATAGATAGTTAGGTTCTATAAGCGGATTTTCTATGAAGGTTAGAGATATTCATTATGAAGAATCATAAGGAATTATATTTGTTCTTATTGGCGATAACGACTTAAAAACAAAAGTTGGAGGATTCTTAAGCAGTTTATTAGGAACCAGTAAGAAAGGAGATCCTTGTGGTAGATTAATTTGCCTTAGAGCTAAAAATCAGTATACATTTGATTTTAATAAATTATGGCACATAGACTTCTATTCTCATGTAAAATAATTGATTACAGCATAAAAAGCAACAAGATTTGTTAAAATTTAATTTGTATTTAAAAGCCATAATGTATGCATTTTGATCCTAAGTTAACCATGGTTGCAGTTGGTCTTTACAATGGTGATATCGAAATATACAGAGTCAAAGTAGAGAAAAACTATTAAAGTTATGAAGATGTAATTAATTAAATTTGATAAATTAATTATTTTGCTAAACGCTATATAAATTATTAATGAATGATATATTATTATAACCTGTTTACTTGCTAAATGAATTAAAAGATTAATAAATTACATTTATTGAAAATATTTTAGCAGCTTTTTTTTAAACAAAATAATTGGTTCTAAAACAATAAATGTAATTTATTTTTTAGCTAAGCAATCTTATAGTAGTGATATTTTAAGTTAATTTCACTTTATTTACTATAATCAAGTAGTTTTATTGAAACTTAGCTAAATAGAATAAAAAAAACTCTATAAATAAATATCAATATAAAAGCTTGATTTAAAAAAAAATTAGTTTTTAACAAAAAATAGCATTTTATTTAAAAAGGAATCGAGTATTTATTTTTAAATGATATCAATTAATTTACAATGTATTTTTAGAAATAAAGTTTACATCAAAAAAGGATTTAAATTTAATTTAAAAATTTTTTTCATCCTTTAACAAAATTTCCTTAATTTTAAATAAGATAAAAACTGAAATTGCAAAATAGGATTAAAATCAAAAAATAAATAATCTATATCATTTAAGCATAATTATTTAAGTTAAACTATTTCTTATACAATAGTTAGCCGCTTTTTAATTTTTTTTATTTAATTTGATAAAAATATATTTAATTAATTAAAGTATTGCATTATTAAACGTCACACTTCAGCTATCACAGCAGTTCATTTAGATTTCTAATCAGGTATATTTAAATTATACAACAATATTATTAATTGATTGATTTATTGATACTTTAAATAGCAACTGTTTATTCTATCTCAAGAGATAAGGCATTTTTGGTTACTAATATTGCTAATAACGATAGTCATTACAGAATCGATGGTAAATAAATAAATGTATATATGATAATTACAAATAATTTAAAAATTATATTATTTATTTAGAAAAAATTCTAACTCATCCATTAACTGCTTTATGCGTTGACTCAATAAATGAAAGAGTTTTTGTAGGTGATTCTGTTGGATCTATTTATGTATATACTACAGTCGTAAGTTTTATATTTTTCTAATTTATATCATTAATATATTTTGTTAAATAATTATAAAGGAACCTATATAAATCATCACCTCAGTATTTTTAGAATATGAAAATTAAATAAACGCAATTCACATCACTAAGCAGAAAAATTATATTTTATTTGGCCATGCAACTGGACTTATTAGAGTCTTTGAGCTTAAAAAGAAAGGAAGTGTAAATAAACAAACAAACAAACTTACTAATGATAAAAAATTTATTTATTAATTAATTATTATAAATAAATAATAGGATAGAGTATTAAACCCAATTTCAGCTATAACTGGTCCTGATAATGTAAATAAAATTAAACAAACATTAAAAATATTTTAAATACATAATCTTTATTTATTTAGTTACATAGTTTATCATTTTCATTAAAAGACAAAGAGATCTATTCTAATTGTACCAATAGTCTCTTAATCATTGATTCAGCACACAATCTCCCTGTTAGTAATTAGATTTCTGAATATTTTTAAATATAATTACATTTTTTATTAACAAGTTTCAATCAACGCTCATAAAGATTTGATCACTAAAATACAATATGTTGAAGAAAGAAATATCTTTGTAACTGCAAGCAAAGACTTCACAGTTAAGGTATGTCTTAATAATAAAAGTAAGTTCATGAATTATTTTAATTATAATTAAATAGTTTTGGAAATTGAGAGGCTCTAAAGACGATAAAGAAAGCGAATTCGAACAGCTTTACTTAGCTAACCAAAATAATAAACATCAATAAAAATAAGTAGCAGAGTTATAAGCAGAGATTTAAAAGAGTTCTATTAATCCTATCGAAGAGTCAAGGTAAAAATTCTAAGAAAAGCTTGACAAAGAAAAAAAAGAATAAGAGCAAAGAAGGTTGGAAGAAGAAGCTAAAAAAAAGAAATAGTAAAAATTATATAGATAATATGATAGTGATAGCGATGATCTTGATTCTGATGATGATGACGACAAGTACAATAAAAATAAATAGGTGCAAACTAAGAAAGAAGAAGTATAAACTTCTTAAAAATCTTAACAACAAAATAAAATTAGCAAAGATCAAATAAAATCTGAAGTAAAACCATAAGAAAAATCAACATCCAGCAACCCAAAACAACAACAATAAAAGGAATAAAAGAGAGAAGAAGAGGAAGAAGAAGAATAAGAATAAGAGGATGACGATGATAACATTTTTGGATGGGACAAATGAAATTTTTTATTTCATTTTATATTTTTTAAAACACATAATTATATTTAAAACCGTTAAAAATATGTATCTATGTATTGAATTAGTTTAATTTTTATAATTTATAAATATATTTTTACTATAAATCCTTATAACTTTCATTAAATAAACTTAATAATTTTATTTAATTTTGGTGTTTATTTATAAAATCTTCAAGATTTGCCAATAAAGAATTTATGTCTTTAATCTATCAATACTTTATTTTTAAATTTCTTACTTTTTATTCTGATATTTTTAAAAAATTTTATTTTAAATTCTAAAACTGAAAAACAAACAAACAAGTTTTATTTAATATTTATTTTAAAAATCAGATAAAATCAATACTATCAATATAAAAGAATAATTATATACAAAAGAAATCTGTCTTAGATTGCATTTTAAAATTTATTTCTGATTGTATGTTTAATGTGCGATTATCTATTAAATCTGACGCACTAGTAGCCAGCACCAATATAAATTTGAGATTTTAAGAATTGAAGAAAATAAATATAATTAATTAACTAATTAAGTAGTTGTTTATTTTTTGTAAGGAAAAATGAAAAATGAAAATAAAATGTTAAGAATTAAATTAATAATAAAAGTAAGTAAAAGTTGAAAATCAAAAAATGAGTTAAATTAAGAAAGAAAAAAAAATGCAACCAAAATTAACAAGAAATTAAAATATCTCAATCCAAAATAATAATATCTTTTTACCCAAGTCCAAGTACCTAATTTAAGAGATTAGTGCATTTTGGTAAAGCAGAATTTAAGTATAATGTACTAACTAAATGCACCAATTTAATTTCTACTTTTTAAATATTAAAAATATATTAATAATTAACTAATTAGAAGGAAAAATAGAGATAAAATATGAAATAATAAATAGGAAATTAATTAAAAATCAATATTTTTTCAGCCAAGAAATCCAAGAAATTGAATGATGAAATAAATGCCTAATACAAAATATTATAAATTTTTATTTTAAAAAAATGCTAAACCAATTATTAAAAATTAATTAGATATGAAAAAAAAGTTGGTCTATTAATACTTATCATTAACTTAAAATAACTATGGTGAAAAATAAAAGATTAATTACTTTTAAAACACAATTTAATTAAATAATATTTAAAAGAATTAAATAAAGATCATTCATTCTTTTATTTCTACTTTAAAAGTTTCGATTTTTATTTATTAAAAATGTAAATTTAACATTTTTCTTATTTTTAATTCTGTGTAAATTAGAAAAGTAAGTAACATTTTTATTAATTTTAGATCATTTATGATTATATTTTATATTAAAATGGATTTAAGAAGTAAAAGAAAGAATGTAGCATATCACCTCAAAGAAAGTATGGATTTAATTATATCGTTTTTATATTGTTTAAAATGGTGTAATGTGGATTTTTAATTTTGTTAGGCTGGCTAGAATCTATTGTTTTAATTATTATAATAAGAAATCGCTTTATAATTTGAATAATAAACAAACAATGTTTTATTAATATCTTTAGATAATAATAATAAACGATATTCTTTCTATCTATTTATTTATGAAGGCAGCCTCTACAATAATAATAATAAATAAAATAAAAAATCTAAATAACTAAAACTTAGAAAGAGGAATCTTAAATTAAAAGTTTAAAAAATAAATTAAATAAATAAAGAAATATGGCATCAAAAATAGTAGCAATTTCTACTGAAGCTCTAGAAGTAGGCAAGCGTATTAAAAAGTATCTTAAATTGCTGATTAATTTTACATATTTTACATTACTAGCAGAAGGAAATAAACACATTATTTGTTTATTTATTTAGCATTTACAGTTTTTTTACATATAAACATTGATTGACTTATTAAATAATTATATTCCATTAAAAGGTCCAAAAAAAAAGTTATTTGGCAATTCACAATTGACGATAAGAGACATACAATTGAGCTTTTTGCTTCTTTTGCATCAGGCAAGAGAAAAATCCTCCACAACGGAAAGTTAGTGCATGATAAGAAACAGTAAATAAAATATAAATATGTGAATTGATAGTGTGAGACTTCTCCACTCAACCAAATAATATTGATAATTTTTCAATTTATATTTAAATTGTTTAATTGTTTTTTTAGCTAGAATAAATGCTGCTATTTTTAAATATATTTTAATGTCTTTCATTAATTTAATAACAAACAGATTGATTGAAATGCTCGACTTTGCCATGCCTATCGGAAACAATATGCTTAATATTGTATAGAAAGTAGAAAACTTTGAAATGAGAATTAACAATACCCCTTTCAATTAACTTTTCGGTAATATAAAAATCATATAAAGTTTATCTTTAATAGTAGGTTTAATTATGAAACAGGTGGACGCAGTAAAAGAGGATTTGATGATTTAGATAGCTCATATAAAAAGAAAGATGAAAAAAATGAAGAAAGTTTAGGAATTCGCAGCAATAAAAACCCATTTGCACAAACAATAAATACAAATTACACCGGTTTTGGAGCAAAAACACAACAAAAAAAGAAAGCAGATTTTGGCGACTTTAATGATTTTTAGGGCAGTGGCAATTAGCAATAAGATAACAGCGAATTTGGAAATGTTAATGACTTCCACAACTTTAGTAACTTCGGAAACGCTAATAGCAATAATAATAATAATAACAATAATGGATTTGGAGGTAACTGGGGAGGTTTCGGAAGCAGTTCAACTTAGAATTAACAATAATAGAATCAATAGTAAAAGCCATAACAATAACCATTAAATAATTTCAACAATCTCTTGGACGATGATGATGATGTTCCTGTACCCTAATAAAATATTTAGTAAACTGCATAACAAAACAAAAGCTTCCAACCCTCTAATTTACTTGATTCAGAAGATTCAGCTGATGAGGAAGAATATTATAAAAAATAATAGCAATAACAATAAGGATTTTAGTAGAATCAATAGGGTTTACAACAATAGCAATAAGGATTCTAATAATAATAGCAACAGAACTTCCAATAGTAATAGGGTTTCCAATAATAGTAGGGATTCTAGCAATAATAGCAACCACAAGCAGTATAATAATAGCTTTAATAGCAACAACCACCTCAAGCTCCAAAATAAGAAGAAAAGAAGGCTGATCTTTTGAGTTTGTACAACAATAACAGCAATTAGAACGCTTAATAGTACGGATTATAAAAGTAAAATTAATTTCTTCTTAGCTAAATATTTATTTCCAATAAAAATCCTACTAATTAATCGATTGATTATTTTAAAAATAAATATTTGATTTCAAATATTTAAAATTAAATTAATTTCAAGCAGAAGTATTCAATTAAAAAATAACAAGAACTTTTTTAAAAAAATATTATTTAATTAATTTATTTAAATCAAATAAAAGTGTTTCACTCTTATTTATTATTTTTCAAAAATTAATAGTTTAAATCAGCTCTAAGGAGGAAATGCCTAGCAAAATAATGGAATTAATACTATGAATCAAGGCGGATATAGTATGCAAAATAATGGTATGAACCAAGGAGGTTATGGAATGTAGAATATGAATTAAGGTGGTTATGGAATGCAAAACACAAATCAATACGGTCAATAAAATATGAATCAAGGTGGTTTTGCCTAATAAAATATGAATTAAGCTGGTGGATATGGTCAATAAAACTTGAATTAAGTAGGTTTCGCTTAATAAAATATGAATTAAGTTGGCTATGGATAGTAAAATATAAATTAAGGAGGTTATGGAATGTAAAACAATATGAATTAATAACCAAATAGCAACAATTATATGAACAATTAAGGAGGATTTGGAGCTACACAAATGTAAGGTGCTTATGGTATGAATAACATGTAACAACAATAAAGAATGGGGGGAAATCCCTAAAATACTTAAGTCTAAATGGCTGGTGGTTTCAACTATAACTAAGCAGGTCAAATTGGAGGTGCTCAACAATTCGGATAATAAAACGGAGGTTTTGGCTAACCCTAATAATTATAATAGTAACCATAATAAACTGGATTTAATTAAGTAAATTAACAAGCTCCTAATAACTTTAATAATAAAAATGCACCTTCAAAATAACCTCTTGATCTATTCGATGATTTAATTTGATTAAATATGTCAATCAATTTAACTTAAAATCTATAAATAAATAATCTTAACAATACAAAATGCTTATTTACTTTGTTTAGTTATATTTCTGTTCACTCATTCATTCATTCTTTATCATTCATTAATTTTATTAAATCTTTATTTAAAAGTTCTTAAAGTTTTTTTTATATTTTGGTATTAGTTCAAATACAGGAACTGATAGATATATTAGTAAAAATCAATTTTTTTGTGAAATATAAAGTTAAACAACAAATTTAATGAATTTTTTTACAGTTAATTTTTAAAATAAATTTACAAAGTTTAATTTTGATTGAATAAAATTAATGCTTCTTTTAAATTTCTTTTCTAAAAAAATAGTTCTAAATCAATTTTAAAAATTTTAGACTAAAAAATAATTTAATTTAAAAAAAATACTTCAAATTTGATAATAATTTTTTTGTAAAGCTTTAAATTAATCTTTGAAAGATGAAAGAAGCTATCTAACTATATAAAATAAGTAAATATTATTTATTTACTTCTTCCTTGCTAATTTAATTAAAGTTAAATATTAATATTAACTTATTTTATTTAATTTTTTAAATTGATATATTTTATTTTAATAATAATTGTAAATTCAAAGTATTTTCAAAGATATCTATCTATCTATCTATAAATCAATCAATCAATCAATCTATTTTTTCTTATTAACTTAATTATTAAAATTTTTTTGAATAAATATTATGTAATTTACAATTTATTTATAAATAATAAATTAAAACATAATTAATCATTATATGTGTCTATTATATATATGCTTTCAAAAAGAATATAGTTTATTAATCATTATTGGATATATTATGATACAAAGTTACTTTGGTCTAACGGCAAAGACGGCGGACTTCTAATCTGTAAATCTGGGTTCGACTCCTAGAAGTAACACTTTTTGAAAATAAAATGTTTATCAATAAATTAATTTTATTACAAAATACTTTGTTTTAAATAATTAAATCAATAAATAAATCTTTATTTCAGAATTTTAATTTACATAGTCTAAAAAATTAATAATTTACTTTAATCATTGATACTTATTAAAAAAAATTATAATATTATTAAATTTTTTTAGAATAGAAAATAAATAATAATTAAATATATCTTATATTATAATGAAATAATACTCATAATTATTTAGGTCTAATTTCAAAGATAAAAAACTACTCTAAACCCTACTTAAATTGTCTTACTATTATCTTCCTCCTCCAAAAAAAATATTCTTTAAAATATATTATGTGAATGTTTGAAGGTAGATGTAAAATATTAAAATTAGAGGGTAAGTGTTAAATATTCATGTCTTGTCCTAATTAATTTTTAATTTATTAGTCGAAATAAAATTTTTTTATTTATAATATTTTGTTTATTTTCAATTTTTATTAATTAAAGCTTTTATATTAATGCCTGATGAAAAAATTTTTAGAGTTTGATTATATTAACATTACAAAATGGAATTAAAATAATATTTATTGGCAAGTAAGTATGTACGTATACAGTATTTTTTGTAATAGACACATTAATTTTCAATAGATTAAAAATCTTTAATATCAAAAATTGTAAAATAGATAATAATTTACCAAATATTTATTAGTTGAATAATTTAATTTTTAACATTCTACTCTAGCAAGCACAACTAGTAGCTATTATAGATAAGTATAATAATACACTCTTAATTTCAAAAGATAAATTGAACAAATCTATTCATTTTATTAATATAATTTTGAATTTTATCATTTAATTATCTTTTAAATTGATTCAATTTTTTAAGGAAACTTGTTTAATTATTAAGACATTTAAGTAAATGTTTGAATTAGTGAGAGATCCACTTAAATAATTATATTAATATTAAAAATAAATATTATTTCAAAGAATAAATCATGACATTGTTACTTTGGTCTAATGGTAAAGACGGCTGGGTCCAATCTGCAGATCTGGGTTCGATTCCTAGAAGTAACACATTTTTAAAATTATTTTATTTTAAAAATAATTATAAAATAAAAGAATTAGAGTTTAGCTCATACATAAGCTATCATTTTATTATTTTGTCTTTATAATTTTTTTGTTTACAGTAACACTGGCTTTTATTAATTGATTATCTTATACCAACTATTTATATTAATTGAATCTATCTATATGATCATTAGATTAAGTACCCTACTTACTTAATGAAATTCAAATTTATTTATATTTAAATAAAGATATAATAAATAGAATTACTATTATATAAAGTTTATTAACTAATATTAATATATATGACTAATAAATTTAAAGTAAATAGTTTACAATATATTTAATCTAAATACATTTATGTATGCTCATAATAAACACCTCAGCCAGTTGATAGATACCTTAACGTATTACGATTTAGTTTAGAGTTGGATGCTTGCTTAATCATTCGATTGATAATGATAAATCTTATTAAACAATATAATTTTAATTTATTTATTTGTATTTTTGTGAATTTGCTCTATTCCTTTTATTAACTTATATTGCTTTAAAAAGACCAAATATAAACTCTCATCAATTAGTTAAACTGTATAATGATTAATATATTTATTAGATGATTTTAATGATCATAAAGCATTAAATAAATAAATTAGCTAAGAGGGAGTGGTTTATGTGTATACAATTTAATAAATTATTTATTTTTGTTTAAACCAAAAATATTTTTACTGCATTGTTTTAGTAATCAAGCTAGCTAGCTATAAAAATTTACAAAATGAAATATTTTAATCTTTAAAAAAATTATTTAAAATTTATTTAATCTGTATCAAACTAAATAAATAAATAAACAAACAAATAAATAAATCAATATTCGACTAGCTAAATCTTTACGAGTCTTTTTGATTTTACAATAAATTTCCTAAACTTAAAAAGCATAAACTAATCCATTCTATTTTATTTTAAAATAAAGACTTAATTATTTATTTTTTAGTTAATAATTAGTTACCTAATTTAAAAAAAGAGATTTATTAGATTTTAACATTTTCTCAAAGCTAGTCCTATCATGAAGATCTAATTCGAATCCATTTTATGTTATCTTTGATTATGTAAGTTCAAAAATAATTAAACATATTTAAGTTGTTTTTTTATTTTACCCAATACTTATTTATAAATACTTTATATTTTTAAGGCATTATAAACTATTTGCTAAGCTCAAAGAACCCTTTAAGCCAATGCTATTTTATAAATATTTATAATTAAAATATAAATAATAAATTAATAAATAATATTTTATAAAATAAAGATTAAAAAAATAATAATAAATAATAAGTTTTTTATTTATATTGATATAATTTTAATTTAAAATATTACTCAACAAAAATTGACAAATATTACAGATTTATACACTCTCTTAATCCTGAGAACAAATTAGATGCTTCCTAATCACTCATGTCAATATTTCTTTTTAAATTTATTTTTTATTAATAAATCAGGTGTTAGTTTTAAATAATTGCTTTTAAAAAATTCATAAGGTGTTTGTTTGTTTGCTTGCTACAGATATTAAAAAAATTTTTTTTTTAACTAATTTAAATTAAAACAAATTATTTAAAAAACATAAAAGATTTTTTCGAGTAAAAATATTATTAAAAATTAATTAATTTATTTTGTTTTGATAAAATAAATTGTTGTTTTTTACTAAAGATCTAATATTAAAGTAGTTAGTTATAGATTTTATTTCAAAGTTGAGCTTAACTTTTCAATACTTTCATCATTTATGTTTTTAAATCTAATTAAATATAGAATAGATTTTAATAATTTTTCGATTTTTAAAATGAAATTATTAATTGTAAATTTTTTACTTTAAGTTTAAGTTGATTGCTTTTTCATTGCTATTATTCTAAGAAATAAACTTTTATTTAATAAAAATTAAATTAATTTTATTATAATTTCAATAATTAAATATTTTACATCTTACAATTCTCTATAATAGCTTATTTATTATTACATTTTTTAATTTTCTTATTTTCAAATTTATTTTATTTTAATTTTTAATTAACAATAAGATTAATTAAATAAGTATTCAAAAATTTTTTTTCCTCTCATTAATAATTTAATTAAAATTACTCAATCAATCAATATTTTTTATTTTATTATTCATTTATTTATTTATTTATTTTTCTATATTTTATAAAAGAAATAGTAAAACAAGAACTTATTGATATGTGCTTATATTATCATTTAAATTTTTGAACTCTACCTTTCAAAAAATGAAAGAATTTGCAAGATATCAACTGAATTTGTAAAAGTAATTATAAGATATTAATTAAATCATTTTAAATTAAATTGAATTAATTCTACTTAAATTTATAATACATTTTTTTACAATAAAACTTTGGATCTATATTTTTTTTTATTTACATAAATTAATCAGAAAAAAAAAGCATGCATTTTAATTGTAAAAATAAGATAATTTTTTATTCATTTGGTTGTTATTGAAAAAAATATTTTAACGATTTTATCATTTTAACTAATATAAAGTTATTTAAAAATTAACTAATTTATTAATTATATAATATACATAGGTATTATTAAAGTTAAATTTACTCTTTATAGTAAATAAGGATACATATTGAATCAAATAAAATATATATTTAATTTATTATTGATATAAAATAAACTACTAAGATGATGGATGGATTAATAACACTTTTTTATTAATTTTTAAAAAAATTTATAATATGAATAAGAGAATTAATTTAGAGGTGATGGTATTTATGTATTTTTAATAACATGATAAAATTAATAATAATTAACATAAATATGTTTGTTTATAGAATGAAAAAAAAAAAATTTTTTTTAAATTTTATTCAATCAAGGTATGTTTTAAAAATAATATACTCACATGCCAATAAAAATTAACAACAATTAGATTATATACCTAAATATTCTAAATTATTTAAATATAATTCAGAATAATACTTTTTAATAGTTAATTATAAATTTGTTTGTGTAATAAATTAACTAAAATAAATAATTTAATTAATATGTTTTTTTGATAAATTTGTAATAAATTGATTTTATTAGTTTTTAAATTAAAAGGTTTAAGATAATTTTTAAGTAATTTTTTAAAATGAAAATAAATATCTTTTTTTATTTTTACTTTGTTCTCTATTATAGTCTATTTTATAAATACTTAACTTAAAATCTCCACAAAAACAAAGTTAGTTATTTAAGATAAAAAGGAATAATTAATTAATTTAAATAATTAAATATGATAAATTCTTTGATAACTTTTAATACAACTTCTAAGGAATTTAACATACATTACTATTGTGTTTATTTATGCAAAAATCTTTTTTTAGTTTTTGAATAAAATATTTTGTATTTATTTAAAATTTATTGTGTCATATTAAATTTATAACACAAAGAGAATTATAATAAAGATCAGCATTTTAAGGTTAGATAATGCTGCAATGCAGCTGGTTAATATCAATACCACTAATTTCAAAATCTGAATATTTATTTATAATTTCAGAACAATCAAAAGTATCTTTTGTCCTCGATTTCATGAACGTGGCATGAACAGTTTATAACTGATATTTTTAATTAGGATATTCACCAATTAATTTAATATTATGCAAATTTTGTTTTTAAGGATTCAATATATCATGTTCTACTAAAAACGCTGTTATTTTGTTGCACAAATCGTTTATCTCTTACAATCCATTGCTTATTTTTAAATACAAATATTTCGATTTTTCAGGTTTCTTTCCGAAATAACCCCATCCTTTGAAAGTAATATTAAATTTTGGTAATTTATTATGAAGTAGAGGTAAAATCTTTTGAATTTTTTCTACTTATTCTTCATTTAATTCTAACATATTAAGAGTTATATGTGCTTTAGAACTTCCTAGAAAGAATGGTTCAAGATCAGGATCATCTGATGTTATTTCAGATTTCAGCTTTTTATAAGCTTCTACTAAATGTGGCTTTGTGAGAGGCAAGCTAATGAAGTGAGTCCATTTAGTTTCTTTTTGTTTATTTTATAATACCTATTTATTATTTATACCTTCCATCTGAATAACAATAAAAATCTAATTTAAAAAAAACAACAAATAAATATATTTACCAGCTATAAATCTATAGATAGACTCTATTGGCTAGATATTAAACTGAAGATTTTTACTAAAGAGTCTACTTAAGTTGCAAACTCAAATTAAAAGCTAATTAAAATAAAGATAATTTTATTAAAGTAGCATGCATAATCATTCAATATTTTGAATAACACAATCAATTAAAATATTATATTTTAAAAATAAATTATAAATCTATCATTCTTATAAAGATAAAATCTATTATTTAAATTTAACGCTGATATTATTTTTTTAATACAAAATTTATTTTTTTAAAAAAAACTACTATAAAACTTATTTCTTTTAATTTCAAGTAATAAGTAAACTTTTTGTATATTTAAGAGAAGAAATTAAATTATTCATTTTTATTTATTTATTTTAATTTAACAAAAGTAAAAATTTTTATGAATAAATTTAAATTTTATATTAAAAATTAATGATTAATATTTTAAATAAATAACTTATAAGATTAGATTCCATAGTGATTTATTTATTTGTATTTTTAAAAATGGTTGTTGATACTTGCATATATCATTTGTAAAATGTTTGATATTTTCTTGGCATAAGAAGTAGTGGAAGTAGTAAAAACAGAAACATATATAAATAAATTCCAACCAAATAAGATTGTAAATAAAAATAAATAAAATACAAAAAATGAAGAGATTAATTAACAGGTGATTTAAAAAAATATAAATTAAAGCAAGAAAAGAAAGAAATACTGAGCAATTAATGTTTAGTTTGTTTATTCAAATCAAATTTATTAAATAAAAAATAAGTGATAATAAAAAATAAATTCAAAATAATAATTAAATTTTTCAGTAACTTAACCAACAAACAATCAAGCAAGCAAGCTTGCAATCAAATAAACAAACAAACAAACAAAAAACAAAGCAAAACAATAAGGTTTATCAAGTAAGTAAATAGATATCGATAATATTCAATCTAATTATCAAAGGCATAGATAATTAATCAAGAAACAATTAATTGTAATAATTAAGCAAATAAATCAAAAAATTAAATTAGAAATTAATTGTTAATAAAGAAATAAAGAAATTATTGACAATTCATATATTTTTCTCTTTTCAATTTCAATTTTCTACTCATTCTTTTTTCTTTATTTTGAAAAAAACACACGATGGATTTGCCTCCATAAAGCTAAAAGGTAACATTAAATATTTCAAATAAAGCTAAATAAATCTTAATATCATTCAAATAACAACTAATTCAATCATAGGTTTAAATTGCCAAGTCTAGATACTCGCCAACTCCAGCCACTAGTAAAGATCTTTTTTAAATATTTCATTAATAGATTAGCTTAGCTATTACTTTACATGTTCACAAATGAATGTATTTTTCAAATAAATAAAAAGAGTAAAATTCTTACTTGGAAAAGATGAGAGCAGAAATGTGGTCTAACAACGAGAAGCTGAAGAAGCCTGGATTCACAAATTAGTTTAAGCAAAGCGATATTGTTCAGGTAAATAATTAGATTATCTAAATAAAGTTAGTGTATCGAGTTATCGATATAGTTTTTTATTTCTGTTGAATTAATTAGTTCTCTTTTATTTGATTTTGGAGTGTAGTGATTTCTTTCTTTACTTTTTTGCTTGCTTAATAAAGAAATAAAAATGAATTCAAATTCAAAAACATTAAAATATAAATAGGAATAGAGCTTACATAAATACGATAGTTATTCAGCATAATATTAGCAGTAGCATCCAAGTAGCGAAACAAATATTTAGAGTGCTCCAAAAAATTACTAAATTCAAGATTAAAGCAATGGGCATACTAATTACTAGCAAAAATAACTAACTGATGTCATTTCCAATAAAATTCTTTCAGAATTAAAAAAGTCAGCATAATCAAAAGTTAATAACTACCTTAAAAGCAGGGATTCGTAATTAATTAATATGATCAATTTATTTCATTTGCTTTTTTAAAGATGCAATTGATATATTTTCTGAAAATTTACAAACAAGTTAAGCTTAAATATTACAAATATGCAAATAAATAAAATAAATAGGTCAGGTAGAAATTCATCTTAGCCAATAAATACAGCAGCAGACAATCGTTTTTAAGCTCTCTTCCCAAACTCTAACACAAGCAACAGTAGCAACAATAGCAATACTCAGATAAATTATAAAGTAAATTAGATATCTGAGCAAAAAGCCCATCATAATATTCCTATGACTACGATTAAATATTAAGATGCTGTAAACATAGAGTTATTAAAGCAAATGCAAGCAGAAACAAATAAAAGTAAACCTCAGTAAATTCAGCACCCTTCAAACAGTAGTAGTGGAAATGTAATTTCTTAAATTAAAATTAATTAAACAAAAATGCAAATACATTTTAGATTATTTGTTAAGTTAATAAGTAAATAAATAAATAACGAGCATAAGATTTTTAAAAATTATTGTGAGCAAATGAAGATAGGATTTTTTATTAAACCACCAAATAAATAATATTTATTATTTAGTTATTTCAGTCTATAAAATTAACAAACATACAATTGATTATATAATTATATCATATTTTATTAAATAGAAATATACTTACTCTTAGACAGCATCTCCAATGAGCGCTGTAAAAAGTGGATACAATAGCAACGTTACTTAGTAATAGTAGCAGCCGTAACAATCCCAGTAGACAAAGAATTAATAGTAGTTATAACATTATGCTGCTTTAGTTGCTTAGTCTAACTTGATGGTCTAAAATATGTAGTAACAGCAGTAGTAATTGCTGATAAAACAAGAGCAAAATCAGCATTTATAATAGCAAAATTAATTAAATTCCCCATAAAATGTTTTGTCTAACAACAATACTATCGGGTATAAATAAGTAAAGCAAGAATAAGCATACAGATACGGAAGGGTATTACCAAATTAGATGTAAGTATATGATAATGCGCCTCTTTTCCCTGCTTAATAATAGAAGGCCAAAGAAACTTTTTATTAAAAGTTAATTACTGATAGAAATTTTTAGAACTTCAACTAGAAATTGCATGTAAAAAAGAATTAAGAGCAGCAACTTAATCAACCACAAACGAATATACCTGTTAATGTAATTAAATATTATTAAAAATGCAAATTAAATTTATAAATAAATATTTTAGAATTATCTCAGTAGTCATAGTCCGTCAGAAATAAAACAATAAAATTATAGTTTGCATAGTCATTATGGCACAGAAGTAGTGAATAAAAATAATAGTTTTACTAGTCCAGTACAAACAAGAAATTTGAGTGCCCACTAATCTCCATAAGAGAGCTTTTAAAACATTCCTAAAACTCTTTAATTTGTTACTTACAATAATAAATACTAGCCTATAATTCCTTAGTCAAATATCCAAGCTAACCATCAGAAAAAGGACTCTTTAGATTAAGCATTAAACCATTTGCTAAAATAAAATATTCCAAATAATACTATACCTTTAGAATAGCTTGAAATGAGGCATAAGAAACAGCTAGATTAATTTAAATAATAAGCCTAACGTTATGAGCAGTGTAAATTATATTTGTTAATGTTCTTCAAAATTAATAACATTTTTTATTTTAATTTTTATCAATTTATATAAAAAAAATATAATTTGTTACAGTAAAATTAAGAAATTTTTTTTGAATTAAGTAGCGAGTTCACATAAAGGCGGTAGATTGTAAATGAGCTTTAGCGAAAGCCACACACCAAGAAAGAATTCAATTAGTAAAGAATCTGATGGAGTTGGAGCAAGAAGCAACAGCATGTAAAAGAAAAGCTTTGAAAATTTTAATAGTTCTTAAGAAAACTCTTAAATATCAGCAGGAAAATTAAATAATGATAAAATGTATTAAGAAGATTTATTATTATAGAACAGCTAGCAAGCAGCTAACAAAATTGAGAAATATCAATAAGAAATTGAATTGTATTAAAAGGAATTATCTAATGTTAAGCAAGAATTAGGAAATCTCAAGAACTAATAAACTAATAATTCTGATTTGGATTTCTTGAATAAATAGTTAACCAATTTAAAGTCAATTTTCTTGGATAAAAAGAAACAACTTGAATTGGAAATTGAGTAAAGCAACTAAACTCACAAACAATTGAAAGAAAAATTGAGCCAGGCACTTCAAAGCAATCAAAGCTTGTAAAGCGAAAATATTATGCTCAAAAACTAGCTCTCTCTTCAAACAAGGTTATCATTTAATCTTAATTCATTTTTCAATTGAAGCTTAAAGAAATTATTTTTTAAATTCCTTCTAATAAAATGAAAATGAATTTTTAGATTGAATTCGAAATTAATTCAAAACAATTTTATTAATTTCAAAAGAAAATTTAATATTTTTAATTAATTTCTATGCTTAATTTGTTCATTTAAATTAAATTTAAATAAATAATTGATAAAATAGAGGAAGCAACGATAAGTACAATAAGCTTATGAAACAAGATTAGTAAAATATACAAAGCTTTGAGCATGAAAACAATCTATTAAAACAAGAGATGCATAATTTAAAAAGTAAATACGACTAGGAAATAGAAGAACTTAAGGAGAAGTATTAGGATTACATTTTTTCTATTGAAGAGAAGTCTAATGAGCTTAAAAAATAACTAGCAGATTCTTAAAATTCTAAATAAATGGTAAAAAGTGCTAGTGGTACTTAGAATCCTTTAGCAACTCTTTAATTAGAAGCTAAAGATTAAATTATTGAACAGCAAAGACAGGATATATTTGGGTTAGAATGTAATTATAGAGCATAAAATGATTACATTAAAGAATTAGAAGAAAAAATAACCTAGCTAGAAGATCAAGTACAAGTTTTAAATACTTAATTGGCTGAATAGCAACAATAACATTTAGATCATTTGTAATAGTAAAGTGAATTAAGGGATTAAGAGATTTTAAAGATACTTGAATAAAAAACAATCTAGATTGAGGCTGAATTAAATGCTACCTTTGCAAATAAATTAGAATAGGAAGTTTAGAGTGCTCTTTAATAGAGCAACAATAACAAGGAATAAGCTGAATAATCTTAATTCTATTAAGCACAATATAGAAAAGTTCTTGAAGACTACTAGCAGGCTAAAAAGATAATAGAAAGCTTATAAAAATAAAATTAGTCATCATAAAAAGAAGTTGAGCACTTGAAGAATTAAATTGAAAGAATCACTGAAGATCTTGATGTTTAAACTGCTAACTAAGGCAGTACATAAAAATATGTTCAAGAAAATTAAGCATTAATAATAAAGATCAAAGAGCTAGAAACTACTAATAATGAGCTTACTAGCGAAATATTTAATTTTGAAAAGAATGATGCCAAGCTTAGAGAAAATATTGAGCAACTTTAGTAAGAAGTAGATGACCTTAAATAGCAGCTCGAGTAAGCAGGTAGAGAAAACGAGGAAACTGTGAGTGCTATTACACTTTTCAAACAAAATAGTGATTCTCAGAAATAAGAATTAAATATTTTAAATTAAAAAATAGAAGAGTAGCAGAAATAAATTTAAAGTTTACTTAGTCAAAAGAGTGATCTTTAACACTTGAAAGAAGTAGCTGAAGAGAATTTATAATTAAAAACTGAAGAATTTGATAGATTCAGAATGAATTTAGACACTGATTAACAAGTTATGTTAGAAGGCAGCGAATAAAAGGAGATCATTGAAAGCCTGAAGAAACATATTGAAGAACTGGAGTCGTAGTTGAGTGACAAAGATTTCATTTTACTCTAAAAGCAGTAAGAGATCATTCAAATGAATGCTGAGAAATACGAATCTTCTTCTGAAAAGGATAAATTAGTTAATAAGATAGAAGAGCTAGAAGAATCTGTAATCAGCATGAAGAAGTAGAATAAGTTGCAAGAATAAGAGTTAAATGAATGTAAAAGGTTGCAAGATGAATAATAAGAAGAACTTAAAAGTCAAATTAAGCAAAACAACATTTAAATTGAAAACCTCAAGTAATTGATTCAGGACATGCAAAGACAAATAGATGAAAAAGATGACTAGCTTGAGCAAAGTTAAAAAGACAAGGTTTAAAATGAGTTAGAAATCTAGTAGCTAAGCGAATCTAACAATGATTATATCAAAGAAATTTAAGCATTAAGCAAGTAGATCTACTCATAGTAAGCTCAAATTCACTAATAGAAGGTTGAGTTAGAAGATTTCGATATAAGAAAGCAATAATTTGAAGAATTAGAACATCTAAAAGAAGTTAAAATAAATGAACTTGAAAATCTTATCGAACAATATGAGAAACAATTGAAGAATCTTTAAGAAAAGGAGGAAAAAATTGAAGAAGTTTGTTCTTCGCTTGAGTCTTCAGTCTCTCCCATAAATTAGAAATCCTAAAAACAAGAAAAAGAAAAGTGTGAAGGAAAATAAGTAGAAGAAGAAGATTCTAAATTATAGTTAGAGATTCAAATAGAAGAGTTCTAAGAGAAAATTCAGCAACAAGAATCTGAAATAACTGAAGACAAACAAAAAATTTAACTTTTAGAGGAAGAAGTTAAAGCTCTATAAGAAAAATTGGAAAGCTAATAGCAAGATTTAGAAAAAAAATAACAAGAATTCGATTTAGAAATATAGGAACTAAAGAAATCAAATTAAAAAGATGACTCAGAAGAAAAAGAGAGCTTGAAAGAGTAGCTTGTAGAATAAAATTAGGAAATTGTTGAATACAAATAAAAATTATCTGAATTAGAGTAAGAAGTTTAATCTTTACAAGAAAAATTAGATACCTAACAAAAAGAGTTAGAAAGAAGGCAAATTGAATTTAACTAAGAAATAGAGTAGTTGAAGAAAGCAAATAAAAATGAAGAAGAATCTGAAGTAGAAGTTTTGAATTAATAATTGACAGAATAGAAGACTTCTCTTGAAAACTAAGTAGAGGAGCTAGAATAAAAGCTTTCCGAATGCTAAAATAGCATTACCTCTTTATAATAGTAGATTTAAAAGTAGGAAGAGGAGATATCTAAATTGAATGAAAATAAGCTTATTTTAGAATAGGATAACTAAGAATTCTAAAAAATGACTTAACAATTCAATGAGGAGCACACTAAATTATAGTCTGAATATTAAAATATTTTATCATTCTACAAGTAAGCAGTAGAAGAGAGGGATAACATCAAGCAATAGTAATAAGAATTTGAAACAATCACCCAAAAAGCTTTGGAAGATAAAATCAGCAAAGAGAATAGACAAAATTAGTAATAAAGAGAATATGAATATGCTTAGCTTTTGCAACAAAAAGAGGAACTTATTGCAGAATTAGGAAAGAAGTAAACATTTTATTTAATCTATTTTATTTTAGACCTTTAAATAGGAGTTATAAATTTTTCGAAAAACAAAGACAATTAAATTAATACAAATATGATTTAATTTCCTTAAGAAAAATCTAAAAAATAAAAAAGAAATTAATTTTTTTTAACATTTATTTGAGGGAATAAAAGTTAAAATTTATTTTATATTATTGAATGAAAATTATTTAAAATATTTTAGACCAAAATTTATCATCAAATAACTTAAAACATTGTTTAATTTACATTTTAATTTTATTTTTTAAATGATAAAATTGAAAAAACACTACCAAAAATATAAATGAACGTTTTTCTTTTTTGAAATTTTTTCAATTATTTTAAAATAAATGAATGAGATTTATTTTATTTGATTATTTAAAAAATATAAATTTATTGTTAAAAATAACGCTTTACAATTTTTAAAGTGAAGTATAAAATTATGGAGTTTATTTTTATGTTCGGAAAGTTAATTTAATGTTTATATATAATAGTGCTAATAATCTGAAAGATAAGCTTACATAGATTGAATAATTGAGTATTGAATAGTAAATTGCTATTAGAAGCTTGGATACTGAAAAGAAAGAATAAGAGAAAAGTATCAAAAAATTAAATGATAAATTAGAATTTTAAATTCAAGAAAATGATCAACTTTAGTTACTTACAGACAGATATTAGAAGGAGCTTAGCAAAATCAGAAATTAAAATGAGGTCAATGAAAATTAAATAAAAAATTTCAAACTTTTAAAGCAAGAACAAGAGGATTAATTAAAGGAGCTTTAGAATGAAAACAAGCAATTAAAACAAAGAGAATCTGAATTACAAATTAAAGTTGAAGAGTTAGAAAGCTCTTTAAAGAATATCTAAATATCTTAGAAGTTTAGAGATGAATAAAAGACATCTGTAAACAATGATAGACAGCAAGAAGATTTAAATAACTAAATCAATGAATTAAATAACTAGATTGACTTATTCAAATAACAAATTAAGGAATAATAGGAAAATGCTGAAGAGTAGTCATTGCGAGTTTAATAATCTCAAGAATAATAATTGAAATAAAAGGAGGAAATAGAAGAATTGAAAACAAAACTTGAAACTTTTGAAAATTAGATTGAAAATTACAAAACAAAAGAGGAAGATTTAAAAACACAAATTGACGACTTACAATAAGACAAAGATATGTTGCTTAGAAAAAAGACTGAGAAAGATCAGAGAATAGATGAGCTTATTTAATAAAATGATAAAATCTCAGAACTTTGTGATAAATTAAACTTATAAATCGAATAGCAGTTACTTACTATTAGAGAGAACGAAGAAAATGAATCTCTTTAATAAGAATAAGTTGATAATTTGAAGTTCCAAATTGAAGAATTAAAGACTCAAAATGACAAAATTCAAGTCTAGAGTGGAGAGCTTGCTGCTTAAAACGAAGCCTTTTCAATAAAAATCTAGCTACTTGAGAATTAAATTGCTAAACTAAAAGATGAAAATGAACTTTTAAAAGAAAAATAACCTGAAAGAACTCATGCCTACTCTAAATAAAGTTCATCAGAACCAAACAGTAAATTAAATATTTCATTTTTTTTTCATAAAATCTTATTTTAATTAATTAACAATCAAAATAAAAACAAAAATATTTATAGTTTGTTTAGATATTTTATAAAAAATTATTTTATCTTTTCTTTTGAATTACAAGTCTATATTAAAGAATGCGCATATCTTGTTGCATAATTTTAGTTGAAGATTTTTTCAAAGAGAAATTTACACATTTTTTTTTTTAAAATACAAAACTTAAAGATAAAAATTGTGAAAAAAAAGAAAATAAATTTCGATTTTAAATTTAGGATCCAAAAAAAAATTTTTAATTACTGTATTACCTAGAATGTTGAAGCCTAAAAATATTATTTCTCAATAATCAATTTTATAATTAATAAAAATGTTTGATACAAAAATTATTGATTGATTTGGAAAAAATCAAATCAAAAATCAACATATGCTCAACTTCTTTAATGAAGCATAAGCGCAAAGCAATATTGGTTGTTTTTCGCAAATAACTCTGCAATAACATTTAATTTAATAATACTTGATAAATTTTATTATTTTAAATGATTTTTAAATTAATCTAAATAATTTCAAATAAAATGTGGAATTTTTATTATTTTAATTATCAAAAAAAATTATTTTATAAATGTTAAATTAAATATTTCTATAAAAATAGCTCCTGAACTTGAACGTGAAGATAATGAAAATGTCTTAGAATAGCAAATTAATCTCCCTAATGAAAAAATTGAAAATTAAGAAAAAGAAAAATAATAAAAAATAAACTTTGAACAAAAAATAGAAGCTGATAATACATTACAGAGCTAAAGCATTAGCGAGCAAGATAATTCAAGCTACTAAAATGGTATTGCATCAAGCCCAGAGAAAGAAGATTTAATCAAGAGCTTGTAAAAAGCTTTAGAGGAGCTTAAAAGTTAAGCTTCTTTAAAAGAAAATGTATTAAATCAAAAGCTAAATCATTACAAAGAGAAGAAAAGATAGTACAGAGAGAGTCTAAAGCATAGTGAATAGAAATATAAAGAAATTTAATACAGAATAGAGACAGAAACTAGAACCCTTTAGACGAGAATTTAAGTTTTAGAAGAAGAGCAAAAGATTGTATAGAATGAGTCATAATTACAAATTAATGATTTGTCTGCTCAAAAAGTTACACTCTATTAAGAGAATTAAAAGTAAATAGAAAAAATAAACTAGCTAAACGAATAGCTAAAGCGTCAGGAGCTTGTATTATAAGAAACTCAGAGATAGCTAAGAAACGAATAGTCATCTGCTCGTAATGATAGCGAAGCTGTAGATTCTGATGTAGAATCCAAAATTAATGAGATTGAATCTCTTACTGAAGATAAAAAGCTACTAAAAGAAGAAATTCAACAGAAAGATCAACTTATTTATCAATATGTTGAGTAAATAAGTGATTTGGAGAAATAATTGCAAAAAACTCAATAAAAACTCTTAGAAGGCAACCATAACAGCAGTCCAAATGAATCAGAATTGTAGATAATGAGTATGCAAAGAAACGAAACTACTTCTTCAACAAACGAAGAAAATATTTTTAAAGAAGAGGAAGTAAACCAAACTATTCAGATGCTTAAAGAGCAGATTTTAATTTTGAGCGAACATGCTTAAGAAAAAGAAAACAACTTAACAGCTTTATAAGACAGCATTAATACATACTTAAGCGAAAAGGAGTAATATGAAAAGCAGATAGCTAATTTAAATAGTTTGAATGAGCAACTTTAGTAATAAGTAGATGAGCTAAACAACTTCAAAAATTAAATAGGAGAGCTTAATCCACAAACAGAAAAAACAGAGTAATTAGAGAATCAATTAAGTTAAAAAGATGAACAGATTTTATGCTTAGAACAAGAAATAAATTAATTAAAAGAAAAAATTTAAACAGCTAATTCCAGCGGCAGTGGAGAATCAAATTCAAATGAAAATGAAGAAGATAATTAGAAAAATAAAGATTTGAATGAATTAATAGAGTCTTAGAAAGAAAAAATTTAGGAACTTTAAGAATAATGCACCTTTAATGAAGAAAGAGCCAATTAGCTGATGGAAGAATGTAGAGCTTATGGAGTCAAGATGGCAGATAGAGAGGAAGAATTTAATAAGCAAATGGAGAGAAATGATGAGTATTACAAAAAGTTATTGATGAGAAAGAATGAGGAGTACTCAGATCTCTATTCATAATATGATTCACTTAATGAAGAATCATATAATTTAAAAGAGGAAATAGAAAAGCTCAAAAATTAAAAAAATAGCAGCTCTTCAAATAATTCTGATTAAGAATTAGCTGAAATTCAAACTAAATTAAAAGAAATGGTAGTCTAAAAAGAAAAAGCAGATCAAGAAAAGGAAGAACTCGAAAAATCCCATAATGAAGCAATTCAAGAGCTAAAAAATTAATTAGAAAACATGAGAAAAGAATATGATTTGCTAAAATCTCTCCTTAATTCATAAGCCTAGCAATTAATAAGCTAGGCTTACAATCAAGCCGTCACAGAAAAAGATGAGGATTAATCAGGTCTTAAAGAAACAAATAATTCAGAAAATGTTAAATCTATTGAATCAGAAGATTTCTAACCGTAAATTTTTAATTTTTTATTTCATTTAAAAGGCAAAACCGAATTAATTAAATAAATAAATAAGTAAATAAATAAATAGATTATTAAATTAATTTTTAATATGAATATTTTGTTTAAAATTAGAATTAAGTAGAGCTAAAGCCCTGAAATAACTCCTAATAAATAGTTTAAGGCTTTTTCAAACTAAATTCATGATGATGAAAATAGCTCAGAATTAGGTATTAAAGTAGAAAGCTCTGACTTACATGAATAAATATAGGATCTAAAAAGATAAATAGTAGAAAAGAATATAAAAATATCGAACTTAGAAGGAGAGAATTTAGATCTTGAGGATTAGGTGAACTCACTTTACGCATAAAGTCAAGAATATAGGGACAAAATTAATAAGTAATATTAAGAAAACTATCAACTTGAATATACTTAGAAGTGCTAAAACATTAAAAAGTCTTATCGCTCAAAGTTGAAACAAATTGAGGAAAATAAAAAGCAAGAAATGATTGAACTTAAATCATAGATTGAACGTGAAAGAAACATTGAAATGAAAATGGTAAAAGAAAAGTTAGAAAAAAATATATAACTATTAGATGAGGCATATAAAATGTAAATTTAACAAGTTAGAGAGGAAGAGCTTTGTAAATATAACTAAATTTTATAGGAAATGAAATAAGAATATGAATAGAAAATATAAGAACTTAAAACTACTTTAAATGAGAGCTAAAATAACAATATTGGAAATAATGTTAATGCTCCAAATTTAATTTCTGATTAGCAAGAATTTGGTAATAATAGCAATAATAACCCAAATAACGAACCTGATTTACTAGATTTCAGTGAGAACAACTCTTTTACTTCTCCTCCTGTTTAACAAAATAATACAAATAATGAATAGCCAAACTAGAACATAGTTAACCTCTTAGACGATAATGAAGAAGATGAAATTATTTGATTTAGTATTAGCTAGTATTAAATTAATTAATTACAATTTAAATTGAGAAGTTTTTATCATAGTACTTACTTAATTGATTGATTGATATAAATCAAGTAACAAAATACTAACTAAGTATATTTATTTATAGCTCACAGAAAACTCATTCACTCATATTTACTATTTCAAAAACTTCAAATCATAAAATTAACTAACAACCACCATTTGTTAAATAATAAAAAAAATAAATAATAGAATTAACAATCATGAACTAATATTTGTGTTTGATTTTTATTTTATCATTTTTCCTTCTTTTTAACTAACTAACTAACTATAAATAAATACATAATCCATAAATTTAAATTTCATTCTGATTTCTAAAATGCCATTTTGTTTATCCTTGCTTTTTTCATCAAATGTCTTTATTGTTAAATTCCTTATAGACACTTTCTACTTACAGCAATTTTCAAATAATTATTTCGCTATCAAAAAATTAAATCTTTGATTAAATATTTATTTTTTTCTTCTTAAAGGTTCAAAACCTATTTTTGTTTCTTTTAAATTTTCTTTTAATATATAAAAAATATTTATTATTCAACTAAATATGTATTTCTTTCTGACAGAATAATTATTCTAGAATAGCTCTATAAGAAATTAAATTTTAAAATAAATTCAATGAATAAATTGTTTATCCTGGCTAAATCTTTTATGGCGCATTATTTATGTTTGATTTGAATACTTTTGAAGTATGTTTTTGTAATAAACTTAGTTAGTTAGTCTATATTATGAGTAGAAAATAGTAGCTATCAAAGTAAAATTGTATAGATTTATGAAAGCATTAATTTATTTTATCTCCTTCAAAAAGAGAATCTAATTAAATAAAAATTTTCATTTAATCTCTTGATGAAGTCCTGCTTTATTTCCTATTATATTTATGTTCAAAAAAATAAATTTATTCTCAAGAAAATCTAGGGTTTGTCACACGCTTAGCTTAATAAAATGTATTAAATTATTTTTAGACTTTTTGAGGCTTTTATTAGGTTTAGATCATCGAAGTATTTTAACTAGTTAAGAAATTTTTTATTTTATTTCTCAATTGGACTAAAAAGAATAAATTAGTACATAAAATTAATTATTAGATCATAAATAATTAAGATATTGTTTGGTTTTACCAATAGCTCATCAGTAATTCATTATTTTAATTAAAAATTGAGAAGATAAAAAGATTTAATTAATCTGCAATAATGTTCCAATAATGATATTCCTTCTCAAATTATGTAAAGCTAATCAATTACCTAATTTAATTTTACAAATTTGATAAATTTTATTTTTCGCTACCCACCCGTTCTTCTTTTTTTAATTTTTGAAAATTTATCTAGACAATTAGAGTCATTTTAGTTTTATTTGAGAAAGATAAAATATTTAAAAGTTAAAGAAGATATTTTACTCCTATCACTAAATTAAAATTAATATAAAAAATAAAATATTTACTCTCAGTTTAGTTTTTATTATAGAATACAAGTAATTTTTAGTGCTAAAATTTCAAACTCTAAAAATAAATTATAAGTGCTAGCTCAGATTAAATAATATTTAAATTAGTATATCTCAAAGATGAATTAATTTGATGGAGAGTGAGTGAGTGCTTGATATTTTGATTAGTAGAACATGCAAGCAGTAAATTGACTAAATTATTGTGATAAATAAAAAAAATAAATTTTGTCAGATTCTCAATTTCAATTAATTAATAAATTATTAAATTAGAATGATAAAGAATTAACAACTAAATTAACTTGATATCTTAAATATTAGAACATTATAATTAAATTTGATCAAAAAAATTGTTAAAATAACAAATAATAATAAATGAGTAAAAAGATTTGTCTTCTCTTAGTTTTTAATCTGATTTTATTCGCTAATATTGCTAGCGGATAACCAACTTTAAATGCTTATTGCAATTACATAGCTTCCATATCTGGTAGATTTGGAGTTCAGTATTAGCCAGATATTAGTGCACAAAGATGCAGTTTTTGTTAATTATTTGAGTACACTTCTTCCCAAAATACCTAGAACCCTTATACCGGGTGCTTAACCTGTCCTGATTACTAGACTGGTTAATGTAAAGTATGCAAACCAAATTATTTCAGCACTCCTAATTAAGTTTGCGTCCCATGTCCTGAAGGAAATGCTTCTTGCTGTTCAACAAATTTAGCTAATGACGAGCCAAACTTATCCACTTTTACTAACACTATAAACTTATCAACATATGCTGATTACTCCAGATATGCGATAGCAGTTCAATTTTATTCAGCAATCAGAGCTATAAGCTGCTTGCCAGGGTACGTTCAACTTGGCCATGTTTGCTAAAAATACCCAGATAATTGTTAAACTGTGTCAGTTCAAAGTAACTCATTTTATTGCTCAGCTTGCAAAGCAGGATATTTCTTTGATAATAATAATAGTTGTGTTAACAACGGTGTAAGCATCAGATATATTTACAACACTGTTCCTTTTCCAGAAAATTTTGTGAAATGCTCTGGTTACTCTTCATATTCCACTTGCACTGGTTGCTAATCTCAATAAGGATAAGACTTAGTTATCAGATACTTTACTCTCGATAGCAGCTCCATTAAAATAGAGTAATTAACTGACTCCACTGGCCAAACATCTAAAACTTACTAAGTTTGTCGAGAATGCCCTTAATATTGCATAAACTGTGATGGTAATTATTAATAATGCAAGGTATGCGCACCCTATTACTTTTTGTAAAATGGAAACTGTAAACCATGTCCTACTCCTGATTAGTATATATAGCTAAATTCTGACCTCCAATTGTAAGCATATTATTCTGGATGCACTTCTGGAGATTCTTCTTATGGATCTTATACATGGAATACTAGCATCCCATAGAACATGTAAGATACATTAGGACTTGCTATTTCTCGTCCAATTATCAAGCTTTCTTCTGGTAAATATACAGCTTGTGATGTAAATTGTGTTTCCTGCTAATCTGACTAAAATGGTAAATCAACTATTTGCAATGCTTGTGCAAACGGCTTTTTCCTAGATAAAAGTCAAAGCCCATACGTTTGCTCAGTCTGCCCAGATCCAAACAGTGTTTTGTGTGTTTGGAATGATACTATTAAAATGGCTTAAATCATTGCTTGTAAGGCAACTGCAAATGATTTTGTCCCATACCATAACACCTACTACTTGCAACTTGATTTTAATTTAAATAATTTTAATTAAAATCCTTCAACTTATGACAACAAAAACTAATGTGTACTCAACACTAAAAACTGTAAGTAAATGATTAACAATAGACTTGGAGTTTAAGGGTAGTGCTCTTCATGTTATTAAAGTTCAGATTTAGCCAGAGTTTATCAGCCTAATGCAGGATATTAACCTCTTAATTACTATCTAACAAGTTAAAATAGTTGTGTGACTTGTTTAACACCAAATTCTTCAGATTGCGCCCTTTCTAGTGATAAAACATAAGTTGTTGTTACCAAATGTAAAGCTGGATACTAGCCTACTCCAATCTCTGATGGAACCTGTAAGCAATGCCCCAGCAAATGTCTTACATGCAATGATTAAAGTCAATGCACCAGCTGTGATACCTCTAAATATTACAGTATAACTACATAAGGATAAATTACAGACTGTTAACCTGCTTATGCTCCTAATACAGCTGCTTTAGAAGGATGCTTAAATTGGGGCAGTGGACCTAGTATGCCTTCAACTCCAAGTTGCTAGACATGTAACGCAGGTTATGTCTTAGTATCAGATGCATAACTCTAAACAAAAACATCTACATAAACTGTCGCCTTATGTTTAGCTTGTCCATCAAATTGTACATAATGTTATGCAGGTTAGCAAAGAGCTATCTGCAGTAAATGTAGTATTGATACTTATTTATCAAACAATGTTTGTATCAGTCTTCCAGATGGTTGCTTTACTGTAAAAAATGGTGCATGCACATAATGCTAATATGGTTATAGATTAGTTGATAACAAATTTTGCTTTAAATGTGTGAGCAGTAATTCTGCCTCTGATTTATAAAACCGCTTTTTCTATGATTGCCCAGGAGCTCAATGTGCTGCAGTACCCACTTCAGATTAGTCTGAGGACTCTCTCTCAACAAAGACTACACAACCTTCCTCATCTTTCTAAAATAAATTATAAATATCTATTTTATGCTTGTTATTATTACTCGTTTTATTATTTTGAAGCATCTTTTTATATAATAAAAAGAGTGAATATAAATAAATTAAATTAATATGTAATTAATCGCATTTAAAATATTTTATAAACTTGCCTGCCTGCCTGTTTGTTTTTCTATTAATCGATTAAAATATTTTTTATTTACAATTGAGCCTATTTAAAAGCCTATTTATTTCAACTTTAGTAAATGATACTCATACTTTTTTAAGTGATTTACTTAATAACATAAATATGAAATAATCTAAATTTATAACTAATATTTTTTGGTTTAGATAAATAAATACTCTTCCATTATTCAAGTTTATTGTAAAAAACCAAACAAAATATGATGTAAAAATAGTAAAATAAGTTTTAAATTAAAAATATTGTTTTTAAGTGAATATCTTATCACAAAGAAAGACAAATTCATTCTCACTTTTGCTTATTTGTTTGTTTTATGATTAGTAGAACTTTAGAGACTATTTTTTAAATCGAATAGTTATTTGATCAAATAAAATGAAATATGGTTCTAAAATTATTTATAATTCAAAGCTTAAGAACCACAACGAAGTATTCATTATAATTTAAATTGCAGAAATAAAAAATCCATAAAACAAATATTTCTTTTTGACTTTCAACTCATAAAATTTGCTTTGATCTCTTCTTAAGAAAATATTAAATTATTCACTTATATTTATTTATTTTGTTTTTTGAATAACAAATATCTAATATGATATAAGGATAATAAATAGTTTTTGTGACTTTAAACTTCTTTATATTAATATTTAGATATCTTTTTTGTTTGATAATATTTACTTAACTTATAAAATCAAATAAAGAAACAAACAAACAAACAAACAAACAAACAATTGATTCCAAAAAGCTTCTATTTTCTCATTTCTAATAAAATTGATAATTCGGAATTTATCAAAACATATTAATTTTAGAATTTAATCAATTTGAGAAAATTAAAAGTTTTAATGAAAATATCATTGTTGTAAATATCAATTATCTTTTAAAATAAATTAAGTCTTTCTAAAATAATAAATTTCTCAAAATACATCTTTTTGATAACGGGTATGTTTTTTTTTCTTTAGTTTGAGAAAATTAATGCAAATATTTTTTATTTAGGTAAAGCCAAACTTACATTTAATCATTCAAAATCTATTAATCTTGTTTCCACTTTTGTTTTGATAGAAAAGATTTGTAAATTCTATTTCTATTTTTCATAGGTATTCAATTCTTAAACTAGGTTTCTTCACATAATATTTTGTAAAAAAGAATTTAAATGATATTTTTGATAAGTAATAAATAAACAAATGCATCGAAAGAGTTTTTTTACAAATCTAATCAACGAAATCAACTATCTTAATTCAGATTTTAATATAAGGTTAATATTTTCTGAGCAAATTAAGACACAAATAAAATAATTTGATCAAATAATGAAAGTCTTCTCAAATATAATTTATTAATCAATTAATTATTTAAAAAGAAGATTTTGTAGGAAATATATTTATTATTTGGCTATCAGAAAAATATAATTAATTTTGTTTTCAAAAAATATTAAAATACATAAAAGAAATGAATAAAAAAGCCAATTTTTTGCTTGTTGCAAGCTTCTTGATAATTTTAGTCCATTTTGCTAATGGTCAACCAGGTCAACCAAGCTTAAATTAATATTGCAATTATATTGCCTCTTCTAATCAAAGATTTGGAGCTTAATATTAATAAGATTTAAGTACTTAAAGATGCAGCTTTTGCTAGTTTAGTGAACTATCATCGGCCAATAATTTTGCTTAGGGCTGTGTTTCTTGTCCAGATTACACCACAGGTACTTGTAACAACTGCAAGCCAAATTTTGTATAAACTCCAAACAAATTTTGTATTCCTTGCCCTCAAGGAACTACTTGCTGTCTAGGAAATAACCCTAGTCAAGATCCCCAGTTCTAGGCTGCTATTAGTTAGGCTGATAACTCTTAATCCGGTTTACAAACCATATACAATGCCTTTTAAAGTTATTCTGCCTTAAGAATGATGAGCTGTCTTCCTGGCTATTTTGCTTTAGGACATACATGCAAAGCTAACATTAATAATTGTGCAAATGTAGTGGTAAAAAAAAACTACTTTTATTGCTCTTAATGCAACACTGGCTTTCACTTTGATAAATAAAATAACTGTGTACAAGATTGCACAAAAATTAGCATTTAATATGTTTTTTAAGATAACACTTCTTAAATAAGCACCTGTAAAAGTTGTACTTCTGCTTCTACTTGTTTAACATGTAACTCAATTTAATATTTAAATGTGGTAAGATACTTCACACTTGATTATTCTGGTTCAAGCAAAACTTTAAGTATTGATGATCCTACTGGAAAAACTTTGCAATCTTATCAAATCTGTAGAGAATGCCCTTTAAATTGCATTAATTGTAACGGTGATTCAACTCAATGCTAAGTATGTGCTCCATATTATGTGTTGAAAGGTGGTTAATGCATAGCTTGTACCGTTCCCAGCAACTACGTCTAACTTAATTCAGATATAAGAGACTATAGCTATTACTATTCAGGATGTACTTCAACAGATGGTTCCATTTCTTCATATATATGGTAATCTCAAATCTCTTAAGGTAGCTTAGATACTTTAGGCGTTGCTATTACTCGTCCAATTATTAAAATATCATCTAGTGTATATACTGCTTGTGATGCAAACTGTGTAAGCTGTTAAGCAAGCTAAAACTAAAAAGGAACTACATGCACATAATGCGCTAATGGATTCTATTTAGATTAAACTAACGCCAACTCTCCTACTTGTTTACAATGCCCTGACAACAATAGTGTTTTATGTGTTTGGAATGCAAAGATCAAAATGCCTTAAATTACTGCTTGTAAAGCCAATCCTAATGATTATCCTCCTTATAGCTTGACCTATTATCTACAACTAGATTTTAATGCTATGAATTTCAACTCAAACCCATAAAATTATCAACCTTCTTAGTAATGCTAATTAAACAAAAATAATTGTAAAGCTATGGTAAACAATGACTTAAATAAAATAGGATTATGCTCTTCCTGCTATAGCGCTTCCGATTTTGCTGCTGGCTCTGGACTCCTAAAGACAAATTATATTTTAGTAAGTGGTGTATGCAAAATCTGTTAATAATCAGGTACAAAAGATTGTATAGCAAATTAAAAAGGTGATGATGTCATTCCTTAAACTTGCCAAAACGGTTTTCAACCTACTCCTATTAATAATACTTGTAAGAAATGCCCTGATAATTGTAAAACTTGCAATGACAACGGTATGTGTACTGCATGTGATAATTCAACATACTTCTCCCTGTTAGATACAAATGGTGCAACTAAAGATTGCATTTTACCATATAAATAAAAATAAATTTCTGAACTTGACGGATGCTCTAATTGGGGTTCTGCCTAGCAAATTCCTGACTATCCTTCCTGTCAATCATGTCAAACTGGGTATGTTCTAATAAAAGATGCTTAGATAGTTACTTCTAGTGCTGTAATTAATGCTGCACTTTGTATGTCTTGTCCTCAAAACTGCTCATAATGCTAGCCTGGAAACCAAAGATCTGTTTGCACTGCTTGTAAGCCTGGGTATTACCTATCAAATAACACGTGTTTATAAATACCTCTGGGATGTGCTACATTTAATGGTACTTATTGTACTATCTGTTAGTACAATTATAGATTAGTTGATAATAAATTCTGCTCTCTTTGTTATAGAGGCTTTGATGTTGCTAACCCATAAGACCCTCTTAGCATGAACTCATTTTTTGACTGTCCATAAGCTTAGTGCTATGATATTAACTTGAATTAATCTACTACAACTAGCTCATCTTATTCAAATATTCTTTCAGTTATTACTGCTGCATGCTTAATATCTTTAATATTAATAATTTGAATTTAGATTATTAAAAAGTAAATGAAAGTTGATGAATTGTTTATAAAATAAGCATTCATTCATACATTCCTAATTACTTACTTCTGTATTATTTGTTATTTCTTTTTTAGATTCATATTAATAAAAAATTTATTTTTTAATTTAACATTTCAAAAAGCTTTATTATTAAAAAATAAAATTAAAAAAAAAACAATTCATAAATTATTTATATTAGATAATCAAGTACCTGAATCAAATTAATTTCTTCTTACCTAACTTTATCCAAATTTTTTTCAAGAAAGAATTAATTCTTAAAATAAAAATAATAAATAAATAAATAAAATAAATTTAAATCATTAATATTTTATGGTAATTAAAAATTTATTTGTAAATAATTATCAAAAAAATAAGAAAAATTAATAAAAAAATATCTTTATTTCTTATCATACTTTTATAGATAAATATATAAATATGTATGTTTTTATTATTTAAGATTAATCAATAGTTTTTTTAAACGATTAATTTCTTGATATGTTTTAAGTACTAGTTAGTTAGTAATAATTTTATTTGGAGTTAATTTAATATCTGTAATTTAAGCGATAGATAGATGGTAATTATAATTTGATAGCTTAATTTTCATTTCATTTTTTTAATATGAGAAACAAAATAAGGATTTTCAAGTAAGATCTCATAATCAATTAATGTTAAATACTACATTGATTTTTAGTAATTGTTTGAAAATTTATTAAAAATAAACTTTTAGAAGAAGTAGGAGATGCTAAAAACTAACATGATTTAAAAAGCATTTAGAATAATTATTACTATATTTATCATATTAAAAAAGCTCTTTTATTCATTTTTGAGAAGATAAACTATAATTTAGGATATTTAATCCAATACTCTAAGTTAATAAAACTGATCTTAAACAGTATTTTCTAAAAAGAAACTTTTAAGATATGAAGACTGTTGTGCTGATGTAAAATTAGAGCTAAAATATTATATTATTCCATACTATATTGTTTCAAATTTTTACTAAGAGATATAAAAACCACTATTTTCACTAGTTTAGTAATTATTAAGACACTCTTAAATATCGTTTGTTTTAAATTACTCTAAAACTGATTAATATTCTTATAAATAATCACAAATACTTTCCTATACTAATTAAGTAATATTATACTATTACAGTTAAATCAAATTTGAAGTCTAAAATGATTAAAAGGTATCCATGAAATCTTTGCTGGCCATTTACATATTAGAATATGATTATATAAGATAAGACTATTGAGACTATTTAGTATATTCATATGAACTTTCTTAAGTTCCTATAATATAATAAGCGTAAATAAATTTGGCTTGGCTAAAATCTGAAAAAGCAGAAATTAAATCTTCTGAACTATCTATTAATTAATTAATATATATATATATATTTTTTAAATTGTTTTAAATAATTAAATTCAAAATTTACTTTATAGAGATCCTGATATTTTCATAAAATCGACTTATAATTATACAAAATAATACTAGACACAAGGTTTAATTAATATCAACGATAGACAAATTACTATAAAAATAATTTTGCCAGCTGTTAAATTTTTTTTGTAAGTGGTTAGACTAATATTTTTTTTTTTGCAATTATTATTATTATTAATTTCTAACTTATTACTATAATTTGTTTAACCTTCTTATTTTTAGTTATTTAAATCAAGAAATTTATTGCTTTTTTTTAATTCCAAAAAATGCTTTATAGCTTAAGTTGTTCTATTGATCATTTCATCAATCTTTTTTATATCTATTGTTGCAAATATAGAAAGTAAGGACTGCTTAAGAGAAAATGAATTAATATAAAATAGTAGAAGCAAAATACTGTAAAAGAAAACGAAAATGCTATAAACGATAATAAAAATAAGTATTTCCCACTACTTTATGGAATAATTTGTAGTGTGATCTACTATCAACTGAGCTAGAATCTAAGAGATTTAGGATTGTGTTTAGTTCTGATTATGCCTAAGCTCATTCTAAAAAATAAAATCTTCATTACTTGTAATATTCACGAACATAGTTAGAAGCTGTTAGGTTCTGATAAGTGTTATAAGAAGGCTGGAGTTGAATATCTCTTATGAAATGAATTTTTGTTAAACATTACTTAGAAATTCATAATTCAGCTTAGATTTATATAAATCTTAAACCCTTTATGAGCTTGGATAATCCTTAAAGATAGTCGCTGAAATATTTTTATATTAATTGACATTGCTATATTTTGCATCATTTAAAGTTTGAAGAAAATTTTATTAATCTAGAGAGTTTTAAATATTGAAATAATTTTTTTAAACTCCATCAATTAAATGAATTTCTTCTAAAAGATTATATATAAGTTTTTTCACATCATTTAGATCAGAATGCAAATTCTATAGAGTTTAATATTGTCCAACAAAACTATAATTTAAAGAAATGCTAATTGATACAGAAATTAAAACCAATATTAGCAATAATGAATCTAAGATATAGCCACTATAAAACAATAAATGTCTTTTACTACTAGACTAGATCTTATTTACTAACTGTATTCTTCTATTTATTAAAAAAAATATAAACGAGTTAAATTTCATTTTAATTTTGGATAAGTTATGCTTATTGATATTTAATTGTAAAATTTAGACTACTTTTTAATATTAAATTAAAAAAATCTTAGTAGTTAATTAGTTTTTTGAAAAATTTATGAATATTTTGAAAATTTTTTTGATTGCATTTCTTTTATTATTTCATTTACAAATGAAAGTAGGAAAATATAAAAAAATTCTAGGAAATTTCAAAGTGTATAAAGGAATTTGTATGAATTTTATTTTAATAAAATATAAAATATTAAATCAAAAATTGAAAAACAAAAATCTTGTAAAAGTTTGTATTATTTTCATTTTTGGAAATTCAATCGTTTATATAATGTATAAATAAATAGGGGAGAAAAATAAAAATATAAAGATTATTTTATATATTTTTTTTTTAATTTAAAAAAATAAAATTTTGTAATGTTTGTTTGGTGTTTCAAAAATTAGTTTGAATAATTTTATATATTTATATTTACGTTTATGATATGGACTTCTTATTGGATAAGTTTACACTTCCTTAAGCATTTTGTTATCTTTCTTTTTAATTAAATAAAAAGCTGATATCTGCAGATACATTTGTTTCCTAATCGTTTCCTTTCTTTGTTTTCTAAAATTTATTTATAGTTTATTTGGTTTTAGATTTTTAAGAATATTATTTTTATTTTCTTTTATCATTTTTTTTTTTCGTGTTTAATTTAGTTTCTTAGCTAATTCCTTTCTATAATTTAGAATCTTCAAATAGCATTTATTCAATACCTTAATCAATATTGTTTTAATGCGTTTGCTAACTATTTTAAATCTAAATCGAATCGTTGAGCTTTGCTTCATCCAAATACTGTTCAGCTCTACTGGTGATTAATGTGTTAAAGGATTATTTATGACTATTTAATGGGTGAAATGTGCTTAAATGACTCATGTTATTTTCCTAAATATAGTCTATTTTAGAATAAATCTGATCTTCTGCCTAAAATTAACCTTATCCAAAAGAATATTAAAGATTTTTATACATTTTTTTTATTTTAAATCTATTTTCTTTTATTATTGTTTTAAGTTTAGAAGATTTTTTTAAAATTTGCTTATCCTAAAAATGTGAAGGCTTTTCCTAAAAATGGGAAGGCTTAACAATAATAGAAGATTTTTTAAATCTTTCATCCTATAATGATACAATAGATTAATCGTAGAATGTATTTAAAAAGAAAGCACTCTCATCTTCCTGTTTATCTTATATATTCTTAGCAGATTCATTTTTCTATATTGGATATAGCTCTTCAAAGTCAATTTCATCATATTCTTCACTTTGGTTATAAAATTTCAAATCTTTTCTGAATTCCTTAAGGGCATCTCTTTTGCTTTATAAACTGTCAAGGTAATCTAACTATGTGATAAGTAAGTAATTAAATTTTGCAAAAGTAGTACTTAAGTAAATAAATTAAGCCTAAATCTAATAGAGATCGAAATTAATTAATTCTTAAAATAACGACTCATTATTACTGAGTTTAATAGAATTAGAAATTTATTCTTTATGCTAAGGTCTTATTAATATTGTTTAAAACGGTTTTCCAGACATATTATTATCAAATAGAGTCTAAAAAAGTGGAATTAAATTTCCAAACTTAACATTGCTCAGTTCGCTTTATTTAAAGGAAAAAGAAAGTATTAAATCGTAAAAAGCTTAACCCATTATAAAATTTTTAAACCCCTAATCTGCGCTTGTCATAATATAATGAATAGAATCTTTGATTTGTTTAATCCAGCCAGCACAACCAAAATCCTCCAATCCTATCATAGCTACTTAAATTTTGATATCATAAGGTATACTAAAACCTTTTTTATCTTTTCCAATTAAAAGTGGATAATCAGCTACCTTTTATGAAACTACTTTTTTTTAAATGAAGTTTGTCAAGATCCTATTATGGAGAGGAGCTACAACATCTGGCTACATAAAATTGATATTTTTTCCTATCACTTCTTTATTTGAGTAAACAGGCACTACATTCTCAAAGTTATTGGATATTTTAGTTACAATGCCAAGTTTAGTACTAAATGAAATATACACAGAACAACTTTCTTTAGATGATAGTGGTATACTAGTTAAACAATTAAATTATTTCTGCTAAGAAATCTTTCTTTCAAAGTAGTTATCAATGTCTAATACTAAATCATAGAGTCTACACATCTTTTAAAGTTATGTCTATGAACCATTTTCTACTATCAAACTTTTAAGAGTAGTTTTAACTTCTGATCTATCCTAAAGGAGTTTATTGCCAAGCTTTTCTAGATTGTCAAGATCGATTGTGTCTTAGTTTAGAGCATCTAAAAGTTTGCTTTTTTGAAAAAAGCAATTCAACATTTAATAAAATGCTTAAGACAGTTTCTCATCAAATAGAACTTACTAAATTAGTTAAATATTTTTTTTTCTCTTGATTTATTATGAATTTTCTTGACTTTCTTTTTTATTTTCTTCTATTTAAGTTCTAACTTTATCAGCCATTCTGTTAATTATTTAAATTTCAAACAAGTTAAACTTTTCAAAGCAGTTTTGCTATACTTTTATTAACTAAGTTATTGAAAATGTTTGATTTCCCATTACATCTTGCATGTAATTGTAATAACTTATTTAAAAGTCGTTTAACTTTGTTGGGAGTTCTTAAACATGAGTATTCAAAATACTTAAAGTTAAAAGCTTAACTAAATCTCTGTTTCTTTCATTTGATATATAAGTTATTTTATCCTCTTAGCTTGAATCAATTTCTAACTATTTATTTATTTAGTTAAAGAATTAAATTTAGAAACTTAAAATTTGATAAAAAGGAAAGAAAATTTTTATATTAAAAAAGTAATATTAATTTTTTCTAATAAATATTATTGATTTTGTATAAGTTAAGGTGTTAAAAATAGAAAATATAAAAGAAATTCGAGCATTTAATTCGCTAATAAATATTTTATAAAAGCTCCTTTAATTAATAAATTTTAAGCAATTTGGAATAAATGTTTATATTGAATTATATCATCTAAAATAATTTTAATAACTTTTAAATATTATTTTAATTTTTTTTCAAATAATAAATACCCAGAATTTTATGAATTATAAATATATTTAATAAAAATGATTAACCTTGCTTGTATTATTAATCCAAAAATAATCAAAAAAAAAAGATTTCATTTAATAGTTAAATAAAATAAATATATCTAGTAAGTATAATTAATCATTTAAAATCTAAAAATAAATGAAAACGATATTTGATTAATGGATAAATAAATCAATAATAATAATTAATTATTGAAAGAACAATCATAGACAGATTGATTATTAATCATAAAAATAATTAAAAAATAATCTTTTAAATTCTGATGGTAAAATTAATAAATTATGTTTTATTTACTTTTTTGCAGAAACATGATTCTCCTAACGAACAGTTAATCAAATGATTTATAAGCGCATTTTCAATGATCTGGGATAAATAAGTGTTAACATAGTCTTAATAAAATACATAATTTTATTAATTCATTAATCTTAAAAATTATTCTAGTTTAGAGAGATTAGAATAATCTTACCATAATATTGATTAGCTTTGAATATCTATCATTATACTACTTACAACGTAATTATCAAAAAAATCTGATAAAATACTACCAAATTTTAGAGATATTGGAATCATAGTTAATAACAAAAAAGCGTTGGGATATTGGCTCATATTTTAGAAAAAATATAAGCTGTAAAAAAGTAAAAGTATATTTAGAAGACTGAATTAAGTCAGTGTTTTTTTAATTAGCAGACTCAAGTATATTTTAGAATACTGTAAAAGGAATAACTGGGCTAGCTAGCTTACAATCAATGCAAATAAACCCATAAGAAATAACTCCTTAATAATTTAATTGAGTAGTATCGTTGATAGACATTCAAGTGCTTATACAAAGATTGACATTTTATTAAACTTTTTAGACAAAAAGTCATGAATATAAAATTCATAGTTATAATCTACTAGTTCTACAAGTAGACCTATTTATTTTATTAATTAGAATCAAAATGAAACAAATAGAATTTTAATTTTGTTAATGATAAATTTACTTATTAAAACTGAAATAGCTATATTTATTGTTGGCAGATAATAGTAAGTTGAAGACTGGAGTATACAACTGGCTATTAGATTAATAGGCTAAAGAGAGTAGTTATAGCTTTTTAAGAGGATTTAAAAATTATAATTCTCCTTAAATGGAATATTAAGTAAAAACATAATCAAATCTTTTATTAAATACCCTAAAAGTAAGAAATTAACTATTAATCCGAAACAAAAAACAGATAAGCAAATAATCAATCTGGATTATGAGTTAAATATTACATAGATGTCTATATTATAGCTAATCAAACTTTTATCATCATTTAAGTAATCTATTAGAGCTAGGAAGCTTATGTATAATCTGAGTAAGAAAGTTAACTCTTTAATTACCAGCAAAACCACTGAGAAATTTTAGGATCTATCAGGCTAAATAATCAACTTAAAACTTCTTTCTAAGTAATATTTGATGAAAAAGTTTACTTTGCTAACTTTGTTGTCTTTCATTTTATTTTCAGTTATATATTATCAAAACTAATTTATGTTTTAAGATTTATTCTTAATTTTGTTTGATAATTTTTCTTTATATAAAAGCTAGCTATCTCTACTTTTCAATTAAAAAAAAATAATAATCAATCTATTTATAGTTTATCTTTTATAAAACGAATGTTGATAACTGATATTGACTAGAAATAATACATATAGGGGAATATTGTATAATTGTTTAATTGCACATTGATTTTGAATATATTATTGAAAGCTAATTTATTTATATTGGTTTTGTTTTCTATTTAATTAAACGAAACATTTAAATTTTTATTAAGTTGACATTAAATTATGAATGATGTTATTAAATGTAAAATAATGCATAATAAAAAAAATTTTTGTTTAATTCTTTTTATTTATTCAACCCAAGCTTATATACTTCCCTTAAATAAATTGATATTATTTCAACTGTTTGCTTTGCTATTAAAAAAATAGTTCTATAAAGAAGAATTTTAACCTCAAATTAATGCATAATTAAGAAATTCTTAACTTCAACATAATATAAATTTACAGTTTTATTAAAGACTCATAAATAGATTTTGTCATTTTTTTTATTAATAAAATATATTTATTTATTTTTGCTAAAAATATTAAAATAAAATAATGTGCTTGTCAAAAGAAAAAGTATTAAAAATAATAAATCTAATTTAGCCTTAATTATAATTTCCTTTAATTATTAATTTGATTATTCACCTTTAATGTATGAATATAATTATTCATAAAGCTTGATGCATACAATTAATTAGGAACAACCAACAAAATGTATTTATTATTTTTCTTCTCATTTTAAAAATATAAAATTACACTATTTTACAAATTATATTTAATTTTAACAGATTTTTATTATCTGAGCCAAACTATTTCCTTAAGGAATGGAATATATTTAATATCTATTTATTATTAAAATATGTCAAGAAAGATGTATTGTTAATAATTTTTACTATTAAATTTCTATTTTTGTTATTAAAAATTACATTGAATTTAAAATTAAAATAATTTTGATTTTGATTTTGGCATCCATTTTATTTTATGCTAAATTTTAACTAAATAAAAAATGAGTAAAAAATTTACCAAAAATAAAAGTTTGTTTGTTTAATTGCTTAATTATTCAAAATTTTAATGTTAATTGATTTAATTGAAAATAATTAAAATATAATAACTGAATAGTAAGTAAGAAGATCTCAATTTAATTTACAATTAATTACATTGATTTTAAATTCCATATAAATATTTACAGGAAATTCAATTAAAAATAAATCTACTCAATAATTAAACGTATAATTTTATTTATAATTTTTACTCTCAGATCATTATTTTGTTTTCTTAATTGAATAATAATTTAGATCAAATAAGCAGTAATTATTAGCAAATTTAAAGAAGATAGATAGATAGATAGATACTTCTTCATTTAAATTTTTTAATATGAGACACAAAATAAGGGTTTTCTTACAATATTTCATAATCCACTAGTGTTAAATACTACATAGATTTTTTGTAATCATTTGCGAATTTATTAAATATGAGCTTTTAGATAAAATAAGTGATGTTTATGACTAAAAAGATTTAAAAAGCATTTAGAATTATTATTACTATTTTTATTAAATTAAAAAAGCTTTGCTATTCGCTACTTAGAAGGTAATTTAAGATTTAAGAAATTTAATCCAGAATTCTTAGTTCATAAAATTGATCTGAAACATTATTTTATTACAAAAAAGTATTAAGATAATTAAACTCTTCTACAGATGTAAAATTTGAGCTAAAATACTAAATAATACCATACTAAACAGTATCAAATTTTTATGAAGATATATAAAAACCACTATTTTTAGTTTTTTAGTAGATATTTAAGCACTATTCGATATCAGAAGAGTTAAATTATTGTAAAGAAAATGAATATTTTTGCAAAGCATTGCAAATATCTTCTTATATTATTTGTGTAATATTATACTACTGTAACTATATTATGTTTGAATTTTAAAATGTCTGAAATGTGTCCATAAAATCTGAAAGAGAGACTTACATGCTTGCATATGATTGTATAAGGTATTATTACTAAGATTATTTAGTATAATTGTATGCAATTTCATTAGTGCCTATAAGATAGTAAATGTAGATAAATTTAGCTTGACTAAAATCGGAAAAAGCTGTTATTAATTTTTCTGAACTATCTATTAATAAAATTTTTATTTGATAAGAATTTAGACAAGAAAAAAATAAATAAATAAATATCTTTAAATGATAAATTTAATAATTAATTTACTTTAAAGAGATCCTGAGATTTTCATAAAATCTAGTTCTATATTAATCAAATAAAATTCAATACAAGGTTTAATAAGTACGATAGACAGACAAAATACTATTAAAAAAACTTTGCTTGCTGTTAACTTTTTTTCATAGGTAGTTAGACTGATATTTTTTTTCTTACAGTTTTTTTTATATTCTTATTTATTAGCTAAATTTTACTTATTACTTTCTTTATTTTGGCTAACTTTATCAAGAATCCTATGTTTTTTTTTCGAATCCATAAGATACTTAATAATTTAAGTTGTTTTATTTTTCATTTCATCTAGCTTCTTTATGTCTATAGTTGCGAAAATAGATAGCAAAGAATGTTTAAGCGAATTAGAATTCGTATAAAAAATAAGAAGCAAAATGCTATAAAAGAAAATGAAACATCCATAGATGATTATGAAAATAAAAATATTATTTTACTATGCTTTGTAATTTTAATTTTAATTTTAATCTAATTCAAGAAGAATTGATGATATTTATGTTTACGTTTGATTCTAATTGTGCCTTAACTCATTTTAAAAAATAAAATTTTCAGGTGATGTATTATTTATGAACATGGTTAACAGCGATTAAATTCTGAGTAAAGAAATATAAAGATCACATTTTGATATTTCTTAAGAAATAAATTTGTTGCCAACATAACTAAGTATACTATAATTTAACTCTTCATTATATAAATCTTAAGCTCTTTATTAATTTATATACTTTTAAAAAATTGATTATGAAATATTTTTATATTAATAGATATTGCTGTCTTTTGCTAGATTTAAAGTTTAAAGAAAACTCTGTTAATCTACAGAACTTTAAAGTGTGAAATAATTTTTTTAGACTCCATCAATTAAATGAACCTCTTCCAGAATATTATATATGAGTTTTTTTACAGCATTAAGATCAGAAAACAAATCTTATTTAGTTTAGTAATCTTCAATGAAGTTATAGTTACTACTAAAGCTTATTGAGACAGAAACCACCAATAAAATTATTAATAAAGAATCTAAGATATATCCACTATAAAATAGTAAATGCTTTTTACCATTCGATTTAATTTTTTTTACAAGTTGTAATCGACTAATTTATTAAAAAAATAATTATTTATTTTTCATAAAATATAAATTAAGCTGTATAATTTTAATTTTTCATTTAATTAATGTAATATTCACTTGAAAAAGATCTTTACTGATAATTTTTCAGGGGGAGGAAGGGGTTAAATAAATTTTGACTTTTCAAATTCATATTTTTACCAAATATTAAATCTAACTATAAACTTAAATTATGCCATAATTTTTACCCTCTCCCTCACAAATAATTACTAAATTTTAAGTCACGCAATTGTTTCCTTCTCTAGTTTTTCTAGAGAAAAAATACTTCCACTTATAAATATAAAATAAGATTTGATATTTTGTTGGTATTTAAGATTGATTGACATATAAATATTAAGCTTTACAATTAGAAATATTTTAGCTAAATAAAAGTAAAATATATTCATTCAAATCAAATTAATTAAATTTTTACTTTTAGGATGTTGACTTTTGATTTGATAGATTTACACTTCCTTAAGCTGTAGTTTACTTTTTTCTTTAGTTTAGTATAAAGCTTATATCAGCAGATACATTTGTATCTTAATCTCTACCCAATTTTGTTTAATTTAAATTGGAGGTTTTTGCCATCTCTTTGTTCTTTTAATATTAGGCTAACAATTATTATTTTGCTATATCTATATATTTGCTAGAATTTTATTTTTGTACCTGATTCGTATCTTTCTTTTATTTTTAATCTTCAAAGAGCATCTATTCAATTCCTTATGCTACTGCATGACTCGAAGAGCTGTTTTAATTATTTATTTAATCATCTATTTTTGCTTCATCAAAATATTTTTCAACTCTACTTGTTATTAAAGTATTAAATGATTATTTTTAACTGCTACTCCTTCGCGAGATAGGACTTAAATTAGTATCAATATTTTCTTAAATTTCATCAATATTTTCTTAAATTTCATCAAATTTATTATATTAATCATGATTTAACGATTATTTGTTTCTTTATTAAATATTTTATTCTTGTAAAATAGACTTTTAATCATCTTTTAAATTTTTGTACATTTAATTAATCTTGAACATGTTTTATTTAATTATTTTTTAAAGCCTAGTAGCATACTTTATATTGTGGTTAGCTTAAAAATTTTATGGCTCGATAAGGTCTGAGTTTTGTTTTTGAATATCATCATTTTAGGAATCTATTGACTAATCATTATATGAATTTAGAAATCTTAATTCATCTTCTTTTTGCTAAATAGGTTCATTTTAAAAAGAAGGATTAAGCTATTCAAAGTCAATCATATCATATTCTTCACTTTAATGATATATTTTTAGGTCTTTTCTAAATTCCTTAAGAGCATCTCTTTTACTTGATAAATTGTCAAGATAATCACATTGAGTGATGATCAAGTAATTAAATGTAGCAAAGGTTGTACTTAAATAAATAAATTAAGCTTAAATCTTATAAAGATCTAAATCAATTAATTCCTAAAATAAAGATGCATTATTTTTAACTTTAATAGAATTAGCTATTTATTCTTTGTACAGTGGTCTTATCAATATCGTTTGAAACGATTTCCCAGACATGTTGTTATCAAATAGAGTTTAAAAGAGAGGAATTAGATGACCAAACCTTACAGCACTTAATTCACTTTATTTAAATGAGAATGAAAGTATTAATTCAAAAAAGCTTTAACCCAAGATATAATTCTTGAATCCCTAATCTGCACTTGTCATAATATAGTGATTTGAATCTTTTATTTGCTTTATCCAGCCAGCACATCCGAAATCTTCTAACCCTATCATAGCAACTTGGATTTTTATATGGTATGGTATGCCAAAGCCTCTTTTATCCTTTCCAATTAGAAGAGGGTAATCATCGACCTTTTGAGAAACTATTTTTTTTTAAATGAATTTCGTTAGAATCTTATTATGAACAGGAGCAACAACATCTGGCTGCATAAAGTTGATATTTTTTCCAATCACTTCTTTATTTGAATAAACTGGGACTACTTTTTCAAAGTTATTTGATATCTTAGTTACAACACCAAGCTTAGTAGTAAAAGAAATATAGACAGAACAACTTTCTTTAGACGATAAAGGAATACTCGTTAAGCAATTAAACTAATTTTGCTAAGAAATCTTTCTTTCAAAGTAGTTATCAATATCTAAAATTAAGTCATAGAGTTTACACATTTTTTAAAGATATGCTTAAGAACCATTTTCTATAATCAACTATTTAAGAGCATTTTTCACTTCTAATCTATCAATAAGCAATTTATTGCTTAATTTTTCGAGATTATCAAGATTAATAGTGTCTTAATTCAGAGCATCTAAGAAAATACTTTTTTAGTATAAACAATTCAACAGCAAGTAAAATGCTTAAGAGAGCTTCTCATCAAAAAGTACTTGTTAAACCAATTAAATCCTCTTTTTATTTTTTGAATTTGTCTGATAGTTTTAATGATCTAGTTTTTCATTATTATTTTGTTCTATTTAAGAGCGGACTCTATCAGTCATTCTGTTGATAATTTAAATTTCAAACAAGTTAAATTTCTCAAAACAGTTCTATTAAATTTTTATTAACGTTGCTAATGAAAGAGTTTAATTTCCTAAAACATCTTAAATATATTTATAATATAGTATTTGAAAGTCATTTAAAGTAGTAGGAAGTTCTTCATAATGAGCTTTTAAAATGCTTAAGCTTAAATTTTTGAGGCATTCCCTGTTTCTTTCATTCAAAATGTAAGTTATTTTATCTTCATTACTTTAATCTTCTTCTAACTGTATTTATTTATTTAAAAAAATAAGTAATCATAGATGAGAATCTTTTCATTTATTTATTTATTAATAAATTTAATCAAAAGAGGATTTGAATTAATTTTAATATCAAAATCAGATTATTTATTATTTATTAAAAATTGTTAATTTGAGTTTTTTAATTATTTTTTAAATTTTGCACAAATAATTTACAAATTCAATATATTAATTAATTTTTTTATCATCATAGCAAAATAAAAATGTGTTTAAAGGCTATAAAAATGTGGAATTATATTTATTATTTTTCTTTTAAAATTTTCCAAATATTTTAAATCTTTTAAGATAAAATTTTATCTTTAATAATAAATATTTTTTTTGATTTTTGTTTTATAATAGTACGTATGTACTTACTGTATGGTCTCTTTAAAAGGATTAATTTTTAAATAAAAAAATTATTTTATCAAATCTTTTATAATTATAACTTCCTCAAAAATTATTTAACACAAAAAAGTTTTTATTTAAGAGACCTTATGGTATATGTAATTAGTGTGAATAAATTATTAATTTAAAAAAAATCAAAACGATCACTATCAACTTTAATTTTTTTATATCAAAATAAAATTAATAAAATAATCAAAAAATTAATTAACCACTTTTTGTAAAAATCTATGTTTTTTTAATATATATTAATTTTAATGATTTTTACAATTTTGCAGAAGCAAGATTCTCTTATTTTGCAGTTTATTAAATGGTTGGTTAGGGCATTCTCTATGATTTGAGATTAATATGTATTTACATAATCTTAGTAAAATACATAACTATCCTGATTGATCAACCTTAAAAAATACTCTAATTTATCAAGATTTAAGTAATCTTTTCTTAATATTTTTTGACTCTAGATGTCGCTACTAATGCTAGTTATGGTGTAATAATCGAAAAATTCAAAAAAAATATTTCCTAATTTAAACGATAAGACAATAAGTATAAAAATAAGAATGATATTTGGAGATAATTCTTAATTCTGGGTATAATATATGCTGCAAAAGAGTATGATAATGTTTAGAATTGAGATTTAAGTCATTAATTTTTGTATTATTTTACTTAAGACTAAATTTGAATAATACAAAAGGGTTAAATGAGTCAACTGAATAATAAGCTATAAAATAACTCCAATCAAGAATAACGACTTACTATTCTTAGTGAGTAAGATTATAGAGAGGCATTCAAGCGCTTCGATTATTAGGGATTTTTTGTTAAATTTTTTAGACAAGAAATCATGAATATAAAAAGAGTAGTTATAATCTAATAATTCTACTAATAAACCTTTATAAGAAATGTAGAATAAATTTATAGTTTATTTAAATTAAATATTATAATTTTACTGAAAAGAACAGAAATAGCTATATTTATGGTTGGTAAATAATAGTAAACTGATGATTCGAGCATGCAACTTGCTAATAAGTTTATAGGGTAGAAAGAGTAGTTATAGCTTTTTAAGATTATTTAGAAATAAAAGCTCTCCTTAAATGGAATGGCAAGAAAGAATAGTATCAAATCTTTGATTAAGAAGGCTAAAAGCAATAAATTTGTTATTAAACCTAGATAAAAAACTGATTAGCATATGATTTATCTAGACTGAGAGTTAAACACTAGATAAAGATCATTACCTTAGCTACTCTAGACTAAATTATCATTTCCTATGTTTATAAAACTCACTAATCCTAAAAAGCTTAAGTAAATTCTAAGTAAAAATGATAATTCTTTGATAATTAACAAAGCTATTGAAACATTTTTTGACCGATTAGGATATATCACAAGCTTAAAGCTTCTTTCTAAGTAATACATTAAAAAAAAGTTCATTTTTTTTGCTTTCATTTTATCCTTCTTTTTTTATCAAATCTTGATTCAATTTTTATAATTTCTCCTTAATTTTAATTTATAATATACACAAATGATTGTTTTTGCTTATTCTTTTTGAAAACGCAAAATAGCTTAAACAAGAAGAGTTAAATTTGCATTTAACTAATAAATGCATAATTAAAAAAGAGTTAACTGATAGATAGATAATAAATCATCATTTAATATGTTGAATAAATTCTTGCTTTCACTTTAATATTTTTATTTATTGCTAATTTTATAATAGATAGATAGCAACATAAAACAATAAGAAAATTAATTTAAAATTTATTTATTTATAAATAAATAAATATACGTCATAATCTAAATTCATTTTTAGAAAAAAGTTAATTAAGTAAATTTTAAATCACTCTCTTTAGTCTTAATTTTTGCAGTTGATTTCATGTTATTGTAAGAAAATATAAAGTATTTTCTAAATAAATAAAGTAATTTATTTGATAATATAAAAAAATATATTTGTAATTATTTAATTGTCTAAATATAATATTGATTATTAGATAGATATTTTGTTTGACCCATTTATATTAATTAATACCCTAAATATTTTTAAGAGTATATTTTAATATTTCAGTTTTGTTAAAAATATGCTAATTCTGAAGGATGGATTAAGGGAAAAGGAGATACTCAATATAATTTTTAGTATTTATTCTTAAAATACTTAAGTCAAAAATATTTAATAAAAGCTAACAACTTTATTTAATACTAAATATTTAAAAATTAAAAATAAATAAAAACTGATCATTAATAAATGGGAAGATTAAATAAATAACTCAATCAATAGTAATTATTAATACAAATAAATGTAGATAATAAGTCTTAAAACTAGTAAAAAATTATCATCTAATTTCTGATGTGAAATTACTTTTTTTAAATTTTTTGCAGAAAATTAACTTTCCTAACGAACAATTAATCAAATGATTTAATTGCGCGTTTGTTTTGAATTATCTGGGATAAATAAATAAGTGTTTACTTAAGCTTAATAAAAAGCATAGTTTATTAATTCATCAGTCTTAAAAATATACTATTTTAGATTACTTGAATAATATATACTTCTTATAATGTAATCATCAATAAAATATAATAAAGTACTACTCATTTAGTTAGGTATTTGAATGACTATGAATAATGTAAAAGTTTTAGGATATTGGCTCATATTTTAGAAAATATTTTGACTGTAAAAAAGTAAAAGTATATTTTAGAATAATTTAAAAGGATTAATTGCACAAGCTAACATGCAATTAATGCAATAAACCAATGAAGCATGGCTACTTAATTTTATAAGTGAGCAATATTGATGATAGACAGACATTCAGCACTTTAAAAAAGATTTAAATTATTAAAATTTTTAAACAAAAAGTTGTGCGTGAGTACAAAATGTGAAGTTGTAATCTACTAGTTCTACCTACATAATTTAATAAAAATCAAGATGAAATTAATAGAATTTTAATTTTATTTATTATAAATTTACTTAAACTTTAATAGCTATATTTATGGTTTTCAGATAATAGTATGCTCGAGACAGACAGACTGGAGCATGTATCTGACTTTTAGATTGATATGTTAGTTAGATAGATAGAGTAGTTATTTATACATTTTTAAGAGGAGTTAAAATTATAATTCTCCTCAAATCGTATATTAAGGGGAAGGGGACCATTTTGGAATTAAAAATTTTTAAAAAATAAGGACATTCTATTGAATAAAATTTACTTTATTAAAAAAAAAATAATTTTATTGATATCCTCTAATTTAATATGATAAGTAAGTAGCTGGAATGAATTAATTCTAAATAAAGAAACAAAGTGAGTGTATTTATTATGAGAAGAGATGATTTTGGAGAAATATTATTTTAATTAAGGGATTTTAAAATATAATTCCTTTTTTGGAATGAATGCATTTAAGATATTTTTTATATTCAAATAAAATATTTTTAAATTTATTAAATAGGCATGCATGTGTGTATTGGAACTGATATACAATTTAAATAACAAATATCAAAAATATTCAAACTAATTAATTTTTATTAATTGATTAGATGATCCTAAAATCTAATTCAGATATGTCTGTCTGATTATGAAGTCTTTTTAAAAATTTATTCAAATATTTTTATTATAATTTGTCAGAATTAAGAATGTTGACTTGCTTTTCAAAATAATTTTTCTCTTTTTTTTGATTATCATCATAAACTATTATTTTTCAAATAAATATTAAAAATATAAATTTATTTTTAATTTATTACTCAAATTGTTTTAAAAATCGTGTTGGTTGCAATTGTCATATTAATAGCCTATTAATCTTACTGCTGCGAGTTGATCCTTACTAAGAAGAACCATAAGTGCTTTTTTCAATAAAATAACATCCTTGTACAACTCAAAAATATTTAAGCTTTTAATAACTTATTATTAAATAGTATTTTTGACCTATTCTAAAATGTCAATTTTTTATTTTCCACATAATTTTAACCATATTTGCTTCGGGTGCAATGATTTAATTGATATACTTTTTTTATAATTTAATGTAATATTTATATATTAATTCAGTTAATAATTATGATTTTACCTATTTCTAAAAATCTTTTCATAAACCTATTTTAGTTTATTAATATCTTATATTGCTTTCAGCTTTTTTGTTAAATAATCTACTAATTAAGGCATTTAAAATGTTTTAAAAGAGCTCCTATGAAAATTTTATTTTGATAAATTATTCTATGAATCAGTTTTTTAAATTGCTTAATGGTTATTTGTTTATTTAAGGTATTAAATGCCATTTTTTTATTCTAATTTAAATGGAAATTATGTTTGTTGCGACTTTGATAAACTTTATTTTTCTTGCAAAGAATTATTTTTTTGTTATAATTTTAAAGTATTCATTTAGTCGAAGGACAAAATATTATTTTAATCAAAAATCGAGGTATTTTTAGTGTTCTAAAAAGAAGATTGAGAGGAAAAGTTGTTTGTATTTAAAAGTTCAAAGTCTTTTTAATTTGAATATTTTTATCTTTAATTTATTTTTGCTTTAAACTAAGTAAGAATTTGTTTACTATTCATATCTTAACATTATTTTAATTTATTTTAGGAAAAATTATTTTTTTAAGAAACATATTCTTTAGCTGAAAAATTATATTCTTCTATACTTGAAGATTCTAATGTGTGCTTAGCTGAGTTTTGTGTCTTTTCATTATTTTTGCATTTACTATTTAAGCTTAATATTATATCTTATTATTTTATAGTCTAGCTTTTTTCTATACTATCTTTAAATTTTGGTTTGATGGTTGGAATTGCAACTGATTCTAAACCTTATTTTTCATCTAATTTTTATTCTTAAAATATTTAATTTAAAGTATCCAATCCTTGAGTATTTTATACATCTACAAGCTTTTCTTTTGGTAGAATCTATTCAAAAACATCTTAGTACATATTCTAAATGTAAAGAAGGAGAAATTCTTTCAACATTAATTTTTATGCAAAATGTCTACCTATTACGCCTAGAGTCATAAGCAAAGCGAAAGTGCTATTTACAAGAGCTAATATCTCTGGAAAATACGGATATTCTACAGATACTCTTTGAACGATTTCGTCCATTTATAATATTACTTCTATTTAAGTAACATTAATTTAGCTAAAGATTTAGCTTTGAGGTGTGTACTAAACAGGAGAAGAATAAAAAGACTTAGATTATAGTATATAACCTTATGTGACTGATGTTTCTTACTTTTATATGTTGAGAGTTTACATTATAAATGAATTTGTCACAGTTGGAATATAAATATGTCTAAAATTAACTTAATTCTACAAAGAAGTTGTATTATACTAAGAAGTGTAAAGTTTTAAGCGTAATCCTGCACTGTTTCCGTTAATTATATTGTTTATTTCTTCTTAACTAGCACAATTATCAGGAATTACTGTCTTTATTTCATCTAAGTCATAGCATCCATAAACAATAATCAGTAGAGAATTGAGAATATTATCCTTAGCACTTAAAAATAATGTAGAATTAGATAAATTAGAAAAGTCTAGACAATTGTATCCTGCTAATCTGGGATTTTTGCATTCAATTATATCTAAAGTAGTTAGATTTAGGTTACCTTTATTTGAATAGCTAGAAACTGCATAATACACTAAATAAGTTTTATTCTGCATAGCTTAAAGCTAGTCTATACTCTTACTAGCCTAGTATTCGAACCTAAATCCAACTAAATCTTCATGCAAATCGATCGAGGTAAGTTCTTCTGTAATAAAACTTTGTGATCTAAACTTAGGATCAATCTAATTGCTAATATACTAGTTAGTTAAATAAACAAAGTACGAAAAAACTAAGCCGAATACGATAATAGATAATGCAGATCCTAAATAAGTTCCTTTTTTTAGGTGTTGATTTTCAGTATAAAAAAGAAAAGGGGTTGAAAATAAATCCAAACTTTTGAAATTCATTAAATTAATGTTCTTCTACTTTATTATTTTATTAATTTACTTAATATTTATTTATATTCGATAACAAACAAACATAAAAACATAAAAACAAACATTAAAAAATCATAAAAAAAATAATTAAAGACTATTACAAAAAATACAATTAATAGATTCAGTAAATATAAATATATATTCAATGAATTTTTGAACTTTTTCATACATGTTACAAACAAAATCTACTAGTTTTTAAATGAAAGAAATAAAAAAAATCTTAAAATTCTTATTTTATATTTACAATAAAGAACAAGAGTATCTAGTCTATCTATCTGGTTGACATCTAAGTCATTTATAAATATTTAATTTAAAACTATTAAAAAAGGTTTGTTTGATCAATCTCAAAAAGTTTAAAAAATAATAATTAAATTTTAAAAATCAAAAAATTTTTAAGAAAATATCATAAAATATTTTATTATCTTCAATATGATTGATTTAAAAGCATATAAACTGTATGAAGTTGTGTGTTATCTTTACCAACATAGATAATTGACAATATTTATTTTTATTAGCTATAAGTTATATCTAAATATAACATAAAAATTGAAAATAGAGTGATTGATTGATTTAGTTATTTTAATAGGTTTTTGTAATCAAATATAAATAAAACTTTCTAATGATACTCTAAAAAATTTTTAATAGATTTATAAAATTATAATAATTAGAAATATCTTGAATAAATTCTACAAATTTATTTTGAAAGTATATATATTTGTTTAAATAATCTTATCTTAAATTTTAAGTTAATTAATTAATAAATAAAAATAAAAAGTTTTTATAAAAGAAGATCAAATAAAATAAAACATGATATAAAATTCAGCAATATTCACAAATTTAGAAAATGTATTTAAATATTTAATATAAAATATTTTTTAATCATTTTTTTAATTTAAATAGTTGGAAAACTCAATTTTCTTTAACATTAGCAAAGCAACATTAAAATTTAGGTTTATCATACATATTTCATATATTTTTTTCATTAAGACGATTAATTAATTAATTAATTTAATAGAATAACTTAATTATATTAAGGAGTAACTTAACTTTTTTCTCATTTTTAAAATAGTGAAAAAATTAAAAATTTGAAGCTTGCTTAAAGATTAGGAAATAATTTAGGACAGTATATAAATCTAATACATTTGATGTTAGATTTTAGGTAGTTATTTCAAATAACTTTTCTTTTATTCAATATTTCAATTTTTTTGTAAAGCTGGAATCCTTTAGGTGAAAAAGAAACATCATTCATCTTCCAAGGATTAGGAAAATGTGTAAACCTTAAATGTTTAACTCTTTAAATGAGGTAATTAATTTACTTAGATAGGAGTAATCTTTATTAAATAAAATATTTTCAAGTTCAAATAAAATCGGAGCTTCGACTTTACAAATATTGGCATTAGAAATGCAAAATTGTAGAAAAATCAATGAGTTAACAATAGATTTAAAGTATATTTAAGTTATCTTATCTTATCTTTTTTGATTTAAAACTGATAATATAAAATTAGTAATTTTTTATTAATTTTTTTTTCAGTAAAAATATCATAAATAATAAGGGTGCTTCTATAATAGGGCATTTAATTGGAAATATGGAATATTTAGAAAAAGTTATGCTTGATTTAAGGTAAAAAGATAGATAATTAATTAATTAATTAAATACAAAAAATATTTTATATGCTAAAATGTTAATTTAAAAAATATTTTGTTCGTTCTATTAAAATTTAAAGATGGTGTTCTATTGAAGCTAGTGGTGGATCTGAATTAGGAATAGGAATAGGAAATAGTCCATCTCTTAAAGATTTAGAGATTTCCCTTGGGTAAATCTTATTGAATATTTGAAATTATATTTATATCAATCTTTAAGAAAAATTTTGTTAATTTTGGTAGAAATCATCTAAATAAATATTTTTTGTATTTATTTGATTGAGATAACTTATAGTTTTATAAATAATCGCATTTAATTAGAATATTTTTTATTAAAATTTTTAATTATAAAATTAAATTAATAAAAGAGGAAATACTATTTGTGGGCAGGGAGCAACAGACTTATGCTTTGGCTTATCAAATTCTAAAAGTTTGAAAGCATTAACCTTGAAGTTTACAGGGTAAATTTATTTGTTCTTAATTCTAAAATATTGGAATTCAATTAACAATTTTAATATATTTATTTATTTATTACTTTTTTAAAAAGAAAAAATTAAATTGGCGATGATGGAGTTTATGGCATGTGTTCTGGTTTGGTTTAATTTGAAAATCTATAGCTATTGACTCTAGATTTACGGTAATTTATTTTATTTACCAAAAAAATCAAATTTTTAGATGCTATAGTTCCTCAAAAATAATTAAGATTTCTTCTACTTTTTTTACCATTTATTTTAACTCTAAATTTTTGTCTGGCAATCAATCAACAATAAATAAATAAATAATTATTGAGTAACTACAGTATTTTATATTTAATTTAAAACATTTCAATGAATATTATTGATACATGATTTAAATTAAATTTAGTTAATGACAAATAAATTAAAAATGCATTTAATTTTAAATTAATCAAACGGTAAAATAAATATTAATCAGACACACTAAAAGATTTTTCAAGATTATTAAAAGTTTAATTTAAATTAAATAATCAAAAGTAAAAGTAATATTTTTTTATTTGAAAAATACTTTAAGCGACAGTAATATAAGTGCTTACGGAGCTTCTGATCTTGGTTATGGGCTTGGAAACTGTTAAAATCTACAATTTCTTACTTTAAACTTAGCTTCTGATTATTTTTAGAAGTAGATAATTAATAAAATTACAATATATAATTAATTAACTTTTTATTTAAATTTTCAAAAGCTTTTAAAATAAAGTTGGTAATGCTGGAGTCTAAGGTTTGATATTAGGACTTAGTAACTCATCAAAACTTAAAACCTTAAAGCTTGATTTAAGGTATTTATTTTATAAGTTTAAATGCTTGAATTTTATTGATGAATATTTTCTTAGTATTTTAATTAAAATTTTGTAATTTTTAAAAGTTAGAATTAAATAAATAGAATCGATAAAGTATGTATCTCAGGGTTTTTTAATTTATTAATGCTTACAAGCATGGAGCTCTGTTTGAAGTAATTAATTAATTAATTTAAATTGTCAATTTAAAAACATTATTTGCTTAATTTAAGAATCCTTTTTCTATATGCATATAAATAATGAAAATAAAAGCTCAAATAAAATGAATCTGCAAGATTAGAAAAAATTCTTAGCAAAGACAAAGACTATGAGAAGATTAGTTAAATACAATGTTAAATGCTCTTGAAAAAAAGAAATTCTTATTTTAAAGTTGAGTCTAAATTCAAAAATTAAATATAAAAACAAAGAATAAATTAATTTTAATTAAAATGATCATTTAATTTTAAATTCTTTTTATTTAGTAAATAAATAAATAAATACTCAAAATGAAAAAATTTAATTTATTTTTGGTAAAAATATTTATCCATCCTTCCTAAATCTGCTTTCAATTTGTAAAAATTAAATTAAAATAAAAACTTATTTAAAACCTGTTTTATAGTTATATTTTTTAACTTGTTTAAATTTGTTTGATTAAGCTGAAAAGAGTTTAAAAGTTAAAAATAAATTTTGATAATATTATTTAATTAAAATGTATTCGTTAAATTTTAACCAATAAAAAAAATATAAAATAAATATCTTACAAAATATTAGTTAGTTAGTTATTAAATTCATTTACTTTTTCTTAAGTGAGAAATAAAGTAAGGGTTTTCCATGAGAATATCATAGTCTATGAGGGTTAAGAACTTCATCGATTAGAAATACTCGATTGAAATCTTCTTGAATATATATTTTTATACAAAATATGATATGTTAACTATTAGGAGAACTTAGAATATAGTTAAAATAATATTTATTATATTCATAGCGTTAAAGAAGTTTTTTTGTTAATTGTTTATGAGGTAGGTTAGTATTTCAGATGTCTATTCTAAAATTCTAAGCTAGTAGAATTGGTCTTAGACAGAATTTTCTTAAAAGAAGGTATCCAAGTAACCTGGTTATTAACTTGAAGGCATATTTGAATTGAAATACTCTATAATTCCAAATTGAACTGTTTAGAATTTTTATGAAGAAATATAAAAGCCACTATTATCAGTAGATTGATATAATTTTAAGCATTCTGTTATGTCAGTCTAATTGAACTAGCTCAAAGTAGAAGATAACTATGTCAAGGGATCACATATATTAGAGCTGATGGTGTATGTTATATTTTATTGTTGCTACTATATTAAATTTGAGTTCGTGTATGACTAATATGCACTCATAAAGTCTGTCATAGCACTTTAAATATTATTATATGATTGTAAAAGATACTATTCTTATTTTTGATTTGTATAATCATAAGCCACTTCATTTTTTCCTTCTAAATAATAAGTATATATAAATTTAGCTTGGCTGAAATCAGAAAATATGGAAACCATTCTCTCAGAATTATCTTTTTTAATTAAATAAATTTAAACAAATTAACTTAATAATTTTTATCTATCTATCTTAAAAGTTTTACAAATTTTATTTTTTTAAATTTAAAAATTTAGTTATTAAAAATTTATATTCATATTAATTATGTATGGCTTGTTAAATTATTTAACAGCATTATAAAATATAAAAGTGTTAAATGCAGAATATAAAGTCAATTAAAATTAAGTAAGTCAAATAAAAATCTAATAAAATGAAAACCAAGATTTGATCTTAACTTAGTAAAAAATTAATTAATTCAAAAAAAACTAAAAAATAAATGAAGATTTTACTTTTAATTTGTAAAAAATTAATTTTAACTTAAAATGAAGGATAAAAATTTGTAAAAAATGAATTTAAACTTAAAATGAAGAATAAAAATTAATTAATTTTTATCAAATAAAATATTAAAAAATAAATAAAAATAAAAATAAATTTATCTTTTTATTTAGATTGTTTGTTGTTTGTTTGTTTGATGATTTATTAATTATTCTAGAAAGTAAGAAAAAAATTACTTTTAAGCTAACCTTCTACGTTCATTGAGTTTGTCTCTATTTATACGAGGAAGTAGTCTATTATTGGCTTGATTAGAATTAATGAGGTGCAAAAGATTATCAAAATTATTTTATATACTGTGAGCTTTTTTTGATAAGTTGTTAAACTGATATTTTTTTTCTTGTAATTTTTTTTGTGATCATCTTTATGAGCAAATATAAATATGCCATCTTTTTGGGAGGTATTAATATCAAGTATTTTATTTTTTTTCTTAATATTTAATATGTATTTGATAAAAGTATTTGTCCTATTAGTCATATCTTCAAGTTTTTTAATATCGATCGTAGCAAAAATAGATAAGAGGGATTATTTGAGCTAAAACATATTAAAGTAGAAAAAGAATAAAAGAATGTTGTAGATAAAAATGAAAACACAATAGACTATGATAAAAATAACACTGCTTTTCTTTTGAGTATCATTTGCTGAACTTTGATCTTAGCTCAGCTAGTTGAGAATTATCGAGAGTTATGATTAAGTATTGTTAGAATTAAACCTTAATTCGTTTTAATATATGAAATCTTATGAAGATATAGATTAATTATAAAATAATGTAAACAAAGATTAGGTTTTGATCAGTACAGATAGAATAGTCGAATTAGGAACTATTTAACCATCAAATCTATCTTCGACATAGCTGAGAGTTTAATAGTCCATTTCAAGCTGGTACATCTCATTTACTCTTTATTCATTTAGGTAATCTTTAAAAATACTTTCCAGATAGTTCTTATATCTTTATATATTATCATCCCTAATCCAACTCAGCATTTGAATAAAAGATTATTGTTCCTATTAATTGGCCAATTTAAAGTAATTTTTTTGAATTCCATCAATAACATGGATTTCTTCTATAATATTGTACATTATATTTTTTATATTAGTTAAATCTGTGTATAATTTCTCTTTTGTTTAGTATTACGAGACAAAGTTGATGTTGCTACTCAGGCTTATTGAAATTGAAACTACTAAAAGTGCAATTAGTATGAAATCCAACAGATATCCGCTATAAAAAGACATTGGCTATTTGCTTTGAGAATATATTTAAGTGACCAACTGTCGCCTAAAATAATAATTAAAATAAATAAATAAATTCTTTTTCAAAATCTTTGTGAATTTGTTTAAAATTAAAATATTCTTTTTATTTTTAATATTTAAATATTAATTTTACTTTATTTAAAAATAATTAAAAAACCCTTTTATGGAATTAATTAATATTTTAAGTAAGAAGGATATCAAATAAATAAATAAATAAAAAAGCGAAGTGAATTGATTTACTTTTATGATTTTGTTTTTCCTATTGATTAGTTGACACTCCCTTCTGCACCTTTGCTCTCTTTTTTTTTCAAATTTAATATAAAGCTAATTTCTTCAGACATGCTTGTATCTTTATCATTAACAAGTTTAGTTTCAACCATATTTGATTATTTGACTTAATCTTTAATTTCTAACTCTTTTGCTAAATACAACTACCTCCTATAATTGACAGACTTTTAGGTTTTTAACTTTTTGTCATTTTCTATTCTCTACTCCAATTTTTCATTGTCAAACATGAGCTATTCAATACCATAGAAAAAATTATTCCAATTTTTGAGTTTCAAGTTGTTGGAGGTATTCATTACATTGCTTATTTAGCTTATTTTATTTTCTTCAAAATACGAATCTGCACGATTGGTAATTAGTGCATTACAAGTTTGCCTTTAAGTATTCATTTTATGATAAGCGCTGAGGTTACTCATTTCATTTTCTTAAATTTCATCTATTTTTGTTGTCATTTAGTTATCATCGAATAATGAAAAATTTTTTGATATAGCTGAATTTTGATAGGAAAATCCACTGTAAAGAGTCTAGTTTTTATACATTTAACTAATTTTAAGTCTATTTTATTTGATGATTTTCTATAACTTAGATGCATAGTATACATTTTTTTGATTCTTAAAGAAGGGAAGTTTTACAAAGTTTTAATAATCTTCATTTTAATAACTTGACTTGCAGGATTAGTTATAGTAATCATCTGAGAAAAGGTTCTCAAACTCAACTTCATCGAATTCTTCTGTCTAGGTATAATTTTTAAGATCTTTTCTAAATTCTTTTAGAGCATCTCTTTTACTGAATAAATTATCTATATATTCAATCTAGAAAATAAGCAGATAATTAAATTCAGCAAGGGAAGTTTTTATATGAATAAACTTTGCTTAAATTAAATAGAGCTCAAGATTTATTAATTGTTGAAACAAATCGGGATTCTTTTGTAATTTGATAGGATTGTCTATTTGTTCTTTATATTGGGGCTTAATGAGTATTGTCTAAAAGTGTTCTCCAGACATGTTATTCTCGAAAAGAGTTTGATAAAGAGGAATGATATTTCCGAATTTTACAGAACCCAATTCGCTTTATCTAAAGCAGTTTGCTAATATTAAATCATAAAAGCTATAGCTCATTATAAAATTTTTAAAAGTGCTATCTGTGCTTGTCATAATGTAGTGAGTTTGGTCTTTGATTTATTTAATCCAGCCAGCACATCCGAAGTCTTCCAGTCCAATCATAGCAACTTGAAGTTTCACATCATAAGGTATCGCAAAACCTTTTTTATCTTTTCCGATTAAGAGCGGATAATCAGCAACCTTTTGCGAAACTATTTTTTTTTAAATGAAATTTCTTAAAATTGTGTTATGAAGAGGAGCGACAACATCAGGCTACATGAAACCTATATTTTTGCCTATTACCTCTCTATTAGGTAAAACAGGAACTACTTTGTCAAAATTTTTAGAAATTTTAATGATTACTCCAAGCTTAGTAGTAAATGAGATATAAGCCACACATGTTTCTTTAGAGTAAAGAGGAATACTTGTTAAGCAGTTAAATTACCTCTGAGAAGAAATTTTAGTGTCAAAGTAATCGTCAATATCAAGAACAAGATCATAAAGTTTGCATATCTTTTGAAGTTACGACTAAGAACTGTTTTGTAAAACTAACTATTTCAAAACAATTTTAAGCTATTATCTTTCTTATAAAAGCTAATTACTAAGCTTTTCAAATTCATCTAGATTAATAACGTCTTAGTTAAGGGTATGCAAGAGCTTTCGTTTTTGATAAAAGCAGTTCAGTATTAAGTTAAATGATTAAGAAAGCTTTTCATCAAAAAGAATATTTTGGATTAGTTAGATGCTCTTTTATTTACTAGAAACAACCTAGCTCTCAGAATAACTCTATTTATTAATATTATTTTATTATATTTAACTACGAACCTTATCAGCCATTCTGTTAATAATTTGCATTTCAAACAAGTTATATTTTTCAAAGCAGTTTTATTAGACTTTTATCAGGGAAGTGATTGAGAGCGTTTAATTTTCCATTACATCTTCTATATATTTAAAATAACTAATCTAGAAATCATTTAACTTAGTCGGTAACTCTTGAGTATGCGCTTTTAAAATGCTGTAAGTTAAATGTTTCACGCAGTCTCTGTTCTTTTCGTTTGTGATAAATGCAATTTTGTCTTCTTAATTCAAATCAAAATTCAGCTATTTTAAATACAATTAAATAAATTAATCATTTTTTATTTTTACAAAAATTTATTTCTAAAAAAATAAATTTGTTAAATTTTAATTATCTTTTTATTAAAACGAAAGAAAGAAAGAAATAATTTATTTTCTAGAAATATTTTATTTATTTGATTGATTTACATTTTAAAATCAATGTGAAAAAATTATTTTTTTTAAGATGGTTTTTTTAAATTAATTTAAATTATAAAAAAAAAAAGATTTTTTAATACTTTGAAAATTTGAAAATATTTTTTAAGTTTGAAATAATTTGGTTTACCTTTTTACAAAAGCAGTCTGGTCCTATATAGCAATTAATTAAGTGATTTGCAAGGGCGTTTTCTATGATTTAAGATAAATTAGATTTTACGTAATCATAAATAAACACCTAATTTTGTTAATTAATTAGCCTTAAGAATCTTTCAATTTTAGAAAGATTAGAATATTCTTTCCACAAAATTGACTATTACTCTATGTCGCTGCTAATGCTATTAACTATATAATAATCTATAAAATTAGACAGAGTATTGCCTACTTTGATAGGCAACGTCACGAGTATAAATAGTAGCAATATATTCGGAATCTAATTACTATTTTGAGTATAGTATATGCTATAAGATAATAACGAGATATTCAGTAATGTGAATTAAGTAATAATAATCTTCGAAGTTTGACTTAAGTAAAGATTTTAGTACTAAGTCAGAATTAGTTGGAGTACTTGATTCAAAAAAGATACAACTAGACCTATTGTGTAAATAGATTAATTTGTTTGTGACAGCAAAACTATTTGGAAACACTCCAAAACTTAAACAGCTAAAGATAGTTTGTTAAATTTTTTAGATAAAAAGTCATTTATGTAGAAGCAGTAATCGTAATCTAAAAGTTCTACAAATATGCCTATTTATTTTGAATATAAAGATAAAATAATGAAAAAAAATATTGATATTTTAAATGTTTGATTTACTTAAGAGAAGGGATATGATTATATTGACTAAAGCTACATACTAATAAGTGGAAGATTGTTGAAAGCAACTGAATAATAGTGAAAGTGGGTAGAGAGAATAATTGTAGCTCTTCAATATTAATTAAGCATATAAACTCTCTTTATATGGCTTGTTGAGAAAGTACAGAATTAAATCTTTAACAATGAATCCTAGAAGCAAGATGTTTGCTATGAACGTCATAAAGAACGTATATACTCCTAAAATTTACCTAGAATCCGCATTAAATAATAGAAAGAGATCGTTTCTTTAGCTACTTGTAGAACCATCGTTTTATCCTAAGATAATCTAGTTGACTTATGCTAAAAAGCTGGAGTAAATTCTTATTATAAAATTGAATTCTTTAATAAGAAGCAACCCAATCGATAAACTTCTTCCTCTGTCCGGACTAATAAAGAAATTAAAGCTCCTGTTTATATAGTATTAGATTATAAAATGATCTTTCTTGCCTTTCATTTTTTCTACTTTATTTCTACTTTTAATTAATTAATATAACAATTAAATGATTTTTTTTTTAATTTCATTTAATTTCAAACATTAGTAATTTAAATTAACATAGAGTATAAAAACTAGGATGTTTTATTTCACCAACAAAAGTTCTTATCTATCTATCTATTTTTACATTTAATAAAATAAATTTCAAATTAACACTTCAACAATAAATAGAAAAGATTCATTTATTTCTTTGTTTGTTTGTTTTTGTTTTTAAAATTATTATGTAATAATAATTTATTTTTATCAAATATATTATTATAAGTATTTATATTAAAAATATTATAAAAAATAGAAGAAATTCTAATTGTAACAAATGATCTTTTGGAGATAATTAAAAAAATGAACAACACTTGGCAAAGAATATCTAAGTCATAAAAATATGATTAAAATTCAAATATCAGAGAACTACAATTAACCGCTTCTTCCTTTGAAGTTTATAATTAATTATTTATTTGATTATAAAGATTCTCAGTAAATAACAAATCATTTCAATTATTTAATTTAAAAAAGAAATAAATTCTTCTTATTGTATTCAAACTAGAAAAAATAATTGAAATCAGTTAAAGATAAACAAATAAATAAATAAATGCTTGATATTATATTTAAATATTTATCATATACTCGCTAATATTTTATTTTAGAAGTCAAAATTCATAAAATAATTTAGAATAAGCATAACTATTATAATTTATAAAGTTTTTATTCATAAATTCGCAAAATATACTGATTATATTTACCAGAGTATGTATTTACATATATTTTTAAAAAACAACTTTCTATCAATCAATTTATCTTCTTCTTGAAGTTATCTTAGGTTATTTTAAGTGGTTAACTTTAATTTGTATTAAATCTTGAATGAATGAATGATACAGCTATTTTATATATTATTCATTTCAAATAAATTTTTGATCAATTTAAAAATTTTTGAAAAATATTTTCAAAATATATTAAGAAATGTTTTTGAACCAAAAAATATAATTGCTAGTTTTAAAAAGCTATTAATTCAGTTAAAGAAAAATTATTTTAAAAAATATTTATTTATTCATTTTTTAGTAATAAAATAGAGAGAGAGTGTTTCTTTTAGCGTGAATTTAATTATTGTCTGTCTTTTTTCTATCAAAAAATCTAAGGAATTTGACTTAGATTTTATTATTACTGAAAAATTTTCTTTTCTGATGTTTTTTTTAAATGTGATATATTTTGTAATTTAAAAATAATCTTTTGTTATGATATTAAAATTTGAGTAAATTACATCAATAATTATTTATTATTTCTTAATTTAAAATTTTTTTGTCATGATACTCTTTACGTTTGAATTTGTTTTCTTTCTTTCAATCTCCAATCCCCAAGTAACTAGGATTTGATATAAATGTAAAGTAAAAGCAAAAATTCTTTCCTTTGCTTCTTTTTGATTTATAATCAACGAACGACCCCACTTTTATAACATAATATTTAAATAATTTAATTATTAGTGCATGTATATATGACAAACTCATCTATCTCCAATTTATAAATTGAAAGCAAAAATCTAATTTGATTTATAATTTCAAAAAAATACTGCTGCATTTTTGCTCTTTACTTCGTTAAGCTATAAAAAAATACTAATCTAACTTTTATCTTTCGTTTTGAGGAGTCCAAACAGATTAAGAAAATTTGTTATTTCTTATTTTTAAACAGTATGATTTAATAAGTCTTAATTAATTCAAATAACAAATGTATTTATAACTTAAATTTCTGGAGAAATAAAAAATTTAAATGTTAATTGCACAAAAATATTAATTGAAATAAATAGATAAATTCTAATACAAGCAATTATCTACTGACTATTTCTTTTTAAAAATACTAATATTTATTTGAATATTTTTATTTATTATTATTATTATTATTTATTCTGGGGAAACGAAATAAATTAAATAAATAAATAACTATCTAACATATTTTATCTTATCCAATCAATAATAATTATATCTATCAATTTTCAATAAATCCATTTAAATATTTTGATGAATGCTTTAAATTAAAATATTGTTGCAGAAAAGATAGCAAATAAATAAATAAATGAACATTCAAATTTAATAAATGAAACAAAAATATTTAATTGGTTAGTTTGAACTTTAAAATCTACAAAAAAAATAATTTAAATGTAAAGATGCAATTATTAAATATACATTTTTAAAAATTAATATGTATTATTTCAATTATCTATTATAATTTGCTTCTAAAAATTAGATTTATACAACCAACAAACAATAATGTTAAATATAAAACTAATCAATCAATCATCTTCAATTCAATAGAAGTCTAATTCTCATTGATAGAGATAGATAGATAGACAGATAGTTAGAATTGCTTTATACATAATTTTCATTTAAAATTGCTTCCAATTATGCTTTTTTTATGTTTTTGTAGATAAAAGACAACCAATCATAATAATTTTTTTATTTAAATTTACATATACAGACAGACAGATAGATATATAATTTTTTGATAGAAACAAACTCTAAAAAAATAATTAATTTCATATGATTTTCTACAATTATTTTAAGCAAGTATTTCTTAAGAAATTAATTTTCGATTTGGATCTATAAAAAATCAAAATTAAGTAAATACTATTTACAAATCATCATGCAAGATTCTGATCAATTTTCTTAAATTTTCGAAAGCAATTAATAAAAAAAATTTAAAAAGATCGATCTTTCCTTTATGAAACGATTATTACAAGCTGATAGATAGTTAGATACACTCACTTTTTATTGATTGATTATTATAAAAATTAAAAATCTTTTTTTATATAAACATATATTTTAATGTTTTTCTTCTAAATATTTTTTACTTATAGTATTTTAGTTAGAGATAAAGCCGATATTTGGCTGAATACCTAATTTATAATCCAAAAATAAAAATTTTAGACAGGTGGGGATGAATTTTTGAAATAGATTAATAATGAATGATAAATACATTTAAATCATCAATCTTATAAGAATAGATCCCAAAAAATAAGTTTAGGATTAAAAGTCATTTAATTTTAAATATATTTCTGAAAGCATGTTATCTATACAACTTAAGAGTAAAGATTGTTTTATTAAAAAAAATCTGCTGTTTAGATAGCGAGATCTATTTAAGTAAGGTATTTTAAGTATTTGTTAATTTAACTTTGAAAAATGAAAAACTAAGGATCTTGACTATCAATAGAAGGTATTTTAATATAAATTTTTGTTAAATTGATATTTTGGCATAAACTCTAAGTCAGCTGTTTCATATAATTGGTGTATTACTTGTTTAAGTAAAAATCTAAACTGATTTCTTCAAGAGATTTTTGCTGCTTTATGAATCCAAACAATAAGCCATAATCAATATTGCTATCATTTATAAAAAAAGCAACTTTTTTCAGAGTCTTAATTCTATTTAAATTCCAATAAACTTATTTAATATGCTTGATCTGATTTTCACCTTTCTTTAACTCAATATTGAGATTTAATACTTCCAACATTTTAAGGCTCTCTGTAAGTTTTATAAGATCCTCATAATTTGAGATACTTTAAAATTTAAATTTTTTAAGAAGCCTCATTTATGAAATAACTTAACAAAGTTTAGAAGACTATTTAGCCACTAGGTTCTCTTAATTAACTTCTAATTCCTCTAGCTATGGTGTAAATTATGTCTAAAAGTTCTTTGAAATATTAATAAAGCAAGATTTTTATATTTTGAGAGTTTTTAAGCTTAAAAGGTTGCTAAGGAGCTCTACTAAGTCAAACTCTAAATCTTTTAGAACTAGGATTTAAACATTACAAAACAAATCTTTATACTGAATTTTTTAAGCTATTTTTCCAATATTCCCAAGTCTCAGAGTATTTGGAAAACACTCATGTAGACTTATTTCTTGTTCTTCTTAATCTTCATTTTTATAATTTAATTCTTCTTTAGAATAGCCATTTTTTTCTTTTTTATTTGTAGAAAAACAAGATTACATAAAATTTGTATTCACTTGTAATTAATTGCTTTTTAATTGATGATTTAATTCTACTGCTTAAATCTTTTGTTAAAGTTGATTTTGGCAAAATTTAAAGCTGTCTAAACCTTCTTGCTTATCATTTATTTAAAGTTTATATTATTTATTCATTTGTTGTAACCTTTAATTTAAGTTTTCTTAATTAAGTTTTTTTGAAGAATCAGATAAACTTGAAGCATCTTTTGCATCTCCATTTTCCTAATTTATCCAACTCTTAAATTATTTTTAATCTTAAATCGTTTTTGAGTCAAATTGATTATTTCCTGATTTATTAAATTTTTGACTATCAATTTTATTTTCATCTGATGACAAAATGCTTGAGTGAAAAGAGAACTAAAATTGCTAATCAAGAGAAGATTATCTTGCCAAATTTAAATTATTTATTAATTATTAGTTGGTATTATTTTAAAGCGAATATTATTTTGATAGCTTGTTTTCATTATTATTTATATCATTATCATTTAAAGAATTATTCTAGCAATAGAGGAATTTATTTTTGTTAGCACTACCTAGAATATTAAATTACTCATTATAATTATAAAAATCCTATGAATTTAAAGAATTCTTTTGTGTGGTACATTTTGAGGAGTTCATAAAAGATAATTTTTTTGCAGAATTTAATTTATTTCTTTCATTATTGCATTTTTTTTGATTGAAATACAATTTATTTTTAAAAATTGGAATTTCAAAAGAGTTCATCAAAGCTTCTTAGTTTGTTAGCTCTGAAATATCCAATTCTATATCCTTAAGGTATTAATTATTCTGAAGTAGAATAAGGAATGAATTGAAATGCTAGTAATAAACTTAATTAATTTTTACTTTTATACCTAATCTATTAAGTTGATTTTTCTAAAGAATTTATTAAATATAAGCAAATAAAAAGGAGATATTTAAAGGTTTTATTTATCCAGTTTACTCTATTGAAATTTAAAACTGAGAAATATTTTATTCAGGCACAGTTAGCAACTGAAAAAACGACTCAAAGCACAAAAACTCCTTTCGGAATTTTACTTGAAGTGATATTCTATGAGTGTAAATGCTGAATACACTTTTTAGATCTTACAGCATTTCAGAAGCTGGATAAGGTTTAAAAACAGATAGAACTAGTTTTAGCTTTTGAAGTTTCCTGCTTTAATCAAAATATTTGCGAAAAGCCAAAGCTAATTTCTCAAGAACTTTTAACTTAACGAAATCATGCCAAACAATTTCAATCTTAGTAATAAATGGGTTATCATAAATAAGGTTGACAAAATTGTCGAATTCTGATTGACTTAAAGATGAGTAATTGCATTCTATTATAATTTTCTCTTGCCTAATTTTACTAATTTGATTGAGAAAGTAATTTAAATTAGTAAGTTTTATGTTATTCTCATTAAAGATGCTCATTTTTATTATAGACTACAAGCTATTGTATTTGTATTTTTTGATAATTAATGAAATTAGATGATAAATTTTGTTCAAAAAAAAAAACAAAAAACAAATATAAATCAGTAATATAAAAAATAAATTACAAGCTGTTATCAATTTATAAATAAATAAATATTTTAAAAAATTAAATGCTTAGGCGCCAAAAAGAATGTAATTTTCATTTATTTAGTTATGTCTACTAACAATTGTATTTATTTATTTATTTATTATCTATTCTTACAATATAATTTCTAAAAAAATAAACTAAAATCAATCTATTTCAAAAAGGTAGACATGATCATTTATCTTTCAATATTTTATAATTAGTTGATTATCTATCATAGAATAATATAAATATTGGTTAAATAAATAAATTATTATTTTATTTATTTATTTATTTATTTATTTATTTATTTATTTATTAATATTTTACTAAAATTGATCAGTTTGTTTTTAATAAAAGCAATGAATATCTTCTATTAAAAAATCCAATACTATTTTATAGCTTTTTTTAATTAAATTGAAAAATGGATATATAATAAATAAAACTTGATAATCTATTGAATTAATTTTAATTTTTAAACATTTAAATTTAATAATAAACTTAAGTTTTAATTTTTAAAAATTATATTTTTTGTAAATTTTTTTTCATGTTAATAGTTATGAATATTTTTTCTATTTTTGAGTGATTAAATTAACAAAACAAATATTTTTTTGAATAAAAATTATTTATCAAAGATTATTATTTTTTTAAAGTTAATAATAAAAATATCAAATTCATAAATAATTTCATTCAAACCCAAAACACAATTTTATTATTTTCAAAAATGAAAAATAAAAAATTTAAAAACTAAGATTAGATTTTTAAAAATTTAATTTATTGAGTTATTTAATGATTATTAAGTGGATTTTAAATATAAGGAACAAATTTACAAATTTTCATAATATATTTATAAATTAGATTTTTTTCTATTAGAAATTTATTAATTTGTTTAAATTAAAATAGAATAATAAAAACACTCATACTGAGTTTTAATTTAAATTTCTTTAAGTAAAAATACATATAGGTAAAGAAAGAAAGAAAAAAAACAAATCAACCTCAGATTCAACTTTTTTTTGGAAACATAGAATTTTTTTAAGAAATTTCAAAATATAAAAATTAGATTAGTTAGTTATTCTTTTTAAAGCTGAAATTTCAATCAGAATCTCAAAATTTAAATCGCTTGGTTATAATTTTCTTATTTGTTAGTTGATTTATCAAATTAGATAGAAGGAAAATATTTATAAATATCTTCAAAATAAATTAAAGTTTTCCTCTTTCAATATTTTGTGTAATTTTCCTATTTAGCATCTTAAGCATTTGTATATTCAGAAAAAGATTTAAATATAAATATTAAATTGCTTAAATATAAACCGTTATAATACTTGCTTTATTTTAGAATGAGAAATCGGATTATTTTTTTAGAGAGAGCCCTGCTACTTTTTGTTTTGATTTCAGTGTATTTTTTTGTTTGAAGAAATCAAAAAATTTGTTGAAGAAAATATGGGCTAAATTAAAATTTTTGATACAATATGAAGATTTCTGATCAATTATTGGAATGTAAGTAGCGTACAATTAGAATAAATTAAGTATTTAGCTCTTAGTATTTAGTTTATTAGTTTGTTGTAACTAATAGCAAATTTAAGTCTGAGCTTAACTAAGTAAAGTCTAATTTGAAGCAAATACTAAAGAAGGGCTTAACAAAGAAAGTATTTGGAGAAAAAATTGTTTATTAAGTGAAAGAAAAATTAGTTGAAAAAGGTCTATGCGCAACTAAATAAAATTTAAATAAAAAAAGTGTTTGTTGGTTTACGTGGAAATAAATTCAAATTGAAAATGACAATATTTATTTTATTTAATTTTTACTTCAAAATTGATGTGATTCAAAGAGCGCCAAAGAAGAGCAAATGAAATTTTTCAACTTTTATTTTTTTATCCAGAAAACGTATTCTGAATATTTTAATCACATTTTCCAAATAAATTTAAAATACTATTTAATCAAAGAAACATTTGTTTATTTTTATTCGTTCTAATATGCTTTTTAATGCAAATTAAAATAGATATATAGCTTGTTTAAAGACAAATTCATAAAAATGTAAGTAAATAAAATTTAATTGTTTTTCTAAATTCACTATTATGTCTATGTGAAACGGCTAAGAAAATTGTCTGACATTCTGGCCAATTCTTTTGTTTATTCTTTTTATTTGGTATTAATTTCTAAAGACACCTATTAATTGCCTTACTGATGACTTAATATTTTGCAATTGTCAGATATCTATGAAATACCCCAAATCCATTTTCAAGCACATATTCAAAACTTTTGAAATGAACGATTTCTAAGTTGATGAGATCAATCTTTTTTTGATTTCATCATTTCAAGTAAGAGATTTAGATTTAAAAATTTTAGAAAGGCGGTTTATTTAAAAAATAAATGGCTATCAGTTGAAAATTTATATGCACTGAGCGAGCTAAAAGTACAATTTCTTAAGCTTACACTTTACATTTACAAAAAATTTATAAAAAGACTTCTATTTAAAAACATGTAACATAGGATAAGAGAAAGTGCTGTTTATTATCAATTAATATAGATTAACAAATAAAATTTCTACAAACTTTAGTATATGAAATGATTGAACAGTCTTGTAAAAGAAATAAATAATCGGCGTAAAGGAAAATTTATATTTATTGAAATACTTATGTATGTATTATTCTTAATAAATTGTTGGGTAAACTACCATTAGGTGAAAGAAATTTTAAAGCAGCTAGAAAGGTCTCAAAAAAATTAGTGAAAATTGAACAGAAAATAGAAAAAGAATTTGCCTATTGTCTCAAAACGGTGAAAATGATGGCACTTTTATCTTATTTCTAATGATTATTTATGCAATAATTGATATTTTTTTATGTGAGAATTAGAAAAATGAAAGAAAAATTATAATGTATTATTAAAAAATTTATGATAGTTGCAAAATGTTCGGTAAATCTTTCTATTTATTTATAATGAAAGGGTTATATACTGATTAACTTAATGAGGGAGGTATTTATAATCAAAAAGCAATTAAAAAGAAAGAAAAAATTGTCAAAAAAGAAGTAAAACACAAAGAGAAGAATTATTATTAAAGCTTCTGCTATCTATCTATATTTACTAACAATCAATCAATATTTTACATATATATTTTCTAAGATTTAAGTAAAGAGAAAAAAAAACTCTATAAATCAAAAGAATTAAAGACATTTTGATAAGTAATTTTGAAGGCTTGGGTGGCAAGAATAAGACAAATTTCAATAGTATATCTTCTTTGAAAGATTAAACACCAATAAATAAAAGGACAAGGACTCCACCGTAGAAATAGACTTAATAATATAAATTAAAAGTGGTGGGAATACACTCTAAGCATAAACAACAAAAATTAAAAAAATCACCATCAAGAGCGATATCTCGCAGTCAGAAAATAATCACTAGAGCAAGCCGCTAATTAAACATTCGCAGTAATTCATTCAGTATTCAAAGCGTATCTGCCCCAAGAAGGTACATACAAGATTAGTTAATTAAATACAAAGAAAAGAAGAAGGGGGTCCAACTTAACTTTATTCTTTTTTGTGAGAGAAGAAGAAGAAGAAAAAGAATATTAAAATAACTAAAAAAGGAAAGCAAATTAACCTATTTCAATTCTAAGTACAATTTCCATTTTCAAACACCTAAATCAACTCCCCTCTTAAAGTCAAACTCTCCTCCTCTGCAGTGCTTCTCCTTACAAAAATCCAAATCATCTGCACAGAAAAAAGATACTATTTAGTAATCTTCACATTAAATTTAGCACAAATCAGCTCGAAGTTAGTCTTCTGAAAACGCGTAACTCCTAAATTTACTCTCGAAGCAATCCTTTCTACTAACCCAACTTTGTAACCCTGCTGGATAGCTATTAGAGTCTGCTTCTTATTAATTAAAATCAATACATAATATAGCGCGCATTCCTTAGATTTAAAGTTTTTAAACTCTTAACACTTAATAAATTTAGCACTCAGCAGAGCTGCTGCGTTCGATACAAAAATATTAATAACCTATTTAAAATATGGAAGATGAGACTTAATTCTTATTCTAAAATAACTATATGAGATATGATACATCCTTTTAAACTTCAACTGCTGCTGATAGCTTTGAATTTGAGCAAAAAGCCTAGGATTTGAGTGGATTTGATCTTAAATCTAAGTAAAGATTTCCGTTCAGAATATCTAGCATCGAATGTATAGGTAAAAAAATTGTGCTAGGTAGTGATGAGGGCTCACTTTATGCATATCAATAGGTCTAAGCCCCTTAAAAATAAAGCTTCAAACTATTATACTTTGAGCCAAATGCTCATTCGCGCTCTAAAGTTGTAAAGATTCTAAGTGTTAATGAGCCAAAGAGCAGAAAAAATGAATTTAAAATCTCAGAATCAAATAATTTCAATAGAAATTAAGAAACATCCTACAACGATAATATCATGAAAAATCAAAATTAATATCAATATAATTAATAAGGCTCTTCATATATAAATTAAGAGAATACTTTTTGCTATCCTTCTAACTCTACTGAGTATTTCTCAAGTAGCCGCGATAGTACTAACTCAAAAAAATCTTAAAAAGCATCTTAGCATCAACCATTGTAAATTGTTAGCTGTGGTTTGTATGACAGGAGATTAATTTTATGGGAAATAAATGGAAAATTTGAAAAAATAGCCCAGTCTTAAATGTTTAAAACTTTAATTTACAACTTATCGGTTGATGAAAACTTTGTATTTGTAGCTACATTTCGCAAGATTTATGCATTGAATTTGACTAATTTATAAATATGCATGAAATTTGGTGTGCCAAATTATAAATAAATTGAATTTTAAATTTCAAGTGTGGGTTGTCTCCCATTGTCAAACTCTAATATTTTAATAGCAGGAACTGATAACTACTAAGGAACTAACCAGTTCTTATCGCTTTGGGAATATCCTAAAGATTACAGCCTGGTTCAGTAAGATTTAGACCAATAAATGTAGGAGGAAGAAGAGGATTTGAATGCTTAAACTCAAGTTGTAGTAAATGACATAGAAGATTTAGATAATTTTGATCTTGATGGAGACTTCAATGAAGCTCCAGCAGCAGCAGAAATAAAGTCAAAGAAGAAAAAAAGAGTTTCTTTTTGGAAGCCTAATATTCTTGAGCATTGTCATTCAACTCGTGTTAGATAACTCAAGTGTTTCTAAAATTGTCCTTAATTTATTTCAGTCTCAGTTACAGAAATAAATATTTGGAAAATAATAGATGGTAACTAAGTCTAATCAATTCAATAACTTGGCTTTTAAAGCTAGATTAACTAACAAATTGGTTATAGCATATCTTCTCCTAGTCTTTCCACAGCTCCTTTCAGCTTTAAGACTGAGATTCCAGCTGCACAATAGGTATTTTCTCTCAAGTTTAATCAAGAAAGAAAAATCTACACTAATGCTATTATTGAAAAGAAGACAAACAACATCCTTTTGTTTGTAGATTCTGAAGTACTTTCTTTTGACAGCTCAAATTTCAAATTAAATTATCATCAAAACTTGCATTCACAAAATCAAATTTCTTAACTTTACTTGAATTCTTCAATAAACAACTGCAGCAACAATAACGAAGAAACAGGAAAATTCTAGTAAATGTACCCACACAATAACCATTACGTTCTCTTGAGTAACCCCCAAAACGCAGATCTAAACACACAATTCGCTACCAAATATACAATCGTAATTAATCCTTATTTTCTCTTCTTTTTTCTATTTTAATAGAATAATTAATTCTTTTTGCTCATATTTCCAAGTATTTATTTAAAGTGGATACAAATTTTAATTAAAAATCCTAAAAATATCACCAAAATTAAAGAACTTAAACTTAAAAAATGGCATTTATCTTACTTTTTTTATTATAAAATCAAAGGCTGTTTGCGAATTCGAGCAGAAAAAACAAACCAACTCCAACAAAGGTCCCAAAACAACTGAAAATTGCTTTAATGGAAACCAAATTAACATATAAACATAATAGCCTAACTAAATATACAGCTAAAACAATTATAATATTAATTGTAACTTCTATTAAAGTGAACAATAGTAAATATTCTAGCCCATACATGAGTCGAAAATTGAAGAAGAAGATGAAGATATTCAAATTTCTCCTAAATTGACACCAAGAAAAAAGAAATTACTCCAATCACCTATCAGTAAGCCTTTGTCATAAATACCTACAAGTGTTCCTCCAGTTTTGAAATATTCAACAGCCCATATAATTCCTTCTACAGCTTCATACACCATACTAATGAATAAGCTCAAATAAATTGAATAAGCAAACAACGCTGCCAAGATGAACAACTCCTCAACGAATTCTCTGCGTCGTCCATCATAATCCTCTACAAACATTCCAGCGATAACATTTAGAAAACCCTTCTCAAACGGTCCAAGAAGCAACAGCAAGTGCATTAAAAAGTAACTAAAAAGACATGTTAAATACTGCAACAAAAAGAAGAAAATGAAATAAAATTTAGTGAAAGTTTTTGCTAACTAAAGCAATTTAAATACCTAAAAGAAAGATATAAATCCTTAATCTTTGATGCTGGTTTAATCATAAACAACTGCAAACCCTTCTTAATCTATAAATGATAAAGAACAAACAATATAGCTACCTATAATAGATCAATATTTAAGAAAAAATGAATAGAAACAATATTTCTCCCAACTAAACATGAACTAATTAAATTCAAATACCATCAAAACAAATAGCTCCTATGCTAATAACATTAGCAAGAGCAGCAACAAAACATTTAAAACATTTATAGTAGCCCAAGATTCTGAATCTACCTTGGGCTTCTACTCAATATAATGATATAAACAACAACAATAACAACAAAAACAATAACCTTATATTAAAAATATATTTATATTTACTTACAAAACATATGTGATGAATTGATTAAAATTGTTTATAATTATTTAATTAATTAATTAATTACCAACAAAAAACAAACAAAAATTGATTTATTATTAAATCCTTATAAAAACAGAACTGTAAAAAAATCAAATTACAATTCTGATAATCTTTATCAAGTTTTAGTAAAAAGAATAAGATATAAATAAATACTAAATATCATACTTTATATTGTACATAACTCTTACCTTTAACTAATTAATTAAAAAACATAAAATATATACTTAGATTGTGAATTAAATAAATATATAAGATTTATTTAATTATTTAGTCAATAACTCAATTCTATGTAAATAAATATTAAAAATGTATAATAAATTGATGACCTTGGAATTATAATTAATTAAATATTTTTATACTTTTATTATTTAATTTTTCGCATTCATAACTATGAAAAAAACATCAAATGAAATTCATAATTGCTTTAAAACTAATTTTTTATATAGAAGAATAAACTATTTAATAAAGTTTGCATTTTTAAATTTAATCATTAGAAGAAAAAATATTTTATCATTCAATAATTTTTAATATTTGATGAGTAAAATCACAAATAAACAAGTTATTCTATTGATAATTGATAAAATATTAACCTTTAAAAATGTAAATAAATAAATGCTCATAATTGAAATAGATTCACAAAAAGATAATTTTATACTTAAATAATATTGATTAAATACAAGTAATATTTCTTTTTGCAATAAGAATTATTATAAAAATATCAAATAAATTCTTCTTTCTGCTTTTAATATTTAATATCTTACAATTTAATTTGTACCTAAAATCAAAATTAAATTTTTATATCTGTTTAAAAATATATTTATCTACCTATCTATCTTTCTATCTACTTAATTTATAAAGTATTAAACAGTTTTATTCAATTTAATTTATTTTTGAATTTAAATGCTTCATTTTATAATTGTTAAATTCAATGCAATCTTTTAAATTAAATTAATTTTTTTACTAAAAAAATTAATAGAAAATATATCTTTTTATCCATATTTTTGCTAAAAAGATGTAAAATTGAATATAAATATCAATGCAGCTATCCTTCAATTTTAAAAAAATTCTTTTAAAGGCATCCATCCATCCATCCTTCTATCCATCCATTCATTATTATAGAGTGGATGAAGAGTTTATTGTTTATAAATTAGAATTTTTAAAAAGTAAAATAATTTCATTATAAATAATAATTTAAAACAAACAAATTAAGAAAATAGTTAATTAATGAATTATTTTTGTTTATAAGATTGATAAAACTGGAATATATAAACTGCGAATAAAATAATTTTAATTTTAAGATTGATAGTTGAATGAATTTTATTATTAGTTTTATTAGTATTATTTGTTGCTATTATAATTATTATTTAATTTTTGTTTATTATTTTGTTTTTCAGAGAGAGCAAAAAAATAGATTAATTAATTAGTTGAAAAAGATATTCTAGTCTACACCAAAACAAATTAGCTAGCTAACAATTGTCCCTAGTTTTATAATCTTCATCACTTACATATATACTTACTAACTTTTATTTATATCAGAAAACTTGTTTACTTATATGAATAATTGCTCGCCAGCTTGATTTTTTGATATGTGAAACAAACCATGATATTTAGAACAAAATTTAAATAGTGAATGTATAAATTTAATTATTTCCTCTCACTGTTTAATGTCAAGGACTGTTTCTATTTCGTCCCATTCGCTTTAGAAGTTAGGGTCGAATTTTTGCTTGAATTTTATGGCTGGGATTTTGCTCTTTTTATCTTTTTGGGAGTAGTTCTTGGGTTCAAGAAGACCTTTTCTGAATACTGATTCGTATTCATCTCTAAGTAAGCTGCCTGCAGGTTAAACAGTACGTAAATTATCAGGTAAGTCTTCTTCTAAAACAAAGTCTTAGCCTTTTTGATTGTATCTTTTCTTGCCAAGCTTTTCAGGCTTAAAGTTATACCCAAGCTTTTCTTTAATTTGGTTATCAGCTTCCTTCTTCTTTTTAAGATTTTCTATATGAGCTTACTGTTCTAACTCGTCTTAAGTTAATTCTTTTTTAAATTGCTTGATTAAGTTTGCTTGATGGGCAAGACGTCTTTCTTCTTTCTTTTATAATTAGACGGGATTCATAGCTTGTTCTCTTTTCATTTTTTGTACTTACAAGTAAACCTTTAAGTCTTTTTTTTTCTTTCTGAGCTTTTAAATTTTTTATAAGTTTCTATCTTTAAGGTCCTCATCCTCCAAACGGATAGCTTCTTCGATTGTTTCTTAGTGATCCTTGAAAGAAGGGTTATAGCTCATACCGCTAGTAGGAATTATAAGGTGAGCGACTTTTTACTTCTTTTATATTAAAGGTTTTTTAGTCTCTTTTTCAGCTTCTTCGTCCCAAGCGTCACTAACTTATTCTTCTTCTTGATTATTAAGTTCTTCTTGAATTTTATCGTCATCCTTTTTAGGTTTAATTTAATTTTCTTTTAACTTTTTAGCTAAGATTTTGAGCTTCTTTTCTTCGTTTTTAGAATTATTGGAGTCATCAATTTTTTTGTGGAATCTGTCCTTTTCCAAAACAATTTTCATTTTCTTATCACCTGTGGTATCGATAGAAAAAGTGACTATTTCATTCTTCTCTATTTTCTCTTTAGCTTGATTTTCATCGAATTCTTTCTTATTTTCCTAGATGATTTTTTCGTGCAAATCAGAGGCATCCAAGTTCTTTCTCCATCTTTTGGTACCCTTAGTTGCGTTGTAATTTTTCTTCTTTAGCAATGCACTCATTTGTTGTTTTTTACTTATTTAATTAATTAATTGAATTATTTATAAATCAATAAGTTATTATCCTCAAAAAGGATTTTGCAATTTCTTAATTATATACAGCTATAAATCTTATAAATTGCTTTGTGTGTTAGCTAATTAATTTATTAATATATTAATAAACACACAAACCCCGATGCATAAATTTACTATTTGATTCATTCATTTTAACTTTCATAGCAAAATGAATAGAAATATTGCAATCAACCCTTTCATTTGATAATAACTTTGAAAGTCATTCATTCATCTCATTGATTTTAATTTGATCTGTATTTAATTTTACTCTCTCCTAAGCTCTATTTGCTCTGTTTGGATTTTACCAAAGATTCTATCTAACTCCTACTTAGAATTTATCTAATTCTACACATCAAAAAATCTAAATATTAATCTTCTTCAAATTTACTTTTATACAAAAATATACATTTTTACTAATTCGATTATTTTAACACATTTATTTTTAAAATTTTCTTTAAACCAAATTTTAACAAAAGATAATTAAAATAATATTAATTTTAATTTATTTTAACTTTTCAATATTTTACAAAAAAAATTAATAAATAATATTGATAATAAATTTAACATTTAAAATTATTATCTAAAATATAATTAATGATAGTTATTTATACTAACTAAGTTAATGCTTTTATAATAAATTATTATTATATTTTATTAAAAAAGTAAACTCTATAAATTAATTATTTACATCTAATAAAATACAATTTATATTCAATATTATTTATTTGATTTAATTTTTTTTAGTAATATTTTTCATAATATATTTCTTATTTGCTAAAATAAAATTGTTAGTGGATTTATTGGATTCAATTTTAAGTTTTAATTTTGAATGATTCTCATTTTATCTAGGATAAAAATTAATTTTTTTAATTTATTTAAGAACTATCTATTAAGATAGTAGCTTTATTAGTTTAAAGTAAATACATCAGTTTTTATAACATTTTAATGTAAATTTAATAATATATTTTTAATTTTTTTAGCATAATAAACATCAATAAATTTTATTTATGCTAAGAGCTATTGCAATATGAGTGCAGAATTATTTTAAGGCATTGTCAAAGGAACTATCTAACCCCATAAAAGGCGAGCTAGAAAATGTGAATTCATCCTACACAGAAGAAGTCCTATTACATTTTTTTACAGGAACCTCAATTATGGCTACTGTTTATTAATTGTTTTGAATTGGAATAATCTATATTGGTAGGATACTGTATAAATCTACCAAGGGATCGAAATTATCAGTGTTTTTTATATTTTGGACTATCATAGTTTAGTTTACTTACAATACCTATTTGTTTAACATAAAAATTAAAAATTTAACAAAAAGATTAAAAAATTATTATAACTTACATGCCCAGCCCAGCCATGCTATTTAGAAAATTCTTAATTTTTATCATTTTTTAATGTTTCATTTTATACAAAATAAAACTTAAATTGAGTTATTGTAAAGATTTTATGCAGCCAAGTACTAATACAATTTGTGAACTAAATTTTATCTAAGCATTAAACTAAACTCAAAAATGCTTCTTATAAAAAATCTTTATACCTATTTTCCATTAATTTAATTCTCATCTCTCTTATCCTTTATTATAAAATGAATTTAATAGTAAAAAGGACATATAAAATTCAAACAAAGTAAGCTAATTAATCAATCAATTAATCAAAATAAATAAATAAATTATTTACCTTGCTACTTAGTTATTTAAAAATTGGGATATAATTACAGCACAATATTCATCATCTACTGAAAAAACCTTGCTTTTTGATCCTGTTATTTCTAAAATTCCAATAGTTTGCTTCTTTATTCCACTAAATGTCAATGGGATGCATAAACAAGTTTTCGAATAAATAAAATTATCCAATTTCTCATTCTGTAAACCTTATTTTTTTGCATTATTTTAAAGCTGCGTTTCCTGCACTATTTACTGATAGACAACAAAATCTTAATTTTCAGATTTATTTGAGGCTAGCTAGTGTTTTATTATTTCACTAAAGAGCCCTTTGCAATTAAGTGCTCTTTCTTCAATATTATTTTCATTTATGGTAAAAAATATTCCTAAGTTTAAATAAAAATAAAATTAATTTTATCTATCTTTTTTATTAAAATATTTTTAGATCTTTAAATTAAATTCCAACCAAATTCTTTTATTCTAATTATTTTTTTTTCTTTAAAAGTTTTGTATATAAATCTAATGATTAAAATAATTTCTACCAAAAATATCTTTAAAAATAATTAAAATTAAAATTATTAGTGTGAGGTTAATTATGAGATTAACTAATAATCTTATTTACTATTTTTTAAAGTTATTTTTACCTGTTAGTTAATCATAAAGCCATACGTGAGCTTATTTGCATTTAAAAATCTATTTTAGTTCAATATTTGTTTGGTTGAGTAAATCATCTATATTATCAATCCTTTCTAATTGATGAACAAGTTAACTAATTTTATTACACCTTTCTGCAAAATCATTTAAGAGTAGATATTATGACAAAATGAGCTTAACATACTCTGATTTTCTTTTTTCATCTTTCATTTCATTATATTATTCCAAAAATATGTTTGATCCATGTTCTAACAAGTCTACTACCAAAGATTTATATTCGTTTCTCAGTTAATTTACCCTGAAATCTAACTTAATTTAATAATCAAATGAGATTTAAATCATCAAAACTTACAAGTATAACAAAATTTTTCATCTTAATAATGCAAGAATTACATACAATTTTAACAAATTAAATTCATAGAAAACAAATTTAAAAATTATGAAAAATTAAAAAGTAAATAAATAATTTTTATTGATTTATTTTTAAAAAAAAATTAATTTATTTACTTTTTCTGGTAGCTCGTCATTTTAAAGGATTGATCCATTTTCTTTGTAGTTATTGTTAATATTTTTGCTTATCTTAAGATTGCTATTCTCTAAGAATATTTCATCTATTTCTTTGATTGAAACTCTTGATTTAAGGAATTCTATTTTTTAACTTAGTAAATTTAGTTTTTGATTTAATTTTAATTTGATATCTGTTAATCTCTTTAGTTCTTCATCTTTCTTCATGTTATCTCTTTTAAGATTTTCGTTTTCTTTAACTAGCTCGGTGACAACTTTTCTGATGTTCTAAGACTTAGGTATTTGCTATTCATCTTATTTTTAAATATTTTTTGTTTGTTTGTTTTCTACTCATTTAATATTAAATGAAATTTAAATAAATTACTTAGATAGTCAGATGATAGTATGAAATCAAGTCTTTGTTCAAGCTGTTCAATAATCTTCTTTTGATTCAGTATTACTTTTTTGTTCAAATTAAGCTCTTTTATGCTTTTAAGATATTTTTCTTTTATTTCATCACTTTTATAATTTGTTAGTTAGAACTTCTCTTAAAAGAAAGACAGCTTATCATTTAATTTCTAATTAAGAAGGTTTATTTAGCTGATTTTATTGCTTTGCTTGATACTCAAATTAATCATTTTTGATAATTCTAACTCAGTTTTACAAGTTGAAGATAAAAAAACAAGTAATTCCTCCATAGTAGAATCAACTTTATCACTGTCGTTATTCTATATTATAAAAAAGCACTTAATAATAAATAAACAGCTTCATATTTTATTTTTTTTGTATTTTAAAATAACTTTTCAAGTTTTAAAATAGATAATAAGCTTTGAATATCCATGGGTGATGTGAAACTCATAACTTTAAATATTCACTTAAATTAATTAAACCTAAATTTGAAATGATAAAAAAATAAAATGGTAATTTTACGCGAATATTTTCAAGTACGTCTAATACTTTGATAGATAATTGCTAAAAATTGTTTTAAAGTGCAATATTTCTTTCTATTTAAGCTTCTATCATTTAATCGTTAGTGTTTATTGTTAGCATTGAGCTATCTATTTTTTTGAATTCAATACCGCTTTAAGAATACTCTGTTTTCAATCTATTAAGTTTGGGTAGGTTTTAGCTAAATGCTAACTTCAAATTTTGAGAGGAATCAAGATTTATTTTAGGAACAAATATTTATTAACTTGAAAAATTCTTTGGAGATTTTAATGAATTTTCAAATAATTTTTTTTCTGATGTTGGCTAAGTTTCATTCCAACTAAATTTTCTTTCATTTATAAAACCTAATTTGGTGCTATTTAAATTGAAATTTTGAGAGTTTTCATCTGTCATTATACTATTTAAATTTTTTTTGCCAACTTTTTTATTATTCAATTAACGCTACGTCAAGCTCATAGACTCATTTAGTATTTTTTTGAGTTTCTCTTTGTTAATTAATTCTTTGGATTAGCTGCTAAACATAGTCTTTAATGAATCAAAAAAACTATTATTTATTAATTTTCTATAATTTTAAGTTTTAACAACTAATTAATTTGTTAATAAAAACTAACAATTAATTTAGTAGAATCTCCTCCTCGCTTGATTAAAATAAAAAATCTATAAGTAAGATTTGATAGTAGAAATTAGATATTGCTTTCAATTATAACAGAAAGCAATTAAGCTTTTTAGCAAACCTTTATTTATTTATTTCTTTCTATCTAATTTTAATAAAATAATCTAAATTTTTAAATTAAAAATCAATAAATATTTTATAGTAAATTCATTTTTTCTGAAATAGGAAATAATTTAGCATTTAATGAACTTAAAATAATTGAAAAAACAATTTATGTATTAAATTATTTTGATAGTTTGTTATTGATTTTATCTAAAGAAAAGTATTTCGTTTATTTTTCCATGACTTGTAAATCAAAATAAAATATTTCATAAATAAATAAATTAGATAAACAAAATTAAAAATAATTGAAAAAATAAATTCTTTACTAAAAAAATATTTATTTATTAAATTATTTTGATAGTTTTTATTTATTTTATCTAAAGAAAAGTATTTCATTTATTTTTTCATTTTTTTGTAAATCAAAATAAAATATTTCATAAATAAATAAATTAGATAAACAAAATTAAAAATAATTGAAAAAATAAATTCTTTACTAAAAAAATATTTATTTATTAAATTATTTTGATAGTTTTTATTTATTTTATCTAAAGAAAAGTATTTCATTTATTTTTTCATTTAAATAAATCAAAATAAAATATTTCATTAATAAATAAATAGATAAGCAAAATTATTCATTAAATAAAATATTTTAAATTATTTTTAATGATCTATTTTTAAATTATTTTTTAAAATGATCTATTTTTAAATTATAAAAAAGACTTAGATTGTTTTGAGTAAAATTATAGTTATCTTGGAAATAAATAAAAAAGTAAATTATGGAAAGAAAAAAAATAATTTAATATCTAACATTCTCATAAATTTTTAATAAAAACACAAAAATATAAAAAATAATGAATGTCCATAATTGAAATCACACAAGTAATTTAAAAATAAAATTATTTATTTTTTTTTTTAAGGATGCCAAATTAAATTTATACAATTTTTTACATATTTTACTTATACAGCAAAGATAAAAATAAACTAGGTTTTTAATATAAAATTTGTTAAGAAAATTACTTCAAAAATTTAATGTAAAGCTCGCTTAATTGACCAATTTATTGATTAAAGATTAGTAGACTGAAAGATATATAATTTTTAGTAAAAAAATCTATAAAAGTAAAATAGTCATACTAGAATGAACAATAAGCAGTAGCAAACAAGTTTATGTCATCCTAAAATTGATAATTCAGAAAAAAGGGTGAAAATTTTATTGAAATTTATCAGAGAAGAAGTTAATGAAAGTAATTGCAAACTGATAAACACTAAAAAATCCAACTCATTTAGCAAGCTGAGACTTTACATCAAGCAAAACCAGCAAAAGATAGATATCTTATTTAATGCATTAAATCAATCTATAGAAAAAGCAATCGAATAAAGATCTTTAAGTTTTCTTATGAATTATAAAAAGATAATTTAAAGCTTTAATTTCACATAAATGATTGATATTCAAAGACTTACCTAGCTCGATAGCAAAATCAATAATTATATCTTTGAAAATGAAGAGGATCCTTTTTAATTCTACAATACTAAGGTTTACTAAATCATTATTAACAATAAATTTCTTTTTAGAAACAGGAAATTATTAACAATGAAAGAAAATAAAAAGGTAAGCATAATTATAACAAATCAGTAAGGTGATGCTTTAAGCAATTCAAACATAAAGATAAACAAAGATACTGTCAATAAATAACAATTTATAGATTACCAAATAAAAACTGATCAAGACAAGCAACTTTGTTAAGAAAGAATGAATAAAGAAGACTGTTAAAAGGACAATTCAGGTTCAAGCAGTACTGAAAATAACCATCTTAATGGCAATTAATCAGGCAAGTGTTAAAACAATTTGAAGGAGCAGGATTTTTGCAATTTAAACTCCAAATTAGAAAGAAATAATTAAAATCATTTGATAAGTTTGGCTTAAGGTGAAAATTAATAAAGCAAAGTTAATGGATCAAATGAAGTAGATATTATATAATAATAAAATAGAGGCTTATATAAAGAGATAGAGAACATAGATAAAAACATAAAAGGTATGGAAGAATAAAAGACTAATGAAGATATTAAATTAGAAGAATTATTTAATTTTATTTTTCCTACTTTAAACGATACCTTTCATCAACTGACTGAGTTAGAAAACATTATATTCTTAATGTCTATGACTGTCAATAGGCACTATCACAAAAGACTAAAATGCACTGTTTATGGCTCTTATATGATGGGCTTTTAGCTATCTAAGTCTTCTGATATTGATGTTTCATTAGAGTTAGAAAATTACCCATAAATAGCTAATGATTAAAATAGTAAAATAGAATTTTTAACAAAACTAGAAGAAAATTTAAAGCAGTCAGATTAGCTTGAAGTAAATTCGTTCTTTAATGCACCAGTTCCTGGATTTTAAGTGAGGAAATAATCAATATTTAATAAAGAATATAAAGTTAAGATAGATTTTACAGTTGGAAACCAAGTAGGAATAGCAAAAACATCGTTATTAAAAATTTATTCATCACTTTCTATAAAAATATAGTAGTTAGTGTGTCTATTTAAATACTTTATACAGGTAAAGAATATTGATAAATTCACTTTAAGCTCAATAGCTCAAACGAATATGGTTGTCTTCTTTTTGCTAAAGAAAAACTACGTTCCGAACGTATAGAAGTATTTTAATCAATAAGAATAAATGAACTACTTTAATCACTAATATATAAACGAAATGGATATTAAAAAAGTTATTGAAGAAAATAATTTATTGTAAAAACTAAATTCTACCCCTTTGTTTACTTTATTTACAGAGCTAATTACATACTACCATGACATAGTTTCTTAAAAATCTAAATAAACTCTAGTTATTTCTTTGCTTGAACCTCCTGCATAAATAGATGAAAATAGTGCTTAATATAAAAACTTCCCCTTTATTATCAAAGAGTATTATGACTAAAATTATAGTATTTAGCCAAATATTCAATTTAATTTTATAAATTTCTAAACAATATTAAATCAAACTCACTAATTCATTCAGAATTATGACTACTCATCCTAGCTAGGTTAGTTTATAAATCAAATCTTTAGCTACAGTACTTAAAATAACATCAACTAAAAAAATAAACAAGAATTAATTGACGAATTCAATCTTGAAATTTCATCTAATGATTTTGATGAGGATGATTCTGATGTAGATGATTATTACTTTTAAAAATGATCATTTTTATTAAAAAAAAAATCACCTTAAATCCTCTAACAAAATTATTCAAAACTTATAAAATTAAAATATCTACAAAAAAATTAATATTTTTAAAAAAATAAATAAAAGCATTATGACTTTATACAGTTGATTAAATTTTAGAGTATATAATAATTTAAAATTTTTTTAAATAATATTATAAAACTCAATCTCACTAATTAATTTATTTCTAAATTACAAATTAATAAAATTTAAGATAACTTTGAATAAAATAATTATAATATAACAAATTTAATTTAATTTACTTTAATTTGTGTTATATTTTTTTTAAAAAAAAACTAAGAATACAAATCAAATAAATTGCAAGTCTAATAAAAGTAAATAAATAACATTATTATTATCAAACCAATAAAATTTGTTTATTTATAAATATATTCTTTCACTTAAAGTAGCAATATGAAAAGTAAACTTAGAAAATAGTTAATTTTTTCATTTTGAAACCTTTTTTTTAAATTTAATTTTAGGCTTGAGGAGTTATTCCATTATCCCTAATTAAATTAATAATATAAAATAAATTGACTTTAATTAAATAAATAAAGCATTATTTCTTTAAAAAATATCTTTCAAATAAAATTAAAAAATACTAGAGATTTAACGATAGTAGAATCAATTTTTGATGTTTAAAAAGGTTAAGTATATTATTTACTCCTTCATCATAGATATTATTAGATCTTTATAATTAAATTAATTAATTATTTAACTTAAATAATCTATTTGATTTTTTTTTATTAATTTGTTAATTTCATTTTTAAAGTTTGTTTACCCGAGTAATAAATCCAATTAGATTAAATTTTTACAACTCAGTAAATTAACTCCTAAGTTATGTGCTCCTTCAGATCCAATATTGCAATTTCTAAAAAGTATAAATTTAGTTTTATAGTTTTGTAATTTTATAAAAAATCAATATAATAATTTAAATAATAAATATAAATAACCCAATATTAATTTTAAGTTTTGGTTTTTCATGCTGAAAATTTTCATTTATTTTTAAAATATTTTAAACATTATGAAGTGAGATAAATATAATATGATTGGATAATCTAAAAATTAAATAGAATTTTACGCTAAAGAAAGCTGCAGAGTTCGTAGATTTGAGCATTTTCCTAACTATTAAGTCAAATTAAAAACTCCATTTGAACCAATTTTATTAGCTCTATTCAATAAAATATTTTTTTAATTATTTTAACTCATTCGTATTTTATTTTTTTAATTTTATTTAGAATTTAATTAATGATTTTAAAATATTTTTTTACGATAACCACAAGGTTAAATTTTGAAGATTGAAACAGTAAGTTAATCCAAAACCTAAATTATAAGCTCCTTACGAATCAACACAATTTTCACTAATTTTATAAAAAATAAAATCACTAAGAAATTTTGAAATTTAACTAATTTATTTTATTAGATAACTAACAACTAAAAAGAAAAAATGTGCTTATTTAAAATCTAGGTGGGTTAATTATCATAAAATATTATGTTTATGTTTTTTTTAAATAGATGAAATAAGAATAAATAGAAGATGATTTAAAAATAAATTTGTTAGTCTAAAAAATAGATAGAGGGATTTATTTTTACATTAAATTTAAATTTAAATGAGTTAGATTAATCAAATGTCCCAATCCTTTACTTAAAGAGCCAATCCCTAAATTTCCAATAGTGCATTACCTTTTAAACATAAATTTATTGAAATTTCTGTATATTGATTGATAATTAATTCTTACTCTAAATAAATTTATAGTGATTTAATACTGTCATTTTAAGCAATGCTATTTCCAAATTCTTAGAATTCGTTATCATCAAACTTGTTTTAACTTTTAAATTATATTTTTACATATTAAAATAATAGAATATATATGAAGTTGAATTTAAAGAACTAAATAAAAATGAATTAAAACTTATTTTTTTGATACTAATTAATTTTATGTAAAAAAAGATATTTAAAAAATTTAGATTTAAATAAAATGATAAGCTTAAATGAAAGTTTGTTTTTAAATGAAATTTATTAAATATACCTTAGACTAAATTCCACATTTTCTATTATTCTACAAGTAGAAAGATAAAATCCTAAAATTTTTGCCTCTTATTATCCTAAATTGTTCTTGCTTTAAAATTTTGAGAAATAAAATAAATAAAATATTATTTAATTCGATTAAAAACCTTAAATATAGGTGAAATTCTTTTAGACTTTTACAGTTTGAAGTGACTTAAATTAGTTCAAATAATCCTTCTTCATGTATTTAATTTTCACTTTAAATTTATTTAATTAACAAAAAACAAATCAATTTTAAGTAAAATAAAGACTTTTATTATTAAATTTGAATTGGAATTTATTTATTTATATTTTACATTAGACTAATATACAACTTTCCTAATTTATTTAAGCTTGATAAAGCAGTGAGCAATCCTATATTTTTTTCCTTAATCAATAATTTATTTTAGCTTTTAATTATTTAGAAATATAAATTTTAATTAAAAGTATTAAAATAAATGGTAAATAAATAAATATAAATTTATTTTATTTTTTTTAATTTAAAATTAAGATAAAATTTTACTTTAAAGAAAGAGACAATGTTTCAACATTTTGGAATCTCTCCAAAGATTTTAACAAATTCTATACACCAACTGGATTAATTTAGTTAGAACTATTTAGTTTATACATTATTATAAAAAAACAGCATCTTAAAATGAAAAATTAATTAATTACTCCACTTAAATATATGCATTACACAAGCTTGTTTAAATCTCTTCTTTTTCTTCTTGATGTTAGGCTTTCAAATCTGATAGTTTGTTTTTACTAAATATTTTAAAGACATGATTTTAATCTTTAACGGATAAATATGTATTTATTTATTTACTTAAGGTTCAGTTTTAAATTATTTAATTTTTTACATTTTATTAAATTATATAACAAATAAGACCCTCCTTCATCATCAATATTGTTAAATCTATTTTAGTAATAGTAATTAATAATTGTCAGATAGATAGCTCAATAAATTTAATAAAATTGATTTTAGTCTAATTATAATATACCTTATTTCCTCTTAGGTATTTTAAAAATTAATAAACATAAAATAAATAAAAATATTTATTATTAAAAAGAGAAAGTATTTTTTTTATTTGAAAAATTCTAAAAATAAATTGACTAATTACGATATATTTAAATTTAAGTCTTTAAGATTTAAGCATTTAACTAAGCTAGAAGCTAACTATTTTAAACCGTTAGAAGAAATATTGTTCTCCCTATAAATAAATTTAATTATAATATATAAAATATCTTTTTTAAGTGTTTAATTTTTTAGTTGTTTTTGTTTACCCAATTGATATATTAAGAGTTTCTAGGTGAGTGCAATTTTCAAGTGATTAGCTTATACTAATTAATCCTTCTGACTTAATTTCATTAAAACTTTAAATTAAAAATGTTAAAAAATTTAGAAAATTACATTTATAATAATTATTGAAAATAATTTATTACTTTAAGAAGATTTTTAATTGAATTAGACTTGAGCAACTAGATATTAATTAGGCAATTGCCGAGGATGCAATTTCAGTAATATAGTTATCACTTTTTTATAAAGGGAGAAATAGGTGAAAAAATCTTACTTAATTAATTAATTGTTTGTTTGTTTGTTTGTTTAAAAAATTGAAAAATGAATCATTTTAAAAGAATATTATGTTTTATATAAGTAAAGCCTTGAGTAAAAATAAATATTTAACCTTAAATAAAGAGTTAAACTTCTAAGTTTTTCTTTTTTAAGAAGGTTTAATAAAAACTCAGATGCTACGTCATCGTTCATATTAGTTTCCCTTTTGATTAAAATTAATACTTTTTAATTAAAATTTGTAAAAAAATTAAAAGAATTTTGTTTTATTTTTAATAAACTAAATTTAATGAATAAAACTAAAAGATACTATAAGTCTAGAGTTAAATCAGTGAGATTTGACAAACAAGAAAGAGAATAACCTAAATTCGATAGAAATTTGTTGCTGAATTAAGTACTGCTGTTGGTTAGAATAATAATTTTATTGATTTCATATTCATAAATATTTATTTAAGGAAAATTAGATAAACTTTTATAATAAATAAAATCTTAATTTAAAATTTTATTACCTAAGATAAATATTTAACTTTGTTAAGTTGACACAATTTGAAAGAGCAGAACATAGTTTAGGTTCATTCTATTCACCTATCTAAGAAAAGCTTTTAAAAAATAATTTAATACTGAAATACTTTGTAAGAACAAAAAATAATCATGTTATCATTAAAATTTACCTAAAGTCAAGTTTAAGATTATCCAGAGTAGAATAGTCAGATTTTAGAAACTTTTTTTGAAAATAAAACATTATTTTGATAAAGAGTTTCAATATTTTTGAGTTTACATTTTCAAGATGCGTCATAAAAAATTCTATTAACTATTTTTTTTTTCACCTTAAAAATGTATGTTCGGGCAAGATTTTACAGGATTTGCTGAGTTAATTATAAATAAATCTTATATGAAATGTAAAATTTTTAAATTTACTTTAAGAAAAATATAATTAATAAATTATTTTTAGCTAATTATTTTTTTTACAATAATATTTCCATTTAAATATTAAAATAAAATTATTTTTTTTAATTCTAAGTCTTATATTATAAATTACGATGGCTTGCTTGTTTTCAACCTTGACTGATTGTTTTTATTTAGACCCAATAAATCAAATAATAGATGATTAATTTACAGTTATTATTAAATAATTAAAGTCTTTATAAAAATGTTAAGCAGTGAAAAATGCTATTTACATAATATTTGTTATACCTTATGTAATATAATTTCAAAATTTAAATTTTAAAGTTTTGAACAGTATTCAACAAAATTGAAATCAAATAAGGATAAAAATAAAAGGAATTTAAATATTTGAAATTCATAGATAACTAACTTATTGATTATGTATGCTTTATGACTATGTCCAAACTTTTTATTTAGCTTTAATAATTAAAAATGCAAATGAAAATAAATACTATATTTTAAAATTGATATATTTAATTTAGTAATATTATTTTTGATATTTTTATTTAATTTTTGTGAGTAATAAGTTCTTAGTTTTTAATTCATATTTTGTCTATGATAATAATTTTAGTTAATAAAAAGTTTTTGATGGAAGATATTAATTAAAATTAATGGAGTTATTTAAAGATTATTCTGAATTACTTGATTTTACTTATTCCAGTATTGGTCTAAAATTTAAATAAGACCTTTAATTAGTAAACAGCTATGTTTATTTTTGATTAGTACTATTATGCATGCATGGCTATAATAGATAATTAAGTGCTAATTAATTACAGAATCATTTATTTATTTATTTACTTGCTCATCTATTTTAGAATGCTTTTAACTAATTAATTAACATCAGTAAGATCGATTTAAATATGATATGCATTTTCTTAAAATGTTCTTTCTAAAGATAAATAAATAAGACTGTGACTGATTCCTGTCTGTTTAGAGTAAAGAAAATACAAAAAACCAAAAACATATAATTAAATTTAAGGAATAAATTTTTAGGGTTGTAGAAGGCAATTAACACCAGAAAAAACAAAACTAGATATAAAAAAAAGAAAATTAAATAAATAGAGTAGAGTTTTAGTGTAGTTATTTATTTATATTTTTTCATGAAGAAGCATACAGCAGGATAGACACCATAATCTTTGTGCAATTTAGAAAGCGCTTTTGACGATGAGCTAGAGGTTGAAGGTAGATTTTTTTAAATATTACATAATCATTGTCTCTCTTTTTTCCAAATAGTTATTTGTTTTACGAGATCATTTTTTGATCAAAAATAGTAAACAAATAAACAATACCTTTTTTATATAATTTTTAGATGAAGATTCTGAGTAGCAAAGACAAAATAGAATTCAAATGTTATAGAATTAGGATAAGTTTTGGACAAGCTGCTTAGCAAAGTAAAACAATAATAGCGATCCCCAACAGTCTAAAGGCGCAAAACTTTATCAAGAATAGCATTAAATATCAATCAGCCCAGAAAATTACGATAACTATTTTAAAAAATACAATGGGATGTCTGCTAAGTTAATACTTTTATAAGATATGGATGATAGTGATAGCGATGACCATAAGGAAAATAAAGATGAATAACAGCAAGATGAGTTAAGTTTCATACGTAATATGTCGATTTAGTCAATAGAAGAGAGGACAGTACCTAAAATTATGAGTATTAAGCTTGCTACTATTAAAAGAGAACCATATAAAATATCATAAGGTAAATAACTTGAAATTAAATTTTGATAGAATGATTTATTGTTAAATTGATTCATTTATTAGCCATAAAGTCAAATCAAATCAAATCAATTAACAATCAAAAATTTCAAAATTACATAAATTAATTGCATCGACATATTTACATTTTTTTAAAATACTATTTTTAAGGAACAGACGAATTTGAAACTCCAACACCATGCGATGATGATGAAGATAAAAATATTTCTCACCATATGAAGCATTATAGCATGCCTTAGAAAGTAAATGGAAACAATAGCCCATATTTATAAAGCTAAGCTGATTTGATTAAGAAGTTCAATTCTGATAAAAATAATTAAGAAAAGCACGAAAGATTTTAGTCAGTGCCTAAAAAGCATGTCTAACAGCCTTTAGTTAGCCCATTTAACCATTAAATGAATACTCCAAGCGGTAATTTAGAAACTCCTAACGATGATTTCAATATAAATGACAGCAACTAGAATAGCGATAACTTCATGAAAGCTTATTTAGAATAATAGTAATATCTCTAATAGTAAGCGCAGTAAAATGGCTTAGATCAGAGTGTTAAACTAAAGCAATTAGCTATAAACCCATCTCTCACATTTGAGGAAAACAGATAATAATCAATTAGAGAAATGATGAAAAGTAATAGCACAGAGGGTTATGATGAAATAACCCCTTTGTAAAGATAATATTTTGCAAGCCAACACTTTAAAGAATTGCTTGTAAAATACATATTACCAGATTTATTATCAAGCAAAGATTTTTATGACAATGAGAACTACATAATTATTTTAAAAGACGTAAAGTGGAATAGAATATACCTGAAAAAATTGAATATGTATTTACAAATAAGAATGTTTTCAACGAGGGAATAATATAGTGTTTATATGGATAGCTACTAGAAAATAGTTACTAAATTTATCAAATTTATGCCTTAAACAGTCTATTCTGATGATAAAACTTTTACAATAATTTAAAAACTAGGTGATTTTTCTCTTTACGATCTTTCTAATCTTATTTTAATAGAAGCTAAGTAACATGATAATATAAATTACTAAAAGTATTACCTACAAATGCTCTCCAACCTATTTGACTCTCTTATCTTAATTTTATTCCATAATTACTACATTGGTAATATAAATCCTAAGAATATTTTTGTCTCCAAAGCTCAAAATCAGTTTGTTATCAAATTCTCCAATCTAGTGGATTTCTCATTCGATTATAGCTAAATATGTGATAAAAATTATGCCTGTATATTTTAGAAAAAGCCAACGTAATTAAATTTATTTTATTTTTATTTATTAATTCAAAAAGATTTTTAAATTATGGAATAAAAAAAGAAAGAAAAAAAAATATTTCAATTTCATTTTAAAGTTTGCCATAATTAACACTTTTATATAAAACTCAATTTTACTTACCATCTGAATGTTTTTTGCATTTAATTTACACATTTTCGAATATTTTTAATTTTATTTAGATATTTTTTAAGATTTGAATGCTTTTATTATATTTTATTAAGTCATTTATGATAAATTGATAAAATAATCCAATTAGAAATGTTAGCAAAAAAAGTAATTTTTTTTAATTATACTTTTTAAATTAAAGAGAAATAGAAATTTGGTTTAGTGAACTATATTCTTGCTGCAGATGCATGTAAGAGATGATGGATAGAGATAAATATTATCTACAAAAGAAGAATGTGAAGGAGTTTATAGCCAGACATAAAAATAAATATTAAAAAATAATGAATATTTTGTCTTTCTTTTTATTAAGAAATGATTCAATGAGAAATGGTGTAAATTTTGATGTTATTCAATAGTTTATTCTGAGCAGCTTTGAAGATTCAGAAAGGATTATTCAGCTCTCAGATAGATCAATAAAGCATATTCAATACATGATTCAAACATCTAAAATGCATTTGTATCAATAAGAACTAGATTTAAATAACAAGATTATTGAATAAAAGCTTTTCTTTTTTATGCAACAAATACACTTTCACCAAGATTTTGAAGATGATGAAATTCAATATATAGTTAGATTTATCAATAGAATGCTCTATAAGCATCTCTTTGATAAAAATGAGGAGTCTTAAATATTTTACCTGCTTTTAGAAAATTTGATCACAGATGCTACTGTCTTTAGGAGAAACAAAAATCTTCAAAAAACTACTTACATGATTTATGTCTTGTATTTACTAAAGTGCCCTTCCAAAATTGAGAAGTGTATTGCTTACTGGAGATACATGAGTCAGACAACTTCTCTTGTTGATCAACAAAATCCTATTTCATTATACTATGTTGGACTATACAATCTTTATCTTTTAGAAAATCAAAAAGCACTAAAATATTTCTAATATGCTTACAACTGCAAAGACTTCAGTGAAGATATCATATTAAATTAACCAAAAAATCTAAATAAAAGAAATGAAGAAGAAATAGATTCAGAAGAAGACGAGAAAGATAATAGAAATAATTACATTAGTTAAAAAAGCAAGTCTCCAATAATTTCTAGTAAACCTAAAAAGCATAATCCTAAAGCCAAAAGACACTCCCTCTTTAGTTAAAATAATAACTAAGATAATTTCATTTTGAAAGTTCGTGAAGCTTATGGATATCTAGGACTATTAAAATTCACATTTGCTCAAGAAGGAAATGCAAAAAGAATATAGCAAATACTGTATGAGGCAAAAGGAGCAGGTTTAATCAGCATCATAGAAAAGCTCTTACAAATGGAACTTAATATATCTGCCAACTTAAAGCAATTCTTTTTATAAAAATCAACTGCAAAATCATAATACCCCTTCTTTGTGGAGTAAATAATCTAAGTGTCAAGTTTTAATGCTAATAATTTCATTCAAATTGGAAAATCTGTCCAAAACAGTGCCACCTTGACAGAGAGTTTCAAGTCTTAATTCTAGTAATATCAATCAAACGACAGTCTTGTCTATCGTTGTTGGAATTTATTCTATGCATAAACTTAGATTTAAATACTATTAACAGATAAAGTAGTTGAAGCAAAGAAGATACCAGGATTATCAAATGATAAACTTAAAGGAAGAACAATAGGATCGTATAATAATCTTGATAGCAGAGGTTATAGCATAGATAATTATTGAATATCCCTAAACCTCAAGATGACTTAAAATAATAAAACAAAAATCTAAAGTTGTTAATAATCTTATCTTCTACTAAAAACATCACAACAATCTTAACCTAACTCACTCACTCAGTCATATCATCTCTCTTATATTTAATTTTTAAAAAAACTATTAATTTAAACAAAAACGAATATACCAAAAAATTATAATATTTTCATCAAAAAAGGACTATAACCTAACTAACAAACAAACAAATAAAAATGACATATATAACAATACAATTTTAATTTTTCTATTTTAATATTTATTTTGAAATTTATAATTTTTGATCTAACATTTAAATAAGTTGACAAATAATCAAAATAAACTGATCAAAAACATAACTTGTTAATTTAGATATTTTTAATCAACATATAATTTAAGTACTCAATCAATTTATACTTTATATATTAGCTTACTCCTTTATGTATAGTATAGAATATCATTAATCTAAGTTTTATTTTTACTAATAGTCATCATCCACTTTATTACATAAGTTCACTTATTCTTATCTCACTCTTGCATGTACTAAGTACAAGGAAAGGGTTATTTTTTAATCAGTATATAAAAAAAAAATAAAAATAATAATTCAATTTTATTAGGGGAGGGTATATGGCAGGGGGGGGAGGGGTCAATTGTGAAAAATATTTTTTTCAAGCTATATGTTTTGTTTAATGGAAACTTATCTAATTAGGATTGACAGTATCCAAAAATAGCTATAAAATTTAATAAATTATTTGTTTTATATAAAATTTGTTTTATTAAAACTAAAAAAGTAATAAACTTAATTAAATATGAATAAAAGTATTAAAAATAAATAGTGAAAACGTATTGGTATAAAAAATATAGATAGATAGTAAATTACATAATTTAAGTATTCATAAAAATAATAATTAATTTTCTTTTTCTTTACTTAAATAATAAAATATATTCTATTTTACTTTTGAACAATTTATTTGGCGGATATATGAAATGATGTTTTATTATTAAAATAGAATATAAATGAAATAAATATACAAAAAAATATCATTTATTTAAAATGAATAATAAAGTAAATATTACTTGATTTGCTATTACTCTTGCTATTTATTTAATTACTAAAAGATATTCCAATATATAAAGAATATTGATTGTCAAATATTTTTATTTTATTATATTTTCTCTACTTAGCTTAGATTACTTTAAAGAAAGCATTCTATTAATTGCTTAAACAATTTAAAAAAACAAAAAATAGATTAAATAAATAGCTTATAGATATTCTAATATATAGTAGAATATATTTGAGACATTTTAGTTTATTATTTAAAACGCAAATTGTAAACAATGGAGATTGAAGAAGCATAAAAAATATTTACAAATGTAAATATCCAATATTATTGTGAAAATTTGCATTCAATCAAAAAGAACTTTGACTTATAAGAAATAAAAGAGGTACATTAAATATAAACATTCATTCGCTAACAAATTTAATTTATATTTAAAATGTTAAATAGTTTCATTTATTGTTTCTTATTTAAATATTTCATAAATCATAATGAAGATTTTTATTTTTAGAAATTAGATTAACCAGAGATGGTTGTTAAAAATAAAAAGGAGCTTAGTCTTGTCCGCTCAAAATCAATTAAAAAAGTGTATTAAATAAAAGTACTTAGAAACAAAAAGAATCCTTAAAAGATTTTATATAAATTGGACTTGGTTGGATAGACTTAAGATAAATTTGATTTTGTTGATTATAAGGATATTTTCTTTGAATAGCCTTTTTCTACCAAATAGTTAGTTGATTCCTTTAAAGGTAAATAGAATAATGCATTATTTGTGTATATTTTTATAAATATTTAGCAAATTAACATAATTTTATTTATTATAGAAGAAGTTGTAGAAAGTATTTAGCAGATTTATAACCCTCTAAAGAAAATTCTTAATCTTAAAAACAAGACATTAAATGATAGCGATAATAATTTTAAGTCTGACATATAAAATATAACAAGTAGACTGTAAAGCGAAGACTAATAAAACTAAAAGGATAACTTAAAAATAGGTTAATAAATTAATCATTTTGTTAATTTGCTTATTTATTTATTTTTTGAATAGAGGGAGAGCCTATAAAAATAGAATTTGATAATCAGCTTAATTAAAAATAAATAGAAAACAAAGCCCCTTTTCTTAAAGATGAAGTAAATCCTAGGGTTTATCATTATTGTATTTAGCCTCAATCTTTTATGAAAAACTACAAGTTGAATAAATTAGAGTAAATAATAATAATACTTTTATGAGAAAAACATTGATTTTATTTACTAAATTTAAAGATTTTTTAGAGAAAACCTAAACTACGTACAAAGGTAATAAAGGCAAAGAAATATTTTTTAGTCTATTCAGATTAGCTTCGACGACCCATAAATACCATTATAAACAAACTATAATATGGATTCATTCTAAGAAGACTAACTATATTAAATAATGAAAAACCTGTTCGATTAAAGGCCTATTTGGATTCGTAACAGCTTGATCGTATATCTAAACAAAAGAAACATCAAATACACACTCTTTAATTTTAGAAAGTAAAAATATTTTTATATAACTATTTTAAATATTCTATTAACAAAATATATTAGAGCATTAGCTATGCTTACTTATAATTACAAAGATGGCCCATGGAAGCATGCATATGTCAAGTTTGGATATAACCCAAAAGAGAATAAAGAGGCTGTTCATTATCAAGTGATTGACATAGTTGTGTTAGACAGAGAAGACTATGAATAAGCTAAAGAATATAATCCTATTTAGTAATTTGCATTTGAAATTTAATTCTAATAATTTAAATAAAAATTATTTTTTAATAATAATTTCAAGAAACACTTATGATCCAACTTATATCGAAAAGCCTCAACATTATAGACATATGTACATGCTTTGTGAAATCTAAGATGAGAATGTAAATAAGTTCTTTTAGAAGGCTTTAGATAAATTAAATAAGTCAGAAGTTATTGTACCTTGTAAAAAATCTGGGTGGCTTCAAAGTATTGATATAAAACGTATTTAAAAATTAATGAAAGATAAGTTTAAATTTAATTGAGTCTTTAAATAAATAATGAAAACTATTAAATATTATTTTTTCTTTATTTTTAAATTGAAATTTTAGTGAAATCTAAAATAAAATATATAAATATGAGGCAAATAATGCTTAGGACAACAAAATTAAATGAAATACAAATATTTATCTCAATCACAAAAATGCAATTATATTAATTACATGCATATTCACTCTAATAAAATAAATTAGCTTCTATATAATGTATAAATACTGTATATTTAACTATTTCAAATGCCATTTTCATTTAAAATTACAAGCATTCCTTTAAAACTCTGATGATATTTTTTATAACTTTTCAGTTTACTTTAATAAAATATAAGGCTTAATTGATTAATCTTATCAAGATAAAAGCATAACAAGAGAGTAGAAAAACCAGAAAATAGTAAAAGAAATAAATGCTTAAAATAGCATCATATTTCCCCCACCAATACATTTACCAGTCCAAGGACAGTGGTGGTCAAAGTCTTTGATGCAAACATCACAATCGGGGCAATGATATTCTTATTTAGTTTAATTAATATCACACTTCTAGCAATAACTTTTTATAAAATATCAACAATTAAAGAATAAAATTTTAAAATAAATTAATTATTTTTTGATGAGAAATATTTTTTTCAAATTTTACATTTATTGAGTTGAAAATTATTTAAAATTATTGATATTTCTTTCATTTTATTGACTTGATTATTTTGGAAAAAGAAGTAGAATTAAACTTGTTAAAAAATAAATTATACTTATCAATAAAACAAACAAAAAACCTTAATTTCTATATTTTTATTGCTGTTTATTTGATAAAAATATTATCTAAAAACATGTTTAAATCTTAAAATAATTTAGCTATTTTTACTAAAAAAATTATAATCAAGAAACATTTTATAAACCTGGTTTTTTTAACATTTTTTAAGATGCCTTTTTAAAAAAATATTATATTTCTTTTAGAATTGTAATAACTTTATTTAATTTACATTTCAAACTACCTAAAACTATGGCTGTTAAAGGCTTTTAAAAAGTTAATAAATATCTCCATACTTTAAAATAAAATAATCGTAATTATATAATTTACTTTTGAAGCCTTTTGTTTGATTATCCTTCACACCTTGCAGTGTGAATACCAGGGTTTATAAGCGCTGTAAGCAAATAACTAAGAGATTAACCTCCACAAACAAGCATAGTCAGATAATACCAAAAATCTCCTTTGTTTTTAGATACTTTGAAAACTAAAAAATAACTGAATCCTGTCATGATGCACCAAGTTACTAAAAATATACAGACTATTTAGATATTTATTTATATAAAATCATTTAGATTCATCTAATAATTTGATTTTTTATTCATTTTTTAATTAAATAATATTAAAATTTACAATGTGGTCCTAATGTAAAAATGGGTTCGCCTTTTATATTTATAAAACCTATCGTATGGCCCATATAGCGCTTATATTTTTTTTGACCAATTGAAATTTCAAATTAATTTTGAGCTTGCTATTGTTATGTAGTGTGTGTGCTATTCTGATTATCATTTAAATTTATGCTAATATTATTTTCTTAATTGGTATTATTAGTGCTTGCCGATGATTTTCTAGCTGATTACTAACCCTATAAGCTCTTCTATGCCTAATTACTTTATGGTTGTATTTATTAAGTGTCAGGATACTCATCATTCAACTCATTTTAATTCTCCTCATCATAACCTATCTAATAGTTATTTATATTTTAAAAATTATCCTCTTCGTTATGAACCTATTAATGTATCATTCTATTTCAATCACTTTTTTACCAGTTTACAAAATATTAAATGTTTTTATAAATATGACTATTTATTTTAATAAAACACTCTCTCTCATTCATTCCAATTAAAAAAAGTAATCATATAAAATTTAAATATCAAAATCTTATAATTCATTATAATAGAGTTTGTAAGGGCTATTAATTATTACATAAGCCATCAAATAGACTAAAAAATAGAAAAACAAGTAAAAATCTATTAAAATAGATATTAATTTTTGGTTTTCATCAAATAAACGTTAAAATTTCTTGAATAATTTTTTGTTATTCATTTCATAAAAGCTTTTTTTTACTAAAAAATTTTATTTATAAGGTTATTGATAAATTCATAATTCAAAATAAAAAACAAACAAACAAAAAATTTAATAAATTAATTAAAATTTATGTTGTTTTTGGTAAACAACAAATAAATGTTTTAAAATGTCTTGATTAATTAATATTAATTATTATAAATTCAATTTATTGTATTAATTTTAAGTAAAAATAGTATTAAATTTTGAATAATTGTTTTTTATTAAATTAATTTTAAGAATTTTCAAAGTTATTTTTTATTTTTAAATTTTTTCTAGATTTGCTAAATTTACAAGAATCAATCATGCTTAAAAGTAAATTTTTGTAATGGATTAAAATCAATATTAAAATCAAATAATATATTTATTTACATATAAAAGGAGGATTTTTGATAACTTTTCATTCTTTTTATAGTTTTATTGGTACTATAAATTTAATTAGTGTTATTAAAAGATAGGTAATTAAATATTTATATGAATCAATCAATCAATTATTTATTTATTAACTAACTAACAAATATCTTCAGATCAATTACTACTAATTTGATAAATACTTATTTTAGCTTAGAATTTGGATATTCATTTTTATTATACTTAGGATTTGAAAAGAAGCTTTAATTTATATCCACATAGATGGGTGCTGGTTGCTGTAAAGTAGATTAAGGAGTATCTTTAGATTAAAGCAGCATCGGGAGTTAATCCAAGCCTGTTGAATACGAGAATGTAGATTTGAATAAATAAACTGATTAAGATTAGGAAACAAATCATTTTTTGCTTAATCTAGAACTTAAAAACAGCAAATAAAATCATGAAAATGGAGATGAAGAGGACTTCGAACTTGAGATATAATTTAAGGATATTTAAAAATATTAGGAACTTGTTTGTGATGGATGCATATTATTAGATAAAGAACCTGAAATTAACAACAGCATAATATTACTGATGGAAAAGAATTATGGAAAATTTAAATACTATAAATAGCAGTACGAATGTAATGAAGCCACTTATTGTCCTCCAGCTAAACTTTTAGATGGTTCTATATATACAGGTTAGTGGCTGAATAAGCAGTTTCATGGAAGAGGAAAGCTAATAACAGAAGAAGAATGTATTTATTAAGGGTATTTTTGTCATGGAAAGAAATAAGGATATGGTAGAATGTTATTTAGCAGTGGCGACTACTACTAGGGAGAGTGGTTTGATGATTAAATGGAAGGATAGGGAATCTTAATTTTGAGAGATGGCTCTTAATTTCAGGGCTATTTCTATTAAAGTATTTATATTGGTAATCAAAAGGGCGTTAAGTTTGAAGATAAAGTCATTAAAGAAACACAAGAGCAGTAAATAACTACAATAAAAAAGATTATAAGTGAAAATTAATCGCAATATGAAAATAGTTAGAAAAATAATATTAATAGTGCTAATAATATAGAAAATGTATAAAAGAAATCATAGTCATAATTTAAAAAATTCTAGGATTAATAGGTAATGATTTCATCAACCAATGTTTACTTAGAAGAAGAAGAGTCTAATTAGAAGTAGGAAATTATATAGGATAATGGTAAAATATAACCTTAAAAAGTCACTGGATCAGCTTCAAATCAAGTTTAATAGAACAGTAGTAATAATTTGAACTAGCAATAGACTAATTCTTAAGGAGTCGATACAAATAAAACTATCTTTGAAGAGAGTTTAAAATCATAGTTGTAGCAGTAATAATAATAAAAAAAATAAAGACTAGAAGAATACAATTCAAAGCAGTCAGAAAACTCAAACTCAAAGTCATAGTATTAGCAAGAAAGCTCTTAGTCTCAGCTTAAGCAAGAAAATTATTAAGATTTTGAAAATTTGAAGCAAGAGTAGATAAAAATTTTAAGTATAAATTAAAATAGCTAAAATCAGCTGTAATAACAATAAAATAGTGCATTTTAGCTTTCATAAATGAATTATACTAGAAGAGAAGAGTAAGATTAGAAAAATTAAAATGGAAACGAATAAAGTTAAAATGAGGGGGAAGAAGGAGATGAAAAAAACTCAAGAAATTCGAGTATGATTAGTTTAAAATATAAAAGAAGAATCACACACTGTGGAGATAGGCTGGTAAATCTTAATCCAGATGTAAATAGAGGTTTGGATGTTAGCAATATAGAATTCAATGACATATTGTCCAAGTATTTAAATGGATTGAAGGAAAATAATGATATTAATCATCAAGAATAATAAGAAGAAGAAAATTAGAGCATGATAATGATAAGCTTTTAAGAAATGATGCCTAAAAATATGAGGTAAAAGTTGGCTTTCTTTTAAGAACTTTTAAACCTAAATAATTTCCACCATGATGATGTTTAAGGAAAGGTTGTAGACTAAATGGATTTCTAGACATTCAGAATTTATCAATAAAAGCAAACATACAAAATTCTACAAGAGAAATAAGTTTAAAATGAGATGATTTATAAAAAAAGAGTTCAATAATAAAATGAGCTCATAGAAAATGCTATTTTAAATAAAATCATAGCGAGAGAAGATAAAGAAACTTATAAGCACTTAGCTATATTAGGAATGAAGCAGATTTATGAAAAGTAAGGAGTCTTAGTCAGATTGATTGATTAAAAAGAGGAAAAACAAGAAGATGAAAGAGACAGAAATTTCGATGCAGTTAAGTAGCATTTAATATAATCTGGCTTTGTAATGTAAAATTATTATTCTGCAACACTCAGTCAGAAATCTCAATGGAAATTTGATTTGGCTATAAATAGCAAAAGAAAATTTGCTGATTATTTTAAAAGCATAATCTTATTATAAAACAGAGAGTTAACAGCTAAAAATATAATTATACTGGGCTTAATAGGTGGTGAAAAAGAGTAAATAAAGATTGACTTCTACATTAAAAATGAAGTAACTCCTATAAAAGTTAATACTATTAACAAAGGTGAAATAACAGAATTTTAAAAATACCCAATAATAGACGAGATAACGATAAACATAGAAACTTTCTTTGATAATCAATGGAATATGATCTATGATAACACAATTATATGTTAATATAGAGGAAATATTAATGGATAAAAGTAATAATATTTTAGGCCTCTAGGGTATTTTGGATGTGCTCTCAAAGTGGTTAACAAATATCCTAACGATGGCTGGATTAGAGATGATACAAGTGATAAAACTTGGATAGTGCTTTTCCATGGTAATAAAAAATTATCAACTCAAGAATTAATTGAAGAAGGGTATAAGTAGGGAGGATTGTAATAGTATCAAGGACATCAGTGCAGATTTGGAAGAGGTCTTATCAAACAAGGGATATACTTTTATGAAAAAATACAAGATGCCGAAAAACACGCTGACACCTTTTTTATTAATGATAAGTAATACAATTTGCTATTTTAATGCAGAGTAAATCCCAAAACTGTGAAAAGTCCGATTAACAAGCCTTCTTGCTATGTTGCTAATGATCCGAAAGATGTCAGACCTTACAGAATTTTAATTAAAGAAGTGAATGTAAAAAATATTCTTAAATAAAATAAATTTTTTATCTTTTATTTATAATTCCAAAAGATTCAAGATGAAATTCCGAGTATCTGAGAGCATATTTATTTATTTAATTATCCTTCAAAAAAATCAATTTACTTATTATTTTTAAACTAATTTTACAGTTATTATAAATTTACCTAAGAAGTTGTATGTATATATTCTTTTTCTCACTTTTTATTCAAATTTTCATCTAAATAAATCAAGTAGAAAATTAATACAAAGATTATCCTGGAAAAGGAGGATCTTATCCAAAACTCTTTTTTATCATTAAAAATATTAAAATTTTCATTAATTTGGAATAAAATAAAATTAAAAAAAATTTTATCACTTTCATATCCCTCCCAACGAAAAATCAATTTGGAACATTTTTTAAGGTTACAAAATTATTTATCAAAGTTTACCTCTATTTTTAATATTTGAACCTTTCACATTCTTATATAAGAAAGATACTAAATAAGCTAAGCACTTAAAATAAATCAAATTTAAAAATACTTAAATAGAAAAGATTAGTTTAATGCAATCAAAAAAATAAAAAAATTTTAATTTTCTTAATTAGAAACAGCATATCATATTTATTTTGTATTTTTAAATTTTATTTTAGTTAATCAACAAATTATTTATTAACTTTTTCTTGTGAAAAAGCAAGTAGAAAACAGTGTTACAAATAAAAATATTGGTATTGGTAGTTTAATTAGTTTTGAATAAATTAATAATACTTAAAAAACCAAATTATTTAATAGAAATAATAAAAAGAATATTAGGAATTTTATTAAGTTTTTACAATATTAATGTTAGCATTTTTTTAAATTCTAGCCTTTTACCTACTAATATAGGATACTTTGCAGTAATGTTGCTTAGGTTGCTCTAATTGTGTTTAGTAAGGTTATTCGTATGTTTGCTAAGCTTGCTAAAGTAACTTCATTTTAGATTAAAATAATATCTGCGTTTACCAGCTTTGTAATAATCATCTCTACTTCTAGCAAAGCTAAGAAACTTCTACCAACAGTTAAAGTGAAGGTGAATGTGTTTCAATATGCGATTAAATGTATTATTAGGATTAAGAGAGTAATACATGTAGCTAGCTAATTTAATGTTCACAATCATTTACTTCTACAAGTAATACTTTCGAATAATCTATGTTTTTAGATATAGGTATGTACAATTAGTAATACTTGATTGTGATTAACACAGGTATCATTTCTCTTTTTTCTGACCATAGAGGTGAACTTTTAAAGCAGTACATTCTAGGATTAAACGATCTCAAGGTATAAAAGTATCGTAACTAAGTTTTTGTATTTACAAGCAAGCAAGAATTGCAAATTTGGTATTTAGTAGAGAATTTTAGAACTTCTATTATATCTAATATAGTAGGAGACATGAGTTAAATGACAAGTATAATTGAAATAGAAAATTAACTAGGGTGTTTATATATTTTTGATAAAGATCAAGTTAATTTATGGATTTATCCATTCTACGATGTCTCATCTTAACTCTTTCTTAGCTAAATTTAATTCATTTAGCTAACGCTATAACAAGGATCTTGGCTTGATATGGGAAACGGAATATTTGTTAATAGCAGTGATTAGCAGTTTAATTTATTAACTCTGGAATTAAATTAAAACAAAACATAAATTGATATATAAAAGACATAAATAATTATCACTTGCTTAATTTAGAATAGCAACAGCAATTAAATAAATTTAGGAGTTATTTCCTAAATTACTTAATTTCTCAACGATAATTCAAAATTCTCCCTATTAACAAATACTGGTTTGTTTTTAGTTTTCTAAATTAATAAATAATTAAATTAATGTAGTATTCTATTTTAAAATTAATTAAATTACTCCAAATTTATGTTTTTCAATACAAACTACAATTCGACGAATTATTTTTTGATTGGATAATCTGCAAAGTAATTAGATTTCTACAAAATTAATGATTCTGTTTAGCTTATTTAGCAAATTAATGACCAAGGTTAAACAACTTATTTAGATTTTCAGTTAGGATATTTCAATACAACTCAAACTCAATTTTAGATATTCGCCCTGGCTCACGCAATAGATACTTCTGGTTCTATAAGCTATTTTTTAGATTTTTACTAATTCAATTAAACTACTGGAACATTTTAGTCAACTAAAAAATATAATTCCATGATTTAATAACCAACTCAATTATCTAAAATTGAAGAAAATAGCTTAATTAGATATATTTCTTTGTATGGCAATAATAACTTTTAACTCGTGTAGAAAGTTAATGATGATAAATTATTTTCAGTAATTTTATCAGATTTTTAATCTCTCTATCCAAGTAGCTATGGTAGAGGTTAAGTGAACAGTCTATTGATCATAAATAATAATAATATTCTTGCTTCTTGCTCTAGTATTGGAGTAATATCATTTTGGGATATCTCCAGTGGGTTTCATGGATTATTATTAACGGAATTGGTAATAGAAAATGATTCATGCTCTACACTCATAAAATAGGATGAAAGTACAGTAATTTTGTTCTTAACATAAACTATCTAATTTGTAAGTATTCAAAACTTTCAGATTTTATAAAAGATACCTTATAACTCTCAATCGCCTTCTTAAATTATATATTCGGTAAATAATAATCAGCTTCTACTGATTATAAACAATTGTTTAGTTATTTATAATAACCAATAAACCTAAATTTTTAAAAATTGCACTGATCAACTTATTACAAAATCTATTGAAATAGAATTACTATAACAAGAATAAATAGTTTGTGTATTTTAGAATGAAATAGCAATATATTAGCTTCATCAAAGTGATAATACGCTAAGTTTAATAAATCAAGTCTAAGTTTAAAATAATATCCTTTATAGTAATATCTAGTTGAGTCAAGTAGCATCAACAACTAGTTCTTATAGTTTAGAGGAGATATATATAATGACTGCAAATTAATCAATTTGTATATATGATTAAAATTTAAATTTAAATTACACTATATCTAATTTACCATTTAGTGGTGCTTCATAAATAATGAGAACTCTTTCTGATAAAAATACATTTACTGTTTTAACTCTTCCAAATGCTGGAAGCTATTCAAATAGCTATTACTTATTTTCTAGGGTATCTTAAAGTACTTATACTTTTAATTTTGGTTATACTTCATAGTAAATATATCCAGTTTAATACCTTCAATAGTCGAATGGAATAGGAAAATACCATTTGCAATATTTGTTTGTAAGTCCAAGATTTTCAATTACCATTAGATAAATGATTTTATTAGATCAGAATTCTTATCTAACTTTTGGATTTGATTATGTACCTCTTTACGAATAATAATCCAATATACTTACAGATGACTATTCTAGAGATTATATTGGTACTGTATAAGGATTTGTAGGGGTTAATTCTAAGAAAGCTAATCGGTATGATGAATTGGTCCTCAATTTTGTCAAATAAAATGAGATATATTAAGATGTCTAGTAGAGTTTGCTTATGAACGTTTATTTTGTAGTGACAAATTTAAGAGCTATTGTATTGAATATCCATACAGATGAAGTTATCATAAATAATCTTTTTGCTGATTTTAATTAAAACATAATAAATTTCTTTATTATTGATTAGCTTCTTGGTGTAGTTTGTCTAAGATAGAGCTCAATGCAAGTAGCTTATTTTGGAGGTAAACTAATAAATTAGCAGTTTTCTTTCATTGGAATGAATAAAATAAATAATTTTTTATTAAGTTCTGATAACCAAAGCTTTGTAGTTTTCGGCGATTTTCTTGTGTTAGTTGATCTAAAATTAAATATAATTTAAAGCTATAATCCTAACTTAGGTTATTTTAGCAACTGCATTAAAGTTAATTAACAGCTTTATTGTAGCCTAAGTTCAGGTATAGTTTAAATTATAAATTTGCCCAGCATTTAGCTAATAAAGAGTCTTTAGATTAGTGGAAAACAACCTAATTTCTCAATATGTATAGATCAGCAAAATTAAAACGTCTTTCTTTATAGCACTAACATAAATGTGTATGATTTGAATATGAATTTCTAAAAATAAATAACGAACAACTTTGGATAAATTTAAAACTGCAATTTCTATGATGATTATCTTGTCTTCTTTACTAAATCAAGTAAATTAATTAAATATTTTATAAATAAAATTTTTTTTATAAATTTACTCTTTCAAATTTAATTAATGTAAGTTGTTATTAATTAAGATTACTATTTATTAATACCCAAATATTTTTGGGAAAATTTATAGCCAACATTAAGCATAAATTTTTGATATAAATGTGTATTAATTATAAAGAGAATACAATACATAACTAATAAAAATATTAAAAAATCTTTTAAATCACAATATCGATAATCTTATTTTATTTCAGTTAAATAAAATGGTTTTTTAATTAATCATATTCAAGACTATTTTTTGAAAATTAATAAAAAATAATATAGTTGGCTTAGTTTATTTAAGACAAGGCTTGATTGAACGAAACAGAATACAAAATTTAGGAGGAGTTGAAGTTCAAAAGGAAATATATTATAAGGAGTTAAATTATCTTCTTTTTTTCGGAAATGATATAGCAGTAGCTTAAGTGTTTATTTATGATTTATAAAAACAAAGTTTAGTAGGAAAAATACAAGGTTTTATAAAAAATCTAGGATATGTTTCAGATGTTGCAGTGGACAATGGATTAAACTTTTTTTCATATGTAGACAGCGCAGCTAATTACTTCATGTTTGATTTTAATGATCCATTTTCAATTTAAAATTAATTTACAATAAAGGAGATACTAGATAGGAATGAATTCATTTAAAAGCTTTCGACTAACCTTGATTCATAAAGGTCTTTTGTCATGACATAAAAGAGTATCTTTTATGTAAATTATAATATTTTCTCAAACAGATGTTAATATTTATATTAAGAACAATATATATAATACTCAATTTTATTTAACTCTTAATTACAAAAATACTAATACTTGGTCTTAGGTTAAAATTAATTGGTATTTAGATACTCTGATTTCTTGGTTTAATATGAGATATTGCTACCTCAGTAAAAAGTTATCGATTTTTAATACATTTAAGATATAGATATTTTAGTTGTAGCCGCTTAAAAGAATATTTACTTATACTACAATTACTCTTATTAATATGATAGCTAAATTGCTTAAAGCACCGAAATCAGCTTTCAAAGATTTTTAGATCTAAATGTGATACTATCTCTTGATAAAAGGGTTATATTTTATGATTATATGTTAAATAAAATTTCTTATGAATTCACTTTAAATATCAATTAAATGATGTCTTAACATCTCTCTTTATCCTCTTAGTCAGTTTTGATTATTGGTACTAGTTTGGGGACTACATATTTAGTAAATTCAAAATAAAAAGTTAATAATCAATTTATCAGCAAAACATTGAAACCAATTAAATTTATTTCAATTTTGAATAATAATATTACTGCATATGTTGGATCGGTTGATGGATAAATACAAACCATTGATATATCTTAGGCGAAATAAGTAAATGAAGTTGATATTATACAATAAATAGGAAGGAGTCAAGAGAAAGGAATTCTCATTTTAAGCAGTTTAGTAATAGACTAAACAATGAATGTTATGATGTTCCATTTCTTATTTGAAAAAAAGTGTTATGTAATGCAACTAGATAATAGCTAAAATTGGAAATATATTTCATTTGCAAATAATGAATTCAATTAGATATTTCTTGGCAAAGATTTTTATTTCCTACAATCCGCTTTCTAAATTAATATTTACAACAGGTAAACTCTATCTTATATTACAAATATAAAAAGAAACACTTACTATGACCAAATGATTGCATTTTACGTTTTCTCTGATCAATTTTTAGGTTTAATATTTTATTAGAAAATTGAAATATATTTTTTTGACTCAAAAGCTAACAAAGTGCAGCTTGTTGATTAAGAAAGCTATAATTATCCAAGGTTAATGCATTATAGATTCTATTCTAGCTCAAATAGTAGCAATAATGATTTGCTTTAGATAGTTGGCTTTGATCAAAGCACTTTTTTTGAGAAAAGATATAACACATACTTCTATTTAGCTTAAAATAGTGCTTAGTTGTAATAATGTGGGTTCTAATTCTAAACTTCAGATTTCCTAGTGCTCAATTAGCAGCTATAAACGTTATAAATAAAGTAATCTGAAAGCTATTGCTAATATGGGACCTCTGTGGTGAATTAATAAATATGGAAAAATTTCCTTTTCCTACCTATTTAATAAAATATATTATAATTATTAAATTCATAAAACTCTACCTTGAACGAATTTTTACTCTCTAGCTCCTTTAGTAGCACAAATACTACATAATATTAGGAGATAGCTCTATCAGAAAATTATTTTATGAATTTTATAGGATAAAATTTACAATTGAAAGACATTTCCATAAAATTTGACCCAACTTAATAAGGAACTTAAATTGGATTTAATCCATCCACGAGCATGATCACTCTATCAAACATTTTGATAAAAAATCAAACAATTTAAAATTAGACAATTTTATTCTCATAGAAAAAAAGTATTATCATATAAAATCTATAAATTTCATATCTAACAAACAAGTCATCACGAATTTTGTAAAGTAATTTTGATTTTAATTCTCAAAGTTCTTTAATAATATTTGATCATGTTGATGAGATTTTAATTTATGAATTAACTATAACTTAAAATGAATTCTTTAATTCTTCATGTTTAGAGGCTGTTCTTATTTTTTCTAATGTTGGCAACATAACAATAGAAAAGCTAATTGTGGAAAACAATAAAATAATTGGAAGTTTAATTTTAATTGAGGTGGCAAATAGTTTAAATATAAAAACTGTACAAGTGAATAAAAATATTAATTTTGAAGGGCCAATATATGGTCAGCTTTCTAACTTTTAATCAAATATTTTCTAAATAAATGGGTGTCTTAATTCAACATTTTCAATAGTGAACATGACAGAAAATTAGAATTTATAGCTAATCGTAACTAATAACTAATACAAACAGACTTAAAATATTATATCTCTCACAAACGACATTATTTCTTTCTATTAAATGATAATTTTTTCAAACTAAATTGATTACTTATCTTATCCTTTAATTTCTCTTCTTAGCTCAAATATTTAGATTTAGCAAATTCAATATGAAAAAAACTTTGGATAAATTCAAGTTATGTCAGCAATTTCATTACAAATAAGCAATTCATCATTTACTAATAACACTAGTTTAAATGGAGGAGCACTTTCTATCTTAAGTATAAATAATTATATGAACATTTCATCATCCACTTTTTAGAAAAATAAAGCTTTAGGAAGCGGAGGAGCTATTTACATAGAAAAAATTCAATGTGATCTGTTTATTGAAAGTCAAGTTTCAATAATCCTTAATAGTGCTTTAATAGGCGGAGGAATTCGTGTTATGGAATTCGATAGTTCAGTTTTAAATCTGAGTTAGATTAAGAAAAGATTCTCAATTTAGAATAATACTGCTGAAATTTTCGGAAATGATTTAGCAACCTTCCTTTATTCTTTAGGAATTCAATAAGGAGATAAATTTTTATCAAGTAATTCTGATTAGTCTTAATTGTAATTCATTCCAGAAAGTATATCTAACTCACAAAACACTCTCTATCTTAAAAATATTAAAAGTGGTGGAAATCTAAATTTAAAGATCTTTTTATACGATGACACTAATAGAAGTTTAACTTTTTCAAAATAAAAGTTAATCAATAAAGAGTATCCTCAAGATATTATTAATGAAATAACATTTATAAGCATACAATTAATTATAAATGATTTCAAAGAAATGTAGATCAGCGGTGAATCAATTCTTAATTACAATTTGTTTAATGAATCTACAAACAGCTTCGATTTTAATGATGTAACGATTTATGGCAATTTTCTTAAATAACAATAGATTTAAATGTAAGTATAAATTTCTAATAAAATCACTAAAATAGTAGCAGTATTTATTGTTTTCAGATAATGTGTAAACGGAGAAATAATTGGTTAGCTTTCTTCTTCAATTCAATTTTGTCAGTTTTGCTAAAACGGTACTTATTCTCTAGTTGATCCAAATATTTAAACTAGTCAAAACTAATTAACTTGCAAACAGTGTCCCCAATCAGCTAATAAATGCTATGGAAATCAAATTGAATTGAAAAATGGTTACTGGAGAAAAAATGAAATAACAGATATCATTTTAGCATGTAATGATTAAGTCGGTTCTTGTAAAGCAGAGGATCCAGAGAATGTTAACTATTGCGAAAGTGGTTACGTAGGACCACTATGTGAAGCTTGTGATGTTTTAGGAGATGTTTGGAGGAACTAGTATATAAAATAGCAATTTTCTAAAGGGTAATGCCAACAATGCAGCTCATTTTAGCTTTAGCTGACTTTTATTATATTGAAACTCATGATTCCAATAATTTATCTGTTATTTACAACTAGGATATTTATGAACAGTTTCATACATGCTCAAACATGTTATTATTTAAGATTTCTCAAGCTTCTCCCTTTATCCAAAAGCCAAATTAGAGATGAATCAGGCTTCTACATCAAGATTATTATCACTTATTTGTAATACTCATCACTGTTAGTTGATAACATAAATTATCTTCCTATCCAAGTTAACTTTATGCCAAATTTTATTGGAACATCAATAAGCTAGTTAATAATTGGAATAGAATGTATTTTACCATTAAATTTTTTGAGAAATATTGGAAAATTAGGATTATTTTGTTACATTTAGTCTCTATTTCCTACTTTACTTCTTATTATTGGCACATTTTATTACTTGCTTTTTAGAAAAATTTACTACCATTTTAGTGCTTCTAAGTACTACATTTATACTATTTTAACTATAGTTTTTACATTTTTTTAACCTGAAATTGTTTCTCAGTTTACAAATGTTTTGACATGTAGATAAATTGGATAAGATGAGGTATTTATAGAGGATTTAACTATTAGTTGTAATGATTCTTATTGGAGACCCTTCATAAATTAATATGCAATTGTACATTTAGTTTTTTGGACAACAATTCCTATAGTGGTCTTTTTCTTTTTTAACTAAAATAAGAATAAGTTAGATACTTGCATAACTAAATACAAGTATGGTTATTTTTACATGGAACTGAAATATAAATATTATTATTGGGAATTTGTTAGAATATACTTTAAAGTATTTATAATTACCATATTTACTCTCTAGAAATAAAGTTATTACAATATTGCAGTTATTTAAGTATTAGTGATACTCTTTTTTTATATCAAAAATATAGAAAAGCATAAACCATTTATCTCTCAACGCTTATGCTAGGTAGAAATGCTCTCCCTGGAATGTATAATTGTTAAAATTTCGATATAATTCTTATCTCAACAGATTGGCTTATATCAACTTGAAGCTTTAGTAATACTCATAGATTACTTTTTTATAGGATATATAATTTTAGTTATATTTTAGTACAAAATGAACAACAGATTTAGCTTCTTTGGAAGATTAACTCGCTTTTTAATTAAAAAAGCAACAAGTAAATCGCTCTATTTGAAGATCACAAGATCAAGCAGAAAATCCTTCAGAACTGTTTTATTATGGAAAAAGTTGAAAGAGAGTATTTCTATTATTATTCAATTCAAGGCAAACCAGAACATATCTTACATACAAAATAAACCAGCAATAATGAAATCCTCTAATTTTATCAAATACAAATGTAATCAAATAATTTTTTTAATTTTAACTTAATTTAAAATATTTTTTATTAAATAGACAGCACAGATTTAACACCACTTTATGATAAAAAACCTTAATAACACAAATTCGATAGCTAATTTGATAATTGCTTAGATACAGCTTTTAAAAAACTAAATACAGATGGTTCTCCAGGTTTAGCTGATAAAAATTCTAATATTTTTAAATTTGATTTACAGAAAGAAAATAAAGTAGATTTTCTTGTTGATGATTAAACTGAATCAGTTGATTTATAATAAAAAAACATCTCAGAAGCAAGTATCAAAATAGCGCCACCTAAAGATTGCAGTTTTATATTCTAAAATACATTTTCTTTACAGAAGAGTGGTTATTGATTGGTTATTTTTTAAAGCTAATAACATTTATATTCCATATTATTAAGTATGTATAACTAAATATTTATTATTAATTATATTTTTCATTTTAAATATAAAATCTTATATTTTAATATTTAATTGATTAATTATGAATTATTTTATTATATTTATATTTATTATAATTTCAATAATAAAATCATTTTAAAAAAATAAATTATTTATTCTCAATTAATTAATTTTTTTTAGAAATTTTACAATTTATTTTAATTTAAAAAAAATAACTCTTCAAAAAAATAAATAAATAAATATTTAATAATCTAATTTAATTTCTTTTAAGTAAAATTTATAGTCTAGATTAAACCACGAAGGTAGAATTTAAATTAGTTGGATTAAAAAACATCTAAATTTGTTATATTAATAATAAACCTTCTTATAAAAAATCAATAAAAAAATTTTTAATGTGAAATGTAAAATAACAATCAAATAAATTAATTAATATATCAAAAAGATTGATAGTTTTTGAAGTATTTATTGATAAGGTCTTTAAAAATTAATTAATATAATTTAATAATATAAATTAAAATAACAGATCTATTTATTTATTAAGATAGTTAATTTTTCAATCAATCATCAATATTTAGCATTTAATGAATTTTTCTTCTTTTCTCTCTAAACAAAGAAAGAGGGTTTCTTTTATTGTTAAATAATTTAGGCTATTAACTTTATTCATTATCAAGTCCTTAAGCTGTATTTATTCTTTTGTACTTATCCTCTCTGGAATGGGGTCTTTGTTTATTTGACTCTGGCCTTTTTGTTGTGCTTGCTTAGTTGAAGTTTATTGGTAAGCCTTCTTCTTAAATTTATATTTGAAGTTATACATTTTAATTTCTCATAGCTGAATTGTATCTTCTTTCGTTTTTTTGTTTCTTAATAGTACTGACAGGTTGGCACATCACAGAATTGGGATAAAAATTAATTTTCTTCTCTCTGATTTAAAATAAAATTTACAAATGAATATGTATTAAATCCATGATTAACTTATTTATACCTGCCAATTGATCTCTTTAAATTTGGAGAAGGTGATTTTTTAAATGGAGAAGCAATTTCTCTACCTTTGATAATATTCTCTACTTCTAAATCAGTTTTTGGCACATCTTTTTATATGTTATAATAAACTCTTTCTGCTTCTTTTTCTTCTCTATTATAATCTACAAGACACTTTGTAAGTGTATTTGAATAAGTGTTTTTTAGATAAATTTCACATACATTATCATATTTTATTTCAGACATCTAACAATCAAAAACTTCATATTTCCTATTTGTTTACTTTTAAATGTCAACAGTATGACGATTGTCAACCTTATGAATCATAAAATTATTAAACCTATATTCGTTGCTATTCGTATCTATTTTTGATCCCTATTTTTATAGATTGTATTGTTGAAAACATCTTCTATTATTTTTTCATGTTTTAAATATTAAAATGAAAGACATATGAAATATGCAAAGAAAGTATTTAAAAATATTTCCAATATATTTTTACTTCTAACTTAGATTTTTAATAAAATTACTATTTTGTAAATTTAAAATTGCTATTTAATGTGTGGTTGGTTAATGATAAAAATTATTATTTTATTCTCCATAAATTTTATTGAATGCTTTAAGTAATTGTAAATTTAAGTTTATATTAATTAATTAATAAGAATGAACGCTTTTGGTTCATTCGGATTACTTACTTTGAACAGGTCTTTCCTTTGAGAATACAAATCGAAGCTGAAAGAAGGAGACTTTGGATAAAGTATTTAGTCTTAATGTATCCCTGTTTATTTTTACCTATCAAATACTTGAAAAGAATGTTTATATTGTTCGTATTCAGGTTAGTAGTTGTATCCTTCAATTTCATTTTAGTAGTGATTTTCACATAAATCATTTTCATTAAAATGCTGAAAGCTTTGTGAAGAAGATTATCTAAATGGGGAATTTCTATGATTTAATTTATTTTTCGATTTGTTTTTAGAGGTTAATGTTCTTGATTGATTCACAGACCCATACATTAATCTTTATTTTTGTTTGTCATAATCAATTTAAATCTGCTTATTCATTTTTTAATTGCTACTAACAAAGTGTTTTGAAAAACTCTCTGAAGTTGAAAGGAGCTCATGAAGTTTTTATGCATATTAATCTTAACTGTCTTCAAGATGAAGAAATGATTTTTAAGAATTTTAATTTTGCCCAAAAGGCTGATCTGTACCAAATATATTATCACCTATATTGATATTTAATGATTTATTCATATTTTTCAACTTTTTTAAAGAATCGCTGGTTAAATCAGTGTTAATGTTCTTCTTCTTATAGTTCACTTTATTTTATGGGACAGGAATGTTATGCTTCATCATGAATACCCTATTCCTATGGAATAAATTCTATACTTGCTAAAATGGAATGTCATTTATTTTTTTTACTTCTTAAAATTTCCTTGATGTTTATTACATATCTTAGATAGTATTCAATGCTAAATAATACTAATAAGGAATCGATTAATTAATTTAATAGCATTAATTGCAAATCAAAATATGAATAATAATATTAATATTAATCGTTAATTAACAAGAAATCAAATTATTGTTTCTATCAAATAAATCTTATTACTTTTAACAACCCAAAATAACAAAAATATAAAATATTATAAGAATTTACGGATACAATAATACAACCTTTATTTTACTCTTCGATTATTAAAATAATTATGAATTTTTAATAAGCTATGGTTGATTTTTCTTAAATATTCAATAAAGTTAATAAATGTGTTTAATTTATTATGCCAAATTTAATAATTGATTTTTTTATATTTTGTCTTTGCTTAATATTTTTCAAAAAATAAATCATTAAAGAATGATGAATTTAAAAAAAATAATTCTTTGATTAGATAAAAATCGAAGAAAAAAAAATAGATAATTTATGATCGATATCTATTGATAAAAAACACAAATTATTTGTTCGCTCATTACTTTTCTTATATAAAAGAAATTATGTTAAGCTTAAAAATTGCATTTTTGTTTTTTATATAAGAATTAGATAAGAAAAAAAAGAAAAATCAAGTTTCTAATTTAATCTTATCAAAATTAGGATATTCAAACATAAGTAATAATAATAATTATAATCAAAATTAATTTAATATTTTTATAAATATTCATAAGAAAAGTACTACATACGAATTGATGCAAAAAATTAAGTCTTTTACTGTTTTAATATTATTAACTTTTTAGCTGATAAAAGGAACATAGATTTGCAAACTAAATTTGATTTGCAGTGAACAAGATTTCAGCTGTTTATTTTAATTAAGTATGCTTAATACTTGCATTTCTTCTTAATGCGATTAATTTATATAAGACTCCAGAGCTTAATCTGAATGTTACTTATAAACTTGTAAACCGAAATTTTATTAATAAAATGATATTCAAGTTTAAAAATATTTTGATTGTTTAGCTAATTAAGAGATTGAATAAAAAAATTAACTACAACCATTCTTGTTTATATCAAACAATAATAGCCCTAAATTTTGCTTTGAGTAATTAGTAACTAGCTGTTAAAACCTATCAAATGATTGTATCAATACTTTATAAAAATAAATAGAATGCATTAACACAAATTGTTAAAATAATATGAATACAGCCTAAGAATTTCAATAGTGTATGTTTATTACATGTAAAACCGACAATCCAGATTTAGATACTATGCAAAATAATATGATTTAATGTATGTTTAATTCATAGTAACCACAAACAGGACATTAAAATACTTATGAATAATGCTTTTCTTAGTTCTAAACTAACTGTTAGAGTTTTTCAGATCAGTGTCCATAAGTTTTTAAAGAATAATAATATTGCATAAAGGAAAAATGTGTGCCTGACCCAACAACAGCTCAAGACTTAAAAAAGTGTTTATTAATAACATGCAAAACAGATTTTGAGGATTTAGATAGGCTTGAAACTCAAATGATAGAGTGTGTTATAGGACATCCAATAAAAGATAGTTCTTCATTTTTATACAACATGATATCTATTTCATTGTTAGTGTATTTAGGCTTATTATTATGATCTAAATAAAAATTTTGAGTTCAGTTAAATTCTTAGATTGAAAAAATATATTAAATTTGTTAGTAAATACTAATTTTTATATTATAAAATTTATAAAAAATATTTTAAAAATAATTATCTTAAATTTTCTTAACTTTAGAATTCGTAAACTCTTTTATTTTACAAAATAATCATTTACATATGGAGTTATATGTAATGATTTATTTTTTAGATTATCATATTTGATAATAGATAAGGATTTTTTAAAATCAGTAGACTAATTTAAATATTCAGTTCATGTATTTTTATCTTAACTTAAAAATTTTAATCACTTTTTCCAAACTTCCACAATTTTTTTATTTAGAAAAATATCATAAATCAATTATAAATAAAACATTAAATGAATTTAGATAAAGATTTATTTTAAAAAAAATAATGGAAGTGAATTATTACAGAAGTAAACAATTTTTTATAAAAATATTTTAAAAATTAACTTAATTTTCTTATTTTTTGGATTAATTTAGTGAATATAGATCACTATATTTTTGAATGGCTGATGCGTTTGAATATTATTTATATAAAAATAAATAATTTTACAATAGAATTTAATTAATAATATTTATAATTTTAAATTATATCCATCTTTATTTATGATTTTTCTATTAAATTTATAATTTTAGCTTTTTTAAAAAATTTTTTCTTTATATGGCACTTTTTTTGGGCAAAAAAGATACTTAGGGAATGCCTTAATTAATGAGCATTTACAGTATATATAATTTTAATATTTTAATAACATATTTGGAATATCATTTATTAACTAAAACATCAGAAAAAATAAAAATTTTAGTTCAATAGAATTTCAAAAAAAGGATAGGTTAGAAATCAATTTTAGGGTATTTTATTGCTTTTTAAAGTGTTTAGAATATAAAAGAAATGTATATCTGAGTAAATGAATCATATCAAAATTGATAAATAATATTTTTGTAAATTAGGTTTTAAAATAAAATTATCTTCTCTAACTGTTTGTAATATCTAAATATATTAAAGATTTTTTTTCATAATTTTTTTTTAGGTTTTTTTTATAAATCTTTTTATAACCACTAAAGTTTTAATCTTTATCAAATCTCTCTTAGACGGATTTTTTATTTCTAAATGCGTTAAGATTAAATTTCTATATAAAAAATATTTATTATAAGCAAAAAAGATCTGTTTTGTTTTATATATTTGGGGTTCAAGAAAGAATTAATAGCTAAAGCAATTGAAAAAAGCTATTTATTTTAACATGATATTTTTAAAATTCATTTAAAATCTTTTATTCTTAAAAGTAAATATTAATAGATATTTATTTTTTATTATTAAAAATTAGAATTGCCTCATGAAAATATTTTCTTTAAAATTTTCTCATTTTTCATAAATCTTTTATTGATAAAATTCTCTATATTGATTTTATAATATTTTATCTTCTTAATTAAATTTAGTCATTGATAGAGTAGAGCTTACAATTAAATTGATAATTGTGGAACTTAGATTCTGAAAAATGAGATTATTTTTGATAATTAAAAGCAGTAAGCTGAAAAAGAAAATTTCTAGTCTTTTTAATTGAAATTATGATTTTTAAAGTTTGATAATCGTGGAACTTAAATTCTGAAAAATAAGATTATTTTGATAATTAAAAAGCAGGAAGCTAAAACAAAAGATTATTTTTGATAATTAAAATGCAGTAAGCTGAAAGAAAAAATTTCTAGTATTTTTAATTAAAATTATGATTTTTAAAGCCTATCTGTTAATAATAATATTTTTTTATTTTTAAAAACAAACATGAATTGAACAAATTTACCCCAAAACCTATTTATTAATTATATATAATCTAAATTATTGTATTAACTCTAAAATCAATTCTTACAAGCATATATATTTATAATTAATAATTTTTTAAAAAAATAAAAGAAATTTAGATTAAAAGTATAAAGAAATGCTTTCATCACTAATTTTTACACTCTTAAGTAACTATGAATATAATAAATTCAAAATTAAAAGTCATTTTTATAAAAAGTTTCTAACATAATTGCTCTTTCTTATGATTAAAATCCTTAAATCAGGTAAAAAATATATTAAATAAACTATTTATTACATTTGAAATAAAAATTAATATTGATTAAATTTGGTATATTTTTTATATTAAATAAACCTCTTATTTATTCAAATTTAAAAAATAAAATTTTAATTCAAAATTTTTGAAAAAAATATTAATAAATATATAATTTGTAGTAGCAAAAAGTCATTAAGAAATTTAGCTTATTGCAATACAAGTTGTTAATGTACTGTATCATTCACATGTACTAGCTGCTCAAATTCAAGTTATTACTACTATCCTGACACTAGTGAATGTTATTAATCTTTTTACTGCACATAAACTTATTCTAATGGCGAAATTTATACTCCAGATCCAACTAACAAAGTATGTTGTATAAGAAACTGTGCAACATGTTAAAATAATGGAAACGAAGATTAAACATGTTTTACTTGTTTAGTAGGCTATTATTTACCATCAGTAGGAGCTAATACCTGTAATTAATGTAATTCATCATGTTATACTTGTAACGGCCCAAACTCTAATAATTGTTTGAGTTGTGTTGCAGGATAAATTTTACTAAACAATACTTGCTAAAATACTTGCCCTTCAAGTGGTTATTATATTAGTGGAAACAACTGTTTAAATTGTGACCCTTCTTGTAAAACATGCAATGGATAGACAAATAATAATTGTTTATCATGTCCAACAGGGGTATATTTTTATCCTAATAACAACTCTTGTTAATCAACATGCATAAGCGGTTACTATATAAATGGAACAAGCTGTTTATTATGTAACTCAAGTTGTTTAACTTGTAATGGTCCTTCTTAAAACAATTGCCTCTCATGTCCAGCAGGTTAATATCTATTTTAAAATAATACTTGCTCTTCAACTTGTAATATTAATAATGGGTATTACATAATCGGAACTAACTGTTTATAATGTAATTCAAGTTGCTTAACCTGTAATGGACCTAATTCAAACAATTGTCTATCATGTCCTTTTGGTTAATATTTATTTTAGAATAATACTTGCTCTTCTATTTGTAATATTAATAATGGGTATTACATATAAGGAACTAACTGTTTATAATGTAATTCAAGTTGCTTAACCTGTCATGGACCTAATTCAAACGATTGTCTTTCATGTCCTTCTAATTTATATTTAAATTTGAACTATACTTGCTCAGCTACTTGTAAAACAAATAGTGGGTATTACATAAGTTTTAATAGCTGCTTACAATGTAATTCAGACTGTTTAACTTGCAATGGTCCTTCTTCAAATAACTGTCTTTCATGCCCCTCCTTAGTATATTTATTTGAGAATAATACTTGCTAATCTACTTGCAATACTAATAATGGATATTATATTAATGGTACTAACTGCTTGCGATGTAACTAAAGTTGCTTAACTTGTAATGGACCTAATTCAAACAATTGTCTATCATGTCCTTTTGGTTAATATTTATTTTAGGATAATACTTGTTCAGTAACTTGTAACACTAGTAATGGATATTATATAAATGGTACTAGCTGCTTAAAATGTAATTCAAGGTGCTTAACATGTAATGGACCTAACTCAAATAATTGCCTTTCATGCCCTTCTAGTAAATATTTATTTTGATGTAATACATGCTCTTCTACTTGTAATACTATTAACGGATATTATATAAGAAAATAGTAATACCTTCTCTGCAAAAAACATTGTAAAACATTTAATGGACCAACTCCAATAAATTGTTTATCATGTCCTTCTGGATGTTTTTTATATGCCGAAAATAATTGAATTTCCAAATATTTAAAATCCTACCTTCTTATTTTAAGCTTGCATTAATTTATTATAATAAATACACAATATTTTTTTTGTGAACTAAAATAAAAAAATTAGCAATATTTCAATTAGTATAAAAATTAATAAATGATATTCAATAATTCTTTTAAGTGATTTTTAAAATTTATACTTTTTCTAAATCATTTTTTAATAAAATAAAAAGAATTATAATATTGTTTAAAAACTAATTGGCAAAAAATATTATTATAAATAGAAATAAGGATATATCAAAATCTATTAAATAAATATTTATGAACTTAAAGCAGGGATGATCAAAGTATTTTTAATAATTAATTAGCTCTTAAAATAAAAAAATAAGATGGGCATTAATTAATTTTAAATTTTAAAAAATTTAAATGTATCTTATTTTTACATTCAATTTATATATTCATAAAATAGAATTTAAATTTATTTTGTAAAATTTTAAAAAGATTTTAAATAAATCAATAAATTATATTTAAACATATATTTCAGTATTCATTTATTTAACATAATTTTTTACTTTAAACCAAATAAATTAATAATATAATTAATATTTATTATTTAATTTTTACTAATAATTTACTTTTTTTTTCAATTTAACATATAATAGTTATTTAATTTAAGATATTTAGTTGTTTAGTTTATTAATTAAAATACAGCACATCTTATTATCAAATGTTTCCTTATTATTCTTTTTGAATTTCTTACTTTTAAAAATTAAATAACTCTTGTTTATTTCTTTCTGAAGTTTTTATTATTAATTAAAGGATCATAATTATTAAGTAATGTTCTCTTAAACGTTTAAATAGAAAATTATATTTAATTAAATGAGAAAGTTTTCCTTATTTGTCTAAAAAATTATTTTTTTTTGCTTTTTAAATAAATTAATTTTTTGCACTATTTTTATTAAGACTATTTAAACAACAAGTTAGATATTATTTTTTTATATCAATTAAAAAGAGTGATTAAATTATCTAAATATTCAAATTTTTTGACATCACTTTCTTCCAATTCTTATTTATTTATCTTTTATAATTAACTAAAAATAGCTCATAGAAATGTTTAAAATCCTAAAGATTTTATATGAAATACCATATCAAACAAAAAGTAAAAGAATTTTAACAACTCGAAGAACACGCTAAATGAAAACAAATATTATTTCATCTATAAAATATGAGCATTCTATATTGTAGGTTTTATATCATAAAAGTATTTACATTTACTAATGTAATATGGTCATAACCAACTGAGTAATTTTTTCTTTAAAAATCGATTATTCAGAATAAAAGCTAGAAAAATAAATAATCACTTTAATATCTACTTCTCTTCTCCAATTTTTTGATCTAGTTGTAGGGATTTCGCTCAATTCTTTGCTTTGATTAGTATGATTCTACAACAGATTCTTGAGTCTCCAAAATCTAATTTCATAAGAATCCGTTTAAATTAAACCTTTTTAAAAATAAAAGAATTAATTTAAAAATCATTAGGAAGATCCTAATTTTGTTGTGGTAATATTTTAGTGTCATTATCTCTAATAAATTTAAGTAACATCTAATATCTCAATAATTTAATTTATATTAGCTTTCACTTTGTTTGAGTTGCTTTTATCTTCTTCATTCTCCTATTTTTAAATAATTATTTTAACACCTTAAAAATAATTATTTATGCAAAGTCTATCTTATAGCTAAAATATAAAAAATATAAATAAATATTCTCCCTCTGTTTTAATTTATTCAATAAATTATAGAAATAATATTTTTAAAAATAATTTTTCTTCATTTAGATTTAAGAAAAATAAGATATTTTTACTTCTATTATTAATTAAATCAATATTCACATATAAAATATTTTTAATAGAGAGAATAGTAACTAATAAGTGCCTAATCAATATTTGAAAAATACCTGAAACCACAAAAAATTAAATTAAATTGATTAAAGAGGGAATTTAAAATTATTTGAATAAAAGACTAAATTTAATTAATAGATATTTTTGAAAAAAAGAAAATTAAATTTTTTTAAATTTCTTTAAAAATATTTATGATGAGCTTTTAGAAATAAGAAATAAATTTCGATTTTTTTTATTGTAGGAGAGTTGCTATTCTATAATATATATCATTTTAATATTTACATAACATATTTTAAACATCATTTGTTAACTAGATCATCAGAAAAAATTAAAGTCTAACTTCAATTGAATTCCAAAAAAATTGTAGGTTAGAAATCATTTGTAGGATATTTGATTGATTTTTAAACTGTAAAGAATATAAAAGAAATCTTTTTTTGAATACATTAATCCTTTCAAATTTGACAAATAATATTTTTATAATTCAGGCTTTAAATAAAATTATCTTCCTGACTGTTCGCAATATTTAAAGATATGAAAGATTTATATTCAATAGTTTTTATATTAGGTTTTTTATACAGGTTTTGATATAGCTAATGAAGTTTTAATCTTTGCCAAATATCTCTTGGTAGTAATTTTTATTTCTAAATGCCTTAAAATAAATCTGAATATATTACATTTATTAGAAGCAAAAAATATTTGTTTTGTAATATATTTTTTATTTGGGTTTCAAGAAGCTATTAAAATCTAGAGAAATAGAAAAAATTTATTAATTTACTATGATATATATTTATAATTCAATAAAAACCTTTTATTCTTTAATAGATATTCTATAAATATTTTATTTTTATTATTAAAAATTAGTATTGAATGAAAATATTTTTTTTATTTTCTCATTTTTTGTATATCTTTTATTGATAAAATTATGTATATTGAGTTTATGACATTTTATCTTCTTAATTAAATTTAGTAATTGATAGAGCTTACAATTAAATTGATGATCGTGGAACTTAGATTCTGAAAAATAAGATTATTTTGATAATTAAAAAGCAGTATGCTGAAAAAAAATTTCTAGTCTTTTAATTTAAATTTTGATTTTAAAGCCTAGATGTAAACTATATTTGTAAAAATAAACAAACATGAATTGAACAAATTTACCCCAAAAACTATTCATTAATTTTATATAATCTAAATTTTTGTATTAACTTTAAAATCAATTCTTACAAGCAAATATATTAATAATTAATAATTTTTTAAAAAAATAAAAGAAATTTAGATTAAAAGTATAAAGAAATGCTTTCATCACTAATTTTTACACTCTTAAGTAACTATGAATATAATAAATTCAAAATTAAAGTCATTTTTATAAAAAGTTTCTAACATAATTGCTCTTTCTTATGATTAAAATGCTTACATCAGGTAAAAAATATATTAAATAAATTATTGATTATATTTGAAATAAAAATTAATATCGATTAAATTTGGTATATTTTTTATATTAAATAAACCTCTTATTTATTCAAATTTAAAAAATAAAATTTTAATTCAAAATTTTTGAAAAAAATATTAATAAATCTATAATTTGTAATAGCAAAAAGTCATTAAGAAATTTAGCTTATTGCAATACAAGTTGTTAATGTACTGTATCACACACATGTACTAGCTGCTCAAATTCAAGTTATTACTACTATCCTGACACTAGTGAATGTTATTAATCTTTTTACTGCACATAAACTTATTCTAATGGCGAAATTTATACTCCAGATCCAACTAACAAAGTATGTTGTATAAGAAACTGTGCAACATGTTAAAATAATGGAAACGAAGATTAAACATGTTTTACTTGTTTAGTAGGCTATTATTTACCATCAGTAGGAGCTAATACCTGTAATTAATGTAATTCATCATGCTATACTTGTAACGGCCCAAACTCTAATAATTGTTTGAGTTGTGTTGTAGGATAAATTTTACTAAACAATACTTGCTAAAAAACTTGCCCTTCAAGTGGTTATTATATTAGTGGAAAAAACTGTTTAAATTGTGACCCTTCTTGTAAAACATGCAATGGATAGACAAATAATAATTGTTTATCATGTCCAACAGGGGTATATTTTTATCCTAATAACAACTCTTGTTAATCAACATGCATAAGCGGTTACTATATAAATGGAACAAGCTGTTTATTGTGTAACTCAAGTTGTTCAACTTGTAATGGTCCTTCTTCAAACAATTGCCTCTCATGTCCAGCAGGTTAATATCTATTTTAAAATAATACTTGCTCTTCGACTTGTAATATTAATAATGGGTATTACATAAATGGAACTAACTGTTTACAGTGTAACTCAAGTTGCTTAACTTGTAGTGGTTCTTCTTCAAATAACTGTCTTTCATGTCCCTCTGGCTTATATTTATTTCAGAATAATACATGCTCATCTCCTTGCAATACTAGTAATGGATATTATATTAATGGAATTAACTGTTAGTAATGTAACTCAAGTTGCTTAGCCTGTAATGGACCTAATTCAAACAATTGCATTTTATGTCCCTCTGGTTAATATTTGCATCAAAATAATACTTGCTCAGCTATTTGTAATACAAGTAATGGGTATTACATAAGTGGCTATAACTGTTTACAGTGTGATTCAGGCTGCTTAACTTGCAGTGGCCCTTCTTCAAACAATTGCCTTTCATGCCCCTCTGGTTAATATTTATATTAAAATAATACTTGTTCTACCAGTTGTAACACTAGTAATGGATATTATATTAATCTTAATAACTGTTTGAAATGCAATTTAAATTGTTTTACCTGTTATGGTCCTAATTCAAATGATTGCCTTTCTTGTCCTTCTGGTAAATATTTATTTTAAAATCAAACCTGTTAAGTATCTTGTAATACTAGTAACGGATACTACATAAATGGAACTAACTGCTTACAATGTAATTCTAGCTGCTTAACTTGTAGTGGTCCTTCTTCAAATAATTGTCTTTCATGTCCCTCTGGTATATATTTATTTGAGAATAATACATGCTCATTTACTTGTAATACTAGTAATGGATATTATATTAATGGTACTAACTGCATGCAATGTAACTAAGGTTGCTTAACTTGTAATGGACCTAATTCAAACAATTGTCTATCTTGTTCTTTTGGCTAATATTTGTTTAAGAATAATACTTGTTCAGTAACTTGTAACACTAGTAACGGATATTATATAAATAGTACTAACTGCTTACAGTGTAATTCAAGCTGCTTAACTTGTAGTGGTCCTTCTTCAAATAATTGTCTTTCATGCCCCTCTGGTGTATATTTATTTGAGAATAATACATGCTCATCTACTTGTAATACTAGTAATGGATATTATATTAATGGAGCTAACTGTTAGTAATGTAATTCAAGTTGCTTAACCTGTAATGGACCTAATTCAAACAATTGCCTTTCATGTCCGTCTGGTTAATAATTAAATTAGAATAATACATGCTCAGCTATTTGTAATACGAGTAATGGGTATTACATAAGTGGTAATTACTGTTTACAGTGTAATTCAAACTGTTTAACTTGCAATGGTCCTTCTTCTAACAATTGTCTTTCGTGTCCCTCTGGTTAATATTTATATCAGAATAATAGTTGTTCTGCCAATTGTAACACTAATAATGGATATTATATTAGTGATAATAATTGCCTGTAATGCAATTTAAATTGTTTTACCTGTTATGGTCCTAGTTTAAATAACTGCCTCTCTTGTCCTTCAGGAAAATATTTATTTTAGAATCAAACCTGTTAAGTATCTTGTAATACTAGTAACGGATACTACATAAATGGAACTAACTGCTTACAGTGTAATTCTAGCTGCTTAATTTGTAGTGGTCCTTCTTCAAATAATTGTCTTTCATGTCCCTCTGGTATATATTTATTTGAGAATAATACATGCTCATTTACTTGTAATACTAGTAATGGATATTATATTAATGGAACTAACTGTTAGTAATGTAACTCAATTTGTTTAACCTGTAATGGACCTAATTCAAACAATTGCCTTTCATGTACCTCTGGTTAATAATTAAATTAGAATAATACTTGCTCAGTTATTTGTAATACGAGTAATGGGTATTATATTAGTGGTAATAACTGTTTAAAATGTGATTCAAACTGTTTAACTTGCAATGGTCCTTTTTCTAACAATTGTCTTTCGTGTACCTCTGGCTAATATTTATTCCAGGATAATACTTGTTCTGTCAGCTGTAACACTAGTAATGGATATTATATTAATGGAACTAACTGTTAGTAATGTAACTCAAGTTGCTTAACCTGTAATGGACCTAATTCAAACAATTGCCTTTCATGTCCGTCTGGTTAATATTTATTTTAGAATAAAACATGTTCAGTTATTTGTAATATAAATAATGGGTATTACATAAGCGGTAATAGTTGCTTACAGTGTAATTCAAACTGTTTAACTTGCAATGGTCCTTCTTCTAACAATTGTCTTTCCTGTCCCTCTGGTTAATATTTATATCAGAATAATAGTTGTTCTGCTTATTGTAAAACTAATAATGGATATTATATTAGTAATAATAATTGCCTGTAATGCGATTTAAATTGTTTTACCTGTTATGGTCCTAGTTTAAATAACTGCCTCTCTTGTCCTTCAGGTTAATATTTATTTTAGAATCAAACATGTTCAGTTATTTGTAATATAAATAATGGGTATTACATAAGCGGTAATAGTTGCTTAGAGTGTAATTCAAACTGTTTAACTTGTAATGGTCCTTCTTCTAACAATTGTCTTTCGTGTCCCTCTGGTTAATATTTATATCAGAATAATAGTTGTTCTGCCAATTGTAACACTAATAATGGATATTATATTAGTAATAATAATTGCCTGTAATGCGATTTAAATTGTTTTACCTGTTATGGTCCTAGTTTATATAACTGCCTCTCTTGTCCTTCAGGAAAATATTTATATTAGAATCAAACCTGTTAAGTATTCTGTAATACAAGTAACGGATATTATATAAATGGTACTAACTGTTTATGGTGTAACTCAAGTTGCTAAACATGTAATGGACCTAGCTCAAATAATTGTCTTTCATGTCCCTCTGGTATATATTTATTTGAGAATAATACATGCTCATTTACTTGTAATACTAGTAATGGATATTATATTAATGGAACTAACTGTTAGTAATGTAACTCAAGTTGTTTAACCTGTAATGGACCTAATTCAAACAATTGCCTTTCATGTACCTCTGGTTAATAATTAAATTAGAATAATACTTGCTCAGTTATTTGTAATACGAGTAATGGGTATTACATTAGTGGTAATAACTGTTTACAGTGTAATTCAAACTGTTTAACTTGCAATGGTCCTTCTTCTAACAATTGTCTTTCGTGTCCCTCTGGTTAATATTTATATCAGAATAATAGTTGTTCTGCCAATTGTAACACTAATAATGGATATTATATTAGTAATAATAATTGCCTGTAATGCGATTTAAATTGTTTTACCTGTTATGGTCCTAATTCAAATGACTGCCTTTCTTGTCCTTCAGGTTAATATTTATTTTAGAATCAAACCTGTTAAGTATCTTGTAATACTAGTAACGGATACTACATAAATGGAACTAACTGCTTACAGTGTAATTCTAGCTGCTTAACTTGTAGTGGTCCTTCTTCAAATAATTGTCTTTCATGTCCCTCTGGTATATATTTATTTGAGAATAATACATGCTCATTTAATTGTAATACTAGTAATGGATATTATATTAATGGAACTAACTGTTAGTAATGTAACTCAAGTTGTTTAACCTGTAATGGACCTAATTCTAACAATTGTCTTTCGTGTACCTCTAACTAATATTTATTCCAGAATAATACTTGTTCTGTCAGCTGTAATACTAGTAATGGATATTATATTAATGGAACTAACTGTTAGTAATGTAACTCAAGTTGCTTAACCTGTTATGGACCTAATTCAAACAATTGCCTTTCATGTCCGTCTGGTTAATATTTATTTTAGAATAAAACATGTTCAGTTATTTGTAATATAAATAATGGGTATTACATAAGCGGTAATAGTTGCTTACAGTGTAATTCAAACTGTTTAACTTGCAATGGTCCTTCTTCTAACAATTGTCTTTCCTGTCCCTCTGGTTAATATTTATATCAGAATAATAGTTGTTCTGCCAATTGTAACACTAATAATGGATATTATATTAGTAATAATAATTGCCTGTAATGCAATTTAAATTGTTTTACCTGTTATGGTCCTAATTCAAATAACTGCCTCTCTTGTCCTTCAGGTTAATATTTATTTTAGAATCAAACCTGTTAAGTATCCTGTAATACTAGTAACGGATACTACATAAATGGAACTAACTGCTTACAATGTAATTCAAGCTGCTTAACTTGTAGTGGTCCTTCTTCAAATAATTGTCTTTCATGTCCCTCTGATATATATTTATTTGAGAATAATACATGCTCTACTACTTGTAATACTAGTAATGGATATTATATTAATGGTACTAACTGCTTGCAATGTAACTAAGGTTGCTAAACCTGTAATGGACCTAATTCAAACGATTGTTTATCATGTTCATTAGGCTAATATTTGTTTAAAAATAATACTTGTTCAGTAACTTGTAACATTAGTAACGGATATTATATAAATGGTACTAACTGCTTACAGTGTAACTCAAGTTGCTAAACATGTAATGGACCTAGCTCAAATAATTGCCTTTCATGCCCTTCTGGCTAATATTTATTTTAAGATAATACATGCTCCCCTACTTGTAATACTAGTAGCGGATATTATATAAGAAATTAGTAATGTCTTTTATGCAATAAATCTTGCAAAACATGTAATGGACCAACTTCAAAAAATTGTTTATCATGCCCTTCTGGATACTTTTTATATGCCAATAGTTGAATTTTTAAATTTCTAAAATACTACCTGATAATTTTAAGCTTGCATTAATTTATTATTATTACACAATATTTTTTTTTGTACTTAAATAAAAAATTATCAATATATCATTTAGTATAAAAATTAATATATGATATTCAATAATTCATTTAAGTGATTTTTATAATCTTTACATTTTTCTAAATATTTTTAAAGTAAAAGAAAAAGAATAATAATATTACTTAAATCTCAAAGAAAAGTTTTAATTTAATTTAAAACTAATTATTTCACTACCAATTACATAAATTAATTTTATTTGCTAAATATAAAATGAATAATTAATTTTGAATCTTGCCTTTATTATAAAAACGTTTATCTTGCATAAATTAAATTTTAATTTATATTCTTTTTTCATTTTAGTAAAATTTATAAAATTAAAAATAGGAAGGAAAATAAATAATTAATTCAACTATTCAAATATTAAAACTATCAATTATTCTATTTTATTTCTAATTATTTGAAACAATAGAGACTGTGATTATTTAAATATAAAAATTATATAAAATTAAAAAAAATAAATCTTTTTATTTTTAAATTGATATCATAAAGTAAGTAAATAACATTTTCCTTGATTTGCTTTAAAAAAAATAGTGTATTGTTTAATTTTCTTTTTAATTATTTAATGTGTATATAATTGAAAGTAGATAAAACTAATAAATTATTAATTATCTGTAACCAAAAATCAAAAATAAACTCAAATATAGATTTTTAGAAATATAGATAGATAAGAGAAAATATATAAAAGTTATAAAATTTTATATAATATAGTTAAAAGAAACAATTTTTTTAAAATTAAATGATTATTTCAATTAAAAATTAAAGTAACCATCTGTTTTATTTCATATAAATGACAAAATTAAGATATTGAATAAATATAAATAAAGTGAATATTTGTTTTCTACATTTATATGCCTTAGGTAAAAAAAAATATTAAAAAAGACTAAAAATGAATAATTAAATCATGATAAAAAAACAGTCAAAATATTAAAGCTCTTGTTTTTTTAACTTTATTAATTAGAAATTATATTTTTATCTTTTTATACATTAAAAAAAGTTATTCGTGATTACAATTATAAAAAGATATCATCATAAGATTAAATCTTCTAATTAACATATAAATTTATATTATTTTTATATAATTATATATATTTTATTAAAATAAAAAGTTCTAGGCACTACTATAAGAATTTATTGGGGAAAAGTAATAATAAAATGAAATGTGGATATATCTAAATCTACTAAAAATTTATGAGTTTAAAATGATATGATCAAAGCATTTTTAATAAATTAATTAGCTCTCAAAATAAAAAAAGAAGGATATCAAATAAAGCTTTTAAAAACAGTAAAGATATATTTTTAAAATAAAAAAATTTAGTTAAGCTTTTTTAAAAAAATTTAATATTTAGAAACAAAATATTTAGAAAAAAGTTTTAGTAGATAGCAACTAATTACACAATAAATTTCCTATAAAATTACAATAAAAATAGTTAAATTTAATATGAAATATATGAAAATTTAAAAATGGATATCTTCTTAATTATTAATTCAATCTAAAATAAACATATAACTATAAAATAATAATATTATAATTAGAAAAATCATAAGATGAAACAAAATTAGAAAAATACTTTTTTTAGGATAATAAAAGCAAAAAATGAAAGACATAAGACATGAGCAATTTAACTTTTAAAAAACGTAAATTGTTTCTTTAAGTTTTTCTTTAATGATTATTTGAAGTTCCTTTTTAGGGAATATGAGAAATATATAAATAAGCTTCTGGTTTATTAGATTTAAAGAATATTCCTTTAATCAAATAAGATGAGAGAGTAGAAAATAAATACAAGTAATTCTAAAAGAATAAGGAAAGAGTTCTTTTAAAAACAGGAACGGTAAGTAAAAAGCTAACTTAATTTTATATGCTTTTTATTATATTATGCATTTTTTCTTTACTTACCATATAAATAAATACTCTAAATTGTCACTCGCTAATGATCTTCTTTTTAAATTAGATCAACTTCTCAATTACAGTAATGATAGATAAAGAGAGCTAATATACTTCTGCTACTGAATATAATAATGCCTTTTACTTAATTTTTCAAAATTTATGTAGTTTATCATTAAGGTTACCCATAAACTATCTTCTTTTTACAATTTAAGTCTAAATATAATCTAGCTCTCTTACTTAAAACTATATATCTCTCATCCTTCTCAACAAATGAAGCAAATATAAGAAAGCTTGTCAAGTTACTATCTAATGATTTAAATCTGTTCAAAATGAAAAACTCTTTATCATTACTTTGCTTATTCTACTTATTCCTACTATTGTAGTAGCATTTATTCTCTACTACAAGTAAAATTAAAAATATTTTTTTTAAACGTATTGCACTTTTCAATTTCTATTAAATAACACTTAGTGGTTAGTTTTTAAAAGTAAATAAAAAATATCTTTTTTATTATTTTTATGAATGTATTTATGAATTAAATTATAAAAATGAGGACTCAAATGAATATTTTAAGATATAAGAAAGGAGGGCAATTATGTATAAATAATAAAATATTTTTTAATGTATTTAAAGCAAATTTTATTTTTTATTTATTTTCATTATAAAATATAATTTTTTCTATCCAACCTTTTACAAACTAGAGCTTTTTTTAAAAATAATAATAATTTTTATCATATGATAGAAGAAAAAATTAATTACGCATAAGACAAACAAATCAACTAAAAATAGATCTAATTATTATAATTGATTTTTGTAATCTTGTTTAATAGGAAATTTTTGATTTTTCCTTAACCCAAAATCAAATCAACATTTTAAAGATACTGTATAGCTAATTAGGTGCATCTTACCGAATCTAATTGAATTTTTTAATAATCTGTAATTAAATTAATTTGAACATATAAGATAAAAATCAACTTTATAATCACAATTTTTATCAACATTTTACTGATTTTTGATACTTTTGGATACTGAATAATTTATTATTCACAGCTTGAAAAAACATCTTAAGATAGTGTAGTTTTTTTTAAAAAAAATACTTAACAAAAATATTTTTCATTAATTTAAGTCTTAATAATTATGCTCAGATACTTATAAATATCTTATGTTTTCAATATTTAAACTAAAATTAGGATGTCAATAGTTTTTATAATATAAATATTGATTGTAAGATAACTTATCCATAAAGCCGCCATTATGATCACCATAAATTTTTATTTATATAAAATACTCAAAATCATTCAAGATTGCATTTAAAATAAAGCAAGATTTAATGATTTGAATATTTATTGTGAAAAAATCAACGTAAAATATGATTCTACAAAAATATTTTTCCTATTATAAAAAATAAGGAATTTAAAAAATATTTTTTTATACTTTTAACCAGTGATAAGCTAATGAGTATCTAGAATTAAAGAGGTATTTTATACCACTACAAAATGAATTTGCATGATTGTTTATTATTTTTTAAAAATAATATAAGCTCTTTTAAAAATAGAATTATCATTTTTAGTTGAAAGATTATTCACTTTTTCGCTTGCTAAATTTTTTTGTTGCTTAACGCATTTAATTAACAACTAACTAAATAATTTATCTAATTTATGCAATTATATTTTTAAGAAAGTAATACTGATGACTTTCTTAATAATAATTGAAAAAAAATTTAAAATAATAGCAAGAGAATATAGTTTTTTCTAGATTTTATTCATATAAATATGAAGTTGGTCATAACATTGAAAATATAATATTAAATTCAAAAGATTACTTTTAAAAAATTAGTATAAAAAATTTAATAAAAATAAAATGATGACAAATGATGAGCTACTAGCCTTAATCAATTCTGTATTATTTTATAAAATATAACTCATTTACTCATTAAAATTTATTTTTATTTTTAAAAAAGTTGTTAGATTAAAAATAATTTTAAGAATAAAATTCTTTTGTTATAAACATGGAAGACATGTAAAAAATTTATAAATAAACATAAATTTCTTTTCAAAGTATTTCTTACAAAATATAACAGAGCATCTAAATTAAAAGATGAAGGAGTGATAATTCTTGGATCTGAAATATCAAAATTCAAAAATGTTAATAAACTTGTCCTTCAAATTTAGTAATTTATTATTTTTACAAAATATTATTTAAACTTTATTTCTCATATTAGAAACAATCATGTCAGCGAAAAAGGCATTAACTTTTTGACATAAGGATTAAGTTAATTTACTCATCTTACTCATTTAAATCTTAATCTAAGGTAATTAATTAATATTTATCACACATTTTATCATAATTTTTTATAGAGGTAACTTCATTTGGGAAAATGGTGCTTAAAGCTTGAGTAAGTTCGTATAATCCTTATAATAAGTGAAATACCTTAACATGAATCTCGAGTAAAATAAAAAAAAAGAATTATTTATTTTAGAATCAATTTTTTGCTATTAATTTATGTCTTATTTTAAAATAAAAATAAAAAACAGAAACAATTCCATACAAAACTCTGGATTAGAACATTTAAGTGATGCAATTGGTTAGTGTAGCAAATTAAATATTCTTATATTAAATTTAAAGTAAGATTCAAGATATTTGTTTATAATTCTTAATTTTTTTTTTTTGAAAATAGAGGAAACTCAATTACTAATTACTTTGGAATGATAAATCAAGTAAAAAAACTAAAGTACTTATACTTTCTTTAAATTTGCTTAAATATGTACTTTTTTAAATCACTTTATTTCATTATTAAAAATTTTATTTATTTTAAAAAAGTGATATAAATCGAGTTATAAAAGTCAAGTAGACACTTCAGAAAAGAAGTAGAATGGTTATGTTTAAAATCATTTGAAAACAAAATAAATATTAAAATTAAGTTAACCAAAAAGCAAACATAAAAAATTCTTGATTATTTTGATTGTTTGATGAAAAATTAAGAAAAATAAATAAATTATAATAATTAAAATTTAGTCCATTGAGCTAAAATTACCCTTACTATATTAAATAAATAATAAATTAATTAATTATAATATCATTAAAACCATTACTATTCATTCATTCTTAAAGAAGAAAAATAAATATATTTATATTTTTCTTTTCAGCTAATTATTCATCTTTAAAAAACCTTTATATGCTTATTATTTTTCAAATTACTTTTTACAAATTAATACTAGATATTTTTATTTATTTTATTAAAAAATTAATAAATATATATATATATAATACTTCATTATAATATTGAGAATAAACTTTAAAAATAACTATATCCCTTTTCTTGTATTAAAATACGTATTATCTTATATAAAATTATTAAAGATTTTTGGATTATTATTATTTTTGTCTTCATAATAAAAATTGTAAAATTTATCTTTTAATTCTTTTTTATTTTCATATCAAAATTTTACATTAAATTTAATGTAATAAATAATAAATTATAATCAGTATTTTTTTAAATAAGGTTTATTTTATTTTTTTAATCACAGGCAAATCTGACTGAACTTGGAGTAAGGGTGGGTGAAAACAAAAATGGATTTACAGTATTTGATAATATAAATCATGTCATCTTATATTTTTTTAGTATTTACTTATTAATTTACTAATTCTTTATCAATTTAATGTATAATATCTATTTAATTTAGCATCTTTTATTTATAAAATATAATTATAACATGTCCTATTTGTCAAAATTTTCTTTTAAAATTAATATTATTATTCTATTTTAATTTCTTAATTTTTAAATAAAACATTTCTTATTTATTCTTTATGAAATTTTTATTTTAAATTAATTAATTGATCATAATTATAAAATACATTTAAAGTATTTAAATATTGAACTACATGAGAAAGCTTTTAATATTTATCTGAAAAAATTACTTTTGCTTTTAAAACACATTTATTTATTTTCAAACTATTTTTATTGTGGAAATTTAATTTAATACTGCTTCATGTATTTAATTAATAAGTTAGTCATTATTTTTAATATTTGAATTAAAAATATTGCTTAAATTATCTAAATATTCAAATTTTTTGACTTGGCTTTATTCCAATTCTTATTTATTTATTTTTTATAATTAACTCTAAAATGACTCATAAAAATGTTTAAAATCCTAAAGACTTTCTTAGAAATACCATATCAAGCAAAAAGTAAAAGCACACTCAATTTAAACAACTGGAAGATCATGTTAAATACAAACAAAAATAATTTCATCTATAAAATCTGAGCACTCTATATTATATGTTTTCTATCTTAAAATTATTTGCTTTTACTAATGTAATACTATGTTCATAACTTACTAAGTAATTACTTCTTTAGAAATCTTTTATTCTGAAGACAAGCTAGATAACTAATCTATAATCACTTGAAAAGCTGCTTCTCTTCTCCAATTTTTTTGATCTAGTTACATGAGATAGCTCAGTTCTTTATTAGGATTAGGATGATTTTAGAGCAGCTTCTCGAGTCTTTAAGATCTAATTTCCTAACAAGCAGTTTAAATTAAATCACTTTTTTCAAAAATAAAAGAATAAATTTCAAAATCATATGGAGGATCCTTCTTTTGCTGTGGCAGAATTTTAATGTCATTATCTCTAACAAAATTATCAAGTAAACTTTATAGTACATCTAATATTTCAATAATGATTTAACTTATATCATTTTTCATTTTGTTTGAGTCGCTTTCGTTTTATTATTATTCTTCTTCTACATTCTCCTATTTTTAAAAATAATTTTTTTAACAGCTGAAAATTATTATTTATGCAAAATCTATCTTCTAGATCAAATGTAAAAATATATACTTTAATTTTCACTATAAATCAAACAAAAAAAAAATATTTTGTATAGCTGTTCCTGGTTTTAAAATTAAAAGGCATTTTTTTTTTTTTAATAAAATCAAAGGTAGATCTGTCAGATAAATTCTGATAAATAAAAATAAAAAAAGCAAGAAGGCTACTTAGTATTTAATTTTTAAATTTCAATAGCTGGATTAGCAATATTGAGGAGTTGGTAAAATTTTTTTAATTTTTTGTTAGTTTTATGGAATTAAAGTTATTGGAGAATATTTTAGGTATATGTTGTTAAAAATAATTAATTATTTATTTATTCGTTCTTTTAAAATAAAGAAAGAAAATAATGTTAATAATAAATTAAAAGTGAGCGCTTTTTTGATTAATTTAAAAAGAAATAATTTATCAGTATGTTTGTTTTTACTTTATTCTATTCTTCAGAAAATATAACAGTGGTCATCATTTATGATTTTTCTATAGATTAGCTTGTTTGTTTGTTAGTTTTTAAAATTTCTGAATTTTTTGTTTCTGATTTAATTTTCTTTTTAGAATTTTATAAAATTTCTTCACATTTTTCCATTTCTTTATCATTTTATTTATTTACTTCTTTTAAATTTCTTTTAGAATTCAAAGTATTTCCTTATTTTTCTTTTTTTTCTTTACTATTTTCATCAAATTTTTAAGAGTCTTTTTTACTTAGTCTCTTGGTTTATTGTTTGGTTAATTTAATAGCATTTTCTACTATTTCTTCATTTTTTTATTATTAATCCTTGCTCTCAACATCTTTTTTCTATATATTATCTTACTTTATCTCTTAAAATATTTTTTGAATATCTTCATCATATGGGTATTGCATCTTGAGTAATACTTTACTTAAACTAGGATAGTCTTTTAGTGATTGACTTTAAACTAGGAGCGTCTTAAAAGAATCGAACTTAGCTCTCAAGGAATTAAGAGTGAGATCTCTATTTATGATAATATCTTCTCTTTCCTCTTAAATATAAAGACAAAGATGAGTAATTGTTCTTCCTAGTGCATATAATTCATTTTAGCTGATTTCATTATCAGTGTAATTCTTTTTTGGCTTCATAATATTGAAGTTGACAAACTACTTTTTATATTATTTAAGATAAAACTTGTTATTATTTAAGTGACTTGATCCTAAATCTATATATTTGAGTCTATTCTAAAAAATCATGATATTATCAGGTGAAATATCTCCATGAAACATTTTATTTTACCTCATATAATACAGGCCATTAAGTAGGCAATATGTAATATAAATAAGGTCGATTTCTTTCCATTTCTGATATGCAATCATTGTTTTATTCTCTTTTTTAATACTAATCTTATTCAAACCCTTTTTTTCTTCTTTTAAATGCTTTTTCTCTACGCTACTGTATTCGTTGCTTTTGAAAATTTAAGTTGTAAGATAATTCTATTGGATAAAGTGATTATTTATTTCGAGTAATGTGCAATCTCCTAATTCATAAAATATTACTTTTCTTTCATCTGAATAGTTTAGCATTGCCGCAAAATACTTGCTCCTATCTTACAGAAAGTTACAGTTACTGTTTCTTTCTTTTTCCTCATAATAATGCTACTCATTTTCAAACTATTTAACTGCAAGAGCCTGCTAAATTTTATGATCATAATAAACTGCAACCTCACCAAAACCTCCTTTTCCTAAACTTTCCAACTTCAATAGATCATTAAATTTCAAATCCTTATAAGAATTATCATCCAGCTGCTTGATAAAGGATTTTTATTCTGTCTCCTTGCTCTTTTCTAATTCTTTGCTATTAGATAAAATTTATTTCTTTTATCTACCCATTTTATAAATAGTTTTTATACTTTTTTTGCTTTTTTAACTAAAATCAAATTAGAATTAGTTTAGATATTTAAATATCAATTAATATTTTAATTGAATTAGTATAATTAAAACCATTAATTTTTCCATTCTCAATTTTGATAATAAAAATTGAAATTAGTTTATTTTTTTTTTTCAAAGCTTAAAAAATATAAGATAATGAATGAATGAGAAAAAACAACAACAAAAAAATGGATATTTGTAAAATAAAATTTGAAAATCATAACTTGAAAACTTAAAGAGAATTATATTTTTTTAAAAAATTATTTTAAATTCAAAATTGTTTAGAGTTAAACAGTAGTCTAAAAGTCATTTTAAAAAAATAAATAATTTATCTTGAAACTTTGAAATAGACACATCTATAAGATTAATTAAAAGAAAATTTATTATAAAAATAGAAAAGTTCTTAATAAATTCTAAGTTGTTAGTTTTTATTATCTAAGAAAATAATAAGCTTGAATAGGAGTTGAAAAGATTGAAAGTAAATATTTGATTAAATTGTAATTTCTTTATTAAAATTGTTATTAATATCTTTCGAGCATTTAAAAGAATAAAATATTACAGATTTATAAAAGAAAAAACTATAAAATAGTAATTCAAAAAACTATATTTGTTGCTAGAGAGTTTTAATTAGGTAGAATAATCTTTTAACTTTAATTAAATGGAAAGAGCCATAATTTAAATTTATGAAAAAAAAGAGCAAATTTTTAGATTTAACTTTATCATAAATAAACATTTAATAACAAAATGCTAACATTTTAATAATATTTTATTGACATTTTACAATAAAATTTGCTTAAAGATTCGCCAAAATTATATTAATATAATGAATTAAAATCTTATTCTAAATTTTAAGTTTTTTTAAATAAATTTAAAGGAGCCAAATAAGAAAAACATAATGTAGAATTCTTATTAAAATTATTTGCTTCCTTAATTTAGTTAAACCTTTTAATGTTTGAAGGAAATAGAATGCCTTGTTAATTATGTTTAAAGTTAAAGTATTAGCATCATATGATAAATTTATTATCAATCTTTATGAAACTCGTTTTAGAAAGAGTCATGATAACTTCTTAAAAATTGTAAACTGTTTGCTTATGTATAACATAGAAAGAAAAATTATGATTATTTCTTTTTTAAAAAATATAAGGCTGAGTGTAAATTAGTAAAATCTGAAGTAAAAAAAACGAAAAATAGTAAACTTTTTTATGTCTTTAGATTGCTATTCTATTGTTGAATAAGTTATTTATTAAATATAATTTTTACTCTACAATTATTACAAGGATTAATAAAAAAGTTAAGTTTTAAATTGAAATCAGCATTTCTTATTACTAGCCTTACAAATATTTTTGATTTTCTTTTATTCTAAAAATGTTCTCTAGCTTTCTATTTACATAATTTAATTGAAATAAGCTAATTAATTTTCGAAAGATTTATATTGTCATTTAATTGAATATTAAAATAGATAGTTAATTAGAGAAACAAATTCCTTGAAAAATAACGAAATCAACAAACCATTTAATTTGTAATTTAATTATTTAAAAAATTATAAATCCATTTCACAAATAATAAACATAAATTATCCAAATTATTTATTTAATGAGCTAATATAAAATAATTATTTTAGGGGCAACAGGGCTTGTTGGTTAAGCAACAGTCAAAGCTCTGGTAAAATAAAAAATAGCTGTAACAGCAGGAGTAAGAGATATATCCAAGGCTAAAGAACTAATGGCATATGGTGCTAAAGTAATATAAGCAAATATGGGTTTTGATTAACAAAAGCTGGCAAATATTCTTTCTAAATTTGATGTGCTTTTTATAGTAACTCCAGGACATACTGATAGGATTAATTTGACAATAAACACAATTAATGCTGCTAAATAAGCAAATGTGAAATATATAGTTATGGTCTCTGATACGAGTGCTCACAATTATGACACTATTTTCGGTAAATAGTTTGGAACAATTGAGTAATACATTAAATAGAGTGGCTTATCTTACTGTATATTAAGACTCCCTATTTTTATAGATAATTTATGGGGAAGTGCAGAAAGTATAAAATATTAAAATACATTTTACGGACCTATTGATGGTAATAAGAAATATATTACAGTTGCTGTTCAAGATGCTGCTTTAGCAGCTGCCAGTGTTCTCACTCATCCTTTTAATCATGTTGGAAAAACTTATACTATCTATAGTGACTATAAAAGCAGTAATGAGCTAGCTAGCTTATATTCTTTAGCTCTTGGAAGGCCAATTTAATATAAAAATATTATGTACGAAGGAACAAAGTAAGTTTTACTTAAATAAATGCCTGAGTGGTACGTAGAAGGGTATTTAGAGTTGTTTAAACTTGTTGAAAAATAAGACTTAAGCCAAATACTATGCTCATATGACTTCAAAAATTTAACAAATTAAAGTCCAACTACTCACTTGAATTGGATGTGGTAAAACTTCAAGTACTTTTGATAATTCAAAACAAATTGTGTTGAAAGAATATTATATTATATTAGTTTAGTTTATTTTATTTCATTTTAAAAAGTATTTATCAAATCATTCCTTTTTTATTCTTAATCAATCTATTTTTATTTTTTCTATTTCTATAATTTTCTATAATTAAAAAAAAATCACTCTAGAGTTTTACATAGTGAAAATTGTTTCTAAAAATATTTATTTTTTTAATTTTTTTGTTTATCGTATTAATAACAATTTATATTAATATCTTTTTATATTATATTGCCTAATACTTTATCTCAATCTTTCAAATAAAAAAATATTTTTTAATTAAAAAAATTGATGCGATTTTTTGGCTCAAATATATAAGCACTCAATGTAAAGTAAGAAAATATAAGTTGTTAAATTTTTAGTTTAGTTTGATTTAAAATAAATTATTTTTTTTATAGTGCATATCAATTAAAAAAATAATTTATTTTAGAATCTCTATTATTATATTTACATTTTCTATTCACCATTTTCATAAATTTAATTAAGTAAAATTAACTTGAATAAAATAATTTTTACCATTTAATTAAGATACCTCTTGAAAATTACTAGAATTTTGATGAACTAACCTCTTTTTTAATGGATATTTTAGTAATTTTATGTTTCTTTTCTTTAATAATGTTTATTTTAATTACTTTACAGATCTGTTATCTTTACCTAACATAATTTACTAATCATTTAATTTAAAAACTACAAGAATATATAAATATATTAAACACAAATTCCTTGTATTAATTAGTATTATGAAAAATAATTTAATTTCAATATTAAAATATTAAAAAAAGCAAAAAAATTTATAATTAGAATATTTTCAAATTAAGAAAAACATTTTTATATACCTAATAATCATAATATTGAAACAAAAAATAATAAAAATATTCTATAAAAAGTTTTCTTAAATATTTCTTTTATTTGGAGAGAATGATAATAATTTGCTAAAGAGTATTTGTTAAATAAAAACGTCCAATTAAAAAAACTTAAAGTGGATAGGAGCTAAAATTCTGATTATACAAGCAATTTTTTATATTATAATTTTTGAAGAATTTAATTTTAGAGTACACTTAAAATAATAATAGTATTGATTCTTACAAAAAAGCAGCCTTTAAAAGAAATGGAATACAAATATTTAAAAAATGTAATTTTTCTCAAATCCATATTTAAGCATCAATAAAACAACTTTCAATAAAAAAAGTTAAATACTCACTCTATTCAGACATAAGATCACCTTGAATTAGAATTTAAGTACAAAAATAAATGAATATATAAATTAACTTAAACAAATTAATTCAACTTTATAATTTTTAAAATTATTTTTTTTATAAGCGGGCTTTATTTAAATGATGAAGAGACAGAAATTCTTGGCAAAGAAATATCTTCTTGCAAGAATGTTTCTAAGCTTAGTCTTAAGCTAAGGTAAAAAATATTTGTAAAATTGTATTTACTTAGTAGACATTCTTTGATAATTATATTAGCTACAATTGCATTAGCGATAGTGGTATGCAATATCTATCAAATGAGCTCTCATAACTCTCAAATCTTACTTCTCTTATTCTTCATTTAAAGTAAATTTTAAATTAATACTTATTTTATATCTTTCATTTTTCTATTTAATCAAACAGTGGTAATCAAATTAGTGGAGAAGGTGTCTATATATTAGGAAAAAATATTTCAAAACTAATAAACCTCACTCATTTGACTGTATTTGTAAAGTATGCCTTTCTTAATTAAATTTTTATTAATATAAATATATTCAAAAAGAAAGCAACCTTAAAAACATAATACAGAAAATTAAAAGAAATATTTAAAAATTTTAAATGTTAAAATTATTTATTGAATTATTTTACTACTTTCTTAAGATAATTCATAAAAAAACTTGGATAAACCAAACAAAAAATAAATGACTAAAATAAATGATTCTATTTAAGTAGGGTAAACAAAAAATAAAAAATTCAGAGCTTTTTTTTGTAAGTTATTGTATTTGTAATAATTATTGAGCCTCAATCAAAATTTTTTCTGTGAAACCTCTTCGTTTGCTAAATAATACATAATTATTATTTTAAAATTAAATTAAAAAGTGATAATTAAATTAATGCTGAAGGAACTCAAAAGTTTGGTGAAGAAATTTCTAAATTATCTAATTTAATTTAATTATCAGTAAGTTTGAGGTAATCGATAAAATTATAAGAATTCAATTTAAACTAATTTATTAATAGCTTTAACTCAATAGGAACTTTAGGAATTTCTTAATTTGGTTAAGCTTTATCACTATGCAGCAATTTAACAGAACTTAGTTTATTCACAAGGTAAAAAATATTATCTTTCTTATCAACAAGAATAATAAATTAATAATAAATAAAATTTAAAACAGTGGTAACTATATGGGAGATCAAGGAGTTGCTGCTCTCACAGAAGGAATTTCAAAATGTGTTAAACTTAAATCTTTGATATTATATTTGCTGTAAATTTTTCTTTAGCTACATCATTTAAACAATTATTTTATTTGATATTAAAATTTATTATTAAGCAAAACTTTTTCTAAAATTAGTAAAAATGAAATTAGTGATGAAGGGTGCATCAAACTAGCTTTAAACATCAGATAACTTTAAGAATTAAATTAATTTGGATTATATCTGAAGTAAGCGAAAAAATTATTTTAATCTAAATAATGTCTTTATTTTTAAAATTTAGTAATAATTTAATAACTCCATAAGGAATAGAAAATTTAGGAAAAGAATTGGCTTAATGCATCTCAATTAAAGATATTTCATTGTGGTTTGAGTATATTTTAACTTCATTTTTTAAAAAATAATTAATACATTTTTGATTTAATAAGCTCTTTATCCATTGGTAAAGGCACAGCTAATTTGCTAGGAAATGAAGAAATGGGATTTCTCAATTTAACATCTTTGAAGCTTAGTGTTAAGTATTTTTTATTTTTATTAATAAAAACTATAAAATTTTAAAAGAAATAACTAGATAGGAAATGATGGACTTGCATAAATGGGTCATAATATATCTAAGTGCAAATATCTCTAAAGCTTAGTTCTTTATCTTAAGTATTTTTTTTAAATAAAAACGTATGTTAAAATATAAATTATCAAAGCCATAATGGAATTTAGGATTCTGGAATTTAAGATTTTATAGATTAATTATATCTCTGCAAAGATCTAAGCTCACTTTCTTTGTACATTAGGTATAATAATAATTTTGAATAAAACGAATAATTTTCAGATTAATTAATTGTTTTATTAGTTAGAATTCAGTCAGTGATCAAGGCTTAGTTGAATTAGGGACAAAGATTAACAAATTTGCTAAATTGTCTAACCTGGTACTATACATTGAGTAATTTTATTACTAAAAATATTTATTTTGATAGTTATTTTTTCTTTATTAGTTGTAATGAAATCTTTGAATACAACAGTATTAATTCTTTTATTTAAGAAACTTTGAAAATAGAGAATCTAAATAATTTTACTTTCCGTCCTGGGTAAGCATTTAAAATAAAATAATATTTTAAAAAAATATATCTATAAAATTAATAGATCCCATTCTTTAGGACTCAATGGCTCCCAAAGACTTAAAAAAATGTTAAAGAGAAAAGGGAAAAGACTTGTCTAATTAATAATTTGATACATAATTATATAAATTGAACTATTTTAAGCAATTCTAAAATTAATTTTTATTTTGTGCTTAATTTCATATTACTAAATAAATAATTTCTTAATAATTTTTAAGAATATCAAAGATAAATGTCATAAATTTAATTTAAAAGTTGAAAAAATTTATTATTAACACAATAAACTTAAATTTTATTTAAGATTAATTGATTTATTTATTAATTTTTGTCAGAATTATATAAATTAATTAATAAACTAACTTATATTTTTAAAATAAATGTAAATAAATAACAAATATTAAAAAAGTAAAAAATTCAACTTTATTAATTTAAATACAGTTGTTGAAAAAATAAATTCTTTTTCTGAATTAAAAAAGTTCTTTTTTTTTTCTTTTTTGTAAGTTGAAATTTAATAAATTCTGATTAAAATCTTTCTCATTTATTTCTATTTTGTAATTTGTAATTTAGTTAAACTATAAATATTAATATTACTGTACGAATTCAATGATGGATAAGTTATCAAAAAATATGTATTTTATTTGATCATTTTAACTTACTTCTTTTTCATTTTCTCGATAAGAAATTTCAATTTTTGATAAAATCTAAAACGAAACAACTTAAATTATTATCTAGATTTAAGTCAAATGTGCTCATATAATAAAATATTTGTTCTGATTTTTTTCATTTTTTTAATCTTTAATTTAATAAAACTAGATATAAGAAACAAGAATATTTTTTATTTATTTTAACTGTAATCGAAAATGCATAAAAAGCTATAATATAATATAAATGTAATCTGATTTAGTTTATAAAAGAAAGGTATTTATTTTTATATCTTCGTTTAGTTTAGATTCACTAAAATATAATCATATTTGTATTGAAACTAAATTGCTTTTGATAGTATTTCTTGATAAATTAAGCAATAACCTCATTTTAAGTTAAAAAATATTTTGTTTTCATGATAAAATATTCCATTTGTTTTCTTATAAGTAATATTGCTTAAATTAGGCAAAATAAATATGCATCAATAAATATTTACTTTGGATTTTATTATCAAAAATATTTCTTTTACAAATTATATTTATAATCTAAATTAAATCCATTTTACTTTGTAAAAAAGATTCCTTTTTATTTTATTTTTTTTGTAATATCGAATTTAATCAAACGAATAAAAATATTTTTTATTTATTTAAATGAAAGAAAGTTTTAAAAAGTATCTCTTTTGAATAAAAAATGAAAATTTCAATAATATATATTTATTAATTTTTTTTGTATCAATTAATCAATGAAGTTTAACAAGATTAGCACATAAAATCATTTTTTTGTTAGATTTTATGATGTAAATATCTTGTTTATATTATAAATTCTAATTTAAATTAAAATACTAAAATATTTTGATTAGCTAATAGAAATATTCCTTATTCTTTCTTATTTACAATCTAGAGTTTAATAAAGCTTAAATGTAAAGTAGTATTTTTAAACACCAAGTTAATTATTTTGTGTCGTAATAGAAGTGTTGATTTTTTTTTCTATTTTGTAAACTCGGGTTTAATTAATTTAATAGGAAATTAGAAATTCATTTTTTGTAAATCGATTTTACTTAAAAGATTTTAGTAAAAAATTGTAAAAATGATAATATATTTTTAAAATTTTAGTTTTCTAGGAATAACATCACAATTTAATGCAAATATTCTACTTTAAAATTTTATAATGTAAATTTATTTTTAAGAGATTTTAAAAATAATTGAAAAATTTTATCTATTTTAGAAATTTATAAATATCTAATTAAAATTATTCAGAATCTGATAGTTTGTTTTCCTTTTAATATTTTTGATAATCTTAAAATAGATACATAACATTAAGTTCTGCTTTAAATGAACCTAAGACTCTATCTTAGAATTAGAATTTTAAAACAAAAATAACAAATAATAAAAATACCAAATTCAATCAACAAAAAAAAAAATCATAAATACTTGAAATGAACAATCAAAAAATTTTAGTCCTTGGTGCTACTGGATAAATTGGAGCAGCTACTGTTAGAGCCCTAGCTTAACTTAAAGCTAATGTCACTGCTGGTGTAAGAAATCCTAGCAAAGCTAAAGAATTAGAAGATGCTGGAGTAACTGTTGTTAAAGCTGATATGGGTCAACCCTAATCTGAATTGGCTTAAATTCTCAAGAATTATGATAATCTTTATGTTGTAACCCCTGGTCACGTTGATCGTTCCAAGTTAGCAATTAATGCTATCAAAGCCGCTCAAGAAGCTCACATTAAGTATATTCTTGTTGTTTCAATGACAGCTGCTGATAATCTTGAAATACTTTTTGGAAAACAATTCAATCCTATTGAGAAAGAACTCAAATAGAGCGGACTTAATTATGGTATTTTAAGATTCCCCATGTTTACTGATAACATTTTCGGAAATGCTGAACATATTAAGTCTCATAACTCTTTCTACGGACCTATTGAAGGCGATAGGAAGTTTGTCACTGTTGCTATCCAAGATGCTGCTCTTGCTGCTGCTACAATTCTTGTTAATCCCAGCAACCACATGGGAAAAACTTACTGTATTACAAGTGAATTAAGCTCCAGCGATGAATAAGCTAAAGCTTATACTGAGGCATTAGCAAGACCAATTAAGTATGTGAAAGGAACCTATGAAGGAACAAAAAAGGCCTTATTAAATTTCATGCCTGAATGGTAGGTTGATGGAGTGTTAGAATTATACAGGTTGATCGAAAAGAAAGAATAAAGCCAAATTACCTACTCCAATGATTTCAAGACCATAACTGGTAAAGAACCAACCACTCACTTAAGGTTTATGCAACAATTTACAAGTGCCTTTTGAATAAAATAATTTAGGATAAATTTATTTTTTTTGTATGAATTGCATATTATATTTTCATTTTCGTTTTCAGTAAAGTGTTATAATTCTACAATTAATTTTATTATATATATCTTAACATCCTTTAGTAAATTGTGTTATTAATGAATAAATAACATTAATAAACAGTTAATACTTATTAAAATTTAATAAATAAAAATATTTAAATAAAAAAACTATTTTTAATAAAAAAATCTTGATTAAATGAGTCAAGTTATATGTAAAAATTATTACTTTAAATTATTTTTCACTTCTGATTTAATTTTAAAAATTTAAATTAATTCTTTCTGGTTAGTAAATTTTTAGAGTAAAGATTTATATAAAATTTTTTATTGAAAATAAAATTAAGATTTTCTCTTTTATTTCTAAATAATATGCTTGAAATATAAAATATTCATATAAATTCTTTATATCAAAAAAATATGAAATAATATATTTTGATATTTAGTAAAGAAAGCAATTAAGGATTATTTAATTTTTTTTGTTTAATAGTATATTGTCATCCACTAATTTAATTTAAAACTAAAATCAAGATTAATTATAAAATTTTATTTATTTTAAAAGTTAAAATTTGACTTTAGCTAACAGAAATTATCTCATAAATAAGAATTTACTGTATTTTATGATTTATTCATATTCATTAAAAAAAAATACAACAAATTTTCTGAAATAAATTAATCAAAAATTTAATTTTAACTTAGATATTAATTTTGTTTTCTCTAAAAAATGCACCATTTGATATTATTAATTTATGTCTAAAAAAGGCAAAATAAATTAAAATTATTAATAAATATTTGCTTTGGATTTTAATATCAAAAATATTACTTTTACAAATTAAATTAAAAATCAAAATTAACAATCTAATTAAATCCAATCTACTTTCTAAAAAATATTCCTTTTTTTTTCTTTATTGTAATATCAAATTTAATCAAACTTATGTATTTAAATGAAAGAAAGTTTTTAAAAATAGTTCTTTTTGGTTATAAATGAATATCTTAATAATCTATTTTAAATAAATTTTAATTTTTATATATCATTTTATCATAGAAGCTTAATAAGATTAGCACTTAAAATAGTTTTTTATTAGATTTTATGATGTAAACATCTTGCTTATATTCTTTGATAAGCTAATAGAAATATTCCTTTTTCTTTCTTATTTGTAATTTAGAGTTTAATAAAGCTTAAATGTACATTAATACTTTTAATTTAATTATTTATTTATTTATTGATATACTTATTAATCCAAAAATATTTCTTTTATATTTTACGCTTTTTATTGATTTAAACACCAAATTAATTATTAGGTTCCCAAGAAGAAATGTTCCTTTTTTTTTCTATTTTGTAATCTCAGGTTTAAATAATTTAGTAGTAAATTAGAAAATAGTGTTCATTTTTTGAAAATGAATTTTGCTTAAAAGATTTTTATAAAAATTGTAAAATGATAATACTTTTTACTAATTTTAGTTTTCTTGGAATTAGCTCGCAATTAAATATCATAATTCTACTTTAAAATGTTATAATGTAAATTTATTTCAAAGAGTTTTTTAAAGAGAATTCAAAAATTTTATCTATTTTAGAAATTTATAAATATCTAATTAAAATTATTCAGAATCTGATAGTTTCCTTTCCTTATAATATTTTTGATAATTTTAAAATAGACACAAACAAAACATTAAGCGCTGCTTTAAATGAACCTTAGACGCTATCTTAGAACTAGAATTTTAAAACAAAAATTACAATTAATAAGAATACCAAATTCTGTCAACAAAAAAAAAAATCAAAAATAACAAATATTTGAAATGAGCAATCAAAAAATTTTAGTCCTTGGTGCTACTGGATACATTGGATCAGCCACTGTTAAGACCCTTGCTTCTCTTAAAGCTAATGTCGCTGCTGGTGTAAGAGATCCTACCAAGGTTAAAGAATTAGAAGCTGCTGGAGCAACTGTTGTTAAAGCTGATATGAATCAACCCTAATCTGAATTGGCTTAAATTCTCAAGAATTATGATCATCTTTATGTTGTAACTCCTGGTCATATTGATCGTACCAACTTAGCAATAAATGCTATCAAAGCCGCTCAAGAAGCCCACATTAAGTATATTCTTGTTGTTTCAATTACTGCTGCTGATAATCTCGAAATACTTTTTGGAAGGCAATTCAATCCTATTGAGAAAGAACTCAAATTGAGTGGACTTAATTTTGGTATTTTAAGATTACCCATTTTTACTGATAACATTTTCGGAAATGCTGAACATATAAAGTCTCATAACACTTTCTACGGACCTATTGATGGTGATAAGAAGTTAGTGACTGTTGCTATCCAAGATGCTGCTCTTGCTGCTGCTACAATTCTTGTTAATCCCAGCAATCACATTGGAAAAACTTACTCTATTACAAGTGAATTAAGCTCCAGTGATGAATAAGCTTAATCTTATTCTTAGGCATTAGCAAGACCAATCAAGTATGTGAATGGAACCTATGAAGGAACAAAAAAGGCCTTATTAAATTTCATGCCTGAATGGTAGGTTGATGGAGTGTTAGAATTATATAAGTTGATCGAAAAGCAAGAATAAAGCTAAATTACCCACACTAATGATTTCAAGACCATAACTGGTAAAGAACCAACCACTCATTTAAAGTTTATGCAACAATTTTCAGTTGCCTTTTGAAAAAAATATTTTATATATGTATTAATTGCATATTATATTTTCATTTTCAGTAAAGTATTATAATATCTACAATTAATTTTATTATAAATATCTTAACATCCTTTAGTAAATTGTGTTAAAAGTTAATAAATAGCATTAATAAACAATTACTATCTATTAAAATTAAATAAAAAATATTTAAACAAAAAAACTAATTTTTTTATGATTTTATCTTTTATGACTAAATAATATGCCTACAATAAAAAATACCATATAAATGATTAATATCAAAAAAATAAGAAATAATATATTTTGATATTTAGTAGAAAAAACAATTAAAGATTATTTAATTTTTTTGTTTAATAGTATATTGTCATCCACTAATTTTATTTAAAACTAAAATCAAGATTAATCATAAAATTTTATTCACTTTAAAAATTAAAATCTGACTTTAGCTAGCTAAAATAGGTTTTCATAAATAAGAATTTACTGTATTTTATGATTTATTCATATTCTTTAATAAAATAATACAATAAATTTTCTTAATTGGTGAATTAAGCAAAAATTTCATTTTAAGTTAGAAATAATTTTGTTTTTTCTGAAAAATGTACCATATTTTATTATTAATTTACTGCCTAAAAAAGATAAAAATAAATGTACATTATTAATAAATATTTACTTTGGATTTTAATATCAAAAATATATCTTTTACAAATTTATAATCAAAATTAACAATCTAATTAAATCCAATCTACTTTCTAAAAAATATTCCTTTTTTTTTCTTTATTGTAATATCAAATTTAATCAAACTTATTTATTTAAATGAAAGAAAGTTTTAAAAATAGCTCTTTTGGATTATAAATGTATATCTCAATAATATATTATAAATAAATTTTATTTATCACTTTAACTTATAAGCTTAATAAGATTAGCACTTAAAATAATTTTTTTGTTAGATTTTATAATGTAAACATCTTGTTTTTATTATAACTTCTAATTTAAATTTAAATACTAAAATTCTTTAATAAGCTAATAGAAATATTCCTTTTTCTTTCTTATTTGTAATTTAGAGTTTAATAAAGCTTAAATGTACATTAATACTTTTAATTTAATTATTTATTTATTGATATACTTATTAATCCAAAAATATTTCTTTTATATTTTACGCTTTTTATTGATTTAAACACCAAATTAATTATTAGGTTCCCAAGAAGAAATGTTCCTTTTTTTTTCTATTTTGTAATCTCAGGTTTAAATAATTTAGTAGTAAATTAGAAAATAGTGTTCATTTTTGAAAATGAATTTTGCTTAAAAGATTTTTATAAAAATTGTAAAATGATAATACTTTTTACTAATTTTAGTTTTCTTGGAATTAGCTCGCAATTAAATATCATAATTCTACTTTAAAATGTTATAATGTGAATTTATTTTGAGAAGATTTTTAAAGCTAATTGAAAAACTTTATCTATTTTAGAAATTTATAAATATCTAATTAAAATTATTCAGAATCTGATAGTTTCCTTTCCTTATAATATTTTTGATAAATTTAAAATAGACACAAACAAAACATTAAGCGCTGCTTTAAATGAACCTTAGACGCTATCTTAGAACTAGAATTTTAAAACAAAAATAACAATTAATAAGAATACCAAATTCTATCAACAAAAAAAAAATCAAAAATAACAAATATTTGAAATGAGCAATCAAAAAATTTTAGTCCTTGGTGCTACTGGATACATTGGATCAGCCACTGTTAAGACCCTTGCTTCTCTTAAAGCTAATGTCACTGCTGGTGTAAGAGATCCTACCAAGGTTAAAGAATTAGAAGCTGCTGGAGCAACTGTTGTTAAAGCTGATATGAATCAACCCTAATCTGAATTGGCTTAAATTCTCAAGAATTATGATCATCTTTATGTTGTAACTCCTGGTCATATTGATCGTACCAACTTAGCAGTTAATGCTATCAAAGCCGCTCAAGAAGCTCACGTTAAGTATATTCTTGTTGTTTCAATTACTGCTGCTGATAATCTCGAAATACTTTTTGGAAGACAATTCAATCCTATTGAGAAAGAACTCAAATTGAGTGGACTTAATTATGGTATTTTAAGATTACCCATTTTTACTGATAACATTTTCGGAAATGCTGAACATATAAAGTCTCATAACACTTTCTACGGACCTATCGATGGTGATAAGAAGTTAGTGACTGTTGCTATCCAAGATGCTGCTCTTGCTGCTGCTACAATTCTTGTTAATCCCAGCAATCACATTGGAAAAACTTACTCTATTACAAGTGAATTAAGCTCCAGTGATGAATAAGCTTAATCTTATTCTTAGGCATTAGCAAGACCAATCAAGTATGTGAATGGAACCTATGAAGGAACAAAAAAGGCCTTATTAAATTTCATGCCTGAATGGTAGGTTGATGGAGTGTTAGAATTATATAAGTTGATCGAAAAGCAAGAATAAAGCTAAATTACCCACACTAATGATTTCAAGACCATAACTGGTAAAGAACCAACCGCTCATTTAAAGTTTATGCAATAATTTTCAGTTGCCTTTTGAAAAAATAATTTTATGTATTAATTGCAATTTATATTTTCATTTTCAATAAAGTGTTATTATATCTACAATTAATTTTATTATAAATATCTAAACATCCTTTAGTAAATTGTGTTAAAAATTAATAAATAGCATTAATAAACAATTAATACTTATTAAAATTAAATAAAAATATTTAAATAATAAAATTAATTTTTGATTTATAAAAAATTTTGATTGATTTTTAGAGTAAAATTAAATCATTTATAAAGTTTTTTATTGAAAATAAATTTATGATTATTTTATCTTTTACGCCTAAATAATATGCATACAATAAAAAATAACATATAAATGATTAATATCAAAAAAATATGAAATAATATATTTTGATATTTAGTAGAGAAATCAATTAAAGATTATTTAAATTTTTTTGTTTAATTGTATTTTGTCATCCTTCTAATTTTATTTAAATATAAAATCAAGATTAATTATAAAATAAAATTTTATATACTTTAAAAATTAAAATTTGACTATAGCTAACAAAAATAGGCTCTGATAAATAAAAATTTAATATTATTAATTTACTACCTAAAAAAGGTAAAAATAAATGTACATTATTAATAAATATTTACATTGGATTTTAATATCAAAAATATATCTTTTACAAATTAAATTAATAATCAAAATTAACAATCTAATAAAATCCAATCTACTTTCTAAAAAAGATTCCTTTTTTTTTCTTTATTGTAATATCAAATTTAATCAAACTTATTTATTTAAATGAAAGAAAGTTTTAAAAATAGCTCTTATGGATTATAAATGAATATCTCAATAATATATAATAAATTAATTTTTTTGTATCACTTTATCTTAGAAGCTTAATAAGATTAGCACTTAAAATAGTTTTTTTTTGTTAGATTTTATCATGTAAACATCTTGCTTATATTATAAATTCTAATATAAATTTAAAAATTAAAATTGTATAATTAGCTAATAGAAATATTCCTTTTTTTTTCTTATTTGTAATCTAGAGTTTAATAAAGCTTAAATTTATAGTAACATTTTTAATAAAATTTAATTTTTTATTTATTGATATTATTATTAATCCAAAAATATTTCTTTTATATTTTATGCAATTTTATTTATTTAAACACCAAATTAATTAATTTATGTTCTGATAGAAATGTTCCTTTTTTTTTCTATTTTGTAATCTCAGGTTTAATCAATTTAATAGGAAATTAGGAAATAGTGCTCATTTTTTGAAAATGAATTTTACTTAAAAGATTTTTATAAAAATTGTAAAATAATAATATTTTTTACGAATTTAGTTTTCTTGGAATAAGCTCGCAATTAAATATCATTATTCTAATTTAAAATTTTACATGTAAATTTATTTTCAGTAGATTTTTAAAGATAATTGAAAAACTTTATCTATTTTAGAAATTTATAAATATCTAATTAAAATTATTCAGAATCTGAAGCTTACTTTCCTTTTAATATTTTTGATAATTTTAAAATAGACACAAACAAAACATCAAGAGCCTCTTTAAATTAACCTTAGACTCTATCTTAGAATTAGAATTTTAAAACAAAAATAACAAATAATCAAAATACCAAATTCTATCAACAAAAAAAAAAAATCAAAAATAACAAATATTTGAAATGAGCAATCAAAAAATTTTAGTCCTTGGTGCTACTGGATACATTGGATCAGCCACTGTTAAGACCCTTGCTTCTCTTAAAGCTAATGTCACTGCTGGTGTAAGAGATCCTACCAAGGTTAAAGAATTAGAAGCTGCTGGAGCAACTGTTGTTAAAGCTGATATGAGTCAACCCTAATCTGAATTGGCTTAAATTCTCAAGAATTATGATCATCTTTATGTTGTAACTCCTGGTCATATTGATCGTACCAACTTAGCAGTTAATGCTATCAAAGCCGCTCAAGAAGCCCACATTAAGTATATTCTTGTTGTTTCAATTACTGCTGCTGATAATCTCGAAATACTTTTTGGAAGACAATTCAATCCTATTGAGAAAGAACTCAAATTGAGTGGACTTAATTATGGTATTTTAAGATTACCCATTTTTACTGATAACATTTTCGGAAATGCTGAACATATAAAGTCTCATAACACTTTCTACGGACCTATTGATGGTGATAAGAAGTTTGTCACTGTTGCTATCCAAGATGCTGCTCTTGCTGCTGCTACAATTCTTGTTAATCCCAGCGATCACATTGGAAAAACTTACTCTATTACAAGTGAATTAAGCTCCAGTGATGAATAAGCTTAATCATATTCTTAGGCATTAGCAAGACCAATCAAGTATGTGAATGGAACCTATGAAGGAACAAAAAAGGCCTTATTAAATTTCATGCCTGAATGGTAGGTTGATGGAGTGTTAGAATTATATAAGTTGATCGAAAAGCAAGAATAAAGCCAAATTAACCACACTAATGATTTCAAGACAATAACTGGTAAAGAACCAACCACTCACTTAAAGTTTATGCAACAATTTTCAGTTGCCTTTTGAATTTAGAATTTTGGATAAATTTATTTTATATGTATTAATTGCATATCATATTTTCATTTTCAGTAAAGTATTATAATATCTACAATTAATTTTTTTAATAAATATCTCTATATACTTTAGTAAACTGTGAAATAAATCAATTAATAAACTTAATATATTCTACTACTTATTAAAATTAAATAAAAGGGAAATATTTAAGTAAAAAAATAATCTTGATATATTAAAATCATGATTAAATGAGTAAAGTTATATTAATAAATAATTACTTTAATATTTATATCTCTTGTTGAAAATTAGAATTAATTTCTTTTTGTTTTGAAAATTTTTAGAGTAAAAATATTTATTGTCTTTTATAAAATTTTTTATTTAAAATAAAGTTAACATTTTATTTACATATAAATAATTTATATCAAAAAAATATGAAGTACAATATTTAGATATTTATTAGAGAAAATAATTAAAGATTATTTAATTTTTTAGTTTAATAGTATATTGCCATTCACTATTTTTTATTTAAAGCTCAAAATTAGGTTTATTTTATTAACTCTAAAAATTAAAATTTGATTTTAGCTAACTAAAATAGGCTCTCGTCATCTGAATTTATTGTATTTTATGATTTTTTCATATTTTTTATAATATTAATAAAATTAATTTTCTTTTTCTGTTAAAATTTGCATAAATTTTTTTAAATCTTCAAGTTTTATCATAGCGATTTCACTTATCATTTATATATCCTTTTGTCCTTTAAATAATAATAAATATTAAACTTACATTAGTAAAACATATTTTAATAAATTCAAATACATTTAATTTAATTTACAAAAGAGGTTATATTTACATTCTTTGGATTAAATTTGTCTGAACATATAGAATATATAATTTTTAAGATAAAAAAACTAATAATAAATAATATATATTTAATATGTTGCTAATCTATTCAACTTAAAAATTTTGTTGATATAATATAAGGATGAAGATAAATATAGTCAAATTAATTTTAAGTTCATCAAATACATTCATTATTAATTTAATTTTTTATTTGTAAAAAATGATTCCAATTTCATTTCTTTTATAATATTTTTTTAGTAAGTGTTTAATTGAAATACTCATAAGTAAAATTAATAAATTCATATTTTAAAAATAAATAAAGTTAATCAAAATTACTAAAAAAGATAAAATAAAAAAAAATGAAAATATAATAAACTATTATTTTGATTTCTATACTCTCCTTGTTAAGTTTAGCAGCTGTTATCACCTTGACAAAGACCAGTTAAGATGTCTTATAAACTGAAGAAGTTCCTTGCTTTAATTTAAATTATAGACCTGGCAGAGGTGATGTTGTTTAGGCCTAAAACACTTGTAGTAAGTCTAAGTACTTTACTTTTATTATCTATAATGATGAATGTAGTACCTTATCAAAGACCTCATGTTTACGCTAAGATGAATAGCAACCTATTTATTGGCTCTTCTGAATATAAGTACAAACCAATCTAATAATTTGACTGTTGATTAAAAAATAAAACTCTTTTATAGAAATGGAATACTTATTATCGTATAGTAATATTTAATTTTTTAAATGTCTAACTAGTGAATTAATCAATAAATATTTTAATTTAAAAGCATTTAAATTAATTATTAAAATATTTCATAGATTTGCTTATTATAAATTATGAAAATTATCTTCATATAAAAAATAAAACTCTTTAAATTTAAATTAATATAAATTTAAAATGAATAAATATAATTAATTACTCAGTATTTTAAAAAGAAAGTAAATAAATTTGTATTAAAAATTAAATAGCAAATTATTTGTTTTTTTTAATTTTTTATTATATATATATATATAAATAAGCAGTATTTTTTTTAAATTGATTTTGATAATTAAATTATATTTTGAATGGTAATTTAAAAAAAAATTATATTTTAAGTTGATTTTACATTATTTATTTTAATCAAATATTGTTAAATATTTAATAATTAATTATTTTAATTGTAAAAAATTGAAATGTATTTTATCTTTTCAAAAAAATAAAAGTTGATATTTATTTATTTATTTATCTATCATATATTTTGTAATATGATATAAGTTAAAATATAATAATTAATATTTTATTTAATGTTTATATAATAATTTTTATATTTCTAATACATAAAGAATATATTGATAATCAACACAGATTTTTAATGTAATCTATCAGTTTGTTTTTTATTCAATTTTTGTTCTTTTCTTAAATATAAGTTGTATCGGTCTCGGGGTCAAATTAAATGTTATAATTAGAGAGGGCTTTGGTGCTAATAGAGTATGTATGTGTATATTCTGATGGAACAATCAATATTTCATATACTTTTTCTTCCTTAATGTATCTAGAGTATTAAGAAGGCTTGATGGTGATTGTGTAAACGTCATTATCTTCTGTCAATAAGCTGATTTTAATATCTTTAAGCTTCTTAAGTTTTTCAACTCTAAGTTAATAGTCGTGTTTAGGTGAAGCTGTATAGTCGACTCCATCAACATTTAGTCTATTGAGGAAGAAATCATAGATTATGGATGGAATGTAGATATAAGGGTCAGTTGAGTTAAAAGTAGCAAAGCATCCTCCATATAAAGGAAAGTCATCAGCGTAATAAGCCTCTTGAACAAGAAGATTAGAAGATCCATCTTAATGATTTAAAGCAATTTTTTTAGATTCCTTCAAGTTATTCTAAAAGGAACCTAAGAACACTAAAGATGTAGCAATCAAAGAAACAACCAATAAAGCTTTTAAAGCACTCATTCACTTTAATTTAATCAAGCAGCAATTTAAATTTTATTAAAATAATTATAAATGAAGGTTTAAACATATAATACTTTGTTTTTAGTTCACACATTAAATTCTTTTATTCAATCTTCCAACCAAATAAATATCAGTCTTTTCATTTATTGTTGTTTCTATATTTTTTTGTTCAGAAACAATTAAATCAAAATTAATTTTGGATCAATTGAGAAAGAAATTAGTTTATTTTTTATTCATTATAAAAACCAATAATCCGTATAAATTAAAGATATAAATCGAATATTACCTATGAAAATGAAACTCTAATAAGATAATTTCTGCTATTTTTTATGTGATACAAATTAGAAATTTTATTTTCTAAAAAGAATTTTCATCTTTTCTTTATTTTAAATTGAAAGACGCTTTATTTATTTTTAACATTTTTTTTGAAATTTCTAAATTTTCTGATCCATCAGAAAATTAAAACAAAATATGAGCAAAAAAAGGGATACCATTCTTTTCTATATGAAAATCAAGATAGGATTTCATAATCTTTGTTTTGTAAAAGATTAAATTTAATTATAAATTGGGATTCATTTTATTTTTAATACATACTACTTATTTTGGCTATGTATGAATAATACTTTATTTATCTATTTGACATTACATAATCAGAAATTAGTTTTTTATATTTTTGATCCACCTCTTTTTCAATTAAATCCTTTTAAAAAATTCAATTTATTAAAATTATAAAAAAATTAAAAAATATATAATTTAAATTAATCTATTTTTTTTATTTTGATCTATGAAATTTTCTATATAATTAATTGATTTATTTTATCAATATTTAAAAACTAGTTAAAAAACTTAATCTATTGTAATATTTAATCACTTTATTAAGTATCCATCCAAGAGGAATAAATTATTTATTTATTTTTATTTCCCTTGAGAAAATATGATAGTTAACTAATTAGCTATATCTTATAAAGGTAATATATCTCAATAATTATTGGCAACATAATTGAAATATTTATAGTTAATATTGCCATAAATTTAGAATAATAAAAAAGTTAAATAATATATATCTATTTATTTTATCATTTTTCTTTCCAAAAATAAAAATTTCAAATGAGTTATAATTTTTTTTTAGTTATTTTCACACTTACTATTTTTATAAATAAAAAATGTTATTTTAAAAATAAATTCTGTTTAAGCAATGATTGTTTTTTATTTAGAATGATATTAATTATATTCTATTGTTTATTTCGTTTTGCAAATATAAAAACATAAACATTTTTACTCATTTTTTTATAATTTGACCATAATAGTAATTTAAAATAATGCTATTAGTCATATTTTAATTTTACATTTATTTTAAAAAAAGAATTTATCTAGCTTTTATCTAGAATATTGTGAATAAAGTTTTTTTAGGTAATATTAAAGAAATATTTAAATAATAATAAATAAAAATATCATTAATTAATTTCTAACAAACTAAGCAAAAATTTTTAAAAATATTATATAAAACTCATTTAATATTATTAAATACATTTGTTGTGACATTTAAATTTTGTATTCAAAAAAAAATATGGCCTGCTTACCATCTATTTTTCATTGAATTAGTATTCATTATTAATTATATTTAAATTGTTTAAAATAGAAAGTGAATATTTTTATTAAAATTTTCTTCAATTATTCTTTTTTTATTCTAATTAAAATAGTAATCTCTGTTTTAATTAAATCTAAAAAAGGAAATAATTCAATTTTTCTTTCTTTAATTAATGTACTGTTTCATGTAACCAAAATACGATAAAAATAGATTATCTTAAACTTCATAATAAATAGGATTTCTAAATCTTTAAATAATTATATTTTAATAAAATAAAAAAAAATAGTAAAACATAAATAAAAATCTTCAATAAGAAAACAAAAATAACTAACAAAATGGCTCCAAAAATTATCGTCTTAGGTTCAACTGGCTACATTGGATCTGCAACTGTTAAAACTCTTGCTTAGTAAAAGGCTAATATTACTGCTGGTGTAAGAGATCCTTCTAAAGCTTAGGAATTAGTAAATGCTGGTGCTAAAGTTATTAAAGCTGATATGGGCCTTAAGTAAACTGAGCTTGCATCTATTCTCGCTAACTATGATCATCTTTATGTTGTTACTCCTGGACACATTGATCGTACTAATTTAACTCTTAATGCCATCAAAGCAGCTAAATAGGCAAACATCAAATACATCCTTGTTGTTTCTATTCCTCCAGCTGATAATCTTAACATTCTTTTTGGAAGATAATTTACACCTATTGAGAAAGAACTTAAATCAAGTGGATTGACTTATGGATTGTTGAGATTACCTATGTTTGTTGATAATATCTGGGGTAATGCTGAAGCTATTAAAACTCAAAACACTTTCTATGGACCAATTGATGGAAGTAAAAAGTTTGTCACTGTTGCAGTGTAAGATGCAGCATTAGCAGCTGCTGTAATTCTTTAAAACCCTACAAATCATGCTAATAAAACTTACACACTAACCAGTGATTTTAGTAGTAGTGATGAGTAGGCCTAATTTTATACTTAGGCTCTTGGTAGAACTATTAAATATGTATCTGGTGGTTATGAAGCAACAAAGTAAGCACTTCTAAAATTCATGCCTGAATGGTAAGTTGATGGTATTTTAGAGTTGTACAAACTTGTTGAGAACCAAGATGCAAGTCAGACTACTTTTACTAACGACTTCAAAAAAATAACTGGCTAAGAACCTACTACTCACGCAAAGTGGATGCAACAATTTTCAAAAGCTTTTTGAAAAAGTTTTAATAATTAATTAGTGATCTTTAACTCTTTATTATATTAAAACTAGCCATTAATAATTAGCTTATGCTTATTTTATGATTTTAAGAGTATGAATTATATTTGTTCAAGTTTGTAATCAAAATTTTTTAAAGACACTTATTAATTTAAAATAAAATTTCCTTAATCAATAAATATTATTAAATCTCATGTAAGCATTAATAAGAATAATGAAATACTGAAAAAATATCAATGTGCTTATGATTTTGAGTGATATTAAAATGTATTTACAAAAAATACTCTTATTTATTTATTTATTTGTTTGTTTGTTTGATATGTTTGTAAAGAAAATTTTAAAAAAAGTCAAAATATTATTTATTTTAAATATATTTATTCAGTAATATCAAATTTAGTTTAATTGAATGAAATAACTATATTTCTTAAAAAAATAAATAGACATATTTTTAAGGCTTATGATTTAGAATGATATTAAAATTTATTTACAAAAATGCTCTTTATTTATTTATTTGTTCGCTTGTTTGTTTTATATGTTTGTAAAGTAAGTTTTAAAAAAAGTCAATAATATGATATATATTTAAATATTGAGTAATATCAAATTTAGTTTAATTGAATCAAATAGCTATTTTTCTTATTTAAATAAACATATTTTTAAGGCTTATGTTTGAATGATTTTAAAATGTATTTACAAAAATACTCTTTATTTATTTTTTCGTTTGTTTGATATTTTAGTGAAGTTTCTAAAAAAAGTAAATAATATAATTTATTTCAAAAGTATTTATACAATATCAAATTTAGTTTAATTGGAATAGCCATATTTCTTAAAGAAATAAAAAGATTTTAAGATTGCTCCATTTCTGTAAAAATATTTTTTTTTCAATCAAAGAAAAATGACTGCTTTACTAAATTATCATCTATCATTTTCATATAAGTAAGCATAGTAATAATGTTTATAAACTAAAAAAGATTTATTTTTACATAATACTAACTATATGTGTTACTTTCTTACTTTTTCAGATTTTGGTAAAATTATTAAATTACTCAAGAAATAGACAAAATTTATTAATAGTATTAATTTTTACAAATTCTCTTAGCCTTCCTTTTTTTTTCTATTTAAGTTGTAAGGCAATATTTAATTAAAAAATGTTTCTGAAAGATATCCAATTATATCAGATTATTTTTTTCTTTTTTATCAAAGTTGTTAAATTCAAGAACATATTTTTTGTTTAAAATCCAAATTAAAAAGCAATTATCTTTTTATAAACACTTTTAAAATTAAGAAATTCAATAAATTACAATTCAACAATAAATAAAAAAAATGCATTCTCAAAAAATTTTAGTCTTAGGTGCCACTGGAAACATTGGATCTGCTACTGTTAAAACTCTTGCTAGTCGTAAAGCTAATGTTACTGCCGGTGTTAGAGATCCCTCAAAAGCTAAAGAATTATAAAACTCCGGTGCTTAAGTCATTAAAGCTGACATGAGTCAAAACTAAGCTGAACTTGCTAAAATTATTTCAAATTACAACGCTGTTTATCTAGTAACTCCTGGTCATATTGATCGTACATAAATCACTATTAACGCAATACAAGCAGCTAGATAGGCCAACATCTAATACGTACTTCTTGTTTCTATACCTTGTGCTGATAATTAAAATATTTTGTTTGGAAGACAATTCACTCCAATTGAAAAAGAACTCAAAGCTAGTGGATTAAAATATGGAATATTAAGATTACCAATGTTCACTGATAATGCTTGGGGTAATAATGAACCAATCAGAACACACAACACTTTCTATGGTCCTATCAATGGAGACAAGAAGTTTGTAACTGTTGCAGTATAAGATGCTGCTTTGGCTGCTGCAATCATTCTTGAAAACCCAAGCAAACACAATGGAAAAACTTATACTATCACAAGTGACTACAAAAGCAGTGATGAGCAAGCATAAATATTTTCTCAAGCTCTTGGAAGATAAATTAAATATGTAAATGCTACTTTCGAAGGATCAAAATAATCATTATTGAAAATGATGCCTGAGTGGTAGGTTGATGGTTTATTGGAGCTATATTCATTAGTAGAGAAGAGTGATGTTAGTCAAGTAAATCAAACAAGCGATTATAAACAAATTACAGGAAACTCACCAACAACAACTTTGAGTTGGATGTGGTAAAACCACAAATCATTTTGAAAAATAATAATTAGTTTATCAATAAAAAGAATTTATAATAAAAAATCATTTAAGCTATCAAAATTAATGATTACTAACTGACTAATTATTCAAATAATTTTAAATATTTGTACATTTCTATAAAATATGTTTTGTATGTATTAAATATTTGCTTGAAAAAAAATAAGATTAATATTTATATATATATATTGCACGCTAGCTAGCTTGCTGCCATTTTTAGGGACTTGTGCCATATAATATTACAATAATAATTTTTTTGAAATTTTTTTAATGAACTTTTTATAAAAACAAATATTTTTTATAAAGTATTTATCAATTAACAAAAATTATTTAATTCAGCTTTTATTTCTCAAAAATTCAAATAATTTTTATCTTTATTTAAAGTTTTTGATTGATTTCTAAAACAACAAAATGTAATAATGCAAATAATACCTGTGATTTAGAGTAAAATTTGGAAATTATTAGATATTTTCTAGATTTTATTTCTCTGTTTAGAAATTTATTTTGGTTGAGATCTTTAAAATTACTATTTTCATAATAAATTAAAAAATGGTTTTCTATTTAAAAATTGTTACTGATTACTATTTTAGTTTATAAAAAAATATTTGTGATTCTTTTCTATTTATTTAATTAAATTATTAATAAAGTTATTTTTAATGTTATTCTGGACAATTTAATTAAACATTCTATTGCTTTTCTTTTTTTTTTCTTTTTAGTTTGTAATCCTATATTTAATTAAAAAATAGATATAATAAAATCTGATCTATTCATTTCTTTTTAATAATTAAAGGTCTTTTTAATTAAAATTTTACCAATAAAACCTACTTAATTTTTCTTTTCTTTATTTTAATATAATAGAAGAATCATTCGTATCCTACTTTAAATTTGATTACAAAATTTACTGATCCTTTATAAAAATTTTTTAAATAAATAAATTTAAAACAATTATTCAAGCAAAATAAATAGTATAAAAATTCATAAAATAAATGAGCTCTCAAAAAATTTTAGTTTTAGGTGCCACTGGATACATTGGATCTGCAACTGTCAAAACTTTAGCTAATCTTAAAGCTAATGTTACTGCTGGTGTTAGAGATCCATCAAAAGCTAAAGAATTATAAGACTCTGGTTCTAAAGTCATTAAAGCTGATATGAGTCAAAGCTAAGCTGAACTTGCTAGAATTCTTTCAAATTACACCTCTGTTTATCTTGTTACTCCTGGTCATATTGATCGTACACAAATAACTATTAACGCAATTCAAGCAGCTAAATAGGCCAATGTTTAATACTTACTAGTTGTTTCAGTAACTTGTGCTGATAATCAAGATGTTTTATTTGGTAGACAATTCAATCCAATTGAAAAAGAACTCAAAGCTAGTGGATTAAAATATGGAATATTAAGATTACCAATATTCACTGATAATGTTTGGGGAAATAACGAACCAATCAGAACACACAACACTTTCTATGGTCCTATCAATGGAAACAAGAAGTTTGTAACTGTTGCAGTATAAGATGCTGCTTTGGCTGCTGCAGTCATTCTTTAAAACCCAAGCAAACACATTGGAAAAACCTATACAATTACTAGTGATTACAAAAGTAGTGATGAGCAAGCATAAGCATTTTCTCAAGCTCTTGGAAGATAAATAAAATATGTAAATGCTACTTTCGAAGGAACAAAATAAGCATTATTGAAGTTTATGCCTGAATGGTAGGTTGATGGTGTATTGGAGCTATATAAATTGATAGAGAAAAACGATACTAGCCAAGTTAATCATACAAATGACTTTAAATAAATAACAGGAAGTTAATAAACCACAAATTTGAATTGGATGTGGCAAAATTTTAAAGCATTTTGAAAAATAATTAAAAAATTTATATAAGTATGTATATTTTATAAAAGTGTTTGAAATGGAATAAATATTTTAATTTAATATCAAAACTATATTTTTTACTAATTTCTAAATGATTACTAAATAAAATTTGAAAATTAAAGAGTTAATTTGATCATTCATTATCTTACATTCTTTTAAAAAAATTTATAATAAATAACTATAAATTCTTTATTAAAGCTTCTTTTAATGCCTTATTTTGAAAAATTTTGAAAGTATTAATTTATTCAATTAAATGATTTATAAAAATTGACATATCTATTTGTATTTAAAAATTAACATATATATTTCATATAAAAAAATTCAAATCAAAATGACAATTTTAATTTACAGATAATTTACTAATTATATTGAAATTTCTTCACATAAAATAAATGGGTTTTAATAAAAAAAATATTACTGTTTAATTTACCAGCATTAAAAAACAAACAAATTAATATTTATGATTCTTTCAAATTAGTAAATTAAATTATTAGCAAAAGTTATTTTTAGTGTTATTCTGTATATATAATTAAATGTTCTATTAATTTTCTTCTTTTTTTCTTTTTAGCTAGTAAGTTTGTATTTAATCAAAAAATTAATTTGAAAATATAATTAAATCTGATCAAATCTTTTCTTCTTAATAAATAAATTTTTTTTTAATTAAAATTTTACCTTGAAAGCTGACTTAATTTTTCTATTTTATTAATTTTAATCATATAGAAAGCTCATTCATGTATTTATTTGCATAGATTCAAATTCGATTTTGAAATCTAATCATTTTTATAAAAATTATTAAAATAAATAAATAAATTCTAATCAAATTATCAAAGCAAAAATAAATAGTTAAAAATCAATATAAATAAATGAGCTCTCAAAAAATTTTAGTTTTAGGTGCCACTGGATACATTGGATCTGCAACTGTCAAAACTTTAGCTAATCTTAAAGCTAATGTTACTGCTGGTGTTAGAGATCCCTTAAAAGCTTAAGAATTATAAAACACTGGTGTTTAAGTCATTAAAGCCGACATGAGTCAAAACTTAGCTGAACTTGCCAAAACTCTCTCTGATTATAGTTCTGTTTATCTAGTAACTCCTGGTCATATTGATCGTACATAAATCACAATTAATGCAATCCAAGCAGCAAAATAAGCAAATATTTAATACTTATTAGTTGTTTCTGTAACTTGTGCTGATAATCAAGATGTTTTATTTGGTAGACAATTCAATCCAATTGAAAAAGAACTCAAAGCTAGTGGTTTAAAATATGGAATAGTAAGGTTACCAATGTTCATTGATAATGTTTGGGGTAATAATGAACCAATCAGAACACATAACACTTTCTATGGTCCTATCAATGGAGACAAGAAGTTTGTAACTGTTGCAGTATAAGATGCTGCTTTGGCTGCTGCAGCCATTCTTTAAAACCCAAGCAAACACATTGGAAAAACATATACAATTACTAGTGATTACAAAAGCAGTGATGAATAAGCATAAACATTTTCTCAAGCTCTTGGAAGATAGATAAAATATGTAAATGCTACCTTCGAGGGAACAAAATAAGCATTATTGAAGTTTATGCCTGAATGGTAGGTTGATGGTGTATTGGAGCTATATAAATTGATAGAGAAAAACGATATTAGTCAAGTAAATCATACAAATGATTTTCAATAAATTACAGGAAGCTAACCAACCACAAATTTAAGTTGGATGTAGCAAAATGGTAAAGCCTTTTGAATACAAATTTAAATATTTTTAAGTATGTACATTTTATAGTAAATTGTTTAATTTATATTAAATATTTTGATGTTGTTACTTAATAAATAAATAATTTTATTTTACCAATTAAATTTTAAATTTTTATTGAAAAAAATATGAAAATAAGTGGAATATTATGATAATTGGCAAATATTTTTTTATTTATCAATAAATGTTTCAAATTTGTTTGAAATATATTTTTTATGTTAAAATTAAAATATGGAAAATTAAGAGGCATATTTTTTTTATTTCTTTTAATGTATTTAAAAAAATAATGTTTTTATAAGTTTTAAATACTAATAAATTAAGAAATATTATTTTTTATTCAAGATATTTATCTAATTTACAAGGACTTCTATAACAAAATTTTTTTTCTTTGCTTAATTGATGTTTAATTTATGAAATAAATAACAAATAGTTATTTAAATAAACCACCATCTTTTAATTTAGAATAAATAACTGAAAATTCTAGATATTTTAGCATTTTTATTTATTTGCTTGTCATAAAATTAATATTTTTAGAAATACTATTTGATTTTTTATTTAAAAATATGGCATAAAAAACTATTTAAAAATAATTATTTGTGATTCTTTCAGATTTAATAAATAAAAGTATTAAGAAAGTTATTCTTAATGTTATTGTGGACAATTTAATTAAATATTCTATTGTTTTTCTTCTTTTTTTCTTTTATGTTAGTAAGTTTGCATTTAATTAAAAAAAAAATTAAACAATATCATAAAATCTGATCTATTCATTTCTTTTTTACAAATTAATTTATTTTTAATTAAATTTTTACTATTGAATCTTGATTAATTTTTCTATTTTATTAATTTTAATATAATAGAAGATACATTCAAGTTTTTATTTAAATGATTTGAAATCTACTGATTCTTCATAATTATTTTTAAAATAAATAAATTAATAAATTCTAATCAAATTATCAAAGCAAAAATAAATAGTTTAAAATCAATATAAATAAATGAGCTCTCAAAAAATTTTAGTTTTAGGTGCCACTGGATACATTGGATCTGCAACTGTCAAAACTTTAGCTAATCTTAAAGCTAATGTTACTGCTGGTGTTAGAGATCCCTCAAAAGCTAAAGAATTATAAAACTCTGGTGCTTAAGTCATTAAAGCTGACATGAGTCAAAACTAAGCTGAACTTGCTAGAATTCTCTCGAATTACAGCTCTGTTTATCTAGTAACTCCTGGTCATATTGACCGTACATAAATTACTATTAATGCAATACAAGCAGCTAAATAGGCCAATGTCTAATATTTACTTGTTGTTTCTGTAACTTGTGCTGATAATCAAGATGTTTTGTTTGGAAGACAGTTCACTCCAATTGAAAAAGAACTCAAAGCTAGCGGATTAAAATATGGAATATTAAGATTACCAATGTTCATTGATAATGTTTGGGGAAACAACGAACCAATCAGAACACATAACACTTTCTATGGTCCTATCAATGGAGACAAGAAGTTTGTAACTGTTGCAGTATAAGATGCTGCTTTGGTTGCTGCAGTCATTCTTTAAAACCCAAGCAAACACATTGGAAAAACCTATACAATTACTAGTGATTACATAAGCAGTGATGAATAAGCATAAAAATTTTCTCAAGCTCTTGGAAGATAAATAAAATATGTAAATGCTACTTTCGAAGGAACAAAATAAGCATTGTTGAAATTCATGCCTGAATGGTAGGTTGATGGTGTATTAGAGCTATATAAATTGATAGAGAAAAATGATATTAGCCAAGTTAATCATACAAATGACTTTAAATAAATAACAAATGTTTAATCAACCACAAATTTAAGTTGGATGTGGCAAAATTTTAAAGCTTTTTGAAAAGATATTTAAATTTTTTTATTTAGTATGTATATTTTATAGAAAGTTGTTTAGCATTAACTAAATATTTTGATATTACTTTTTAATATAAAAGCAGTTATTCTACGAATTCAATACTTTATAATTATTATTAGTTAAAATGAAAATAAATTAAATATATTGAGAAAAAATAAATAAGCATATTTTTATTTAGTTTTTAAATAAATTACATTAAAAATTTTTTTAATATAAAAAACAAAACGATAAAATATTAGATTTAATCTATTATAAAAATAAAACATAGTAATAAAATCTTCAAATTTTTGTTAAAATTTTATTAAAATTAATACAAAAAATGATATTTAATATTATTATTTACCAAGTTTCTAATCATTTTTATGTTTATTTAAATCATTTTTTTAAAAGCATACAAAAAATAAAAATTAAAATGGCAATTTTAATTTAGAGCAAACTTGTGAATTTACAGATAATCTACTGATTATATTTATAATTGCTTTGCATAAAATAAATGTGTTTTAATTAAAAAATATTACTTTTTAATTTACCAGCATTAAAAAACAAACAAATTAATATTTATGATTCTTTCAAATTAGTAAATTAAATTATTAGCAAAAGTTATTTTTAGTGTTATTCTGTATATATAATTAAATGTTCTATTAATTTTCTTCTTTTTTTCTTTTTAGCTAGTAAGTTTGTATTTAATCAAAAAATTAATTTGAAAATATAATTAAATCTGATCAAATCTTTTCTTCTTAATAAATAAATTTTTTTTTAATTAAAATTTTACCTTGAAAGCTGACTTAATTTTTCTATTTTATTAATTTTAATCATATAGAAAGCTCATTCATGTATTTATTTGCATAGATTCAAATTCGATTTTGAAATCTAATCATCTTTATAAATATTTTTAAAATAAATAAATAAATTCTAATCAAATTATCAAAGCAAAAATAAATAGTTAAAAATCAATATAAATAAATGAGCTCTCAAAAAATTTTAGTTTTAGGTGCCACTGGATACATTGGATCTGCAACTGTCAAAACTTTAACTGATCTTAAAGCTAATGTTACTGCTGGTGTTAGAGATCCCTTAAAAGCTTAAGGATTATAAAACTCTGATGCTTAAGTCATTAAAGCTGACATGAGCCAAAACCAAGCTGAACTTGCCAAAATTCTCTCAAATTACAGCTCTGTTTATCTAGTAACTCCTGGTCATATCGATCGTACATAAATCACAATTAATGCAATCCAAGCAGCAAAGTAAGCAAATGTTTAATACTTACTAGTTGTTTCTGTAACTAGTGCTGATAATCAAGATGTTTTATTTGGTAGACAATTCAATCCTATTGAAAAAGAACTCAAAGCTAGTGGATTAAAATATG